CTACTGGAATTGAATTCCAGTACAAAGCAGTAAACTGGCTAACTCTCGTATAGCCAATCTCCTACTACCGAATGATGAGGCTCTAACAACCTAATCAAATTCTATCTTTCTCAGGTTGCAGCAGAAATCAGGAAAAGCTGATCAGACTTCAATTGACTCAATAAACATGCATCATTCGATTAAAACCAAGCAGTAATATCATCCCAAGTCATTACAATCAAATCCCTAACACATAGAACTAGGGTTCTTCATACCCAAGTGAGAGAAGGGTTCTACTCCATAGAGAGAGAGAGGAAAACAGAATACTGAGTAGTCATACTCATAAAGATGAGGAAAATCTGCTCTGGGATGATGATTTCCACTCCTATGACGATCTCCAAGCTTGATTTGATGAAACCCAGCTCCAAGATAGCTTCTAGGATGTGTTCTTCGTACTTTCTCTCTCTAGGGCTCTGTTTTTGCTCTCAAAACTCGATTCTCCCACTTTCAGCCCGAAATTGGGTAAAAACCTAGAAATTCCCGACTCACACGGGCAGGGCCACACGGCCGTGTGACATACCCAGTTTCCCGTGTGAGGTCAAAACGCCGCGTTCCGAATAATTGAGTTTCAGGCTTCCCACATGGCCAGGGTCACACGGTCGAGTAGCTCACCCAGCCTGGCCGTGTGAAGCCTCGCACAATCTCACACGGCCAAAGTGGTCACTTGCACGGCCGTGTGAGTTGTGGGTGTGCCCGTGTGGCCTCCTTTTTGACTTGCCTCGCACCCGATCTTCGTCCAATCGACCCCGAACTCGCTCCTAAACCTTCATTCACTTGCTAGGACCTGAAATATCACAAACAAACACAACCTAGCGTGAAATCGGCCTAAAACACGAGAATTACCATCTCAAACGGCTCCAGAATAGGGGTAAAAACATGTGCAATTAACGGCTTATCAGCAACCTAGGTCGAAAAACCTCCCACACTTTCTTCACAGAATATTTAGCCATCACCACTCCATCCCAAGAAATAGTCACCAACAACAGTAAAATGTGACTGAACTTTATCTCTCAATCTCAAGAGTTTTCTCCAGTTCCAGGACCCAGCCTTACCAATGTACTGCCACAGAGTAAGCCCTTTGAGTTTGTAATTATGAAGCCAAGCAACCCAGATGGAACCAGCTACCTTCAACACTTCCCAAAAGTGTCTAGTAGAACAGGCCTGATCCCGAGAAAAGACGTCATTGACTCCAACTCCACCCTCAGTTTTGGGATAAGCAAGCTGAGGCCAAGCAATCCCTTCTCTGAGTCTCTTACCAGTACCAACACCCCACACAAAATTGCTACATAGACGTTCTACCTCCTTTTAACACAATTTTTGGCAAGAGGAAAACTGACATCCAGAACTGAGTGATTCTAAACAAAACAAAAAGCCCCATTTCCAATTTCCCTACATAACTCAACGATTTTGCTTGCCAAGTCGAAATCCTAGCTGTTATTTTCTCAATTAGAGGCTGGCAGGAAGCAACTGTGAGCTTACCAGCTATTAAAGGCACACCAAGGTAACGAACATGAAGCTTCCCAAGCTTATAACCAGACTAGGAAGACATGTTTGCCAATTGGGATTGAGTAAGGAAACCACAAAATAGCTCATATTTACTGGGATTAGAACTTAGACCAGACAGGCTCCTAAATTTATCCAAAACAGTTTGAACACATTGCAACCCACTATTGAAGCCATCTAAGAAGACTAATAAGTCAATAGCAAAGCACAGATGGGTCAAACCAATTTGTTTACACAAAGGGTGGCAGGGGAACAGTCCACTAGAAGCAGATTCGTCAAGTAAACAACTAAAAACTTCCATTGAAACAACAAAAGGATAGGGAGATAACGGATCACCTTGTCTAAAACCCTTCTTTGCAGCAAAATAACCAACTAACCCCCATTAAACCCAACACTGAGCATTGGTGTTGTTATACACATTCTAATCCAGTCCACAAATAAGGAAGGGAAATTCATGGCATATAAGACAGTTAGAACAAACCCCCAATCTACTGAATCGAATGCCTTCATAAGATCAATCTTAAGAGCACTACGAGATGAAATGTTCTTCAGATTATATTTAGCCACCAACTCATGTGCCATAAGTATATTATCACCAATTAAACGCCATTTGACAAATGTTGATTGATTGAAACTAATAAGTTCAGGCAGAGTGGCACTAAGACGATTCACAATCAGCTTTGAGATGTACTTATAAAGAATATTGCAACAGGAAATTGGACAGAAAACTTTCATGTTTTCTGGATTTGGAACTTTAGGTACAAGAACAAGAACAGTGGCATTTACTTCTCTATGGAGTCTACACTATTCAAGACATAACATAATAGCATCAATGAGCTCCTCGCCAATAATAGACCATGCTGCTTGGAAGAAACAAGTGGAAAAACCATAAGGACCTGGGGCTTTTTCCCCCTTCATGTCAAAGATAATTCTCTTTGTTTCCTCTCTAGAGAAAGGAGCACAAAGAGTGTCATGATGATCCTCAGAGAGGTGTCTTTTGAGCAAAGCCTTGAAAAAAATCAACTGACTCCAACTTCTGCAATAATCTCTCCAAGCAACTTCTGATAAAAAAAACTGCGACCCCAATCATCTGCTTGATCTCAGTGACTCTATTACCAGTACCATCAACCAGAGCAGCAATAGTATATCTTTTTTGGCTTATTTTGAAAGATCTATGAAAATAGGTGAGTTGGAATCCCCACCTTTCAACCAAACCTCTCAAGACTTCTGCCTTAGATAAGACTCATTAGCATGCGTTAGAGTGAAAAGCTCTTTGGAAACCAGGAGCTCCTCAAAATTAGCGGGGGTGGATCAAAGATAGTCTTAGCTTGCACAATGGAGAGCTTAAGTTCAACTTCCTTAACTCTACCACTTATATAAGAGTATTCTTCTGCATTAAGTTTTTTTTTTACTTCCCATTAAGAATCCTTAGCTTCTTGCAAAAGCTAATCAAAGGAGAACCAACCTCATGAGCATCCCATGCCTCCCTAACTAAATCCTCAAATTGGGGGGTGATTAATCCAAAATTTGAAAGGCTTAGGAAGCGAGTTGACCTCAGACTTCGGTTGTACTAATATGGAGCAATGATCCGAAACACTAGGTTCAATAAGATTAACCCTACTGTTAGGAAACATTTCCAGCCATTTCAAATTCAAATTAAGAAATTCTCTATCCAGTCTTCTAGCTATGGGTTTTTTCGACTGTTTATTCAACCAAGTAAACCAGGGATCCTCTGCTTTATGCTCTTCTAACTCCAGATCATGCAAGCAATCATTAAATTCTTGCATGCTACTAGAAAAACCAGGATCATTAGAAGCCTCCTGTGGATGCCTGATGACATTGAAGTTTCCCAAGATCATCCAAGTAGAGGAGGAAACTTGAAATGCATGAAGTGAATTGAACATACATAATCTATCAGCATCCACATTTGATGCATAGATAAACGAGACATAAAAGACTTGACTAGTCTCGATATGGGCATGGATGATTCGATCATTAGATGTTATGATAATGAACTTTAGCCCCTTTCGCCATAGCAACCACGCCTTCCCTAACCCATGAGCATTACTAGCCACCTCCTTTTCCCGGTCAAGAAACCTCTTCTGGATCAGTTCGTCTGCCTTCTCGCTCTAACACGGGGTTCTAGTATAGCTACTACATCTAAACTATGTTTTTTCTATTAAACTCAATAAAGCAAAAAAAAAACTCTAGGGGGATTCTTCTGACCATGAAAGGACATAATTTGGATCTAACAAGATCACGTGTCTAAGAACTCTAGGTGGAGTTTGTATATGCAATGCCTTCCTCTCCTGCTTTCCTTCACTCGCCCAGTAGTATAGATTTATATTTCTACACAATCCTTTCTTTTACTTTCTGTTTTGCAAAACGGGAGGCAACTCAACCTCCTACATAAGCTTTATTTTTACGTAGAACTTGTCCCTCGCCACATGAGTAACTGGTCGTGAGAAACCCTAAGGAATACGATCCTGGCTTTCAGGCCAGGTAAATTATAGGTGGGGAATACTTAATTAGACAACGAATTCCTAGATAATATAAAAATATTTGAGATTGTGTTTCAACTTACTCCGCTAAAATAATATGAATGAGAAAAGGAATTGAACATTAATAAACATGGTTCAATCAAGGATTAGTCAAAATGACATTCTCCTTTATTTCTAAGGTTATGCATTGCAAACGGATTGTATACTAAACCAAGTTTTAGTCGAAACTATTTCAAGGGTATCATATGAGTGGCTTTTACACTGTACTCACAAAAATGAGTACATAACATGCACCATTTGACAACTTCTAAAAGTGGACATAATCACTATAAATTTTATCTTATTTTTATTTTTAATGAAAACCATTAAATGTGAGCTATAAAATTATATAATCTACAATCACAATAATCTATCTATTTTTACTGAAAAACTTATTCATGTAATGGTCATTAGTAGATGACTTTATGCAGTATTTTGAAAACTCAATAATAGTTTAAAATACAAGTAAATCACAATTGATTTTTTTGAAAATTCATATATTTTTACTGACCATAAGACAATCAAATACAATAATCATTTTGAAGAATTTGGAAGACAAAAATGAGAACAATGAGAAAAGTGCATAATAGGCATCCAAAAAGTGAATACACCAAAAACAAATTTATATATATTTGAGGCTAGCCTTATGGTATGCTTATCGTGTTTTGTTATTTATATCATGAATTAATTAGAGTTTGGGGCATGATGTTATACCATAATTTTTAATGGATGAACCCTAGTTCTTGATTTTCAAACTAAAACCATAAGATAATTAAATCTAAAAATAATATTTGACAGTTCTAATTCATCAAAATATATTTAGTGAATTTAATAAGTGTGATCGCAAGTGTATAAAATATGGCAGGGTACGCTAGCCTTTGCCATATGTATACATAATAACTTCAATCATACCTAAACCAAAAAAGAATTGCAAGTACAAGAGAGAGGAAGAAAAAGTCACTATATGAGGACCTGTAATAGAAGAGGCTAAAGAGAAGGGGCATGGGATGATATGCCCAGTTATGGTCTTCTGGTTAGAGTGCAGTTTAAAGGAGAAGGGGTAGAGGTAGGGGACCAAAGGTTGCAAGAGTGGCAGGGACGAGAAGCTATAACTAGACTTCTGGTTCTTGCATCGTCGACTAGTTGTAATGAAGAGCACATGATGGTTCTGAACTGAGAATAAGGTTGCAGGGGAAGATTGGTGAGGGAAAAGGATGAATCGATGGGCGATGACTTCACGAGCGTTGGTCGATTGTTGCAGAGCCGAGGAAGCGGATCAATCAGAGGTGGCAGTCTCTAGAGGCTGAGGTGGAATAGTCAAAGAAATCAATTTGATGGAAAAAGCTATAGTAAATTAGGGTTTGTTTGGTAATCTACGAGAAAGAAAGAAATTTTGATCCCATAGTGTTAATTTTACCTTATTCATACAACCCGACTTGTATGGTTGGGTTCAAATTGTGTTGATTTAACTGGGATATAAGGTTCACCAATTATATAGTGACATCAGAGTCGGAATGGCTAAGCAAAATCTTAAAATCCTATGCTTTTAAGATCAAAATCCTATGATTTTAAGATCAAAATCCCAATTTTGACTACATTGCCTGTAATTAGTATAAATAGGGGGTTTAAGCTAGAGGTTTTAAGGCAATCTTGCTCTCGAAGACAAAGCAAGCGCAATGAGTGTGGCACCGTTTCCACGATTTTTGCTTCGAGGTTTGAAAATAGAGGAGGAAATCACATATACCTTTTTGTTGGTTGCAACGGAACAGAGGCACAAGTCGGTTGTGAGAAACTGATGGAGGCGAGAGAATGAGCTAATTCATAGAGGAGAAGCTAGTTTGGAGAAGAGAAAGCAACAAAGGTGATTGTGAGAGATTAATAGAGGCGGTGTAAAAGCGGTGGGGGGTTCCCCCCTTTTCCCTCCTCGGTTGATAGGTTTGAATGGTATGATGTTAGAAGGTGGTTATGGAAGAGGAAATACGAGAGGGAGAGGGGAGAGAGAACATAAATAAAAGGGTTTAATATTTGTTACTTAGAGCGATGAAGCCTCTGAAAGTGCCCATAAAGGATGGCTTATATCCAATGTGCTAATAGCAGTGTTGGGAGATAATGGGTAAAGCGGTGGTAGATTTTGACTCAAGCCTATTTTCTAGAGCCATCTCGAGTTAAAGAGGTTAACGAGACAATCTTGGTGCTGATCCTTAAGATTAAAAGGCCGACTCGGATTGAGAAATTTTGATTCATAAAACTATGCAATGTGGCTTATAAATTGGTTTTGAAATGTATGCCAAAGAGGATTAAACCACTTATGCCGCACTTGGTGCATGGGACTCAGACAAGCTTTGTGCCCAGGCGGGCAAATCTCTGACAATATTCGTATTTTGCAGGGTGTGGTACATTCGATGTGAGCTAAGAAAGGGGAAAGTAGGCTGGATGGTGCTGAAAATTGATTTTGACAAGGCCTACGATAGACTAAAATGGGGCTTTGTCAGGGATACACTGATGGTTGTGACAACACTGCAAACTTCATTGATGTTACCATGAGATGCGCCTCGTTCGCTAGAATGCAGATTCAGTCAAACGATGGACTCTCGAAGACTTTCACACCATCATGGGGGCTCAGACAACGGTGCCCTCTATCACCATACTTATTCATGCACTGTATGGAGAGGAATTGGGATACCTGATCGATAAGGCGGTAACGGAAGTGGAGTGAAAGTCGATCTGTCTGTCGAGACAGGGCCTTGAGCTATCACACTCTTTTTTTGCTGAATCTTATCTTGTTCAGTGTGGCCTCGGCGGAGTAGGTGTAGGGGATCCTAAAATGCCGGGATGTCTTTGGATTAGCATCGGGCGAACAAGTTAGTTTGCCAAAATCGAGAGTATTCTTCTCGAAGAATGTGTGAGCTTTGGAGGCTTCTAATATGAGCAACACCCGAAGTATCTCAGAGAAGAAGAACTTGGTGAGGTATCTGAAAGTGCCAGTGATCCATGATAGAGTGTCAAAGGCAACTTATACTGAACTGGTGGACCTAGTAGGATGGTCGGCTGAGTCTATCTCTCTGGCTGCACGTATCACTCTAGCACAATCATTTCTTTCATGACTTATATCTTATAATATGCAAATGATATCTCTACCCGCCACGGTCCGAGAATATATAGATAAGAAGATCAAAGGGTTTGTATGGGGGAGCTCTAAGAGGCAAAAAGATTCATCTCATCGATTGGGACACTGTATGCAAGCTTAAGGAGAAAGGTGGGTTGGGGCTACGTATTGCAACTTGTATGAACGAGGCCTTCATTCTAAAGATTGTGTGGTGATTGATGAAAAAACCGAAGAGTCTTTGGGCGTGAGTGGTTAGAGGAATATACCTAAGACAAATGGTAGAGGGATGGAAGCCGAGGTGAATGACCGCATGTCAAATTTGTGGAAGGGGGGTTCTTCGGGTCTTGCACTACATACCAGACGGTACCCTGTGGAATATCAAGAGCGACATGAAAACGTTGTTCAGGAAAGATTGTTGGCTTCAAGACGGGCCGCCCCTAGAAAACTTCGTCGCTGACCTTCCGTAGGAAGCAACAAAGTTGACCATAACCGAACTTGTCTTGGACGATAGCTGGAACTTTGAGTATTTACCGGCGTTCCTTCTAGAAGCCTTGGTTTTACAGGAGAAACTTCACTCGATTCCACTTGAGAAGGAGCCTGATGTTTCGTTATGGTGCTTCTCTCCCTCATGAAAGTTTACCATCAAGATGTCTATGACCTTACAAGAGGCGTTGATGAAATAGGGCACTATCACCCTATTTGGAAGGAAATATGGCGGATACAAGGGCCTCTGCGAGCAAGGTCCTTTTTTGGCTGGTACTTCATAAGTGCTTGCTCACGAATGTAGAAAGATGTCGGCGCCACCTTGCATAATCAGATCATTTCCCCATATGCGGGGCGGTCCAGAAACAACGATAGATGTGGTAGAGATTGCCCATATGCCCGGGGAGTATGGTCAAAATTTCTGCAGGGAGAGTCGGATCAAACCTTCTTCACCATTGATGTGACGAGATGGGCGATGAGCTATTTGGCCGGTCGAAGTAAAGTGGTGGATCCCTAACTTTTTGCACTTATGTGCCGGAAGCTTTGGAAGAATCAAAATTTATGGGTCGTCAATGAAAAGCTAGTGACTGTGAATTAGTTGGCTGCCCAAGTTAAGAGGATGCGAGAGCAAGTGGTTTCAGCCTTCAGTGAAGCGCAACGAATCTCAGGCGGTGGAGTAGAAAGAAATGTTAGATTGATAAGCTGGCAGCTCCCGTCTGATGAGTGGACGTGTTCAAACATTGAAGGCTCGGTGATGATGGCTCAAGGGAGCACGTCGACAAGAGGGTTCTCCGAGGGAGTGATGGCAGGTTCCTCCGTGCCTACTCGATCAATCTCGTCAGAGAATCTATAATGCACGCTGAGCTGGCAAGGATAGCTCATGGGTTCTATATCGCTTGGGAAATGGGAGTTAGGAAGATGGTCCTACATACGGATTCCATTAGTGTTGTCAACTTGCTGAAGTCGGAGAGCTCCATGCATCCACATCACACACTCACAACCACCATTCGTAGATTGTTGGAGAAGGAATGAGAGGTTAATACAGAGCACGTGTTTCGCGAAGCCAATCATGTTGTGGACTATTTGGCTTCAGTTGGCCACTCATTGTCGGTAAGTGATAACACTAAATTTGCACATGTTTTTACCACTCATTCCTTGATTGTTTAGCTTGGTGTTTATCATACTTTGGCCTATTTTATGCTAGGTTGTGTTCCTTTGTCACATTTCGGGTCCCATCATGTAAAGTGAAGCATAGGTGCAAGTTTCAAGTCAATCGGAGATCAATTGGCAATTCGGGAGAAGAAACTCTGGCATGACCTGAAGAAGAATGGATTTCTACCTCATTTTATGGACAAATATTCATGTAAGATTGTCATGAAAAGAAAGAGGACGAGACTACGAGCGTCTGGGATCAAACGGCTACTGATTTAGAGTTCTGGACGAGGGAGAAACGAAGTATCGAATATAGTGGAACAAGTTCGAAGGAAGAAACATGGGCAGGGTCTCCTAAAGCACGACCGTGTTTCATCTGGCACCTGCCAGTGTTTTTTATGTCGAGCCTCTCTTGTGAAAACTGCTGAAGGGATGCAAAACACGGGCGGGACCAAACACGGCCGTGTTTCTTCCCCTGCTCTGGTATAAATCTGATTTCTGCAATTTTAGAGAGGGAGAGCTGGGTTTTGGTTCCCAACACCCAAGGGATGAACCCTAGAGAGAGAGAGCTACTTGGGAGCATTCTTGGAGCTATTTTGGAGGATTTCTTCACCATTGGAGCTCGGGAATCAAGCTTGGAGATGGAGATTGAAGATCTAGATCATATTTCTACAGTCTCTCTCTTCTCTATGGAGTAACTTCCCTTCACTTAGGTCTTGAGGAACCCTAGTTCCATGTGTTAGGATCTTTCTTATATGAAGTTTTGGATGCTATATTGTTTGATTATAATCGATTGAGGCATGATTTATTGAGTCAATTGAATCTTGATCAAATTCTCTTGATTTCTGCTTTAACCTATGATAGATAGAATCCAATTAGGTTGATAGAGCTTCTTCAATGAATAGGAGTGAATTGATTGTGCGAGAGTCAGACAATTCACTGCTTTGTACTGGAATTCATTCCACGTAGTGGAGATCTGTGTGAATCGCCTTAGCATTCTATCCTAGTGAAGGCTAGTCGTCTGCCGGATAATCTGTCTAAGAGGGTTTGGTCAGTTTAAGAGATTCCAAGCTAATTTAGGATCTTCTACAGTAGTAAAAAAAACCCGAAGGAAATTACAATTTGGACCTAATTGAGGAGCTAGGGGGAATCATACCTAAGTGAGTTCCCAACCTGTAATTAGTAGTTTTACCTAGTTTAGCTTGTAGAGTAGTTTAGTAAATCAAATCTTAATCTGGTTTGCTATATAATGAACTGAAGCTGAGTAATAGTAACTCTAGAGACCCATGGATTCGATATTTATTACTTGTGTCACTATACTGCAATCCCGTTCATTGGTTACACATGGCCATTGTTAGGAGTTGTGTCGTAGCATGTCAATAAGGGTTCACCTACTTACGAACCTGAGTCCCACTTTGTGTTATTGGTTGTCTTTCGACTCTATTGGGATACAAACCCCTCATCTAGTTAATGAATAAGGGTTAGAGCGCCCCATGCACTCTATTTTGCACCAAAAATTTCAGTTAATTCAATCTTATAATGTTGTTACGAAACGTCGCAAAATCAACAAAGTCGTCAGGCCAGTCAACGTGTAAGATAATTCAGTTAAAAATTTGGACAAAATTAGACATTTTGTGTGAAAGTGACTATTATTGCATCAAACAACCCTCACTCTCCTATAGAAAGCCTTCAATCTTTTCCCCTCCCCTCTAATTTTTAATAGACGATTTCTATCTCGTTTTAAGTTAATTTTTTTTTTGCACAAATAGATCAAATTAATTGTGCTCTTGAAAAATGATATCCACTTTGATATATTTTTGGAACAAAAAATATTGAGGTTTTTATCAGTCAATACCATATGGTATGGACTGGTATTCATACAATCATACTATATAGTATGTTCGCGTACCAAGAAACCAATCCACATACTAGGGTGGTATAGTATGGTCCCGTGTTTTTCTTACACCCAGAAATTTGTAGATCTCATATATCATGATGAACTCATTCCTTCTCTGCAAAAAATTTCGAAAATGACTTAAAAACGAAGGAGATATCATATGATATGGAGTTGATAACGAGAGGTATGGATTTTTCTCAAAAATATTGAAAATGAATATCATTTTGTAGAGCACAACGAACTTGTTCCATATGTGAAAAAAAATGAAATCAAAATTAAAACGAAAAAAATACTAAAAAATTAAAAATACTAAAAAATATATTTAATTCTCCACCTTTATATATGGATTTTCTGACATATTGCAAGGCACATAAGCAAGTAGCCGAGAAAACCAGCCACGGAGACCATCATATCATCCAACCAAGTTATTTCTATTTCTATTTCCATTTCTTTCATCCTTTGATGGGAAAATTAATTTTGGTGTCTTCTTCCTCCTAATGTTCAACTCAAAACACATTCAAAAGGAGTAGACTTGTCTTCCCGATTTTTCTGCTTCTCCTCCGCTGAGCTCAGTCGAAAAGATTACTGTGTTCCTCAGGTACAAGTACTTCACTTATGCCTTCCGAAGTTGTTCAATTTCCCTCCGATTTAAGTTTTATTTGTTTTGGGTGTCTGCTACTGGCGAAGAGATCACTGATTCCATCTGGCTCAGGCCTCTGTCCCTCCCGTGAAGATTGGATTGGAAGTGAAATTTAGGGTATTTGGAGAATTTTTTGTGTCACTTGAAATCATTGAATTGGGATTGTCGGGTTAGTTAGATTTACAGCTCAGCGAGGCTTGATCTGCTTCGCTCTGGTTGACCGATGTTTTTAGTTTGAATTTCGCCTTGTGATTTGTAGTTCAACCTGGCTAGGGAGCTGAATGAAGACGGTGGGATGTAAAAAATCTTTGACTTGAGTGAATGATCAGCTTGTTTTTCTCTAATTCGTTGTGATCAGCTTTTGCTTTCTTGGGGTCTTTTTCCCAAGGAAGTTGAATAATTTCCATCCTGAGTTTAACTTGGTCTGTGCATTTTGTCAAGTCAAATTGATGTCATAGTCATAGCCATGGAGGAGTGAGCTCGCAGCTCTACTCTGTAGTCAAATTTCGTTCCTATCAGCTTAACAGGAGACTTACGAGCAGAGGCTTATTTTTCTGTTACAGTAGAGATGTCATCTTGCGTGGGAAGTTTCTGCTCATCCACGGATCTGCTTTTGTACTGATATGGCATTCCTCAAAGTCTCACGTTGCTGGTTTGCTTAACCTTGATGGAAAGGAATCTGGGCAAGGCTGTGATGGATCAAAAGAACTACGAGCAAGCTCGATATAGTAATGACGAGACTAGAAATGAGGGACCTAGTTCCACCAGCCAAAGGTTTTTGCATGACCCATCGACCAACATTAACACTAACTTGCGCCCTCCTGATTATAATGTGTCAATAAGAGCCAGACCTGTACTGAATTACTCCATCCAGACGGGTGAGGAGTTTGCCCTGGAATTTATGCGGGAGAGGGTGAATCCCCAGCAGCACTTCCTTCCAAATTCAAATGGAGATCCTAGTGGCGGATCTGGCTACATGGATTTGAAGGGTATGCTTGGAATGTCTAATGCGGGGTCAGAAATTGGGTCAGATATCGCAATGATCAACAGTGTGGAAAAAGGGCGCACCCAGGACTTCGAAAGGAAGGTTGTTCCCCCACAGGAGCACGATTCCGTGCGATCAGTGCCAAGAACCTCATCAAGAAATGACACTAGGCGAGAAAATCAGGGTTATACTTCGTCAAGGCCATCAGATAGTTCATCTGTTAAGGTGAAGTTTCTCTGCAGCTTCGGTGGTACCATCTTGCCCCGCCCAAGTGATGGAAAGCTTAGATATGTTGGAGGTGAAACACGCATAATACGGATAAGCAAGGATATTTCTTGGCAAGAGCTAGTGCGGAAGACTTTGGCCATTTGCAACCAACCTCACACGATAAAGTACCAGCTTCCAGGTGAAGATCTTGATGCACTGGTTTCAGTGTCATGTGATGAGGATCTTCAGAACATGATGGAGGAATTTAGTGTACTAGATGACGGAGGTTCACAGAAACCCAGGATGTTTATATTTTCCAGCAATGACCTGGAGGATGGAACATGTGGACTGGGAAGTGTGGACTGTGATTCTGAGATACAATATGTTGTTGCTGTGAACGGTATGGATTTTGGTTCAAGGAAAAGCTCCATCAATTTAGCGAGTGCATCTGGAAACAACTTGGATGAGTTGCTTAGTCTCAATATTGAAAGGGAGAATAGTCGAGTTGCAGCCGAAACATCCATTGCTACCATATTGCCTTCGGCAGTTACACAGACTCCTTCGACTATTCAATCTTCTCAACCGGGGACTTTAACTTCATCCATTCCTTCTTCACAACCTTATCAGGGACTTAATACGCGTCATTTGGATGCCGGCCAGTACCCAATAAATTCAACTCGACCTGCGGGGAGCTTGCAACAACTGGATGGAAAGGGTTCTAACACCTCTAATGCAAAGAAATATGCTATTGTTACCGACCCTTCTGGCTATGGAACATCTGGAGAGACTTTGATGCCTGCGCCTCTCCTTGGGCATCCTTCTCAAAAAGGTGGTTTGGCTGAGGAGACGATACAGGGTGGCGCTCGTGTGCAAAATGCAGAAGCATCTATCAAGGATAGCAAACTGAGAAGAGATAGCTCTAGCCAGAAGATACACGAGTTAGATAAAATACAAAATATGGATAAAGATGCACCAAAGGAGCTGAAGATGAAACGTGATGGCTCACTCCATAAGGTAAATGAAGCTGTGTCTATACCAAATAATGTTCAGAAAGAGGAAGCTGCAGTCTCCAATCCTACAACAGATGTAGGTTTGCTTGTCTTACCTACAAAAAGTAATTCAAGACCTCAGGAAGGTGTACTAAATCCTAAGAATTTGGTTGAAGGAAAGAAGAATGCAGGGGATGATCGATTTTCATCTGGTGGTTCCTTTGCCCCTCAGTCTGAGGCTGATCTGACAGACTTTAGCTACCCTGAACAGCCTGTGGTTCCTCAACCAGTCTTTCACTCAGAGCGATTTCCCAGAGAGCAGGCAGAATTACATCGCCTGTCAAAATCTGAAGATTCATTTGATCCACAGGTTCTAATGAATCAGGCACGTTCTGGTGTTTCTCAACTAGTCAATGAATCAATTGATAAGTTACATGATTCACCAGCAAATCTCCTGCCTGAACAGTCCCTCCCATCTGCAAAAGGGCATCACGTAAATCCTCAGACCATTGAGGATGGATTGGCTCGGTTTGAGAAGTACAAGGAATTGGCTGATAATATGAGTAAACCCAGTTCTCATGTTCCCCAAGTGAAGGAGTCAAAGTTGCAGAAGTCTGACTCTAGGCATGTGTTGTTTAATAGCACTGACAATTCAGAAACTGCACAGACGAAAGCCAAAAAGGAAGGTTCGGGATTGATGCATTCAGCCGCTAGTGAGATTCCAGGACCTTCCAGCAAGCACCTGGAGAGTTCTGCTATAAGGTCATCAGAATTTGATCAGTCTGAGATAGCCGGAAATAAGAATATTGGCAGCAGTGCCAAGGGACACATGCAGCTGCCCAAACAACAGATAGAGAACCCAGGGGGAGCTGTTTCTATTGTGAAGTCTGCTATCATTGGTACTCCTGAGCAGATAACTATTGATATCAATGAGCGTTTTTCTCGTGATTTTTTATCTGATATATTTTCACAAGCCAAGATCCATGAAAACAGCTCTACCATTGGCCCAATGCATGTTGATGGAGCTGGGTTGAGTTTGAACATGGAGAATCTTGACCCAAAACGATGGTCATACTTTCGCAACTTGGCGCAGAATCAATTTGTGAGGAAGGATGTATCGCTTATGGATCAAGATCATCCTGGCTTTCCCCCCTCTATGACAACTGTTGAAGGGAGCACGCCTCTTGATTACAGCTATCCACCTTTTAAATCTGATGGCATTTCCGTGTCGAAAACGGACTCACCCATTAACTTTGATGAAGACATTCAACAACAGAGATCCGGTGTGGCTGGGACTCAAACACTGGACTACAGCCATTCTCAGCTGAAAGGCCAGGAGAGCGTACAGTTGGATGGAATCAACTCGAGGATTCCAGAATCTGAATATGAGGTACTCTTTCTGTTGCATAGCATGTCATAATCTGCATATCATTGATCATAATGCTAATATGTGCATATCTGTTCAAATATACTGTCGCTGTCAGGATGGAAAGTCAGATGTTAATAATACTGCTGGACTACTTCTTGATATTTCTCTTGGAGATTTTGACATCAGTACGCTACAGGTGAATATGGGCAGTTTCTGACAATACTTTTTTATTACAGTAACTGAACATCAGTGAAAATATTCCTTTCATTTAGTTTAGGTTGCTTGTATGGAATTTAGTTGTACTTCACATACAAGGAAACTTCGTTTACATGTTGTCCTGCCAAGCAGCTGGGCTTGCTTGTAGTCACACAGCCGTAGTACCCTCTTCTTCGTTGTCATGCCCTCCATCTAGTATTGTATTTCCGATCCCCTGTCTATACACTTGCTCTAAATGATAGCATTCAGAGCCTGTAAACTCTCTTGACTTTTAGTTTACCCTTTGCAACACATATTCGACAAAGAACACTTATGCAGTAACCACTATATTGCTTCAGAAGTTTGTTTGAATTATTCTATTATTAATATGTATTATATTTTACACGCATAAACGGTTCTGTAAACGATTACTCAATGGTTCAATAACTATTAACTTTGGAACCTTGAACCTCTAGCTTTTCTGATTCGATATCCGGTTCGGTTTTGAAAACAGAGCAATTTATATGGCCTAAGTTGGTTCTTTTTATCTGAAACTTTTACTTAAGTTACAGCTACCACTCGCCAGCGCAACAAACACAATTTTGAAAAATCACGCTACTTTAGCTGATGCCACTGCAATTTTGTAGCATGAAGCTTCTATGCATTCGTTCCTTTCTTGGGTTGCTTTTCTTTCTGACCGATCATTTTAACTTTCCTAAATTTTGACAATTGTTCTTATTTCAGATAATTAAAAATGAAGATCTAGAAGAGTTGAGGGAATTGGGTTCAGGAACTTTTGGGACAGTCTATCATGGAAAGTGGAGGGGATCAGATGTTGCCATTAAGCGAATAAAAAAGAGCTGTTTCACTGGCAGGTCATCAGAGCAAGAAAGGCTGGTAAGCCACTATAGTTGCTTGGATAGTGGAGTTGCTTTAAAGGTGTTATCTGACAAAGTTATAGCTCCTTATCCTACCATGCTGTTTAGCTTCCATTGACTGACTTGATATCTGATTGTGGGCTGCATGGTTTCTTGTGTTCCGGCTTCATTTTTCAGTTTGATCATCAAACAATAATCTATGTGGGTAATATTAAGCAAGTATACTAACCACTGACATTACATGCTCTTGGACACAAATGATGAAATGATTTAGTGGTAATCCCGTAATCATAGGTGCTGATATGTGTTGTCCATTCAATCTCATGATTGTGTCTTGTATTTCAGACAATAGAGTTCTGGCGAGAAGCAGATATTCTGTCAAAACTTCATCACCCCAATGTCGTGGCATTTTATGGGGTGGTGCAGGATGGACCAGGTGGAACAATGGCCACTGTGACAGAGTACATGGTGAATGGCTCTCTTAGACACGTTCTGCTGAGCAAGGAGAGGTAGTATTAGTGCCTAGTTTCTGCATATCACTTGTGTTTGTAGTCTTGGATGACTCGCTCTGATAGGTATGCAAAATTTATTGATATTTAGGCATCTTGATCGTCGTAAGAGGCTCATTATCGCTATGGATGCTGCATTTGGAATGGAATACCTGCATTCAAAGAACATCGTGCACTTTGATTTGAAATGTGATAACTTGCTTGTCAACTTGAAAGATCCCCTGAGACCCATTTGCAAGGTAAATTCTAATTTCTGGGAATTGGTAGTTCTGGAACCAGCTTTTGAGAGCAAGGCTTCCTATTTAATAAAGGATGCATTTCCCCCCTCGTTCCTGGTTTCGGTGATTTGTACTGAACTTCATCACCTGTTTATGTTTTTGCAGGTAGGTGACTTTGGTTTGTCGAAAATCAAAAGGAACACCTTAGTTACTGGTGGTGTGAGGGGAACACTCCCGTGGATGGCCCCAGAACTGCTGAATGGGAGCAGCAGTAAAGTTTCTGAAAAGGTACTACTCTTTGACCATCCAATGCCATACCAAAGTAATAAAATCCCACCTCTCATTCATATGCAATCTCTTAGTTCATGCCTGGCTCCATGCAAACAGAATTTATCAGACAGCTTTTGTCCTGGCACTTTGTCAAGTGACCATAACTTGTTTAATTATATGATTGTTATAGACTGTCGACATTTTTGTCTTCCAAATTTCTGGCGCTGTATTGATTCTTTGTATGCTGGCAGGTTGATGTATTTTCCTTTGGTATTGTGCTGTGGGAAATTCTTACCGGCGAGGAACCTTATGCCAATATGCATTATGGAGCAATTATAGGTGTGTGTGTGAACAACTTTATTTTCTATATCGTATCAACCCATCCAGTTATAACTGGCGATGCCACTACACGGTTCTCCTGTGAGCCAAATATGTCTTACCTTATTAAAGCTTTGTGCTCCTCCCCGTTTTCTCTTGCAGGAGGCATTGTCAATAACACACTGAGGCCTCCCGTACCAGGCTTCTGCGACCCAGAATGGAAGTTGCTAATGGAGCAATGCTGGGCACCTGATCCTTTGGCACGCCCAGCGTTCACAGAAATTGCCAGACGATTGCGTGTTATGTCTGCCGTAGCATCTCAAACCAGACAACAGAATCATCAGCCTCAGAACCAGGCACATAAGTAGGGGGCTGTGCCTGCCCTCCCCTTGGTGGTGGGTCTATTGTCATCTTTGTGATGGTAAAAGAAAGAGTTGGTTCACTTGTTTCGCCATCTTGTGTCTATAGTATGAGCCAGGATCGATAAGGGGCGCCCTTGCCCGCCAATTGTAAGGGTTGAAAAAAGAAAGGAGAGATATATAAGAGATTGGTATATGTGTGCAGAGAACTACTATTTTTTTCTTGTCGATAGGTAATACTGAACTGCCTAAACAGTTGGAATTGGTTTGTACAGCAGGGGAGAATTCTGGGACCTCGTTTGTTCATAGGGGGGGGGGGGGGGGGGGGGGGGGGGGGGGGGTGGGTCTTTTAAATGTAATTTTTTTGTTGGTGTGAGTGTGTGATCATAAAGTTTATAAACACGTCTTCTGTCATTCTCAAAGCTTATTATTTTTCAATTTTCAGTTGAGTTCATACAGTTGATGTACTCAATGATCATACTCTTTTTTTTTTTTTTTGGGTAGAAAATGATCATACGTTTATTTGGCTTCAATGGATCAGTTAGTGAGCTTTAATACATAGCAAACACTCATTTATTAGGATCTCAACTCGGACCTTTCGGTGGATTTAACTTCTGACTAAGCCAGCTAGTAAAGCTATCAAAGGAATTGATGTTTAGAATCTCGTCGTTGTGCGATTAGTCAAGCTATATCTCTAACTCATTTGTTATTGAGCTCTTAGATTTCTAAGATGCTTTTCGTTGGTGTTTGTTTCTTTGTTTTAGTTTTATTATTAGTTTGTGGTGATGAGCAGGTGGACATTCCGATGGTTTGTCGGTTTTTATGATTATATTTTTTATGATTATATTGATGATGCTTTAATCATTCAGCTTCTAGCACTTGGTGATGCTCTGAGATGCTGCCTCTCTCATCCAATAATTAATGTTTTATTATGTGGTAACTCGCAAGTGATCATCTGCATGGTTAACTTGAAGGATTCAGAGCATGCGTTGGGTGGAAGCCTCCTTTTTGGTGTCCAGGTTTTACTTTCTGGGATACCTCTTGTTGGGCCCACAGTTGAGCGGTACTGGATCCTAGGCCCGTAAGAATAGTAAGTGAGACCCAATTGGGGACCCAGTGGGACAGCGCCCACGGGAAAAGGCACACCAGGCAGTCGCTAGTGATGTGACAGTGTAGGCCGCCTGACATAAAGCGATAATTGTGACAGAGGAAGGGGATCTCCTAAAGATACTCACCTCGAAGCAAGCAGGACTGAACAACGCCTACGATGCGCATTTAATGACTTAAGCTCTACTGAGCTGAGGATACCTTCATACCAGCATTGATGGTAACTCAACTACTTCCTCTCTCAGTAAATACAAACATGCATTCTCACTTCTCTCTCTAACTTAAACATCGGAGAGTATCCTAGGCAACCGCCCACGGACCCTTGTTTTGCAGGGGTCAGGAGTGCACCCAACATCCAGAACAGGCCATATGTAGATAAGCTTTGATCTACCAGACATACGTAGACCTCCTTTGATCCGCCAAACTTACATGGATTTCTACGGGATCTACCAAACATATGCAAATCTCAAATCCTAAGGAAAATGAAGGTCCACCAAACTGATTTCCATCGCCAGACACCTAACCAGACTCTCATACCACTTGTCGAAATTGGGCAGCTCCATTATAGGATATTTTCCGCTCTATGCCAACCATGCACGATTTTACTTTTTGGGTATCCTTTCTATAAGGTCTCATACTAATGAGCTTGGTGGACACTAATATACAAGGTCTTTTTCCTTGTATTTCTAATGTGGTACTTGGATTGTCCCATAATAAATCCTTCCATCAAGACAAGGACCACGAATTCGTGTCCTCCCTTAACGATTATCTTGATCCGCCAAGCCAAATGTAAATCAACTTTGATCTACCAGACAGATGCAGACCTCACTTGATTCAAATCCTGAGGTCACAGAATGAGGGTCCACCAAACTAACATCCACCGCCCTGCACCAAACCAGACTCTGATACCACTTGTCGAAGTTGGACAACTTCATTAGGACAAAATTTTCCGCTTTGGGCTAAGACATCATGGTTTTACTTTTGGGTGTCCTCCCAAAAGTCCTCGTACTAATGATCTTGGTGGACACTAATATACAAGGCTACTTTTGGGTATCCTCTCCAAAAGGCCCCGTACTAATGAGATTGGTGGACACTTATATACAAGGGTCCCTTCCCTTGTATTACCGATGTAGTATTTGGATTGTCCCATAACAATCCTCCCCTCAAGACAAGGACCACGTACTTCGTGTCATCCCCTCAACGATTATCTTGATTCGCCAGACCATATGTAAATCACCTTTGATCTACCAGACATACGCAGACCTCCTTTGATCCGCCAAACATACGTGGATTTCTACTGGATCTACCAAACAGACGTAGATCTCAAATCCTAAGTTTACAAAATGTGGGTCCACCAAACTGACATCCACCGCCAGACACCTAACCAGGCTCTGATACCACTTGTCAAAATTGGGTAGCTCCAGTAATACAATATTGTCCGCTTTGTGCCAAACACGCACGGTTTTACTTTTTGGGTATCTTTCCCAAAAGGCCTCGTACTAATGAGCTTGGTGGACACTAATATACAAGGGTCATTTCCCTTGTATTTATGATGTAGTACTTGGATTGTCCCATAACAATCCTCCCTTCAAGACAAGGACCACGAATTTTGTGTCCTCCCTTAGCAGTTATCTTTATCCGCCAAGCCAGATGTAAATCACCTTTGATTTACTAGACAAACACATACCATTTGATCCACCAAACATATGTGGATCTCTCATGGATCCACCAAACAGAAACATATCTCAAATTCGAAGGTCACAGAATGAGGGTCCACCAAACTAACACCCACCGCCCCTCACCAAACCAGACTATGGTACCACTTGTCAAAGTTGGGATGCTCCATTAGGACGAAATTGTCCGCTTTGGGCCAAGCCACCTCAATTTTAATTTTGGGTGTCCTTCCCAAAAGACCTCGTACTAATGCTATTCGTGGACACTAATATACAAGGCTACTTTCCCTTGTATTTCAGATGTGGTACTTGGATTGTTCCATAATACTTTCTCAAGGAAGCTAGGATGCAATGACAAGTAATTCCATAGTCGCAGTCAGGTATGAACCTATAATTCACTAACCGATCACATAAAGCTCTTTGCTTATAGTAGTATTGGGATATGGACATTATACCTTGCTTAATCTAGAAGATAGAGTCGTGAAGATCAACGATGCAAAAGGAGTCGCCTTGAGAGAATTGCTCTCTCAACTGTCTAAGCACCGATTGTAGTGTAGAAGTAAAGAATGCTCTCAACAATTGTAGAATTGACAGAATGTTGGATCCATCTTAATAGAAGTTTGTTGTTGCGGCTCTATTTTCCGACGAGGAAAATCTGGTGTTTGATATTAATGCTTTGCACCTTTGAATTCTTGAACAACGATTCTAAACACGGTTCACTCCTCTCCAAACAATGTTTGAACGAGGGTGTTTGATATTTTTAATGGTTCGGTTGAGGTTGAAGCTCTTCGCCTTGCTCCAAGAAGAAGTCTTGACCTCTCCGGTTTGACCCCTGTGCTACCAAGCTAGTCATGTCGGCCCCTGCTACCAAGCCAGCTCTGCCGGCTTGGTCTCCATACTTAGTTTTTGGAATCACATCAAGTTGTTACCTTGCCGCCATGTAGGCTTGGTACCCGTTAGGGGCCACCAAGTCTGTCTCAGGACTTAGTCTCCATATGGACCCCTAAGGGGCTCTACACCAAGTCATTATCAAATTGACAACATCTTAGCTCAGCCTCGGTATCCTAGTCGACCAGCGCCCACGCCTATGGATGGTCTATGGCGACCTGGTACCCAATCAGGTTGCCATCTCATCTGGCCACCTTGTCACCTCATAGGGTTGGCACCCTTCCAGTTTGATCACCATACTTAATTTTTGGGAGATTTAGCAACTCGATACCTAGCATGTCTTGTCGACTTGGTATCCCTTTGCTTGGCTACCCAACTTGTTTTACCAACTTGGTAACTAGACAAGTCTGCCTTGTTTGCTTGGTACCCTGTTGACTCCAGATTTAACCGAATTTCACATCTTGGTATTAAGCCTGCCTTGTCGACTTGGTACCCCCCTTGGTGTCTTGGTACCACGCTTCCCTTGTCAGCTTGGTACCCTGTTGGCTCCATAATTAGCTAATTTTAATATTCTGGTACCAGGCCTGCCTTGCCGGCTTGGAACCCCCTTGTGTCTTGGTACAAGGTCTGCCTGGACGGCTTGGTACCATGTTGAATCTGTACTTAGCCAATTTTCATGTATTGGTACCAAGTCTGCCTTACCAGTTTGGTACCCTGTTGGCTCCAATGGACTATGGGGGCGGCCGGCCACTAGGCCCGAAATAGTGAGGTTGGCCACTAACGCTCAAAAATCCAACCCAATAAGGCTCATCTAGCTCATTTAATTACTAATGTAGTTGGCCTTGTAAATCCATTGAATCTTTGATAATTAATCGATGTGGTACAAGCTAATTTTTTTAATGGGTAAACAAATGGCCCCAACAACTCGACCATCTAAGAGATTAATTTGATTTCGTCATTACCAAAGCCAAACTCATGCTTTAAACACCAAGTCAACACTGACATATACCACTCATAAGCCATTTTCAAGGTAGACTAACTTAATTAGCGAAATTTCATTATTTTGTAGCCTTGACAAAGGAAAGCATTTGGGGAACAAAGTGGTTCGCCTTGTAAATAATCTATGGCCAAACCATGAATTGTTTCTCTTGGAGGATTTCATTCCAAACCTTTTCTTTTACACGCCCTGCCACAGTCCCACAAATAAATTGTGCCTCTTTCCGAGGCCGCCAAGCCAAACCAAATAAACCTTCTCAACCTTTCTTCCTACCCGGCTTACAAAGTCGCAAGTTAGAGGAACTCTAGTGATTGTTTAGGTACCAGTAGGCCAGGATGCTAAAATTTATGATTTGTCCCCTTTTTTTTAATGTCCCAGCTCACTGTTGAATGGAGAAAACATGAGGAAGTTTTTTATTTCCTTCTCCTATTAGGCTCCTTTTGTGTATAAAGCTTGGGCGGGCGTGATACTGGCCTAATCAACGAAAACAAAACTCTTGATCGATTTTTCAAGTTATAAATCTAGGCAAATGATTAGGGCTAGTAATCCTAAGCTGCTAAACCTCCGTACTCGGCCCGCAAACCAACTAACACAATCTTGTGTCCCCTTGTCATCACCCGAATCATGATCGCCCCTTTTTCCAGTAGCCAACAGGATGAGAGGCTGAAAATTATGAATCATCCCCCCCCCCCCCCCCCCCCAAATCTGACTTGACCAGGCAGGCAAGCACCACACTTGGTTGGGACAAGGACTTATATCATTAACTTATTTGGCCAGCTTGAATGTGGCCAATCCACCAGTTATTCCATTGCTAGCTCATTAGCGAGGCTTAAGAGAACATGGCTCTTAGTCTCCTTGTCTTTCCTTTTCCGACTCAAACTCTACCTCATGGCAAGTACGAGATACAAATTCAAGGCATGTTGACTTCACGATCTCTACTGCCAACGCCTTATTTGCCAATTGAGATACTCATTCATGTCCTAGTTAGCTATGAAAACCATGCCCATAAGACATCAAGATGATATTGTGACTAGCTGAAGGCGAGGAAGGGTTGCCATGCTGACCATCATGGTGGTCGGTTAACCTTGAACTATTTGACACCTCATGTCCGAAAGGGAGGAGGCACATGGCTCGAGATTCTATGCATTATAACATCCACCTCGATCTTTCTACATTTAGGCCCAATTGGAGTGGGTGTCATGGATGGTAAACAATCCATGTCAGACACCCAGTCAGCTACTCATGCCATGAAAGTGGTATGGTATACCCACCAATCAACCGAGCATAAGGGCCTCCATAGACCCAGCCACATGCCTTGTTACTTGCCATTCATGGTAAGATCCTCACATCGCAAGTGTCACAAGTCTAATGTTGAGTTGGCCTTATAAATCCATTGAATTTATGATAATTGAACGATGTTGTACAAGCTGATTTTTTATGGTTAAACAAACTCCAAGGCTCAAACAGAGGAGAATCATCTTATGGTTGATAAATTTTCCCATTTAAGAAATCGAGTTTGTTCTTGCCATCCATACCGAGCACTATGGAGCGCTCCCAATTGGAGAAATTTCCTTCATCCGGGGGTTGAAAAACAAGACATTGCTCCCAATTCTCAGAAGGATGTATGAAGAATGGACTCACGGGATCCGAAATTGAAACGTGGTGGTAAAGAATCACATCATTGGAGAAGAAGAAGAAGAAGAAGAAGAAGAAGAAGAAGAAGAAGAAGAAGAGTGTACCTCCATAGAAGGACGGAGAAAAACTGGAGAAGAAGAAGTAAAACGAGAGACAAGAGGAAGAAAGAGAGCAGAGGGTTAGAAGAGCTATAATACCATGCTAGAAGACTGAATGATTAATAATTAGAAGAATAATTATTTAGCTTTTGAATTTTGGATTCTCAAACATTGATGCGGTTTCTAACTTTGTATAATGTTGGGTCTGACTGGTGTACTAGACCATGAATTAAACCAAGTTTGGGGTATGATACTATACCCTAACCTCTAATGGATTAACCCCATGCCCAGATTGTTACACCCCGGCGTTTGAGTGCAGGTTCGACCATATTAAATGAACGGTTGAATTGACGGTTATGTCCTGCAACTTTTAATTAGGTATAATAATAATAAAAAAAATTATTATATAAAACAAGGAAAAAAGGAAGGGATTAAATCACATGATATATTAAATCATTAATGCACATTATATAATAAAACACATTTTTTTCTCAAAACTTCACTCGTGCTTGATTCAATCAAACTACAATGATATTTTGTAGATTTTACTTGATTTATAACATAAAAATCAATTACTTTAAAATATAATAACTATCAATAAAATATTTTATATTCATTGGTGTTAGATTATACAATAAACTACGTTTAATAGCTATCAATTTTATTGATTGTATCATTGATATTCAATTAGTTTTATGAAAACTTTTATGAATCATATTATCTAATTATTTAAAAATAATTTGACCTGCCAAAACCGCCAAATCCATCCACCATCCGCCGTCACCCACCCACCATAACAATGAGTGGGTGGATTTTGCCCAAATACTCACCCAAACCACCCATTGCACATCCCTACCAACGTCCCTCCCTCTCACTCTCTCTCTCTCTCTCTCTCTTCCTCTCATCTCCCCAGACCCCAAAGAACAAGGATTTTTTCCCAACTACAATTGTTTAAAAACATTACAAAACTACCACCCGACCCAACAAAATCCCAAAAGTACCACCATTAATCGAAAACCGCACCTCGAAGGGGCGGTTCTCCTTCAAACCGTGTGAGCAACGGGCAGTTCTTCATATGGCAGCTGGAAAAACGCTCCTCCACATGGAGGTCCACGCAACCGTGCGATTGGGAGGCGAGCCGACGGCTAACCGCCTACCACCGAAGCGATCCGCGTCTCAGCCTTGTAACCATTCCCCGAGGGCGCGGTTTAGGCTTCGGGCAGAGGAATGACCTTAACCGCCTTCGACCGCCTTGGTGTAAACGAACATCTCCGCTTGTTTAATATTATTGGTGGTCAAAAATTGGACCATGGCTTCAACGTCCTCCTGAGTGGTAATGAGGAATTCCTCATTCCACAACGACCTGCCATGTCTTTTCGGATATCGATACGAGCACTTCTACTATGCTATATAGCATTGGTGCTTTAATGTACAACTTGAAGTTGTACCATAACATTAAATGTATAAGTTTAGGTTGTACCATAAAGGAATTTGTATCATTATGTTATGGTACAACTTTACAACTTGAAGTTGTACCATCACATAAGGTACAAGTTTAAGTTGTACCATAAAAGAATTTGTACAAAAGGTATAGGTACAATCTGAAGTTGTACCATAACGTTAAAGGTACAATTTCAAGTTGTACCATAAAGGCAAAAACCTATAGCACCAATTGTATATAGCATTGTAAAATTCCTCATATCGATACACCATACGATCAACTCTTCTCGTGTCATCCATGCAGGTAACCTCAGTACAAATTTGATGGAGCTCTTCAAGCATCAATCTCGTAGCGATCTTCATTTTATAAAAATTGTCACCGGCGTAACGTACCCTCTTTCCGATCTCTTCCGTGTAACCATTCCACCGTAACCCAAGTGTGAAATTTTGTAATGTCATCTGCAATAAAACTGTAATTAAGTTATTACCATAAAAATCACAAATCACAATGAAAAATAATACAAAACAAACTTACGAATTAACGTTAATCGCAAAAACTAAAAAAATGAAAGGTGCACCACTGAAGAAGAATAAGAAGGAGGAGGAGGAGGAGGAGAGTAGTGATAATTTGATTTTTCTGGGGTTGTCTTTTATAGGCAAAATTTACACTGAAAACCGCAGGGGGAGCGATTTTAGTCTAGCATCCAGCCCCCACCCCTGCAACCTCCTACATGCCAACATGTCGGATGTCGAGGGAATGGGTCGAGGCACAAACCGCTGGGGGGTGCGGTTTGTGCATCGACCAAATAAACTGCTTGCTTCAGGGGTGGTTTCTGTTGCCAACGTAGAACCGCACCCCGAGCATGCGGTTTGTGCTAGGGCAGCCATGGGAACCGCTTCTTCCAAGAGCGTTTTTCCAAAAAAAATCAAACCGCTACTCCAACATGTGGTTCCATAAGAAACCGCCCAATTGCAGTGCGGTTTTCACTATAACCACCCCTCCGTGGTGCGGTTTTTAATTAAGGGTGGTAGATTTGGATTTTTTTTGGTTTGGGTGATAAGTTTGTAAAAAATTTTAAACAGTGGTAGTTTTGGATTTTTTCCGAAGAACCATCCCCAAACCCCTAGCGGCAGCCAAGTTAGCGGCGATGCGGAGACGAGGTCATTTTTTGCTACTAATTTGGGTCGGCCTTTGCGTGGCGGAGCTCTCGTGTGCGACTTGCCTTGCAAGAGCACGAACCGGAGGTAAGCAAATTACCTTGGTCCGGTTAATTCTAGAAGTTTATTGGTATGTTGTTTCCTTTCAAGTGGATTTTGGCTACTTAATTTTGAGAAAAAGCTCTGAAACTCGGTATGCAATTCAAGGATGTTATGCTCAATACATTGATCGACGGGCTATGTAAAGTTGGAAAAGTAATCGAGGATGCAAGGTTTTCGGTTATGGATTCAATACAAGAGTATGGCTAGCGAGGTAATTTGAGGGATGATGGATTTCTTCAAGTAAGGAATCGAGGAGTCGTCTTTTCGAGGTGAGTGTAAAGGGGATAATATCTCAGTCGTAGGTCTTTTAGTTTATGCATTTACTTTAAGTAATGTTAGTTAATTTTTGAGTTATGCGCGATTATGTGTGTGAGGCATCCCACCGCCTACTTAAGGTGGAGGCACGCATTGTGCTATGTAATTGAATGTAAGGTTAATGGTAAGATGAACCCCCAGGCTGTTGGGCCACTACTGGACGCGGTAGATGGTCGGATCACTGTTGGACGGCGATATGAAACGCAACAGTTGATCGAGGATATTGAGTCCCTACTGGACAGCGATACGTAACGCAATAGTTGACCGGACATGGACTGGAACGCAGTACCATTGCCTTGATTATAGGGACATTGTTACGAGATCGGGCCATCGTAGCATTTCATAGAGGATTGGGCTTGCATATACTTAGTATTTAATTATTAGTTCGTATTTGGATATTATTGGGTCTAATTTATTATTGTCTTAATTAATGTTTTCCTTGTTCATGTTGGTTTGGGTTATTGTTAGTCGTGTCCTTAGCGGAGTAGGATTGAAATTCTAGATGGGAAAATGGTAGAGGCTTATATGCCTATAAATATGTACTTGTTTCGTTCATTTAATGATAAGAAGATTGGAACCCAAATATTCAGCTTTCGTTCTTTATTTGCTATTTCCTTAGTTATTTCCTTTGAGAGTTCTTTGCGTTTTATTTCTTTTACGAGAAAACACTAAAAACCTCATCCCCCTACGTCAAATCACCGTAACAGTTGGTATCCAGAGCTCTGTTCTTGGGATGGCGAGTAAGCAACCACAGCCAACGAAGTCCAGGGTTACGATCAACAGTTGGGTCACTATGTGGAACCAATCTGTGGAGAAGTATTGCACTATCCGCATCGACTCCATGAGGTTGCCAACTGCCGAGCTGGAAACCGTTGCTCCGCCCATGTCCGTCGTCGCCACCGAGCAAACCGTGGCTTCAGCTTCGTCATACATAAAGTCACCACCCATTGAGAAGCCGCCAACTTCAACCACCGACTCGATAATCATAGCAGCCGATCCGTCAAAGGAGGAGCTAACTTCCGAGGTTATAACTCCATCCATCATACCTGCCTCATCATCAACCCCAAGGATAGAATCGAGCTCATCATGGCTCGCATACAGGGCCTACGAGGAAACCCTTCCTGGACACGTCAATGGCTACCCTAGTTATTGGGGGCCGTCACATCCACCGTTGAGGGCGACGGAAGTGGCACGGGGAAACCTTGCCATTGAAGAAGGCGGGGAACGAGGGGACCAGCTAGGGTTTGACGTCGGTGACAAATCAACCGCTAATAGAGGAGGCCACGTGCCAAATCACTTCATCAAAAAAATAATTGGTTTGGTGGAGACCAATGAAGACTAAGTAGCTACTTCATCGATGAAGTCTCGTCTGCCACTATCCTTGCTGCTGCAAATACAGTTGCTGGTACTTGTCTGTTTCAGCTTCCGATTCAACTGAACTAGAAATACCGAAAGATGTTGATACTCGGTGGCGCCATCGGTTAGCTCCCTGAGATCGCGCCATCGTTGCATTTCGTAGAGGACTGGGCTTGCGTATCCTTATTATTTAATTATTAGTTCGTATTTGGATATTATTGGGTCTTGTTTATTATTGTCTTTATTAATGTTTTCCTTGTTCATGTTGGTTTGGGCTATTGTTAGTCGTGTCCTTAGCGAAATAGGATTCATATTCTAGATGGGAAAAGGGTAGAGGCTTCAATGCCTATAAATATGTACTCGTTTCGTTCGTTTAATGATAAGAAGATTGCAACCCAAATATTTAGCTTTCGTTCTTTATTTTCTATTTCCTTAGTTATTTTCTTTGAGGGTTCTTTGCGTTTTATTCATTTTACGAGAAAACCCTAAAAATGCCATCCCCCTATGTCGCATCACCTAATAGACACCGGACGGCAATACGTAACGCGGTGGACCCTAGTAATAAGTATATAAGTTAAGATAGAAGTAGAGAACTTCTATAAGCTATTAAGGACGAAAGTATTAAGTATGGAAGCGAGAATGGCTTTCATGTAAGATGAAGTAACTGCTAATAATGTGTTTAGTAAGGGTTTGCTTAGGCAAAGTAACTGACACCTCCTCACTCACTAGGTTGAGGAAGGGTTAATGGACGTGGTTTTCAAGAAGAGACAGGACGAGGCGAGCAGCTGTACCATCATGGACAAGATTTCAGGGAGCTCATCAAGTAGTTAGAGTTAGAGTTTGTCAGTTATTGATGTTCATGATTATGAGTATAACCTGGAGGTTCTAAGTTGAAGTTGTTTTATTGACTATGGTTTGACTTTGCCCACGTGTTTAGGGCATTGCTTTTGATGTTTTTTCTTGGAAATGATTAAATTGTATTTGAATTTTGAGCTTTGTTTTTAACCGGCTCCGGAGCCATGTGTATTTCAGTTAGATAAAAGTATCGGGATGTTTCACCGATTCTCTAAACCCAAACCCGAAGTTCAATTGAATAAATAACAATCCGTCGTAGAGATTTTTCGGAGCTTATCGAAGTGCATCTAACGGTCAGATCACTTGGAGTATACCACTCATTACCATATAATATTTATGCGTTAGAAATAAAACATTATAATCTTTCTTTTTACAATTTCTCCAAATAAAACTAGAAGTAATTGCTGCAAAAAAAGGTAATATGAAGATGAGAACATTCACAATACACTAGGTTTGAATCTTGGGGCCAACAACCAATGAAAAACAAGGGGCAATGGAAAAATAATAGCCTCCTATTATTTGTTATACCATTGTTTCAAAAGAAAGTTCGTGGACATACGAAAAAACATTTTATCGTTGCTGGATCATTAATTCGATAATAATTTAATATTTTTTCCTGTTTCTTGGAGAGATCCATATAAACCCAACAACCCATAATAGTAATAGGTGTTTTAATAGCAGGTCTTTGAGACTTATTTGTCCTAATGTCCTCGGCCTAGGGTTGGGGCTGTTAACGATACTTTGTTCACTCCATCGATGTAACTACGAATGAAGAGATATGAGCTAGCGTGAACCTTAAATTTCACATCATTCCTCCAAATAAACCCTAACAAAAGGAGCTTAATCATAGTTCATATCATACTACTCTCCCAAGTCTCCACCAACTAGAAAGTTCCTCACCATTTTATTCTTACTCTTAATCTTTAGTCTAGTTTCATATGTAGCTATATATCTACTTTATCAACATGAAAAATAACTAATAAAAATATAATTTCTAGGTTTCTTAAACCCTCTTATATTTCAAGATGCGATAATCTATTAAAATGACTTCAAAAACCAAAAATTGTTGCCTAATTTTAAAAAAAAAAAAACCCAAACCTTGTCAACCCCATAAATTGTTCATCCATGTTTGTAAAAAGAAAAACTTTAGAGAAGCCTGTAAGGAATTGCTCGATAAGACAGTCCTTCAAACAAGTTGTCCCCTTTTCTTTTGCCTCACTTGATATATGGAAACCAATCCCAACTTGCTCTAGTTGATGGCTAGAATTTAAAACAATTTTCAATAGCTACCTCAAACAAATACATACTGGAGGGAGCCCAACCATTCAATTGAGGCATTAGCGATGCAACCGTTCTAGTGATGAAAATCTAGGTCGAGCAATGCCGACGGTAAGAGAGAGCAGAGGGAAAATGAGAATACACATAAATAATTTTTCTTACACCAATTGCTAAAACTAAAAAAACTATCAGAGCCTGGTTTCGATCCAGGGACCTGTGGGTTATGGGCCCACCACGCTTCCGCTGCGCCACTCTGATTAGAATGTTAACAAATTGTCTTCTAAATTTTTATAATTTATTAGTTTTCCCCATAATTCTAAATTTTTACTCTAATTTCATTTGTGTTAATAGTATTTTTATTTTTTATGTAAACTTTTACTCTACTTTCATACGTATCAGATTCATTTTGGGCATAATGATATGTAGGTGATGTTGTTGCAGAAACATGTATCAATTTTTAAAAGTACGGAACATCAATCAATAAAAGCTTGAGCCTCTCTTGCTCCACTAACGGTCCAAGGAACTTGTGAGATTCAAAATGAGGGTAAGACACTTCCGCCAATGGTCACCCAGGAGCCACCTTACGGTTGTGCATTTTGCTCTATTCAAACTTATTGCTTTGTGTTGTGTTTAGAGTTGTAATTGGTTTATCAGTTATCAATTTAATCGTTAACCAAACTGGACAATTAACAGTTAAAGCGATCACCGATAAGGGGCTGGCAATTTGGTGATTGATGGTAGTTTGCCTTGTCACTCAAACCGATAACCAATGCTTCAATTAGTGGTGAACCTATAAGAAAACCTCTAATCAACCCCTTCCCCAAAATGATGTGGTTGGACTGGCAACAATTATACGGTTTCCTCATTCTTTGATCTTTTGGCTTGGTGTTGGTAGTTCTTGGTCTAATTCATGCTAAGTTGTGTTTCTTTTGTAAAATTTGATGACACTCAAATTTGTTTATCACTCTAATATTTGATACATTTTCCCTTTCTATCAATCCACTTTAGTGTATTGGGAAAAGCTAAAAGTTTACGCTTAGGCACTAGGAAACGCTAAAATGCCTCGCCTAGAGTTGTCGCAATGAATTAGATATTGGGAGCACGTCGACAGAGTAAGGCAGCACTTAGGTGTCTCCTAAGCATAACTAGATGGAGCTAGGCAGTCAATACCAAAGCGGGGATTGAGATCGTCTACAAACTAAATCTTCTATTTCCATCTTTTCGATAGCTCTAGAATTTTGTGAGCTATTGAGCTATGATTCTATGAATTTGTGAGCTAAGTTTATTCTTGTTAAGTGTTAAGTAAGTTACTAATCATTTTAAATGAAGTTTGAAAGTCTTGTAAGTTGTTATTTCATTTATTTTATAGTACTACTTGCTATTTTTCTTCCAAGCATAGGCAAACTAGGCGAGACCCCAACGCATGCCTTATGCCTAACACCATCTTCAACCTTGGTTTTGCCATATTTTTGGTAGAAATCATAACTATTTAATCAATTTTCTTATAATATAGGAGTTGTTTTGTATCATTTTATGCCCTTTTTGGTATTCTTTTTTGCTTTTCAAGGTCAAACAAATTCTAGGATGACTTGGATTAATGAATGGATCAAATTGGAGGATCAAGGGGGACAATCAATAAAAGATCAAGGTGATTCCTCCATTCAACAAGGCTAAACGGATGGGAAGCCTTCATGAAGGCATCATTAAAATCCAAGAGGAGTCAACTGGAGAAATTTCAGCTCAAATCCACGAAGGAACCCATGATATCCTTGTGATGGTAGTAGCTGCGACTAGGCCGAATGCATCAAATTGTGCTAGATTTCACAGGAGGAGTTACTTGTGGGTCAAGCAACCAAAAGGAGGAAGAATACCCATGATGCGCACAAATGCTGCTAATCCAAGCCCAAGGGATCTTTAAGAATATGCCTTGCTTCATCCTCAAGTCAATAACTTCGAGTCTCAGTAGTATCAGGAAGCCCGTGGAAGCGTTTTAAGAGGAAAAGACCTAATAACCCCCTTTTCCTTCCACTATAAATAGAGGGTCGAGTTAAGGACTTCGGTAGGCTGCAAACATTCACTAAATCACTCTGTATAACTCGAGAAAGGATTTACTCAGGTTGGGGGAGGTCGAATTAGCATTCAAAGGAAGGTGCAAGTAAGGAGATGCCTTCATCATCGATGGTTGTATCATCCTTCTCTTCTATATTTTGTTAATTCAACTTCGTTGTTAAGGATGTGAATTCTATTGATGCTTATAACATATTTTTCTATGATATAATTATATGTTTTAGTCATTTTTTATCTATGTTGATGCTTATACCATTGGATTCCTTAGTCATGTGATTCTTATACCATTGGATGCCTATGCCATGTTTTTTTTCTTCTTGAAAATCTTGCCTATGTATGTGATGCTTATGTTATTCGAGTATCTTAGCTAATGATGCTTTAATTATGTGATGTCTTCGTCATCCATTATGTGCTACTATAGTGTTGTTTATAATATGTTTATGTTTCATGGGAACCCCAACGTATGTTAATGTCATTGTCTTAGGTGTATCTGGAATGGAATTATCAATCATTTATACTCAACTATGTGCAATGCTTGATACCTTAGATCATCAATGCTACGGAACATCAATATGGTTCGTAGATGCCCTAATAGTGATATGTTATCCATACTTCCTTGATTGATTGATTAGTAAAGTGGCATGAAGTGAAAGCACGCATTAGCTAGTCATAATTCCTATTGCATGGAGTGAAAACTTGAGTAGACTAACCTTAGTGGAAGGGATAGAGATACATGATAGAAGATGCATTGTTGCTTAAAATTATTGAGATTCAAATGCGCAATCATCTAGGATTACCTTCTTAACAATGTGTATTTTTACTTATCTCGTCTTTATTATTATGTTCCAATTTATGATACAACTCGAAAACAACTAAACATAGGAAACTTCAACCCATCTATTTATGTTGAGTTTTTGTTTGAGCATTAAATGATTGGTTGTGAGTAATTATTATTAGAAATCCTTGTGGAGTACGACATTTATTAGGAAGTTCGGTGACTCACTTCTACTGTCACTCTAGGAATTGGCCAAGTGAAACCACTTCCTAAAGTGTAGTATAGCGGGTTTGGGTTTAAATGTCAACCCGGGTCCTAGATTTGATGACTACTCGGTGAATTCTTGTTATCTAGCAATGAAACTTGAATGCAAGTCTAAACTAACAAACAAACAAAGCAACTAAACGGTTGTATTCAGGTTAAGAGAGGTCACCCCGATATGGTTCCCCCTAGACTGCAGTTAAGCCGGATTGCAATTACCAAGTTTAGTTTCTATGATAGTTATACTGCGGAAGGTTCTAAAACAGCCTGAAGTCTCGACTAAAGGTCTCCAGACCCTCTCAATCTGAGTCTCTAGCGGGCGACTAACCTCCACCGGAGTAAACAGATTGAGGCCCTAACAAACAAAACCTCCACTACCGAAGTGAATTCGGTACAGAATAGTGAGTTGGCTCCTCGACTAAAGTCACCAACTCCCTACCTTCAATCAAGGATGCTCTATCAACCTAGGCAGATATTCTCATTCTAGGTTAAAGTAGAAATAACATGAATTTGATCAGGATTCATGCCATTCAATCATTCAAACCTCAATTGAATATAATCAAATCATAGAATCAGTACTTGGGTTCATACAATCAAATCTAACATAAAAATCTAGGGTTCTCCATACCCAGATGAATGGGAGAACTACTCCATGGAGAAAGAAGCAAAAGCAGAATCAGACGCGGAATTCATACTGTGAAGGATGGATTCCTGCTCCTGGACGTTGATCGACACTTCTCCAAGCTCAAGCCAAGCTCCAATGATGATGAAGATCAAGCTAGGGCGCTTGGAAACTCTTGTTCGTCGCTTTCTCTCTCTAGGAATCGCTCTGTCTCTCTTAAACTCGAATCCCCTTCTGTTTTGGCTGAAATCTGCCTAAAAGGGCATCACTGGGCAAAACACGGTCGAGGGCACGGCCGTGCTTTGCTCCAGCCCGCCCGTGCTTTGCCCCGTGTTAAAAACACGCCCGCGCCCGTCGGCCAAAACACGGTCGTGCCTAAATATGGGCACGGCCGTGTTTTGATTTAGGCGCGCCCGTGTTTTTACTCCCGAACCTGTTCCCCTATATTCAATGCTTCGTTTCTCCCTCGTCCAGAAGCCGAATCAGTCGTCGTTTGATCCCAGACGCTTGTAGTCTCGTCCTCTTTCTTTTCATGACAAGCTTACATGATTCTTTGTCCATAAAGTGAGGTAGAAATCCATTCTTCTTCAGGTCATGCCCGAGTTTCTTCTCCCGAATCGCCAATTGATCTCTGATTGACTTGAAACTTGCGCCTATGCTTCACTTTATGTGCTAGGACCTGAAATGTGACAAAGGAACACAACCTAGCATAAAATAGGCCAAAGACGCAATAATTAAATCTCAAACGATCAAGAAACAAAGGTGAAAACATGTGCAAATATCGAGTCATCAAATCCCCCCACACTTAACCGTTTGCTTGTCCCCAAGCAAACCAAGTCATACACAAGGTAAGCTCAAAACGTTTCAATCAAGCAGGCTTTAGGGCATATCATATCAGCACAAACACGTGGATCATATTGGCTTTCGATCATTAACACATGGACAACCTCAAGGACAACCTAGACAACCACCACAGATGATATTCGAATGCAATAAAGTCGAGCAAAGGAAGAGTTCCCTTCTGTTCACCAACCAACATAGACTTGACTCAACCACTTATTCAAAATAGTCACTTCATGCACAAAGCTCAAGGTATCAGAATTAAGACCGAGCAATCTAGGTCCTCACCGGGATAAAGAGTATAGATAATATGAGAAAATGAATCGCTCACTCTCGACCACTGGGGTCAGGACAATTTGATGCGAAAAATGCGCATGCTTATTCTCTCAATCCCTAACGTCTCTTCACCATGAATGCAGCCTCTAAATGCTAGAGTTCACATATGGGGTGTCACCACTAACTAATCCGGAGGTCTTAGACACAGGTTCAGATGACTGGCTAGGGTCTTGGACATGGGGAAAAGGCCTTTTAGGTGGTGGAAGTATTCATAGCACAAGGTTCCACATTTCCAAACTCACAGTCAATCAAACCAATAACTTTCTTTCTGCTATTCTGCATTACTCAAATTCTTCAAAGCATAAGAGCGAAGGAGGTCACATAAATGCTAGTATTTCTAAGCCGGACTGCTAAAAAACACTACTTAATGGGCACTATTCAGATTTTTGGTGGTGGCTCTCTTTTGCTTTCATTTTTTTCTTTGTTTTTCTTTCATTTTTTTCATTTCTTAAGAGAACCACCACCTCTGCACATTTTTCAAGCACCTGCCCAACTTTTTAAGAACTACCTCCAACCCTCACATTATATTAAGCAGAAACAGCAGAGAACATGTAAAAACCACTCTGTGGAACCTTCTAAGAGATGCAAAAGGGTGATTTTTTCATATTGACCGAAAGAAAGGGTAACACACGGCTCAAAGGGGCTGACTAGGGGGTATGACACACCAGGACAATCAATTTGGTCCTGGGCTAATCCTATGCCTCCATCATCTTAGCTAATGACAACGTGAATGCTGCACATCATGGAAGAGGGAACTATCGCACAAGAAAGAAACAAGCAGGCTCAAGTCTCACATGGCTACCTATATGCTCTATCTCTCGTTCTGATTCCCTGAACTAGATGCATAAATGACTGTCAAAAGCAAGTGATCAAACCAAGTCACATTTGGTAAGCAAACAGTTGAAAAACTGAACCCCTACACAATTCTACTGCTCATCTCAGTCATCATAATAAGTTGTCTTAGTCACACTCAAGTTGTCATGCATCAAGTCAAAAGCCATTCAATTCACTAATCACATCCACAGTGCCAATACGATCAAACATCAGGCAAACAGCAGTGCTTGGAGCCCTCAAATCTCGAGATTTGGACAGTGGACTAGGCTCCAAGCACACAAACAGATCTAACGCAGTCAAAAGAGAAACATCCCCCCCACACTTAAGATCGACATTGCCCTCAATGGAGAAGAGGGAAGGATAAGGGGAACGATGTTACCGGTGTTCACGGACTGCATGAGACTGGAAGCAGACCCGTCGAGTGAAGCAGACTGGAGAGGGACCAATCTGGAATAAAGCACAGCTAAATGGGGACAGAAGAGCTAAAACACAACATGTTAGGTCCAATGGTCAGCCCAAAAAAACATCATCCAAAATAAAAAACAAACAAACCAAAACCAAACCGGTTTACAATCTGACTCAAAACAAAAGAAAGAGATTAAAACTGTGGTGGGGTTGCCTCCCCACAAGCGCTTCTTTACCGTCTTTTAGCTGGAAGCCCATGGTGGATACTCAGGGAGGTGCAGGAACAGGTGCCTCCAAGAGCGGATCCACGTCGCTCTTGAGGTACAGCTTCAGGTTGTGGCCATGCACCCGACGGATGCGACCACCATCATCGATCAGCTCGACCTGGCCATCTGGCAAGATGCAGGCGAGTGAGTACCCGGACAGCCAGGGTGATCGTGGTGCAGGAGGTGGGACCAGCTCGTAGTGATCTCCACCCTTCTTCCGTGCAGGCTTAGCAACCTGCTGCTTCGGCCGCCACTCCTCCTTGATCTTTTTGTTCGGAGGCGAGACTGGATGGAATGGCGGTGAAGGAATGATAGGAGGGTCCTGCAAAATGAGAGGTGCAGAAGGATACACGACAGGCTCGTGTACCTGATCAGAAATGGCATGCACAGGTGTGACAGCAATCATAGCACAGTGATCGAATTCAGTCACAGAAAAAGTAGCATGTTCATTCCCAGCACGCAGGATCAGTTTACCATCATGCACATCAATAAGTGCCTTGGCAGTGGCAAGAAATGGTCTACCCAGAATCAAAGGCACATCCACATCCTCATATATATCAAGAATAACAAAATCAACAGGATATGTGAATGCACCTACATTAACAAGCAGATCCTCTATGATCCCCCTAGGATGCACAATGGAACGATCAGCTAGCTGAATGCTCATCCTAGTAGGGCTAAGTTCACCTAGGTCTAGCTTTTTATACAACTTATATGGCATGACATTTATGCTAGCGCCTAGGTCCGCCAAGGACTTGCCTACATGCATGCTGCCAATAGTAAGAGGGATAGTAAAACTCCCTGGGTCCTTGCGCTTTTCGGGCAGCTTGTTCTGCAGGATAGCAGAACACTCCTCGCTCAGCAACACTGTCGAGAGATCCCCAAGTTTCTTCTTGTTGGTGAGGAGATCTTTCATGAACTTCGCGTACTTGGGCATCTTCGACAGTGCCTCCACAAACGGTATGCTGATGTTGAGCTGCTTCAACATTTCCATAAAATTGGCAAACTCAGTCTCCAACTTGTCTTTGTGTAGGCGAGTGGGGAAGGGAAGCTGGGGTACATGCTCCTTAACCACTGGTTTTGGCTTGGGAGCAGGGGCTTCCTTCTCCACCCGCACTTTTGCATCGTCGGCTGGAAGTGCTGAAGCAGGTAGTGGTTCCTCCTTCCTGGCCGGGACAGGATCAGCAGATATGGTCTTACCGCTCCTGGTAAAAATGGCATCCAGCTGCTGGTGCGGCTCCCGTGGATTGGGGATGGTAGTGGCAGGGAGAGTTCCCGGTGCCCTGGTAGTGTTTTGCCGGGCCAAGATGCCCACCTGGTTCTGCAGATCTTGCAAAATGGCACCTTGGTTCCTCTGACCTGCCTCTAGTGAGGCTATGCTCTGGTCCAACCTCGTGACAGTTGCCTGAGTGCTAGTCATGAATGAAGCTAGAATATTTTCCAGCTTCGTCATCTGATTATCTGGAGCCGGAGCTGCTGCTGGCTCGGCATACTGACGCTGGGGCTGCTGGAATGGTTGCCCCTGCCTAGGCTGGTAGGGCTGCTGCTGTGGGGCTGGCCCCTGTCTAGCCTGGAAAGGCTGCCTCTGCTGAAAACCACCAGCTGGTGCTGGGAAACCAGGTGGTTTCGTGGTGTTGCTTCTCCAAGAGAAATTGGGATGCTGGCGCCACCCCTCATTATATGTATTGCTGTACGGATCGAGGCGCCGAGCATTGGCGATGAAGTCCAACTGCTCTTGGGGAGTAGTAGACTCCCTCATAGCCTGGCTGTCTTCCACTAGGTGATTTGAGCTCTCACACCACTGACATTGAGCTACTGGAGGTGTAGCCAAACCTCTGCCCGGAATAAGACTGTTGGGCTGCTTCAATGTCTGCACTAACTCAGCTACCTGCTGCTCGAGCCCGGATCTGGTCTACATGGCGTGCACCCAAGAATGATCTCTGGCAGCCAAGGTATTTATCATCTGGTTCAGCTCGGGTGGAGTCTTAGTAAGAATATCCCCTCCTGGGCATAGAGACTCAATCACCCTCTGGCTGTCCGGAGAGAGAGCGCTGTAGAAGTTCCCCACTGTGAATGCATCACTGAAGCCATGATGGGGACACTGCCAGAAATATCCCATGTACCGCTCCCATGCATCACGAAGTGACTCGTCTGGCTCTTGGTGGAAGTGAGTGATCTCCCGCTGGATCTCTGTAGTCTTCGATGCTGGGTAGTACCTGTGCACGAACTTATCAGCCAGATCATCCCAAGAAGTGATGGACAATGGGGACTGGGTCTCCAACCACCTTTTGGCATTCCCCGCCAGAGAATGGGGGAAGAGGTGAAGGCGGATTGCATCATCAGGGACACCGTTCAGCTTGAACCAGTTCGTCAGCTGCAGAAAACGGGAAAGAAGTACCCTTGCCTCCTCATCCTTCAAGCCATGGAACTGGATAGAGGATGTAATGAGTTAAATCCAGCATGGCTTGATCTCGAAGTTGTTTGCTGGAATAGGCGGATAGAGGATGACCGGGCGGATGTCAGCAATCCATGGAGTGTAGTAGTACTCCAAGGTGGGACCCGGCGGCGGTGGATGATGATGAACCCCATCTTCCTGAGGGATGGGGTTGTTCCCCAAGACTTGATTCACCGGGGGAGCCTGCTGAGGATTCCCCTTGTGTGGATTGTAATCTTCCATCTCGTACTCGTCCTCGGACTCGCTGCTCAAATGGCCGTCTATGCGCTCCTCCGTAGCTAGTCTAGCTCGTTGTTGTCTCCTGAGTTGGCGACAGGTGCGTTCAATCTCTGGATTCAACGACAGTAAACCTCCCGACTGGCTACGAGTCATGCACTACCTGCACACACTCAAGCAAGAAAACCCGTGAAGGCACAAGTGGGACAAAGCAAACAATGCGAAAAGAAAAGCTAAATTAACAGAAAGCACTTTTCTTCAACAACCTAGCCGTCCCCGGCAACGGCGCCAAAAACTTGACTCACTTCTACTGTCACTCTAGGAATTGGCCAAGTGAAACCACTTCCTAAAGTGTAGTATAGCGGGTTTGGGTTTAAATGTCAACCCGGGTCCTAGATTTGATGACTACTCGGTGAATTCTTGTTATCTAGCAATGGAAATTTAATGCAAGTCTAAACTAACAAACAAACAAAGCAACTAAACGGTTGTATTCAGGTTAAGAGAGGTCACCCCGATATGGTTCCCCCTAGACTGCAGTTAAGCCGGATTGCAATTACCAAGTTCAGTTTCTATGATAGTTATACTGCGGAAGGTTCTAAAACAGCCTGAAGTCTCAATTAAAGGTCTCCAGACCCTCTCAATCTGAGTCTCTAGCGGGCGACTAACCTCCACCGGAGTAAACAGATTGAGGCCCTAACAAACAAAACCTCCACTACCGAAGTGAATTCGGTACAGAATAGTGAGTTGGCTCCTCGACTAAAGTCACCAACTCCCTACCTTCAATCAAGGATGCTCGATCAACCTAGGCAGATATTCTCATTCTAGGTTAAAGCAGAAATAACAGGAATTTGATCAGGATTCATGCCATTCAATCATTCAAACCTCAATTGAATATAATCAAATCATAGAATCAGTACTTGGGTTCATACAATCAAACCTAACATACAAATCTAGGGTTCTCCATACCCAGATGAATGGGAGAACTACTCCATGGAGAAAAAAGCAAAAGCAGAATCAGACGCGGAATTCATACTGTGAAGGATGGATTCCTGCTCCTCGACGTTGATCGGCACTTCTCCAAGCTCAAGCCAAGCTCCAATGGTGATGAAGATCAAGCTAGGGCACTTGGGAACTCTTGTTCGTCGCTTTCTCTCTCTAGGAATCGCTCTGTCTCTCTAAAAATCGAATCCCCTTCTGTTTTGGCTGAAATCTGCCTAAAAGGGCATCACTGGGCAAAACACGGTCGAGGGCACGGCCGTGCTTTGCTCCAGCCCGCCCGTGCTTTGCCCCGTGTTAAAAACACGCCCGCGCGCGTCGGCCAAAACACGGTCGTGCCTAAATATGGGCACGGCCGTGTTTTGATTTAGGCGCGCCCGTGTTTTTACTCCCGAACCTGTTCCCCTATATTCAATGCTTCGTTTCTCCCTCGTCCGGACTCCGAATCAGTCGCCGTTTGATCCCAGACGCTCATAGTCTCGTCCTCTTTCTTTTCATGACAAGCTTGCATGATTATTTGTCCATAAAGTGAGGTAGAAATCCATTCTTCTTCAGGTCATGCCCGAGTTTCTTCTCCCGAATCGCAAATTGATCTCTGATTGACTTGAAACTTGCGCCTATGCTTCACTTTATGTGCTAAGACCTGAAATGTGACAAAGGAACACAACCTAGCGTAAAATAGGCCAAAGACGTGATAATTAAATCTCAAACGATCAAGAAACAAAGGGGAAAACATGTGCAAATATCGAGTCATCATTCGGATCAAGGGTGATACATTCCGGAAGTTTGGATTGGCAGGCTCCTCTTTTTTCTGTTAACTTCCATTGTTGTTTGGGAAGTATGGACCGGCAAGCTCCTCTTTTTTCTCTCCATTCTTTTGCAACAAGAATTGTAGTTAACTTTCGCTTTCTTCAATCATCTGCTTGTACTATGTTTATGTACACTCTACGTGGTACGACAACTATTTGTCTTTTAAAAGACATGCATGAAAAAAAATTATCGTTGTATCTCGATAAAGCATATGCTTTTTACTTTCGCTTTCAGAACGTGGACCTCACTTTGCTTAGAAACTGCATTATTTTTTATAATGGTGATAAATTTTATTAATTAAAATAGGAGAAAGGGTACAGAGAAACCAGGAAACAAGTCTGGCAGACTTTAATCACAACAAGCAAAGGACCCTAACAATAGCAACATAAGAACCACCACAGCGAAATCACGAAGTCATCATCAGCAGGGTCGGGTCACAGACCCCATCAGCCACGTTGGAACCTGAAGCCTAGGAAGAAGCTGCTCCCTCGCGTCGAGTCGCCATTGATCAGCAACATATTTATCAACCTAGTTAGAGGCGCACAACCAGTCATGGATGCTGCAAATGATTATGAAATAGGTGCCCAGAATTGAGCTAAAATCATCCCTAAAAATTAACGTTTCTAGCCAAATACGCCAATAGAAGGTGTGTAAGAATAATTTAGTACACCACATATGCGGACTTGAATTTGTATCCCCCGGCCATATCCCAATGGTGGAAGTGATATCTTATGAAGGAGTCTGAACCCCGAAAAAATTGCTCATCACTCTCCACACTTCACGGGAGAAACTGCAGAGGAGGAAGAGATGATGTATCGTCTCTTCATTCTTGCCACAAAGCACTCATCGACTTGGAAAGGACCATCCCCTCCGTTTAAGAGTGTCGTGTGTGAGAATTTTCTTCTGAAACACTATCCACATGAACACACAGATCTTGTGAGGGATGACGTCTAGCCAGATCACCTTGACGGGGAAGTCACCTGTGTTGGAAATGTTATCCTTGATGAGCTCCCCATATAGAGAACAAGCACTAGAGCCCTCCCCCTTTCAAATTGTGAGTAAGCGGTAAATCCCAAGAAAAACTCTCCCCTTGATGCCTGACCACATCGGCGATCCTACAATTCGGCGAGGCAGAAGCAGTAGCCACCCACGGGAAGTCCACAGCAAGAGTTCGACCCTGAATCCACACGTCGTTCCAATTAGGGGTGTACATGGGTCGGGTGGTCCGGGTTTAGGCATTTTAATCACCCGACCCATGCACTACGGTTTGGGAAATATTAAACCCAAACCCACCCAAAAAAATCTAAACCCTACGGTTTGTTTCTAATTGGGTTGGGTCGGGTTGGCGATATTTTTAAGTAAAAACCCAACCCAACTCAAAATATGTAATTATTCTACATCATAAAAATATTTTATAACAATTAAAAATTCAAACGAATAAACCGAGGTGAAAGGTATCAAAATTCACAAATATTGTTTGAATTTTAATAAAACTTGATTTACTTCAACTTATGTCTAGTTTTTTTCGCGACATTTGTTGAAATAGGCTAAAAAGGTTACAAATGAACGCATCCATAATATGATATTCTTTTAAAATTGTACACAAGAAAAACAAATTACGTGAATCATAGCTATATTAAATATATGTCTAAACTTTAAGTCGAAGAATGCATTAGATTAGTGAGACTTTAAGAGAAAAAAATGGCGAAATATCTTAATTTTCTCATAAGTATGACTATATACGACATAAATATTTTTTTGGATACGAACTCATACCAATAATTGGAACACGGGTTGGGTCGGATTCTACGGATTGTGTAATCCAAAATCCAAACCCAACCCAAATGAGGCGGGTTGTACAAAAGAAAACCCTCACCCAACCCAAAACCTTCGATATAGAGATAAATACGGGTGGGTTGGACGGGTGGGTCGGTTTGCAGGTGTGTTTGTTCACCCCTAGTTCCAATCACCGAACTCGGCTCAACCCGAGAAAATTTCCAAAATACGTTTTTTAGTATCAGAATTTGGGTCCAAGAACTAATTCCAGCAGGACCACTAACAGAACAAGACATCCATTCCGACCCATCGTTGGGATATTTGAGGTTGATAAGTTCCCGCCACCATGCACCCCTTTCAAGGGCAAACTGCCACCACCATTTACACAACAATGCTTCTTTTCTTAATATGAGGTCAGCAAACCAAGACCGCCAAACTTTTTAGGACTTTGCAAACATTTCAAGCAACCAAATGAAGCCTCCCATCACCTTGGGATTCGGACCAAATAAAATCTCGTTGTACCTTCTCAAGTCGATTAATGACAGCACTCGGGGCCTTGAAAAGACTGGACAAATTTGCTTGCATGCAAATTGATATGTACTTTTATCTTTGTTTGCCTCTTCCCTGCCTTTTGTCACATTAGCAAACGTGTACATTAGGGTTGGGCATGCGGGCGGATAACCCCGCGAGTTTGGACCCACCCACCCGCATTTGACCCAAAATTTCATTATGTGAGAGACGGGTTGTGATGGGACCCATCCGTTGGGTGGCGGGTGGGTTGTGGAGTCCGCGGGTGACCCGCTTAACCCAACAGCAAAATGAACAAATTTGTTGGCGCTGGAGAGGGAAGAGTGGAGACATTAGAGGGAAATTAGGGCTGCTCTTGGGATTGAGCCTGAAAGCCAATTTTCCAAATCGCGAACCCCTCTTCTTCCTTTTATGTTTTCTCTAATTCTTGTGCCTAGATCACCTATCTTTCCTCCTTTAAATTATTTTTCTTAGTTTCTTGTACTTAATAATCATCTCCGTCCATAGAAAACTCCTCGATAATAGAATTTCTATCCAATTTCAGAACTAATACAACATTCCCCCCCCCCCCTATTTCATTTTCTTCTTTCCGTCTGATAACCTTCTCCACCGATTATCATGTCAATTTGACTCCTTTATATTACTAGCTTATAACCCGGCCCTTTGGCCGGAATGCTCATATTTGATTATTTGTATTTTTTGTTACTTTTAATTCTATTAACCCGTTTAATCTTATTGATAATCATTCTATCGAGATGATACATAAAGAAATAATATATAGGTCGAACATTCGGAGAAATATCATAATCATTTAAGAATATAAAATAGAAAAATGTATCATTGACCCCATTTTCATAATGCTAATTAAGTCCCTGTTAAAATGCTATTAGTTAGTTTTATTTTACAGTCAAGAAATATAGAGTATAAAAGCTCACTGAAATTCTCACACGACCCATAGATAGTTTGAAACTAAATCTTAAACCTCACAATCCTATATAAAGGGTTCAATGCTCTGCTTTTAGAAACAATATGTCACAAATCAAAAAGAAATGGAGAGTTGTTGATTCAAGTCATCTATATACTAAAAACTGAGCTAAGAGGGGACCATCACAACTTGAGAGCAAATGAAAAAATCAGGGTTATCTCCAATATACGAATAGACTCGATCAAAGTAATAAGGCGCAAAATTAGACACTCCTTATCTATTAGTTCCAGTAGATTGAATAAAAAAGCGACCTATTTCAAACAATCAATCAATGATTCCTCGTTTTAAGATAGAAATAGGTTGTGACAATTATAAAAACCATAAACCTAAAGATCCAATAGCCACCACTCTCCGTTGTACAATCAAATTTCTATCTCAAGAGGCATATATTCAACCAAAAATTCAATTTATAATCCTCCTTCTACAACTCCAGTTATTGATGAACTCCATTCTATTCACCAAGGATTGATATCGGAGTTGAAATCTTCTACTCGCCCAGTTTAAAATCCCCAACAATAAAACCGTAGTGCCAAGAGATACCTGAAGATTGATTTTCAATGACAGTCTTGTACTGGGAAGTGAAAGGCGCAAAATATTGCACGAAGGATGAAATTTCGGAGGAAGTTAGAAAGAGAAAAGAACAAAGATAAAAAATCACAAAATTTAAATTTAAATTGAAAAATGCAAGGATACAACACGTAGTTACATAATTAGTTTCTTCCATGTTAGCCAATTACCCATTTACCTTTAGCAAAAATTAAGGAGAGAGCGGGAATTTAAAATTGAGAAAATTACATGAAACTCTACTATAAAAATAGAAGTATCAAGCTCGATAAAAATACATACGGTAGACTTAGTGAGCTTGCTAATTATGATGAAAAAGTCCTCTGATTTTCAGAGATTAACTTTGTCTATGTTTTGTATCAAAAAGAATACAATAAATTTGTTTAGTGTAACTGGTTGTAATTGTTATCTTTGTTTGAAGAGACCCGGGTTCAAATCTTGATATTGCTATTTTTATATGAAATAAATAATAAATGTGTAAAGACAAAAATGACCTTCCTACTTTCACTCTCATTGCAGGAAATTTGAAATGGAGAAAAGCACACAAAACTCTACCATATATTAATGGAGGATGTACAATATGATGTGGGTGAACCCGCAAACCCACCCGCATCATCTATCATTCGCCCGACCAAACCTGAGACTAAATGTGGGTGGGTGGTAGGTTAAAAGTTATCAATCCGTTCAAACGCAAATGAGTGCATTTATGGTCAAAATCCGTTTAACCCACCCAATGGTCATCCCTACTCTACTTTAACAGAATCACCATGTTGATTAACGATGAAACTCAACGAGCGCCAATTTAGCATCTCATAACCGAGTTGTGACAACTTTAGTTCCCGCGATGTACTCATACTAACAACCACAACCGAAGACCGATTCTGGTAGCGCGATAGAGAGAAGAGAATGGGCCATTTCTCGTCTTCTTTCAAACAATCGCCTGAGCAACAACGAGGACGAAACAGAGAACAAGATTTCTTTTAATTACACAAAGAAAACCTGTCCAACGTTCAACAGGCTCTCATGGGGGACATTAAAAATCACGCTATGCTCTCTACATATCTTCCTCAGGAAAGCGTAAATGTAATCCACCGCAATCTTCTTGTAGAACCTCGACTCTCTCCTCGCTCTCACCACCGTGTTCCCCAAGATATGTACAACCCCAGCGTCCAGACAGCTCTGCAAGAACTCCACCTCGTCCACTTCCGTCTGGCTGCTCGTCTGCCCCGACGACCCCACAGTCGTCATCACTGAAGGCTTCACCGGCATGATCGAGTCGATGGAAGACATCGTCGAATCCACCACCAACCCTATTGTGTTGCCATTCTCGTTCAGCAGTCCATCCCTCGAGTGTTGCGTTTGCTGTCCGTACAAGCTGTACTCGTCGGAGTCCGAGCACCCGTCCATCATGGACTCGAGCCGAACGAAGAGGAAGAGACTGCCAAACAGCTTCTTCTCAAATTCGTCGTCTTTCTTATGAAGGTCCTTGTAACCATACCTGGCCACGCACCTAAACATTCTAAAGTTTTTAGGGCCGATCCGCTTGACCAGAAACCGCTCTTCTTCAGGAACCGTGTAGACAGGGAGATACTTGACGCAGACGAAAACCACAACGGAGTGGATGGCAGGAAGATTGGTGATGAAATGCGAGAAGATGTGGGGGACACCACTGGCGAGATCGGTGTAGACCAGGCCAATCCCTGGGACCCTCACCAAGCCCTATGATCCACGCCATCGAGACCTTACTGTGCATTTCAAACTCGTACCGTTTGAGTGTGCCATAATGCCAGACGTACATGACGATGAGGAAGGAACCCGCGATGACAAGTGGGACCCAACCTCCCTGGTCGATCTTGAAGAGCACGGCCGAGAAGTAGGTGCATTCCACCGCAAGGGATAGCCCGGTGAAGAGCACAACAAGGATCCAGTGGCAGCGCCACACAAGGATCATTATCAGGACCATCAGGAGGGTGGTCACCAGCATGACTATTACCACCGCCGTCCCTGTTGAATAATGAAAGCCAAAAGTGAAATAAAGGAGTGAAATTGAGTGAAAGGAGAGGTTTTTGTATCATAAACTTTCAATTCAATGTGATGAACTGACCATAAGCATTTCCGATTTGGCTTTGGTTCTTAAATCCTGCGGTTACACAGATGCACAGAATCATAAGGATCCAATTGATATCGGGGACGTATATCTGTCCTAGGAATTTCTTGGATATATGCACAACTTTCACTCTTGGGAAGCAGCCGTGAGCATGTGCCTGCTTGATTATCGAGAACGTTGCAAAGATTGTGGCTTGGCTTGCAACCACAGCAGCTGCAGTAGCAATAAGAAAAACAGGCCAGTATATGCTCTCTGCACAGCCAGATAAGTTGTTTCGTGTTAACAGTAAGAAGATTGCATTTCAGAGGATAACATGACTTAATGCGTGGGATGATAGATGAAGCATTGGACAAACCTGGGATAGAGCGGTAAAAAGCATCAACCACATGTTCCTTGTTTTTGACAAGATAACCAGCTTGGCCAGAATATGCAAGAAGAAGGCAAGGGAAAACTACTGCTGTGAAAGCAAGTCGAATGGCCGAAACAGGGAAATGGGCTAGATCAGCAAAAAGTGCCTCAGTGCCTGCAATTGTTCATGAATCAGAATCAGAATCAGAATCAGAATATGAGGTCTAACTGCAGATATGCTTAAACAACTCAGTCGCACCTGATAAGATAAACTAGAAGTTCAGGCAATTTGGAAAATGGTGAGAGACAATATTACCTGTAATACTAAGCATGATCCCTCCAAGGGACATAAACCCGTCTCTACCTCCCCTTTTAAGGTATCGATAAACATATATAGGTGAAAAGGCTTTAAGAACACTTGCATCATATTTGCATATGTTGTATATGCCAATACCGCCAATTAACAGAAACCAAAGCAAGACGATTGGAGCGAAGAACCAGCCAACTTTATCGGTCCCGTAATGTTGCATGCTGAAGAGACATACTAATATTATAACAGCAACCACTATGACAACATCTGCAACAAGAAATAGGAATAACAAGCTGTCAATGATGAACGGATTTCGGACAAGAGTCCATAAGTGGGCCGCTCATAGAATGTGAATGCATATGCGAATGTTTGTTCACTTAGGAGAAGTTCAATACCCCCACTAATTCCTGGCTTGTTCACCTTGATCCCGCCAGCAGCAGAAAGAACTGCAAGACATTGAGCAACCCGAATGTTATATAGGGATTTTTACCCTGGTAGAAACGTTGCAAAGATATTACGCATGGTACTTCTATTAGCATATTCAAAAGAAACTTGGGTGATGCAATAGCCACACTGAAATAGGTCCATGAAGAATTTGACTGAGGTGAGAGAGACATAGACAACCTCATAATGAGAAGCTGGGAAAGGGAATTCAGAATTCAACTAACAAGGTGGATGCATACGTAACCTATGAAGCAAATGGTTCTAGGAAATGACTAGACAATCACGAGAAACAAATGCATGATTTTTTCCTTATCCCTTGTACCACATACATGGACTCAGCACTACTTTCAGAGATATGAAAACTAACTAGATGCACCAAAGCGCATTACAAAGATACAGCCAACCACAGAAGCAGACGAACTGAAAGTAGACACTTGGAACAAAGGAGAATCTTCGTTCAGGATATCAGTTGAGATAGCTGATTACATTGCAGCGAAATAGGACATGAAAATGATTAGATAAGAGGACGAGAAGTTACCAGAAATAGCAGGAGTCAAAATTCCATCGCCAATCACCATACAGGTGCCAACAAGAACAAGAATAAGAAGGCTGACACGCCAAAACACAACACCAAACTGCGACCAAGTGTAATCGCAGTCCGGGAATGCAGTAACAGGCAAGTTCTATTATCAACCCGGGGTCTAGATCTACTGCTTACTCCATGATTATTTATTATCTAACCAACTAAGTCGAGTGATTTGTGTTTAAACTAAAAGCGCAAGAAAGCAGGAAATTATTCGGTTTTCTCAAGCAGGAAAGAGTCACTCGAGAATGAGTCCCCCTAGCTCCTTAGTTAGGTTCAATTGCAATTACCCTGGGTTGATTTACCTGTTGATTAGACTGAGGAAGATCCGACAGTAGCTTGGAATCTCTTAAGCTGACCAAGCCCTCTCAGTCTAACTACCCGGCAGACGACTAGTCTTCACCGGGATAGAAAGCTGAAGCAGTAAGAACAGAACTCCACTACTGGAAATAGATTCCAGTACAAAGCAGTAAACTGGCTAACTCTCGTATAGCCAATCTCCTACTACCGAATGATGAGACTCTAGCAACCTAATCAGATTCTATCTATCTCAGATTGCAGCAGGAATCAGGAAAGTTGATCAGACTTCAATTTACTCAATAAACATGCATCATTCGATTAAAATCAAACAGTAATATCATCCCAAGTCATTACAATCAATCCCTAACACATAGAACTAGGGTTCTTCATCCCCAAGTGAGAGAGGGGTTCTACTCCATAGAGAGAGAGAGGAAAACAGTAATCGGAGTAGTCATACTCATAAAGATGAGGAAAATCTGCTCCGGGATGATGATTTCCACTCCTAGGACGATGTCCAAGCTCGATTCGATGAAACCCAGCTCCAAGATAGCTTCAAGGATGTGTTCTTTGTACTTTCTCTCTCTATGGCTCTGTTTTTGCTCAAAAAGTCCGATCCTCTCTCTTTTGGCTCGAAATTGGCTGAAAAACCAAGATTTCCCGACTCACACGGGCAGGCCACACGGCCGTGTGGCTCACCCAGTTGCCCGTGTGAGTCAAAACGCGGCGTATCAATTAGTTCGATCTTCAGGCTTCCCACACGGCCAGGGTCGCACGGCCGTGTGGGATTTCCATCCTGCCCGTGTTTGCTCTCGGCGAAACTCGCACGGCCACCTTGCTCCTCCACACGGCCGTGTGATGGTTATGTGTGCCCGTGTGGCTTCCTCATCGGCTTGCCTCGCGCCCGATCTTCATCCAATCGACCCCAAACTCGCTCCCAAGCCTCCATTCACGTACTAGGACCTGAAATATCACAAACAAGCACAACCTAGCGTGAAATCGGCCTAAAACACGAGAAATCACATCTCAAACGGTGTAAGAACAGGGGTAACAACATGTGTAATTAACGGTCTATCAAAGGCCAGTCTTCCGAAATGCTTGGTTCTCTAACCATCGCTTAGTTTTAGCAGCAAAAGATTGTTCATGGAAAGTAGAGCGACTATACGTTGTCAGATCCTCATCCGTCCGGTGTTGATTTGGGATCGTCTTTACTTTTGCATGTCGACAAAGTAATGAGTACAGAGCCAATGTACCACCTGCACAAATGTGGAGAAATTTAGAGTCATCACCAGCTCCAGGGAATGTAACTTAAGAATGTTCTACAAAATGAAGAATAGAGCAAAGAACATGTAAGGGCCATGCAAAGCCGGATTTACCTTGACCATTGTCATGTGCTTTGCACACAATGAACACATACTTGAGGAGAGGGACCAGAGTAAGAGAGTATATTATCAAGGAAAGAGCTCCAATTACATCCTCTGGATCAGAGATTCCCTTGGGGAAAGTATTGTAGAACACATACAATGGAGATGTGCCTAAGTCTCCATAAACAACTCCAAGACTTTGGAATGCTAGCCGAAGAAGCAGAATTGCTGAGAATTTCTGCAGTAGGATATGGGATTAGAATCATAGCAGAAACATTTATCAATCATCTTGAATCATAACAAAAAATTCCAAAAAGCGACTACCTTATCTAAGGGTTGACCCTCAACCAGTAAATTAACCCGCCATAACTAGGGAAATAGTATTTAATTGATAAGAAAGTTTGGACGACCAAAAACAAAGGTAGTTGGCGTGCAAATTCAAGCCAACAAAGCTCCATCATCATGAGGTAAACGAGGGAACAGTATCTTTGATTTTCAGAAAAGTGGAGACACAGTATAGGGGAGATCATGCATGGATCCTACCTTTTCTCTATATATAGTTTTGAGCTTTCCAGCTTCTTCATCCATGGGTTGATCAAGCTTCTGCTCCAAATCCCACATGCTGCCTCTATATGACTCGCTGTCGTCATTGATATCCTGTCTACCTTCCATCTCCATGCTCTACTCCGTAGGGAATTGGAGAACCAACAAAAAAGCTATGTATCTAGAGACTAAAACCAGCCGCTAAGAACACCCAATAGTAAGGAACCCCACTTCCTACGGAAAAGCTTGCCCAGGAACTTACTCAAGTACTCAGAACTTCTCTACTGTCAAAACCAAATCCGAAGCAGAAGCGGGAAAGTGAAGATGTGGTTGGGGAAGGAGAAACAGAACCGCTCCTAAGAGCCAGAAGCTATTCAAAGCTTGAAAGGTCGCAGATTGAAGAGTGTACAAAGACAACGAGCTGGCAGAGGGAGCAGAGGCAGGCAATTGAGAGGATAGAATAGACCCCAAACCCAGCTCAATCAAACGACAGCAGAATTTCCCACACATTAATTTCGCAGCGTCATCATCGCAACAGTACAATTCTTCCCCCGCAGTGGGGTCAATTCACTCTCCAGCCACATGAATCAGACAAAAACAACCAAGCAGCTACGCCCTTCCCTCCTCTTTCATACAGGTAAACAACAAAAGAATTTTCAGGTAAGAGAAGAAGATTTCAACTTTCCTTCTCTCCGTCACATGCCCATCTACCAGAAAGCTGAGATTAGCAAAACCCAGTTCCGAAGAATTTCTTCGGTGGATGGATTGAAGCAACCAGCAGAGGGGAAGTGAATGAAGAGTAAAAAAGCGAAACTAGGAAGAAGGAACAAATTCGTCTGTTTGTAATTTGTGTTTTTGTTACTAGAGGGGGGAAAACACGAGGGAGGCTGAATCTCCCCTTTAGTAATGTTAGGCGGACAAAAATGGCTGCCGATATGTGAAGATGATGGGCGGAAAGGAAAGCAGTGCTACTGCTAGTACAAATACAATATAATCAGGAGCATGCTGTGAATTGTTTACTTATTTCATTACCATTTATTTCGTAAATAAAACACGCTTGTCTAATTGTAATTGTAAACAAACTTGCTCTGTTTCTTTGGCAAGCCAAATCCTTTCCTTTCTTTTCTTTTCTTTTCTTTTCTCCATTTTGTTGTTTCCTTAACAGTGGGGTTTCTTGTGTGTGGCCAAGTTCAGAAAAAGAAAATACAACCAATAAAAGAAAAATATGATGGGTCATAGTCACATTAAATTGAATCATTGTGATTCGATATTGAATATCACAAATTCACAATGAATGTTCATCAGCAGGTTAAATTTTATGATGAATCCCAACAAGTAATAATCCAACCAGTAAAGATAAGAAACCATGTGGGGAAAAAAGTACCAATTTAGCAATTTCAATTTTTTTTATTTAAAATAAAATTGGTTAAGTACAACAAATTTTAGTTTTTTTCTATTGGTTCGACCACAATGCTATTCTAAGACGCCATTTAGATCGACACATGTGCTTTCCATAGTGATTATTTGTGAGTACTCGTCTCAAATTGCTAACGGGATTACGATTCCTCGATATCAAAACCAATCATTTAGGGCTTGACGATTTTGGTTATATCATATATGAGAAGTGACCTTTATGGTCTCTAGTTTCTAAAGGCTCCGTTAATTGAATAGAACTGTTTTACCAACCATACTTGAGTTGGGAGTTTGTTTTCATTCATCAAATGATCGCTTTGTTTTTGCATATTCATTCTTAAATGGCCTCTAATTAGTAAAACGTGTTAATAGCCACATTCGGACTCCTATTGCAAATCGCATAGTGTTTGATCTTTCTTTGTTTAGGATTGCTCTACCACATTCCGTAAGGCTTTTCTTGTTGTTTCTCTCATTTATAGTTCCTTCATGCAATGGTCTTCTCTTCATCTTTCTTTGATTTTGAAGATTCTTTCCTACGATCACCTTCTTACAAATATGGGAAGTAATAATATAGTTTTAACTTTTGCAGAAAGGGAAAGCTTTTCCCAACAATCCCCTAGCTTTTCTCTTCTGCAATTTTATGTCTTTAGTTTGAGAGTATCAAGGATCCCCCTCGACCATTTATCTCCCTTATATTGGAGTTTGTCGATTGCCAGACTACTCAATACCATAGTGAAAAGACCAGAGCAACCATTAGAGAAAATAAAATAATGTTAAAGCTAGTTATGCATGTTTAAACCAATAAAGCAAGCAAATAGTTCAAAAATGTATGAACCAAGCAAAAACACGGAGTTTTAGTAGTTTAAACCCAACAAGTCTTTAAAGAAAGCTAAGTTGTCTCTCGTCACTAAGTCATTAGACCATCAATCAGAGTGATCCTCGATCATAGTCATAGGGTGCATACATAGGGCTACAAATGAGCCGAGTCGAGTTGAGTTTTACCCTAGCTTGAGCTCGGTTCGTTAATAAACGAGTTGAGCTTGAGTTCGGCTCAAGTCTAGTCGAGTTTGAGCTAGCTTGCTTAATAAAAATTTGACTCGTATTTAATATACATTTTGAATATTATACATGATACATGTGATTAATATCAAGATGAAAATAATAATAATAATAATAATAATAATAATAATAATAATTAAGTGTTCAATATTAACTAATCTCATGTTATACTTTGTGGTATCAAATTATTTAGTTAATAAATTTTAACTCGTGAAAATTATGTTATTTCATTGTGTCCAAGCAATTTATGATACATAATTTCTTTTTAAGATTAGGTAAGACATATTTTCTCACATCATTTACATGTGAAACTTCATATAGGGTAAGATATATAATTTAACAATCCTATGAATTATCAAAATCAAACTCATATAGATCGATTTGCTCATAATTAGGTAATCGAGTTGGTTGTTTAGCCACAATGTTGAGAGTTGAGACATCTCATGAGCTCTAAACGATCCAGCTCACAAGTTGGGCTCAACAAGCCACCGAGTCTAGCTAGCTCGCGAGCTGCAAAAGGCTAAGCTCAAGTTTGGCTCATTAGTAAACAAGCTGAGTTTCGAACGAGCTTTTTCCGAGTCGAGTGTCGAGCCGCTCGCGAGCAGCTCGGCTCATTTGTAGCCCTATGCGGTGAGTCTAGGTCGCTCCAATCCTCCATGGAGGTTGGTTCACTGAGTTATGGAGAACCTAGAGCACTTATTCCTACCAGAGAGGTTGGTTCACTGAAGTCTGAATTTGAGTCGCTCCTATTAGCTACGGAGGTTGGCTTATTGTCTTCTGACTCACTATCGCTACTTAGCCAGAATACTTCAGCTTCAAGATCACCTTCTACGGGAGGAGGGTGCTACGAGCACGGAATCGGTGGGCGTAGTTATCAAAGTCGCACAACCAAGAATACGGTTTAAGATCAAGGATAAAACGGAATTGAAGTGCAATCTCACACTTGGTAGAAGGCTCTATCAATATAGGGTAGAAGCTCGACCACAATCAAGGGTATACTCATTTGATACAAAGCACACTCCGAAAGTCGGAGCTCAATGAAAAAGAATAAACTCAATAATCTTCAATATCTACAAATTCCTCTTAAAACTCGAGTTTAATCCATTTATACAGGCTAGAGAAACAAAAACCCAAAAAGGAAAAGAATCCTAAACATAAAAGGTAATTCCAACTCGTCAGCCCCCATCCCATGTCACCCTCCTTTAGATCCCCGATTAGTGATTAACATCTACCTGGCCGGGGGGTCTCCTGCTCCTATTCCCCAGTCGCCATCGAGTGATCTTGGTCGAGGAATTGGGTCCCTTCTAACTGGGGTTCTTCCATCTCCAGCTTATGTCTTGTCTCTTGTTTACTTTAATTAAACCATTAAATTGTGATGCCAGTGGGATTGCATCAGCCCCTCCCTATTGAAGAAGCTTTGCCCTCAAAGTTTGAGTAAAACACAATGCACCATACTCCCATTTGAACTAAAGCAATCAACAAAACTCTAGATCCAAACAAGCTTCCCAGCTGGCTTCCAAACGCTGCATCATCATCATCATCAAGAAAGAACAGACAACCTCCACAATCCCATGGAATCAATAGCTCATACAGCTCGACAAACAAGTGCCCAATCCAGGAACTTCGAAGCTCAAGTCGACGGTCCTTCCTTTGAAACCTCCATCCGGGTTCACTGTCTTATCTTCTCTTCTTTGTGTACAAGAAAATAAAATCATCCGTAGACAAATGAAGGTTACGTTACTTCGCACTACAGCTCGAATCAAAGTCGTCATTCAACTTGCAAAACTGAACATCGACGTCGAAATTATCGAGTTCTGCAGAATTGACAAGATCAATTCCCCTTCCTCCATGATTGATACAGTAGGTTTTTATTGATTGACTCGCATTCCCTAAGGTAGCGGCATCCTCATTCAATCCTTCTGGATTGGATTTAGCACATAGAAGTTCCAAAATTTGGTATTGCATCTTGAAATTTTGTTGGCGGTGATAATTTGGTCATCGGGCTGATTTCTGTCGGCTGTAGTTCACCTATTTAAAACTTGTTCTTCATAGGAAGCTCATCGCTTGATAGCTGAGACTATATAACACCTTCTTCAGCAGGCGCTTGGGCCCTAGCTGTTGTTTCTTTGACAACTATTGTTGTCGTAGATTGCTTTGCTTCCAAGGCCTTCTACTCCTCCTCATAGTCTCGTTGTAATTTCCTCCTGTCTTTAGAAACCTCTTCCAATTATAAAGTCTTAAAGGGAAATTTCTTTTCATGATGCCTTAAGATGATGTTGTGGGAGTTATTGTTTCGTTGTGCTTGGCGATCATCGTGCCATGGTTTACCAAGCACCACATGATTAAACTTCATAGACACAATATCACAATGAATCTTATCCATAATTTTGAACTCTAAAGACACTTGTTTAGTTACAAAACCAAAGGTCTTTTGCAGCGACAATTGCATAAAGAAAGGGCTAGAATGTCGTTGTGTAGTTAGCCCTAACTTAGCTACTGTATTGAACTCATCAAATTAGATTTGATCTCTCCATCAACAAACATAGAACACAATTTCTCTTGGACCAAGAAACGAGTGTAGAATAAGTTACCTTGTTGATCCAACTCTTCCTCCCTTGCTTGAGCTTGAAGGAAGCTTGTGATCTTCTTCTCCTTGCCACTGATTTGAACCGAAGCTCTGATACACTTGATAGGAGCACGGAACCAGTGCGCGTAGTTATCAAAGTCGCATAACCAAGAACAGGGTTTATGGTTAAGGATAAAACATAATTGAAGTGCAATCTCAAACCTGGGAGAAGGCTCTATCAATATAGGGTAGAATCTCGACCATAATCAAGGGGAATACTCGATTGATACAAAGCACCAATCCACAAGCAAAAGTTCAATGAACAAGAATAAACTCATTAATCTTCAATATCTCCAAAATTCCTCTAAAAACTCTAGTCTAACCCCTTTATATAGGCTAGAGAAACAAAAACAAAAAAAAACCAAAAAGGAAAAGAATCTGAAGTACAAAATTTAATTCCAGCTCGTCATTCCCGATCCCATGTCACCCTCCTTCAAATCCCCTATCAGGGATTAACATCCACCTCACTAGGGGTCTCTTGCTCATGTTCCCCTATCGGGGAATTGGGTCCCTGGTCGGTGTTCTTCCATCTTCAACCTATTCCTTCTCTCTTGTTTACTTTAATGAAATCATCACATTGTGATGCCATCAGGATTGCATCAGAGGGTCATTCTCCATCTCACTTACAAGGTCCAGGTCTTGAAGAACATCATTCACAATTGGAAACATAATGTGAGTGATCGTTCAAAATGCATAAAAATTGATCCCAAGTTTGATGAGGAGACGAGTTACCAGAGGTCCAAAGGGTAGGGGGAAAGCCAATGGAAGCATTAGGGTTTCATAGAGTAGGTGGGTAAAATCAAGAGGCATGGAGGCTACACCATGAGAGAGAATCCAGAGATCTAGAGGTATTTATGTGATTCCCGCAGCAAAAGAAAGAAATGGATTACTTGAGGACTAAGCCATTACTTTTGGCGGGTTCTTGGCAGATACTTGTTTCATTTTCTTTCCATTTTGACAGATCCTTGCTTTATTTCCTTTCTCTTTTGGGTGGATCATTAGTTTATTTTATTTCCCTTTTGGTATTTGCATTCCTTATTTGATAGAGAGGATTATTAAGCTTTAAATAAGGGTAGATACATTGTTTGTAACCTCTATAAATAGAGGAGGAATTGCCTAAGGGAAGGCAGAATTTTTTGAATAAGAATTTTACACCAAGATGTTTTTTCCCATGGAGCCGTCGTGCATATGGTTCTTTGTTTTTAGCTATTGGTGGATTCCATAGCTAGGGCAAGACCCTTGTTTGAGTTTTTCCCATGGATTCCATATCAGTGGACAGAGAAGAAGGTCTAGCAATGGTGGAAGCAATAGAGCAAGGTAATTTGTTTTGCACTCGCTGTTTGATTAAAGAGGAGTTGTTTCTTGTGCTGGTAGATGGAGGGATCAAATCAAATTTGGTCAGCTCAAGAACAGTGACGAAATTGGGACTTCCAATGCGTCTACATCCATCTCCAGGCATGCTACAGTTTCCTGGTAAGAAGATTTCAAGCATCGTGGTTGGACATGCTTCTGTGAAGTTTTCGATTGGCAGATATGAAGACATTGTTTTGTGCGACGTGGTGTCCAATCTCACAAACCAGATTGTGTTGGGACAAACGTGGTTCCAAGATCGTGGAGTTCATATGGTCAGCAGAAGGTCCAAAAGCTTTCGATTGCGGCATCAGAACAAGGTATTCATTTTGAAACCTTTATCCCTGGAGGAAGCTGTTGATGAGTGGAAGGTTTTGAAACGATTACAGCAAGAGTACGAGGAAGAAGCCTTGACACAGCTTGCAGCACAAATGACTCAAGTGGAAGCTATGCTCAAAACCATGGCTGAGCAGACATCGAGATCGAGTTCTCTAGTGCAGGAGAGTTCGAGTTCTGAAGAAGTCAACATTGAGGTAGAGGACGAGCTGAAGGAGGCCACCGATTCTTACAATTTCCTTGAAGGCAACGGTGTGGTTTCTCAAACATCGGGCACTTCAGAACAGCAGAAGGAGGCCACCGATTCTTACAATTTCCTTGAAGGCAACGGTGTGGTTTCTCAAACATCGGGCACTTCAGAACAGCAGAAGGAGGAAGAGGATTTCTCCGAGACGGTTGCGGAGAAGAAAGAGCAGATGATATATTGCGATCCTTTTTACGATTATTATGATGATGATCTCTCTTGCAGAAGCTTACAAGTTTTGAAGCCATCACTACCGTCAATGAAGATCAAGACACGGAGCTGGATTTCGTAGCTTCTGTGTGCCAAATCCAAAGCAGGTAGATTGAAGGACGACTTGCACTTCACATATCATAGACTAAAGCCCATGACTGATCGGTTGTCTGAGCTCTTGCTTCCGTGGAATTGTGGAGACTGTTTCTTATTCCTTGGTGATGATTATATAGGGAATTTCATTTGGAAGCTAGGATTGAAAGCTTTGAGGACAAAGCTACTTCAACAGGGAGAGAATGATGTGATTCCCACAATAGAAGGAAGAAAGGGATTACTTGAGGACTAAGCCATTGCTTTTGGCGGGTACTTGGCAGATACTTGCTTCATTTTCTTTCCATTTTGGCGGATCCTTGCTTTATTTCCTTTCTCTTTTGGGTGGATCATTAGTTTATTTCATTTCCCTTTTGGTATTTGCATTCCTTATTTGATAGAGAGGATTATTAAGCTTTAAATAAGGGTAGATACATTGTTTGTAACCCCTATAAATAGAGGAGGAATTGCCTATGGGAAGGCATACTTTTTTGAATAGGAATTTTACACCGAGATGTTTTTTCTCATGGATCCGTCGTGCTTATGGTTCATTGTTTTTAGCTATTGGTGGATTCCATAGCTAGGGCAAGACCCTTGTTTGAGTTTTTCTGTTGAAGATTCCAGAAGATCTTAGCAAGACTCTTATCAATCAAGCGATCACACTTGATTGTGGTGAGTATCTATCCTCGTGTATCTCTTTAATTTTATGTTTATTTGAAGATCTATTCGAGCTATCCGAGCTTGAGTTATTGTTGCGCAACTTAGATAAAAGAACCTAGGCTTTCACGAGCTCGGGATCTTATCAAGTGGTATCAGAGTCTGGTTCAAACTCAGCGGCAATTTGAGTGACAAGGAGAAGAAGATCACAAGATATGCTTCAAGCCATGATTGATCCAAAGTATGTGGCAGACATGAACGAGTTTTTCGAAGGCACAAAGAAACTATTTGACAGCGATCTTTGGAAGGATATGCAGAAGACGTTGGATGTCCTAGTTCAAGCAACGACCTTCCGCGATATTGAGGAGGAGGAGCAGAGTTTGAGTTATGAGGAGGAGACCTAACTGGTAACATAGTTTGAGTTATCTGCGCAACTTAGATAAAAGAACCTAGGCTTTCACGAGCTCGGGATCTTATCAGGTATAATCATATCTTGGAAGAGTGCTCCAGGAAGGAAGGTTTGTGTAAAGAAGTCGTGAAATACCCTTAAGCTTGAGGAAAAAGTGGAAGCTGGAACCATTTGAAGCGCATTGAGAGGATGACTAGTAAGTTGGATGGCTTCATGATCAATGTCACCCATAGGCTTACAGTTTTGAGTCATGGGCTAAGATATTTTCTCTATCAGGAATGTTGAGAAGGCGTCGCCGCAGCTCAAAAAGTTGGATGGTTATCATATGAGTGTGGAGGCCAAAGGTTCTGAGGTTGGAATAGAAATACCTTACAACTTCAGGATGGACTAGAGTGGTAGGCTCATCGAGGAGGAATTCTCAACCAAGATTATGAAGATATGGTTGGGTATTGATCTCATGGTTGACCATACGAGTCAAGGGCACTTGATCATATGGGGTTATTTCTCTATTGGTGAAAGGAGAGGTGGAGATGATTCCTTGAGCGTGTTGGAAGGGTTTTTAATAAGGGTTGTAGGTAAGCTTGCACTTAATGTTGATTCTGGCAATTTTGTCATAAATGGGAAGAATGAATCAGCCAAGGACTTAGACACGGAAGGATTTTGATTGTTTTATCATTGGTTTGGAAAGAGATTAATCATTACCACGAATCCCTCAATGATTTATTGATGATATGGAGCTTTAGGATATATAAATTGAAGATTAGTAATGAATTAGGAAGGCAAAGATTTTATTGACAAATGGTAAGATTTCTAAACTAAGCAATTTCGACAAATTTGGTTAGCCTTATATGTGTTATAATGACACTACTGACCTATACTGAGTCTTCACTACTGCTCCCCTCACGTTGTGCTTCGTTGATCCTCTTTTCAATTTGATCTTTCAATTTTTTTAGATCTATGCTATTGTGAGCTAAGGGATGTCTAGGGTTTCTCTCACTTGTTTGCGTATCCCCATCTGATGGTAGTGGTTTCTCAGTGGTGACAGGCACCAGTCTAATCTAGGATCTAAATAAAGTAGTGATGCTAAACTGGAACTCCATAGCAAACCCGTTTAGATCCATTCCAGCAGCCTGGAGGAACTAGGTTAGGAATGTGGCACAAGTTCCATATTCCGAGTTTTCTCCTCTTCGGCAATCTTGGCCATGTGGACATATATTAAAGGGCCAAATTCAATAGCTTTTTTTAGGCCACATGTTATAATGAAGAGATCAAGGGGTTGAAGGTAGGTATTGCTTTGAGCTCTAGGAAGAAAGAAGTGAGTTGTCAGCCAATTAAGAACTATGAGAGGCTTAGGCAAGTTTATAACTCTGAGGGATCCCTTTGTAATCTTCCTGGGTTCTTCTTCAAAGTGAAATCCATGAAACTTCCGCTCATTTTCACTTTGAAGAGCCTAACCTTTGAAGCAGGCATGGATTGATAGAGGCCAGGTGTGAGCATTGTGGACCATCCGCCACGGATTGAAGTAAAACTTCCTAACAATCAGTGGGCATATCAGGGGAGTTTGGTTTTTAGAGGTTAAAGAACTCTTTACAGTCTAGGTTCTTGATGAGTTGACGAACCTCTGTGGGTATATAAGACATGGAAGGAAATTCTAGTTCTACTATATGCGAATTTTAAAATAAACCTCATAGTAATCAGCCTGCCTTTCTACTGAGCGACACTCAACATTAGAATAAGCAAGAGATCTTCCCCAACCTTAAACTTTCTCAAAATGTTCTATATGTTTCTTGGTCAAATTTTCTAACTACAAAATCTTGAACCTCCATCAAGGGAATGAATAGGACAAAATGGATTTTAATGGGAAGGTAGTCCACAACAACATCACCTACATATCATTATGCCCAAAATGAATCTGTCACTTATGACATTAGAGTAAAAGTTTACATAAAACTAAAAATACTATTAACACAAATGAAATTAGAGTAAAAGTTTAGGATTATGGGAAAAACTAATAAATTATCAAAAATTTAGAAGACAATTTGTTAACATTCTAATCAGAGTGGCGCAGCGGAAGCGTGGTGGGCCCATAACCCACAGGTCCCTGGATCGAAACCAGGCTCTGATAGTTTTTTTTAGTTTTAGCTATTTGTATACGAGAAATTATTTAATGTGTATTTTCATTTTCCCTATGCTCTCTCATACCGTCGGTATTGCTCGACCTAGTTTTTCATCACCAAAACGGTTGCATCGCTAATGCCCCAATTGAAGGGTTGGGCTCCCTCCAGTATGTATTTGTCTGAGGTAGCTATTGAAAATTGTCTTAAATTCTAGCTAGCAACTAGAGCGAGTTGGGATTGGTTTCCATATATCAAGTGAGATAAAAGAAAAGGGGACAACTTGTTTGAAGGACTGTCTAATCAAGAAATTCCTTAGAGACTTCTCTAAAGTTTTCCTTTTCACAAACATGGACGAACAATTTATGGGGTGGACAAGGTTTGGCTCATTTTTTAAAAAAGAATTAGGCAACAAATTGTGGCTTTTGAAGTCATTTTAACATATTATCGCATCTTGAAATGTAAGAGGGTTTAAGAACCCTAGAAAATATATTTTTAGTAGTTATATTTTATGTTGATAAAGTAGATATTACAGCTATATATGAAACTAGACTAAAGATTAAGAGTAAGAATAAAGTGGCGAGGAACTTTCTAGTTGGTTGGCACTTGGGATGTATGATATGAACTATGATAAAACTCCTTTTGTGATGGTTTTTTTGGAGGATTGATGTGAAATTTAAGGTTCACGCTAGCTCATATCTCTTCATTCGTAGTTACATCGATGGAGTGAACAAAGTATCATTAACAACCCCAACCCTAGGCCGAGGGCATTAGGAAAAATAGGAGGCTTAAAGACCTGCTATTAAAACACCTATTAGTATTATGGGTTGATGGGTTTATATGGATCTCTCCAAGAAACAGAAAAAATATTTTATTGTTACCGAATTAATGATCTTGCATCGATAAATTGTTTTTTTGTATGTCTGAGCAACGATAGAAGGTAAATAATGCATAGTCCACATAAATCTATGTATTAGGTATTTTTTCAATGAACTTTTTTTGAAACAATGGTATAATAAATAATATGAGGCTATTAGTTTTTCCATTGCCTCTTCTTTTTCATTGGTTGTTGACCCCAAGATTCGAACCTAGAGTATGGTGGATGTTCTCATCTTCATATTATCTTTTTTTTTTTGCAACAATTCTAGTTTTATTTGGAGAAACTGTAAAAATAAAGATTATAATATTTTATTTCTAACGCATAAACATTATACGGTAATGGCTGGTATACACCAAGTGATCTTGCCCTTAGATGCACTTCAATGAGCTCCGACGAATCTCAATGGTCAATTGTTATTTTCTATTAAATTGAACTTCAGGTTTGGGTTTAGAGAATCGGAGCCTGGGGTTAATCCATTAGAGTTTAGGGTATAGTATCATACCCCAAACTCGGTTTAATTCATGGTCTAGATAATGATATCTCACAAAGAGTACCTGGAGCATATTATACTCAAGGAGTACACCAGTCAGACCCAACATTATACATAGTTAGCAACCGGATCAATTTTTGATAATCCAGAATTCAAAAGCTAAATAATCATTCTTCTAATTATTAATCAATCAGTCTTTTAGCATGGTATTAGAGCTCTTCTAAGCCTCTGCTCACTTTCTTGCTCTTGTCTCTCGTTTTACTTCCTCTTCTCCAATTTTTCTTCGTCCTCCTATGGAGGTACACTCTTCTTCTCCTTCTGGGGATGAAGCCATAAATCCTCACACTAGAGGTCATTCGTTCTCCAATGGTGCAATTCTTTACCACCACGTTTCAATTTCGAATCACGTGAGTCCATTCTTCATACATCCTTCTGGGAATTGGGGCAATGTCTTGTTTATCAACCCCGGAATGAAGGAGATTTCTCCAATTGGGAGCGCTCCATAGTGATCGTCATGGATGGAAAGAACAAACTCGATTTCTTAAATGGGAAAATTATCAATCATAAGATGATTCTCCTCTGTTTGAGTCTTAGAGCCTGTTTACCCATAAAAAGAGGGTTGTTATTTCCCGTCCTAGACTTTACTATATCTCGCCCATAAAACTTGTGGAAAAGTTGATTTGGCCCTTTTTTCTAACAAATTATTTAGAAAACAAAATCCCAATTAAAGCAACGACAACAAAATTTGCAGAAAAGTGCCAGTACAAAAAAATGGCATGTATAAAAGTGGAAAAAAAATTTGGCAAAAAATAATTAATACAAAAAAATGACTTTCCGGTAGAAAAATCAATTTACCAGCAACGGGTGGAATTGTCCGACGGTGGGTGGGCCTCTAAAACGACGTCACACAGCGTCCGAACTTCGACGTCGGGCCACGTCCGATCTCCAACGTCAGACCGCGTGCGATCTCCAACGTCGGACCGCGTCCGCACCCCAAAGTTGGATAGCGCATCTCCGCTGGACGATGGGGATGCGATGACACCGAAAATCACCTCGCAGAAGAAAAGGTAAGGTTAATCATTGCAGGGATGTCGAGAGATTTGGGGGCTAAGATCAGGTGACTAAGGGGGAGTGCCTTAGTCACATGACTAAGTAAATCTCAGCCCTTCTACCTCATTAAAATCCAATGGCTGAGATTAATCCAATTTAATGAAGGACAATGTAGTAATTAAACAAGTTATTTATTTAATAATTAAAATAAAACTAAAAATATGTTGGGCCCACGGGCGGAGCTGTCCCGGGTCGGTTAATTCTTGGCGGCAGAAAGCAAGCCGATTTCTGCCCCGGCGGTGGTTTGGGGAATTTTGATGACGGGCGGAATTCTCCCCGGTAGTGGTTGGGGGAGAATTTTTTTGGGGATTGCTAATTGTCGCCCTAACTTTTATTAATCGCCCTAACTTAAAAGATTGGAATTCCCACTTTACCCTTATTACTTTTTTATTGTTAATATATATTTTATTCTAATAAACACCATCAATCCATCTATAAAAAAAATAAACATAACCAATCCAAAGACGACACTTATACATGATTGCAATTTGCAACCAACTTGTTATCTTAAATTCTAGGGTTTCAAACATTTCAAATGAGTTTTGGGGGTTTGATACTTTGATTACAGAATTTTCTTTTTGGTACAAAATTTCCGACTACAGAGAACGAAGAAAAATCATGCAGTGGCTGTAGAGTAGGGAGACTTGGCCGGCGAAATTTAGAGCCAGATTAGAGGTCGTTTTCCGGCGATTTCAATTATGAGATATACCACTATATATCAAAGATTGATATTTTATTCTAATGGATCATGTCATGTTGCCGTCCTCACTTCGTCACTGCGGCTGGGGGAGGGAAAAGAGACGATGTATGTTGGAGAGAAAGGATAGACGAGTCGGTTGATTCTAGAGCGCTACAGCGGGGGCCATTGATTAGATGACACATGCAGCGGGTAGAAGGAACGACAGCGAAAGGGTGTTGTAAGCGCAGGAGTTCGGTTGCGGTTGGTTGGATGCTACCCGCCGGTGAATGAAGAATGTGCAAATGCTCGGTGGTGGAGGACTGTTTGGCGGCTGCGATGCAAAGGAGGGTTATGAATTTTAGTCGGTGTTTGCATTATTGAATTGGGTTAATACCCTCGTTTGGCACGAAGTATAGCGTTAGTGACATTTCTGGCCCCAGTTTTCAAATAAGACATCTCTGGCCCACTTTTCAAATTATCGGACAAATTTGGCCTGTGGGACGGGTTGAATGTCAGATTTGACGGTCAACCATTTTCTCCGTTGCTGACTCAGCATTCGACTATGACGTGGCTTGTCCACGTCATTTACTAATTTTTCTTTAAGAAAAACATAAAAAACATAAAGGGAAGCGGAGACACGAGGACGCAGCCCTACCCTTTCCCCTTTCCCCTTTTCCCTTCGATTGTCTTCTTTCTTCATGCAAAACCCTACCATACCAGAGCTCCTCTGAAAACCCATCGGCGTCGCTAACCCTCGTCGCCTGTGTCGCCGGCGCCAATCCTCTTCCTCTTCGTCTCCTTCCCTCACCACCTGCCATTCCCCTCGCCACCTGCCATTTATCACGCCGCCAATCCTCTTCCTCTTCGTCTCCTTCCTCCTTCGTCTCCTTCCCTCTCCAATCTTCTTTCTCTTTGTCGCCAACCCATCGAGAGGAAGCAGCCATGTCATATGCTAAAAGGATGGGAGGGGGAAGTTCAGCCGGTTCGAGTTCTACAAACACACATATCGAGAGGTGCAGATGTCTAGAACAGAGGACAATCCGGGGAGAATGTTCTATTCCTGCCCGTATTGGCAGGTATGTTTTCCGATGTCTCAATTTGTTCCCGAAATGGTATTCTTCTTTAAATTTAATCAACTTCCTTAATGTAGGATGCTAAGGAAGGTTGTCGTCATTTTAAGTGGTGTGATCGGAGAACATCAGCAAATTCAAGTGTGCTTGAATCTTTTATGGAGGAGAATGCTCTGTTGAAATCGAGAATCTGTGAGATGGAAGCTGAGATTGTCACTTTAACTCAAGGAATTGAATGTCGTATTAGTGATGTTGAAGAAAAGGTTGAGAAGAGGAAGGAAAAAAAGTTTGATGTGGCCAAAGAGTTTGAAAAAATTGTTGCTACAAGTGCTCGAAGTTGTCTTGAATTGGAGAATTTGGGGCATACTGTTTGTAAACTTCAGAGTAGGGTGAATCATTGTTCTATCGGTATTAGTTTGCTGTGTGTTTTATACTCTGTTAGTTGGCTCCTACATGGGTAAAACGTGTGTAATGCAGTAGTTGTCGAGTTAGCTTCAAGTTGAGCAAGTTTGATGGCAGTACTTGTCACGTCAGCTTGTAATGTATTGAAGGTCAACTTTGTTGGATTGTAATGCATTGAAGTTAAAGTTTGTTTGCTTGTAATCCATTGAAGCTGTAGTTCGTTTGCCTGTAGATACCATAACCCGGAAACAAGTTCATGAACACAAATCTCCACTTTCATAACCTGAATTCAACATGAACACAAGGTGACATAACCTGGAAACAAGTTGATAACATGGAAACAAGTTCACGAACACATTTTAATAAACGCACAATTCCATAACCTGGAAACAAGTTCATGAACACAACTACACAAATCCTAGACGTCTGAAAACCGCATAAACCATGTTCCATAAACCATGTTCCATAACCTGAAAAGAGCATAAACCATGTCCATACGCGAGTCTAGACATTCCCTAACACATGCCTATTACATGTTCAAAATACAAAAGAAGGGAGATGTCATTTTCTTGGTTCATCATATCCACCCTTGCTTGTTTACTGTGTCTCGGGTTGAGTCGATGGAGGTTAAGTAATGTTCATGGGTGGATGATCTAGTTCATTTGGTCCCCTCCTACCTCCTTGTTGTGGAACTCTAGTACTCATCTGCAATATCAGGCAACAATTAGCATTATCTTCACCTAAGAAGGCAATCTTCATGCCACATCGAGTTTTAAAAAGAGAAGCTAACCCGAGAATACATGTTTCCAGAAGTAGGATCAATGTAAATGCTGATTCCTTGTGCAGTCCTCCGCACTTCCCGTTCCATTTGTTGCCTGCTACAAGTACCCATGCTTTCAATCTGTAACATAAAAATGAAGACATAAAAATAAATGATGTGGACAAGCCAAGTCAGAGTCGAATGCTGAGTCAGCAACGGAGAAAATTGTTGACCGTCAAATCTGACAGTCAACCCGTCCCATAGGCCAAATTTGTCCGATAATTTGAAAAGTGGGCCAGAGATGTCTTATTTGAAAACTGGGGCCAGAAATGTCACTAACGCTATACTTCATGCCAAACGAGGGTATTAACCCTATTGAATTTGGTTTAATGAGAAAGGATAATTTAGTAATTGTATATTATCAGTTAGGGCGATAATAGTAAAATCAGGGCTACGTTTAGCCATTCAGTTTTTTTATGGTGGGCAGATTGTTTGGCTCACTATGTACGAGAGAGAGAGAGAGATGTCTGTCGAACTATTTTGTAATGTTTGTAATTTTGTATTAATTAGGTTTGTATCGTTTATCATTCCAATTTGTCATTTTTATCTATAATGTTTGTAATGTTTATATGACTAATTTGTATATATTATAATTTGTAATGCTTGTTTGTCAATTTTGTATACTTTGTATTTATTGGTTTGTAATACCAGTTTATAGATTTGTATTATAAATAGTTGTTTTTTATACGGTTATTATGGTTTGTACTAATTGTCGTTTCCTTTTGCAAAAGTTGTAAGCTTGGTTATTTTTGTAATGTTTGTTGCTTTCTTTTGTGATGTTTGTAAGTTTTGGTATTTTTGTCCATCATGTTTGTTATTTTTGTCAATTATGTTTGTATATTTTTTATTTGTATGCTTTCTATTATTGGTTTGTATTGTAAGTAGTTGTAATTTGTACAATTAGTATACTTTGTATAAAATGTTAGTATTATTTGTATATTTTTATAAAGTGGTTTGTATATTTTGTAATATTAATTTGTATACTTTTATGATGTGGTATGTATACTTTGTAATATTCAGTAGTGATATTTTCTGTTTTTAGTAATCTTTGTATATAATGTTAATTGTATACTTATATAATGTGGTTCTAATACTTTTTAATAATTCTTTGTATACTTTTATGATATAGTTTGTATACTTTATATTGTTGATTTGTAAAGGAATTCACAACGATATTGTAAGTAGTTGTATTTTGTATACATGGTAATATTAGTTTGTACATATTTGTGATATAATTTGTACACTTTTAAATAACATAGTATTAATTTTTCATTATAATGTTTGTATATGATGTATTTTTACTTTGTATATTTTTCTGGTATGAATTGAACATTTTGTAGAAAAACATTGATAAAAAAAAGAAACAAAGAAGAGGCACGTGAGTGGGATGGTTAAAATCACTTATTAGTGATTAATAAAGAAAGAATCAGTGTAATGGGAAAAAAAATAAAGAAGAACAAGCTGAATTATGAAAAAAGAAGGAGACGTGCGCGGGCTGTGGCCCGTGGGGAAATAAAACAATAAAATAATGAATTTTTATGATATCATAACTACCATTTTCATTAATTAAATATCCCTTCCCATTTTTTAACCATTAGATTAATGGGTCCAGATCTAAGGGTTATGAGAGATTTAGTCACTTGACTAAGCACCCCCATTAGTCACAGGATCCGCACTCAGAGATTTGGGGGAAAGAAAGAATCGGGGAAAGAATAATAAATTTTTTTTACGGAGCTATTTTAAACGTTGAAATACAATTAACAATCAATGGGGGGATTAATGAGAGAAGAGTTAATTTTCGATGCAATTAGATGCGCCCCTTTCTGTCTGCAATTATTTAATTACCATAATTGCCTTAGTTAATTTTGGGCGACCCTCTGAAACTAGGACGCCCTCTAGGACATGCAGCACACGAGAGATGATGGTTAAGTTAGAAAGTTAGATAATTTAAGATTTAAAATAATAAAGGGCAAAAATGTCATTTTATTTAAAACCACAGGCGGCAAATAGCAGTTCATAAAAAAATTAGCTTGTACAATATCAATTAATTATCAGAAATTCAATGGATTTATAAGGGCAGCTCAACATTAAATTTGTGACACTTGCGATGTGAGGATCTTGCCATGAATGATAAGTAACAAGTCATGTGACTAGGTCTATGGAGGCCCTTATGATCGTTTGATTGGTGGGTATACCATACAACTTTCATGGCATGAGTAGCTGACTGGGTGTCTGACATGGATTGTTTACCATCCATGCCACTCAATCCAATTGGGCTTACCTGTTGAAAGATCTAGGTGGATGTTATATGATCGATTGATCAATGCCTAGAATTTCGAGCCCTATGTCTCCTCCCTTTGGGACATGAGGTGTCAACTAGTTTCAAGGGTAACCGACCACCATGATGGTCAGCATGCCAATCCTTCCTCGCCCTAGGCCATGGCACAATATCGTCTTGATGCCTTATGGGCGTGGTTTCCGTAGCTAACTAGGACATGGATGAGTATCTCAACTAGTGGATTGGCCGCATTCGAGCTGGCCAAATAAGTTAATGATATAAGTCCTTGTCCCAATCAAGTGTGGTGCTTGCCTGCTTGGTCATGTCAGATTAGGTGGTGGTGGGGGGGGGGGGGGGGGGGGGGGGGGAGGATTCCTAATTTTTAGCCTCTCGTCCTTTTGGCTACGGGAAAAAAGGAACGATCATGATTCGGGTGATGATAAGGGGACACAAGCTTGTTTTAGTTGGTCTGTGGGCCGAGTACGGACGTTTTGCGGCCTAGGATTACTAGCCCTGGTCATTTGCCTGGATTTATAACTTGAAAACTCGATCAAGAGTTCTATTTTCATTGATTAGGCCGGTATCAGCGCTCGCCCAAGCTTTATACACAAAAGGAGCCGAATAGGAGAAGGAAACAAAAAAAAAACTTCCTCGTGTTTTTCTCCATTTAACACTGAGCTGAGACATTAAAAAAATGGGCAGATCATAAATTTTAGCTCCTGGCTTGTTGGTACCTAAACAATCACTAGAGTTTCTCTAACTTGCTGCTTTGTAAGTCGAGTAGGAAGAAAGAAAATTTATTCGGCTTGGCTTGGCTTGGCGGCCTCACTTATGGGTTTCTTTGGGAGTAGTATCTTCAAATGTAATATGTTTAACTTATTTGCTCGTATGATTGTGTAGTATATATTTTATAATATTGATGTCCTCTATTTATTAGTGATTCTCATTTGAAAGCATTATTTTATATTTGTGATTTGTATTAATAGTGATTAACAATTATAAAATTTCTAAATCACTACTGAACATAATTAAAACAATACAAGAAAATATAAAATTACTACTATAAACTACAAAAATCACTACTAATTTAAGCAGAAGCAACTTTTCTATAATGATTTTTTTTTCACGTTGAAAATCCCTATTAGAAAGAGGAGATAGATATTTCAAATATTAATTAATTTAATAATTTTTAATTTTTAAAATACCGAATAAACCCTTCCTTACTCTCCCATCGTCAGATGTAATTAATGGTAATTATAATAGTTAGCACTCTGCCTTGCAGCACCACCACATTACCACAACTATTTTCTTCTCTCATACTCCTCCAAGGATACGTAAACTACTTGGCGATAGGAAAATGTCTTACCTCGCAAATATCTTTAACCTAACCGTTCATCCATCATCCGTCGAAATTGCACAAACAATATAACTTGTACATTGGATTTGGTTTGGCCCAATAATTGGGATATCAACGAGCACATGGTAACTCTCTGAGGGTCGTTTGCATGAGTCATTTACAAAATGAGATATGTGTCTAAATATAGGCATTGCAAATGCATTGTTTGTTTAAAAGTTTTTAGATGGGTCATTTTTAAATGAGTTATTTGTGTAATGTTACCATTTTTCCCTTACATGTAATATGTTTCGTTATTTTATTTTTTATTATAATAAAACCAACCACATAAACAAAATCATTTTTCAACCAACTAAGCATTATTTGGGTGTTTTTCATGTATAATACTATCTAAAATTAAATAATAATTACATCTCTACTTTCTTTATAAAAGATAACTCCTCCATAAGTCTCGAAGTTTAAGCTAATTACAAATGGTTGTGTTTGTGAACGAAAATGATGTACCATTACGTAGATGACCGACCCTCTTCACCGTTAATGAAATTTGGGAGAAAGTAAAAATAATTCACAGAGAAGACGTAGCAATGACATAAAAAAAACAAATAATAGAAAGAGAAGGATAAAAGTGGGCTTACATAAAATAGAAAGGACATGATTGAAACATTTGAACTAAATAATAAGTCATATGAAAATTACTCGATAGAGTCATTTTGAGACTTTCGTATGGACGAAATGACTCATACATTTTTTCTCGTTAATAAACGAGTCAATTGACATCAAAGGAGTCTATTGGTACCAAAAGACTCAAGCAAACTACCGTTTGACAAAAACTTTTCGCGACGAAGGAAACGAGGTTAGTAGTAGGCCCCCGCATTGTGCGCCAATCCAAACCACCAGTAGTCGTCAACAAACATTTTTTATCCGCCAAAGCCAAACACAGCCGGCGGTCTAATCATTTCCTTAGTTTCCGTTCCCATATACAGTCAGACCGCTCCAGTCTCGCCATATCCAATTCGAATCCACAGCTGCGGCAACCGATCGCAAGGAAAGGAGAAAGAAAAAACCCGTCATCGATTTCAACTCTCGATCGTTTCAGCAGTCAGTCAGTCATCTACCAAGTCACGACGACGATGGCGGCAGAGTCACCTTTCAGGCCGGAGATACTCAAGGGGAAGGTGGCTCTGTTGACTGGAGGCGCCTCTGGGATCGGCTACGGGATATCCCTCGAGCTCGGGAAACACGGCGCCTCCATCGCCGTCATGGGCCGCCGCAAACACATCGTCGATTCCGCAGTCTCGTCCCTCCGATCCCTCGGCGTCCCCGTAAGTGCGAATCAATTGGTTTTCTGCAGTCGTCCATGTCATTGGGGTAATTTTAATCTATTTCTTCTCTCGTTTCAATTAGGCGACGGGGTTCGCCGGAGACGTTCGGAATAGAGAAGACGCGGCCAGAGCAGTGGAAGGGACGGTGAAGCATTTTGGGAGGCTTGATATCCTCGTCAACGCCGCAGCTGGGAATTTCCTCACGCCGGCCGAGCATCTCTCTCCTAATGGCTTCAAAACAGGTTGCCATCTCATCTCCTCTCCTCTCCTCAATCTCCGTAGATTTAACCTGACGTTCCTGTTTTCAATTGGATGGTGGCAGTGATGGACATCGACGCCGTCGGGACATTCACAATGTGTCACGAAGCAGTGAAGTATCTGAAGAAAGGAGGAGAAGGCAAAGACCCTTCGCACGTTGGTGGCACCATAATCAACATTAGCGCAACTCTACATTACACTGCAACTTGGTACCAAATCCATGTCTCTGCTGCCAAGGTGAGCTAAAGCTTAGCTAGTACTTCTTTCGACGCCTTCTCTTCTTCGATCGCACGAAGTTCATCGAGAAGGAATTTTGAATCCGTTAGGCAGCAGTGGACAGCGTAACACGCAGCCTGGCGCTGGAGTGGGGAACAGACTACGACATAAGAGTGAACGGGATCGCTCCAGGTCCGATTCAGGACACTGCTGGTGTCAGCAAGCTGGTGCTGCCCAACATAACCAAAGAGAACGACCCGCTGTTCCGGCTGGGGGATAAATGGGACATCGCCATGGCAGTACTCTACCTAGCATCTGATGCAGGTTTTGTATAACTCAATCCATCCGTCGTCTTCTACAAGTTGATTGGAATCCCTTATCCTACTGTGCTCTTTTCAGGGAAATTCGTGAACGGGACGACTATGGTGGTGGACGGAGGGCAGTGGCTGAGCAAACCCAGGAGTTTGGCGAAGGAGGATGTGAAGCAGCTGTCGAAAGTTGTTGAGAAGAGGTCAAGAGAGGTACCAGTTGGCGTCCCAAAGAGCAACCTGTGAGAAACATCATCATCGTCTCGTCCTTTCTTCTCTACTGGCGTTTCCCGAAGAAAAGGAATAGATACAAAGAATGGCACATCACCATCCTCATGATTCCTGATTATTGTTGCCTTCTTCCACAGAAACGGACTACCGTTTTTCTTTTGTCTTGATTACTGTTTTTAATAAGGTCTTTGTTTAGATGAATATCATCCTCCTATGGATGCTACTAGTCCTATTTTCCATTGCCTCATCAACACAAGAAGCTGGAGTTCACATTACAAACCTTATTGATACTCAACTTCCAACAAATCTCTTTGCAACAAACTCACAATGGTCGCAAACACAGATGTAGAAGGAGAATCCTGAAGGCCATTCATCCCTTAATCACAGAGAAGAATGGAAGTTCTACATTACGAATTCGGCTTATACTATTCGTTCAATGCCTCGTTTTTTTCTACCTCCGAAATGAACTCACCCTAACCACTAATTGAGCAAGACTAACATTCAATCTGATAGGCGAAGATGAAACTATCAACCACATGGAACTCAATCAAATCCTCCTGGAGTTAGTGAGAAGAGCTGAGGTTGAAGGATTTGTCAAATTCGAGACGAAAACCAACTAGTGACAAACCTCTACACAGCTATATACTGTATTCGGCCAAATGATCTGCACCGATACGATGCATTCACTAATCAAAACCTACTGTTAATGCAGTTACCATATATGTATATCAAGGGATCGAATAACAATTTGGCAAGCTAGCTAGAAAAAGCAAAAACCATTCCTTAACGCAATTGCAGGAAAATATGCATTAACTGACATCAAGAACAGCAGGCAACTACTTGCAACTCATAATACTAGTGCTATTCATTAAGCATCAAACAACAACAACACAAATGCTTTCTTAACATTGGTGGGCACATCAAAGGATGATACAAAGATTACTTAAAACCAAGTTCTTACTGCAAAATGTACGATTTCCCCCACTTTTCTTAACCTCTTCCGTGTTCACAAAGAAAGCAATAACTTCCCAGGTATTCTATTCACCAGTTACTACATACATAAGAGCCTTGAAACGGAGATGACAGTTTCTTGTTGTCTACCTGTTTGTCAATTACATTGGCCACCCGCCCGCATCAAGCATCCAAGTTCTCCAGCTGAATGCTGCTCTTGAGTGGCACGTACTCTCCGAGGTACCCGCCGAGCTGATCATGCAAAGCCATCTTGTCGATCCCCTGGTGATGGTAGCTCTTGCAGACATAGTAGAACACACTCTGAACCAGCAAACCCACCAGATTCACGATCACCAAAACCCCAACCAGGAACCCACCCACGACGATCCTTGTGAACACCCCGTGACCCTCTCCGCCGTGAACCACCACGGATCCGAAGATGCCCCCAATCACCCCACAGATGGCCAAATACCCAAACACGAGCACCGCGGCAGCTCCGGCCTTCCCCTTGAGCAGCTCGTAGCTCTTCTTCATGGCGGCGAAGCCGTATATGGGCTCGAGGACGGAGACGACGCTGGCCATGTGCCAGAGGGCGGTGATGTAGACGTGGACCACGAGGAAGAGGATGAAGATGACGATGAGGGAGAAGAGGACGAGGAGAGGGTTCTGGGTGTCGATGGCGATGATGAAGATTACGAGGAAGACGAGGAAGACGGTGTTGTAGGCGAGCATGAGGAGGGCGACGAAGACGAAGGTGATGAAGAGGCGCTTGAGGACCTTGGGGATGGCGGAGAAGGTGGAGGAGAAGGAGACCGGCTTGGAGGTGTAGAGGGAGGCGACGGTGAAGACGACGGCGGCGGTGGAGAGGAGGGAGAAGGCGAAGAGGAAGATGAGGTAGCAGAACTGGAAGACGAGGAGGAGGGTCCACTCGTGGCGGGTGGTGGCCGGATCGTCGGTGGGGTGGTTCTCGAGGTGGGAAAGGATTGGGTGAGTGAAGAGGGAGTGGGCGAGGATGGCGAAGGAGAGCGGGAAGATTAGGGTTAGGGTTATGAGGTAGAAGGTTTTGGGGGATTGCTTCGGGATCGAAATTGATTCCCTCAGAATGTCTGGGATTGAGAGGAATTGGAGCTCCTCCGCTGCTAGATCCATGGCGGTTGAAGCGATTACCGGCGGAGTGAGGAAGATTGAGGGGACGAAAAGAAGAGGATTTGGTAGACTGACGAAAGAGAGAAGGAGCAAAGAAGAGAGAGATAGAGAAGAGACACAAGCGATGAGGTCTCTGGAAACTCTGGATTTGGATTTGTAGCAGAAGATGGGGAAAATGGTAAAGAAGCAGCGAGGAAGGAAGACACCGCTGAATAAAGTTGACTTGTTGACGATACTTTTTGGGCCTGTTCTCCGTCAACGTTTGGGCTTCTGGGCCTCCAAACCGCGTGTCCTTCCCCTTAAGTTTCGAGTTCCGACTCGGTTGCTGTGAGTGAACTGTGTACATCTAAAGATTATTTTGTGGAAATATGTGGACAGTTTCTATCAACAAAATATATAACTATAAGACTCTATTTGGATGCAAAATTTGAGAATTTTATAAGGGATTTTAAAACAATTATTATACATTATGTCGAATCTTAAAACAATTTTGCATCTCCATCTCTTTCAGGATGTAGCCATCCTACTCGACCCTTCCTTTATTTGGTGTTGCTGGTAATCCTTCAAATGATACATTGCACGTGCCATTATTTCATCTTCCGCCGTCTTTTGACCTTTGTAAAGCTGAGTCAACACTTTACAAAGCATAGAGATCTACATAAAGTGATTGTCTGAAAATTCTCGACCCCCACTAAAACTCCGCAAAGGTACTAGCTTGAGTTTCTCTAGCATCACAGAAGAGGAACCTGTCGCTCAATTCTTTAATTTGAGCACTAACCCTATCCCTTGTTGCTAGTAAGTTTTGAGTAAAATTACACATTAAATGTTTAATCTTAGGGGGGACATTCATACCCCATAGTCAGTTCCATGTTGCACTATCCCTGGCCACTCAGAATTCGCCCTCCTCAAGAAAACTTACTAGCCATTTTCGATATCCATCATTTACCATATAGTCTCCACTAATGGTATATTGCCAAATCGTTTCATCCCTTTCCCCATTACTCTGGATCGACATTGAGAAATGGTGAGTACTATGTCCGCTGGGAAAAACAAAACTTCCGAGTATTGTCATATCCTATTGTTTCCTATCTTCATTCATCAGCTCACTCACTATGGCTTCCACCGACAGTTGCTTAAGTGCAGATGACAGAAAACAACTCGGTACAGTGGGAAATCTTGGGCACTCATGGGATTCCTCCATATGAAGTTTGGGTGATATCCAACTCTCACCTCCAACACATAACCGTTCTTGTGGTACATCGGCTTTAGGATTTGGGCAATTAGAGAGTTTGGATTCTTATGAATTCCAAAAAAAAAAAAAAACAAGAGAGCCACGTCGAACCCAAGGAGGTCCCTGAATCCCATTACCGGATTACCCCAACCTAATGTTCATTCAATAATTTTTCCTGGTTGATCTAATGATTTCTTCTTTATGTGCCAAATTGTCCCCACTATAAATTCAAATATGAAGTTATGGACCTCGCCGATCACCCCTTCACTACCTTAAACAATGACATCACATAAGTAAGTTGAGCATGTGTCGTTAATTTTATTAGCGCCTCCCTTGTTGTGACCGAGGGTGTTTTTCCTTTCCATCCTGTCAACTTCTTACATACTCTATCAACCAAATCACCAACACATTTCCTTCTTATATCGAGCCACCATCATTAAGTCAAAGTATTTATCGTGATTGTGGACTAGTTTCATCCCCAATATGTCACTGATTTCAAAATTTTGATACGGCTTAACATTTTCGTTGAAGGAGAACTCAAATTTCTGGAAGCTCACTTGTTGTGTTGAATCTTGTTTATAGTCCATAAAAAATCTTCTTCATTTCCATTTGCTTGAGTAGTGGCCCTAGAAAAAATATATTATCGTTAGTGAAAAAACATGTGCAAAACCATCAAGGTTCATTGTGCAGGTTGAAAACTATGAAGCTTTCTTTGCTCTATGGTTGATATCGTAAATGAGAACAGACCCTCAACTTAGAAGACGAATGGATACGTCGATAGTAGAATATCATGCCTGGACAAAATGCTAGAAACTTGTGTCCATTAACCAGTACATAATAGGTTATTGTATTAAGCAAATCATAATAAGCTTCACCCGTTGATTGTCAAAGCCCGTTCTCAGCACCATACCCTTTAGAAAGTGTTACTCCACTCTATCGTAGGCATTCGCTATGTCAATCTTCATCGCGAGATACCCACCTTATCTTTGGGGTTTTGCTTGAATGTAAGGAAGCAATCAAAAGCTACCACGACGTTATACCCAGTGTTGTCAGAATTGAGTCAGTGCATGATCTGGTAACATGAACGACTCCTACTTTAGTGGTTCAACTGATACAAAATTATTAAAAACTTGTCAGAGAACCGGTACCTTATAAACAAATAATATCATAAATAAAAGACACACAAAGTAATAATTTAACAATTTAATGGCTAAAATGAATTTTACTTTGCAGGTACCACTTGTATTTTTACATTATATATATATATTGCCATTGAAAACCCTAACTCACCCATCTAGGCGATCACCCCTTTCTCTTCTCTCTCAGTTCCTCCCTCTCTTCTCTTACTCTATGAACCAAGAAGCCTTTCTTTTCTATTTCATTTTCTCGTGTCTCTTTTGGGATCCATATCTAGATCTCATTCTTTTGTTTTCCTTCATCCACTTCTTCCTCTCTCGTTTCATTATTGATCTTCTTTCTTCCACTTCTTCCTCTCTTCCCAACAACAGGTTGGACGTGGAGGGGATCACCGATGGAGGTGAGGTCGAGGAAGACCTCCAGAGGAATAGAGAGAGATGGCAACGACTTTCTTTCTACAGTATTTTTTTCGGGCAGAAGGGCAAAAACCGATTGATCACCTCGAACAGTTAACCATTTCGGCTGCTCGCTAACCAGTCTTTCTGACCATCGTGGCTTTGGGAGTGTTCCGAACCGGAATTGATGGTCGGGTATCAGTTTTATCGGTCTGACCGGCCGGCTCGTCTCGCCTTTGACAACACTAATTATACCCCTTCCTAGATCAAAAGCAAACTGCGAAGGGGACACAATCTTATCCAATAGATGCTTCATCCAGTTTGCTACAATACAATAAACAATCATTTAGCGTCGATTATTTTATATATTTTAACCAACAATTTTTGTGTGTGAGTTCAATTAAATGATACAAAACGTGTCGACACTAACCAAATCCGTCCCCTTAGAGAAACCGACATAAACTATTTTGCGTTGATCTTAATCGACACTAATTATATATTGGAAAATTCCATTTTCATAATTAAATTCATTATTAGTTAACCTACTTGATATCATCGACGCAAATTATCATATTTAAAAAAATTCCAAGATCTTCGCCATCAGAGCCTCTCGATCTCTCCTCCAATGGACCCGAGCATGGCCGCCTCATTGCAAAGATCATCACTGCCTCGTCACCCAGATCGACGCTACCATGTCACCCAGTTTGAGACCAGATCCTAGATCAAGCTTTGGGGCAACCTTCCTTCCGAGTTGAGACAAATCAGACTTCCGACTCAGCCACCCATCCCCGAGTCATCATCGAGTTTAATCGTCTCTGCCATTTTCCGTTGGGCTTCTAACAAGCCTTACGATCATGAACCATCATATGAATGTCAGACCTAGAAAAGGTTAGGCTATGTAGCCTTCACCAGTGCCCGCTCCCCTGCTACCAACCCCATAAGTTGTGCCAATGTGGGATCTGCCAAGCAAAACTCGCCGACACAAGGATTTTTTTCCGCCTTCCTCGTGTTCAGATCAGAACTTAAGATCTTGCCTTTATTTGACGAAAAGGGAAAAGAACGGACCACAAGCTGAATCGTCAGACCCTTCTCCCCTCCAGCCAGATTTTTGAAGAAATCGGAAACCCAGATCGTTGATTGAGTCATAGGACCCCTTAGCTACTTTCTCTGGGCCAAAAAATTGAGGAGCCTAGTAGCGAGATACCGGAAGGATCCTAATCTTCCCCACATCACCAGTGGTCACTAATGTGATCGGTGGCGAGGACAACACGACCTCTCCTTCCCTGCATTCTTCCCTCGCAAGAAGACCCCTCCAAAACCAAACAAGAAACCAAGTTCAGAACCTTTTATATCAAAATCATCTAAAGGAAAACTAATCCAATAAAAAATTGAGATCACTTTCGTCAAATCAAAATAAAAAAATGATATATCTTTCTTCTTCTTTCCTCGTCCTGGCTTTTTTTGGAGGCGAGTATGAGAGGAGACGAATATCTAAGGGGAAGGTCTCCTTCGTCGTCGTTGTCTCAAGAAGAGAGATGAGCAAGAATTCGCTTTTCTCTTTTGGTTAAAAAAAAAAGAATAAGGAAGAATGAAGTAGTGGAAACTTCTTGTATGAATTTGGGTTGTGAGATTTGATTGTTTTCAAATATTCGAATAAGGTGAGGAGCGAAGGAGCTTGTGGAAAAATATGGCTTCTGAAAATTTGGGCAAGTATAATTTTGGAAATAGGGGGATTTTTGGGCAAGCATGAAGAAAAATCAAAGGCAAAGAAAAAAAATATAATTTACACTTTTGGGTCGGTTAGAAACTAACTCAATTCGAAGATTATCTTAGTTACAACCGACACAAATTTTAACCAACACAATAGTCAGGGATTTGTGTCGGTTATACTCGACATATATGTAACCGACACAAATAGTAAAAAAACTAGTGTCGGTTCAACAACCGACTCAAAAATTTTATGCACATTCTTAGTCTGCGTTGGTTCATTGAACCTACATGACTCAACCGTTGCAAATCAATGTTTATCTTATAGTGCTATCATCTTGGATACCAATTAATACAAGACATTACATAGGCTTATTGGTCGAAATTCCTTTGGACATTTTACCTTAGGTATCAGCGCAATTATAGTATAATTAAGTGCCTCGGTGCTTCCGACAAGACTTCGTCTTCCAAAATTTGATGCACCATATGGTACACTTCTTCTCCTATAAGTTACTAGTACTGGCGGACAAACATAATCGACATACCTTCTACCCCTGATGCCTTCCAATATCCCATCTGTAATAACACCGCCATCATTTCTTCTCATGATATAGGTCAGAGCAGGGCCTCGTTGTCAACATTTCCTTCTATTTCATTTTACGACCAAGCCTCTCGGATCACATTATGAAACTCTGCATGTTTGTCCCAATGTGACTCAAACTTAAAGGACCAGCCCATTTGGGTTCGACATCCTCCTCCCTCCTTTATTTCGCATATGATTGGCTTTCGGTCTGAGCAACTTTTTATCAAGGTGGGTAACTCGAGTTAAAGAGAAATAATCTCGCCAATTTTCAGTTGCAACAAATCTATTTAGTCTCTCATCATTGAAACCACTTTATCTATGTCCATTTTCTCATGTAATCTCGTACCATGAAAACCCAAGTTCTGTAGACCTATGTACAGTAAAGCTTAGGAAAAATCAAGCATCTCCATCTCATGAGTAGTGTGTCATCCACTCTTCTCCTTAGCCGAGAGAACTTGGTAAAAATCTATGTCGCATAACCATGACCCCTCCACTAATTTACCAACCTACATAGCAAATTCCAAGTTTGAAATTTCCCACTACTCTCTAACAACCCATAGACACCTATATACCGCCACAAGCCAAAATTCTTCTTGACCACTTTAATGTCTATATATAATGGGTCGTAGAGGACATCAGTGTTGCATCTACCTCTCCTGCCCACCACCCACATAGCCCACCAGTCTGACCTCCACGTGATACATTTGTCAGACATCATCCACCTCCTAGAAATCCCCAATTCTTCTCTTGTCTGATCATTCTCATATTTTTTATGTTTTTGTCTCCATCAAGAAGACAATATGCAAGGAACCTATCAGAAAAATGAATTATAAGCTCTAATTGCAAGTGTGTTTCCCAAGAACCACAGTTGTAGCTCATAGCTCACATTTATAATTTGAAGAATATCGGTTCCCTGCACCATTAGCTTGACTATCCACTATTGTTGCCACCATTAGATAGTCCTCTCCTTCTTCTCTAGCCATTGATGGTGTGGAAGATGTTGAAGAAGCTCCTTTTTTCTTCATAATCGAAGTTGCAGTCTCCGTCAATGTTCTTCCCCTCTTCCAAGCTTGGCTCGAAATTGGTGTGACTTAAAGACCACTCTTCTCCTAAGCTAGATGATCCTTACTTCTTCCTCAAGCTAGGTGAACTTGATGCTCTTCATTCTTGGATGATCTCTTGCACTATCTTCATATTTTGGGTTTTTCTTCTAGTACTTAGTGAAATTATATGAAAACCTGCAAGTGATAAAATTCCTAGTATGCGCTAGGCACGTATTCCAGAAGGTCTTCTAATGAATAACTACTCACACCACACTATCTATGTTCGAACAAGAATATTATATAATTTTAGGGGTTTTTATTCTAGTAAACCAAACAAAGCAAAACAAAGCAAGAAGAGTAAAGTTGTTTAGGGGGTTTTCAAGTTATATAGATGCATAAAAGTAAAGATTATGTTATTGAACAAGAAAGCATACTCGATTACTATCATACCTATCAAAACTCGTCCATATCATGCATCGATGACTCATATATATCATTGGTCTATCCCTTTTACTAAACTCATCCTACTCGAGCTTTCGCCACATGCAATAGAACTTAATGCGTGATTTTGCTTCATGCGATCACATATTCAATGAAGAACAGAGAAGTGAGGATAACACATGATTAAGTGTGAGTCTCTTGACCCATAATTGATGGTCTATGGCAACGATGATCTAACAATCAAGCATTGATATACTCAAAGTATAGATGGTTTGTCGTTCCCTCTCTAGTCGTGTGGCATCAATGCGGTATCATTAGAGGGCAAGTCCTTAACAACCCAGATGATACTAAGCACAATGCATATAGTAGCATACTATAGAGTCATAAGCATCGATGATGAGAAAGCATTCATACTAGATATATAACAATGATCATCACATAAGCATCGAAGCCAAAGCATCCATGCATACATCACAAGCATCAAAATTCATAAGTATAAATACAAGCATCATATGAAATCATAGTTTCTATACATACACAGATAAATGAGTTCACATTCTCATACAATTAACGCCAAACTACCAATTACCGGGGAAAAATGTCAAACTAGCTATACATTAAAGAGAAGGAGGGTGCCACCATCAATGATGAATGTGTCTCCTTAGTTGCACCCTCTTCTATGAATGCTAAGCTCTCACTCGAACAGAGTGTCTACAAAAAGTTTGGGGTGAAATTGTGCAGCCTACATAACTAATGAGCCTAGATCCCTATTATAGTGGTAGAGCACGACCAAAATCTTCCTAACCCTACCAGGACACAGTTTCTTTGACTTGGGGCCAAAGCATGACCTAAAGATATCTTGTTTGGGTTTGACCTTTGAGAAGCGGTACACAAGGCGTTGGTTGTTTCTTCTGCTTTGGCCGAGTCTTCCTCCATTGGGCTACTCTTGGACTCTACTCATGGTTACTACTTACTAGTATGCTTCTTCGTTATTGGACCTCGTCTTTAACATGAAAGCTCCATATTCTTTTCTTTATAGCTCTTTAGATCCTACAGAGTTAGCCAAATCTTCCTAACTTGCTTTGTACCTTGAAAACCATAAAAAAACGTGTCAAGAAGGCATCAAAATGTAAAAAACACAACCATATATCATTAAATTATTATTTTTTATATATAACAAAAAAACTGTAAGTTAGCGGGCCGAAGAAGATCCATAATGCTGTATCTGGATTTCAAATGGGCCATAAACTCAATTGGATAAAAACCCAATTTGTTCGGGAAATTGGAATCCCATGTCGATCGCGAGAAACGCACACTTTGCTGCTTCTTCCTCTCTTCCTTGGCAATTCAGGAGACAAGAACTGAAATTAGTAGATCCAGAGGTAAGTTTCTTCTTCTTCAGATCTCTTCCGGTGTCATTGTAATTTCTTCCTATCCCTCTCCGTTTACAAATTCCTAAAACCTCAATCTCGGCGGCGATCTCGTTCCTCCGGTTATTCTCCGTTCAATTTGCCGGCGATCCTTGTAAAACTCTGAAGAACTTTAGCTAACGCATTCCCAATTTGCAATCGGTCGACTTCGAAATCGTACTGTTCGCTTAGTTTTATTTCGTTCTCTCTCATTCGGTAGGCGAAACGGAGTGGCACTGCGGCCTGTTGAGCTGATAATATAGATCTGAGCTTGGCGCTTCTTCAATTACGTAGATCTCTTAGGTTTGTCAATGCATCCGTTGGCATTGGAAGCCTGAGATTTAGATTGAATTCGGATTCTGCTGTGATTGATCCGAACACCGGTGCTTGTACAATTTGATAAGTTCGTGTTGCTGACTGAAACTTCGGTTTCTAGGTGGTGAAGTCGAACTCTCGTGTGCGGCATTGATTGTGGTATATTCGTTCGTCGTTCTATCAATCAAGATGGTAAGCTTCGTGCTCTTCGATTTTCCTCTCTCTTTCTCTGATGGATCCTTGATCTGAATTGTGTGTTTTACTCCATCTGTGCAGGTTGTGCTTGCAGCTTCTATTGTAACCAAGTCTGGGAAAGGTGAGTCTTCTTGTTCCTTTACATCCGATCCAGTGTATTCCTTTTCCGAAAGCTTCAGCGCATCGTCCTTGTTGTTCTAGAACATGCTGTTCATGCTGCAGAATGTTGTGATCTGCGAGGCACCTTTGTTGTATAGGAAATTAGGTTACATTTATGATGCAGTGTCGTGCATTTGAGTTCTTCGCTTGTGTAGTGCCAAATTTAACCTGTTCTTGGAGATATGGACCATGTCCAGAGTCCCGACACATATATACTAATGCGTTGAACTGTATGGCAGATTTTTCTTGAAGTACGTGCTATTGAAGTGGGTGCATCTGTATTGCCATTAGTGATAGAGGCTATTGTTTTGGAAGTGACCAAATTCCAGTTCCTGGTTGCATTAACAGTTCTTTGTTTTCGGTTCAGTTCTTGTCTCTAGGCAGTTTGTGGACATGTCTCGTATACGGATTGAAGGTCTTCTGGCTGCATTCCCTAAGTTGGTGGGTACGGGAAAGCAGCATACATATGTTGAGACTGAGAATGTACGCTATGTGTACCAGCCAATAGAGCTTATGTACTTACTGCTCGTGACAAATAAGCAGAGCAACATTCTTGAAGATCTAGAGACTCTTCGGCTCCTCTCTAAGCTGGTATCTTCCTTCTTCTGGCCTGTTTGATTATCGTTAATGTGTTTTTTTTTATATATATTTTGAATAAATCCTTCTGTGGCCTTCCTATTCTATTTGACAGTTTCTTCTCAGATGCACTATTTTATTCCTGATGATCTGACAAGGCTTGCAATTGATATCCTTGTTCTTAAATTAGGTACCCGAGTATGCTATGTCTCTTGATGAAGAGGGTATTTGCAAGACAGCTTTCGAGTTGATTTTTGCCTTTGATGAGGTCATCTCCCTTGGGCACAAGGACAATGTAACTGTTGCCCAGGTGAAGCAGTACTGTGAGATGGAGAGTCATGAAGAGAAATTGCATAAGCTAGTAATGCAGAGCAAGATCAATGAAACCAAGGATGTCATGAAGCGAAAAGCTAGTGAAATTGACAAAAGCAAGGTGTCTGCTGAAGTTTTGTGAATTGCACCCATCAACATTTTATTGGAAAAGGTTAAATTTATTGCAGGTTAAAGTTCTGATCACATCTTTCAATTCTTTCAGCTTGAAAAGAATAGGGGCGAGAAGGGAGGGTTCATGTCATTACAATCAATGGGCTCTGGAAGAATCGAGAGTAGCTTCAATGATATGAATCTTTCTAGCAGTGGAAGTGGCTTTGGAAGTGGTTCTGGGTTTGGATTGAACACTGATATTGACTCGTTCTCCAGCAAGTCAAAAGGTTTGTTCTGCATCTTGTGCTACTTGTGTGACTTTATTGGTTATCTTATCTTTAGGTTGGCTGATCATTGTGAGTTGTGTTTGTAAGTTGCTGTTTTCTGAACAGAAATGGTTTCCTATTGTTTCACTTTCCTTTCAAAACTTTATTTGGTTGATGCTACTTGTGCTGCTAATTTAATTTTGCTGTTTAGTTAGTTTGACTCATTTACTGGGTGGAACATTTCTCAACACTTTGCTTGGTGATGCCAGGTCGTCCACCTTCATCTGCTACTGCACCTGCTAAAGGTCTTGGCATGCAACTTGGTAAAACTCAAAGGACAAACCAGTTCTTGGAGTCTTTGAAGGCAGAAGGTGAAGTCATCAATGAAGAAGTGCAACCAAGTGCAGGTCAAGTAAGAACTGTTGCTGCACCACTAACTGACCCAATCACTCTTAACGTGGAGGAGAAGCTGAATGTCACTCTGAAACGGGATGGTGGAATAAGCAACTTTGATGTTCAAGGGCAATTGTCACTTCAGATTCTTAACCAGGAAGATGGGCTGATCCAAGTTCAGGTTTTCTCTCCAGCTTTTCCCCTACTTTTTTCCCCTGTAAATCTGAAGTGGCCTCCCCTATGAGCATGTAGGCATGGTTTTCAAGTTGAACATCTCCCCCTTCGGTTGTGTTCCATTGTGTAACTTCTCTGTATTCACAGAATAATTATTTCTTTCTAGATCTAGGTTAAAACTGTTATATATTACTTATATCTTTAGTACAGAGAGTAATATTTACATTTGGACTTTTGAGTTGGTCTTTTCTGCTAGTAGTATATAGCTCTGTGTTGCATGAAGCCTGTTTAGAAACAGTCCTATGCTTTGGTATGAGAACTTGATTGGAACAGGATCTAGTGGGGTCCCTGGTAGGGTTAGATAGTTGAGAATTGGATTGGGAGTTAGGGATTTAGAAGATATTGGGGATAAATTGGGGGCGAGTTAGAGGTAGGTTAGGATAGAAGAAAGTGAGAAGAATAGGGGTTCGTTTGGGAGGGAGGACGAAGGAGAGAGGGAAGAGAGAGAGTGGGAGGAGAGATTAGTTTTAGGGACAATTTTTCTTCTGTAGGTGCTTAATTGAATCCATAACCCGGTAAATTCTCTTAAACTACCCATAATTAATCATTATCACGAAAATACCAATAACACCCAAAAGCTCCTTAAAATGTACTCAAATATCCCGATAATTCCAAAAATCCCATAAAGCATAAATAATTGTGCGAATATAAAAATAAGATGGAAACCAGGCTTCCATCAGAACTACATTAATCATGGCGATGTGCATGATGTTAACTGCGTCTTTCAATTGGCTGTATTATATTCAAGTGTTACTGATCCGTCCCAGAGATGTTATTTTGTGATGCTTTTATACTTTGTTTCATTCATTTAGATTGAAACCAGCCGGAACCAAGGCGTCATTTTCAAGACTCACCCTAACATGAACAAGGAACTATTTGCAAATGAGAACATTCTGGGCTTGAAGGACCCAAATAGGCCTTTTCCTACTGGTCAAACTGGTGATGCTGCTGGAGTTGGTCTTTTGAAGTGGAGAATGCAAAGTGGAGATGAGTCAATGGTGCCACTAATAAGTGGGTGATTTTGTGCTACTACATTATTTCTCACTCTTTCGATGGAACACGTATTTCTTGTACTGATCTACCAGGTGTCTTTTTATACTGCAGTCAACTGCTGGCCCTCTGTGTCCGGAAACGAGACATATGTCAGCATTGAATATGAATCTTCGTCCATGTTCGATCTGCAGAATGTGTTAATCTCAGTTCCTCTTCCAGCTCTAAGAGAGGCACCACGTGTTAGGCAGGTCGATGGCGAGTGGAGGTAATGAACTTAGTTTTGTTTTTGTCGAAGGTGATTAAATTAAAGCGGGGTTCTATATACTGGGAAATGATACCCTCTAACAAAGTCGGTGCCATTTGCCTTGAAAAATATATTTTCTTCTTTGGGTTTATTGGAGTTCTTCTCAAGCAGTAAGCCATATCAGTGAATCATCGTCCATTTTAAATTGGAACGGGGTAAAAATAAGCTGGATGGAAGATCAGTACGTGATTTCAGATGTTGTGAATCTTTGTGCATATAAAGAGGTCCCGGGTATAGTAAAAGGAAACCGAAAGGAAGTTCATGTGAATGCACATGTAGTTGTATTGAGTACTGGCTGCCATGATTTTATGTTCAAATCGAATTGCATAAACATGATATGCAGTGCAACTGTGAGTCACTAACATGTGTTTTTGAACTTGTAGGTTTGATTCCCGAAATTCTGTTTTGGAATGGTCTATTCTTCTTATCGATAACTCGAACCGCAGGTAATCTAATAACCGATATTTTCATTCCTGCCGAAAGTGAAGAATTCTTGATGGTGTATCCTCACGCTAGGTTGGTTTTGACGCTCTCGTCTTCTTTTTGCAGCGGATCAATGGAGTTTGTTGTACCTCCAGCAGATACGTCAGCTTTCTTCCCCATTTCTGTCCGATTCTCAGCTGCTAGTACATACAGTGATGTGAAGGTGTGTTTTTCTGTCCTGCTAATGCCATCTATTCTTTCATTTTGGGGTTCGTAAATTGCCTACGTGCTTTCCGACGCTGTACAAGTTGAAACGTCTTATGCTGTTGGACTGCAGGTTGCCACTGTCATTCCTCTCAGAGGCGGAGCTCCTCCAAAATTCTCCCAGAGGACGCAGTTGGTTACAGAGAATTACCAAGTAGTCTGATAACTTCAGTCCGTCTCATTGAGTCGAATAGCCTTTTTTATAATTTTTGGCTTTTAGATGATGCATTCGTCGAGTATTGAAAGCTGGAGGAGTGGGGTAAAAGAGACGTTTATATAATCCGTAAGATTCGTTTGTCAATTTTGAGAATTCTGAGATCTGGTGCCTCTTATGTTCGGTTTTTGTTCCCGTTTTTTCGGTTGTACAAATAGTTTCATGGTGGTAGGCTTCTTCTCCATCATCTTCAGAACATCGTCAATTGTTATGTACCTTGGGTCCTCATATATTTTACTAAGATCATTAATCAAGCTGCTTGTAGAATGATAATGACTAAGAATCTAAGATCATTGCTCGAATCCCAAGTGGGTAGGGATTGGATAGAGACTGTCTTTGATCTTACTCATTGGCAACTTAGGAGTCGTTTGCTAGTTGCACTTATTTTGTTGAGATTGTTACTATACATGTATTGTTTAGAATGCAACGTTTTTTTGTTTTTTTTTATCAGAAACAACGCATTGATTGTTTTTGCGATGTGACAGAAACTTATCACTCAAAATGAGTGATTGTTATATCTCAACTTTTCGTTGTGATTGTTGATATAATTGTTTGTCTCAGCTTTTAGTTGATTTGACAAAAACAATCAGACATACCAAACGTTGTATTCTACAATGCATCAAATTCAACAACAATACATGTATAATATTATACATGTATTCACAACAATACATCCATTTAACAATCGCAACTTCCAAACAACCCCTTAATAAAAGCTTGTTTTACCAAGTAGAGTTTACAAGGAAAGAACCCGATTGGATCCGACCTATTGATAACCTGATGAAGGATTTTACTAAGCAGGATTAAATGATTAATTAGGAAATCCCAACTGTGGCTAACATGGCCTTCTGAGGTGAACAGAGATCTCCACTATCTGTGATGACATGAAGAAATTTCAGACTACATTGAGATCTCCAGGCGAGAGGTAATCGAAGATAGAGACGATAATGGCCGAGCACAGAAGAGGACTAGGAACAACACCAACCACACGCATCTTGATTGCTTTTAATACTGTCTCTATGGTAATGTTACGTTTAATAGTACATTAATAGTCATAATATATAAAATTAATTATTTTATAAATAAATAAATATATAACTAATAGTAAAGTTATCAATTTAATTCATTAAATACGGCTATTAAATGTGTTATACGAGTTTTATACGTGTTTAGTACTGGAGCCATCAAATGAATGGGAATAAATAAAACGGCTTGACAATAATACGAATACAGAAGTTTTAAACGGATAAAATACGTACGGGAAGATATACATGTACTAAATGGAGTACTTACTTGACTTAGATTGATCAACCCTACAATGAATATGATTTTGTGTTGGCGAGGTTGTGAGCGTCGAAAAAATCTGGGCAGACCAAGGCTTCTGGTACACTCGGAAGCGACGACCGTAATTAAACAGCTCTCAAAATGCCTATGATACAGGAAGACAGTAGACCTGGCAATCAGGCCGCGTCGGGTGATTTTGGGTTGAGGTTTCAAGTTACAGGTCGGGTCATGTTGGGTTGGCTTAATTTAGGTCAAATATTGATCCAGCCCATTTAGTTTTGGGTCGGGTTACATGGCATTTCGCGTTATGAGCGCTCACAGAAACAGTATGAAACATGTTTCATATTTTTTAAAAGAACAAAAATCTTCACATATGCATGACAATAGTTTACCTAACACATGCCAATTAACATATTCTCAAATCTTCCCATGGAGATGAAATGAAACACAAATGATACAAATCGTCAAAAAACAAATCCCAAGAGTAATACTACTACAAGAAACACATGATATTTGATTATCCTTAACCTCCAAACATGTTTTTCAAATCCTTGTCAATTCTTTTAAACATCTCACCAATTTGTAAGTGATTTTATCATTTTGATAGTTACATATGGAATGGAAGGGAGCCAACCCGACCCAAAAAATCACGGGTTAATTGGGTTTGGGTCTTTTGAATTTTTGGTTATAAAACTTTCTATCTTTCGAGCGGGTTTGGATCGGATCATAATTTATCAGATCTAGAAGACGGGCAAGCGTGGTATGCAAAGTGAGTTTTACATAGACGAGCATGTGAGGCGACTTGAATGTTTGTTCGTTAAAAATCAAAGTAAAGGGACTAGTTTGTAAACGGACCAAACTAGAAGCGGGCAATGCATGATTCGTGGTTTTTTTGTTTTCGAAGCAAAGTTCATTGATGATTCAATTAACAAGCCCGTAGTCTCAGCTGAATGTTCAATCTTTAGCAACGAACAAAGTTCCCATACTTCCAAATGGTCGTAAATCGTATATATGCTTTCGTGGCAACTGCCAACGGCCTCTCCCTGCGAAAAATAGGAGAAAGGCAAGGAACGAATTTGAGTTTTAATGAATTTCTCCCTGAAGCTGCGACGTTTCCCCGCTCCGTCGACACAGTGAAGCGCCGAAGGGACGTTCCTCTCATTTCCGCCGTCGCCATTCTTCTCAGGTACTCATTTCTCCCTGTCTCTCTCTCTCTCTCTCTCTCTCGGAGGAATCAGGAAGCAATTGCGCCCTGATATGCATGCACGGGAATGAAAAATGTTCAGATGATGATTTGATGATGATCGGTTTAGCTGGCTAAGGGACATCGAAGCAGAAGAAAGAAACAATGGGGTCAAGAAACACTGATTCTTTTCAACTGGGGAGGAGCCCTTCCATCAAGTCATGCTTCCCCGACACAAAATCGACGGAGGGTTCAGAGTACAGATCCGATCTTAGGTCGGCCCTCCACCTCAAGTCGTATTCCTGTGATGTGAGGGATCTCTCTTTCCCAGACTTCTCTCCCATGTCTTCCCTGCCTCTACATCGCTCCTCTAATGTCGTAATGTATGACAACGCACTCTACACCAATAATCGGGCCCCAAATTTGGAGCCCTCGGGTTCGCCTTTCTCAGGGGTACGGCGAAGCCTGGACAATAATCACCCTCGCGCTTCCCCTGCTCGGACCTCCGGGGAATGTAAGGTCGCTGGGTTCGACCCTCTCCTGACGTTGCAGGCCTCTAATGAGAATTCAGCGCTAGAGATGACGGCTCCAAGTGACAACAAATATGCAGATGGAGCCAAGTTAGCCTTAGGTATGGTTCCAAGAGTAGGGCACAGAAATTTTAGATGTGTGTGAAAAAAGAATGTGACATTATTGTCTGTGTGCGTGTGTGTGATGAGGATGATGATGATGATGATTGAAAGTAACTCTGGGCAGGGGACAAAAGATTCAAGGGCCATCCTAGGCACGTTCCGCTTTACCTTGCTGCGCTTAAAGGCGATTGGAAGACGGCTAAGGCTTACCTGCAATGGCACCCCACGTCGATTCGTGCTTACATCACAAGGGGGCTAGAAACTGCGCTTCACATTGCAGCTGGCGCGAGGCACATTGTGTTTGTTAGGAAGCTGGTTAAGAGGATGACGGCAGATGACTTAGCTCTGCAGAACAAGGTAGGGAACACGGCGCTGTGTTTCGCTGCAGTCGCTGGTGTCACGGAGATCGCCAAAGTGTTGGTGAACAAGAACAGAAGCTTGCCACTACTGAGAGGCAGTAAAGGAGCCACGCCGCTCTACATGGCTGTGCTTTTGGGGAAAAGAGATGTGGCTTGGTATCTTTACTCTGTTACAGAAGACAGTGCTCTTTCTGGAGAGGATCGAATTGGACTTCTTGTGGCTGCTATCACATCCGATCTATTTGGTACCTTTGACCTTAACTTCGACTACTCATTAAGCTACTGTTTTGTACTCTGCAGATGTCCATAGTGAGTAATAAGTACTAACCATATCTAGAGAAGCATTTGTATCCACCAGATGTAGCTTTGGCACTGCTCCGTAACCATCCTGAATTAGCTACAACTCGAGATGCAAATGGTGAATCAGCTCTTCATGTGTTGTGCCGAAAGCCAGGTGCATTTTACAGTGGAACTCAATTGGGCCTTTGGAGGGGATGCATCTATTCATGTTAGTTGTACCTTCCAAGTTCTGCACTATTTACACATATCATTGTTCTACTATCAGTAAGATGGCTTATGTGGCCCCCTGTGATGATGCCATGGTGATCATGTTCCAGTAGTTACGTTCCCAGGATTATCGATTTACATCCCAAATTGGAGTAGTTTCCCCATTAAAACAATGTGAATTCCTCTAATTGAAGGTCAGAAATGTTTTAGATGCTTAATATTTCTGAGTATTACTTTGTGGTATGTTGAAGGTATCCAGGTGCCATTTATGGGGTCCTCTGGTTCTATGCAAGATGATCGTCTAGGTCGACGTATTCTCCGAGGTTCTTCTCTCTCTCTGTCTCATTAGCAACATGCACATAACTTGTACAAGTGCATGCATTTCTACAGTAAATAATAAAACAAGTTTGTGCAATTAGTTTCTTTTACTTGGAACTCAAGAAATCAGGGGTCACATCAAAACACTTCAACCGTACTCTACGACAATCCATAAATGCCTGTAACCAGCTTTAAGCAGTGAAAGCTTTTCCAAAGATGTCTAGTATAGCAGTTCTTTGTGCAAGAGACTTTCCAGACTTGCGCTCTTAGGATGATGTTGTCCAGCTTTGCTTCCTCTTTTGACATCACTAACTGTTATCTTCTTTGTGATGGCATTACTAACAACACCAGCGATAGGAAGAAGTGTTGCTCATCTTGGTAAGTTCGTAGTATCGCTCGTGATGCTCCTACCTTATGCAGCTTAACTGCGTTGACCAACTATTTCAACACATTTCTGCAGTCCCAGATGCAAATTTGATATACTACATGAAGCTCAGTCACACTCAAGCCCTTGAGCTGGCAAAGCGACTTTGGGATCTGATATTGCATCTAGACAATGCGAGTGTTAAAGAGTTCATCAGGACACCCACACGGCTGCTTTTCACAGCTGCAGAGCTCGGAATGGTAGAGTTCTTAACCATTCTGATTCGCTCCTATCCTGACCTGATTTGGAAGGTTGACGAACATTCTAGAAGCATATTCCACACGGCAGTGGTGCATCGACAAGAAAAGGTCTTCAGTCTTATCAATGAGATAGGAGCACTGAAGGACTTTATAGCTATTTATAAGGATGAAGAGAACAATAACATGTTGCACTTGGCTGGGAAGCTTCCCCATCCAAGTCGACTGAACACAGACAATGGTGCAGCTTTGCAGTTGCGACGTGAGATATTATGGTTCAAGGTTTAGATCCAATTCCTTGTGCTCTGAAGCTTTCTTGTGTGATGTTAACTGTAATGTCTTGACTCGGGTTACTTTTACTGCAAGCCCTGAATGCAGGAAGTGGAGAAAATTGTGCAACCGCTATATAGCGAGATGAAGAATGCAGATGGGAAAACTCCTCACGATCTGTTTGCAACAGAACACAAGAAACTGGCAAGAGATGGGGAGAAGTGGATGAAGGAAACTGCATCTTCCTGCATGGTCGTCGCAACCCTCATCACCACCATGATGTTTGCAGCGGCTTTCACTGTTCCTGGTGGAAACGACCAGGATACAGGCATGCCCCTTCACCTCCACACCAAGTCGTTCTTGATCTTTGTTATATCTGATGCACTTGCTTTGGTCTCTTCGGCGACATCCATCTTGATATTCCTGTCCATGCTGACCTCACGATATGCTGAAGAGGACTTCCTCTCCTCGTTACCAAACAAGCTGCTCACCGGGCTTCTCACCCTTTTCATCTCCATCGCCACCATGATGATGGCCTTCAGCTCCACCCTTTTCATGACCCTTGGCTATAGTTATACATGGACTACTGTGACCATCACAACCGTTGCTTGTGTCCCTGTCTTGATGTATGCTTTCCTGCAATTCCGTCTCGTCGCTGACATCATTAGTCATTCTTATACCACCAGTATCTTCTTCCACCCTAGAAACTGTTTGCTGGGCTGATAAGAGAAAACAATAAGCACCATTTTTGAACATCGCCCATCAAATATGACCATCATTGTAAAGGTTTATACAATGTATATAGCAATTTTGATACAAGTACATAGAGACACAAATTCAGCCGAGTCATGGTGTTCATCTTCCTTTCTTTGATCCAAACAACATCTTTTGCACACAAGAAATTCAAGGCTTCCATTAAGCTCCGATTCTCTTTCTGATCCAGCTTCATTTGGTGTTCTTCTAAGCGAAGCTTCCATCTTCTCTTAATGCTTACAGGCTATAATCAAGTAAACTCCTTGCTGCCTTTCAAGCTTCAAACTCAAGCTTACTACACCACCTCAGAGCTCTTTTTTGGCTTCAAATTTCTGACTTTCTTCCACAGCTTCGTCTCCTCCACTACAGTTGTAGTTGGCTAATGATTTTGCTCGCATACAATCTTCCCAACCTTGGCATATTTCTCAATGAACTTCAAGCTCGGAGGCGTGTAATGAATTAGCACTCAACAGTAATAAATAGAAAGTGGGAAGGCTTAATTGTAACACTCTTCTATCCTCAGTTAACATAACATCATGAGCCTGAATACACGTTCTCAACTCTTCAACTACGCCTATTTTTCTCCTTCTTCCTTCTCTCGGCCTTGGCCTCAGATAGGAGTAAGCTCTCTTCGAGCTGAATTCCCTTCGACCCACCTAGAAAAGTCACAACCCTTTTTGGATCCTGCACCACGAGATATTGTAGTTAACAGACAAAACACACAAATGAAAATGGAATTTCACCACCTCACGCTTACCCTCCAATATGGACAACCATAAAATTGTTTGCTTGGATTTGACTCAGTACCAGATCGATTTACCACATAAAGAGCATTATGGTAGCAACGAGCCACCCCACAACTATTGAAACTTGTCGAAGATGAAGAAGCCCACTGTGACATGACGAACCCTCGCAATATTGGACATTTTCAATGGCTACTATTTGAGCATTACTATTTAATAATTATTTTTATTAAAATTTATTTATGATTATTATATAAATTTATTTATTTATTTATAAATTTTAATAAATTTTTTCTATAATAATATATTTTTCTTATTTGCCACTCTATTTGCATACTACATTTTTATTCCAAACTATAATTTCCTTCTCCCCTTCCTACCCTACCAATTTACACCCTTTCAATTTTCATTTTAACTTGCACCCTCCAATTTGAACCACTGCCAAACAGTGTACCTTCAAATTCAATAGCTCAATTTGCTTTGGATGGGAGAATAAACATTGTTTCATATGCATTTTGACGTCGCAATCTACCCATCCAAACATTACAATACGTTAATTCATATGGACAAAAACCCGATTGCATTTACAAGAATAATTATTTCTATTTTTAAGAGGCCAATTATGAGTTATTATTTCTCCATTTATTATGTAGGGAAAAGATGTGAAGTTGTCAATATCCTAGATTTAATTCCCCTAGAAGTAGAACACATTAATCAAAATTGAGAGTTTTTTTTTTTGTAACTGACAAATAATAGTATATATTTATTTTTTAAAGGAATGGAGTACGGACAAATGTTTAAAATTCCCCTTTTTTTTTTAAATGTATTCTAGGTAGTCTCTGCACAATTTCCCATCCCCAAAATTGCTTTGCTTTACCGTTAGCTAGCTAGCTAGCGAGCAGGACTAGAAGTAGGAGCTCCTTTACCCCAAACGACGCAGCCGTGGCATCCTATCCTACGCACCCAGCGCACGATAATATAAAATTGCGCTGCCCATCACCGCCACTTCCGCCTGCGCTTCCATCACCACCACCACTTTCTGCCGCCGCGATGGAGGCTCCGTCTACTCCTTCCAAATCCAGAAACCCTAATAAATTCCAAAGCTCCTCCTCCTCCTCCAGCCATCACCACTCCGCAATGGCGCGAAAATCCTCCCTCGTCAAACAAACCATCGTCTGCTCCGCCTGCTTCGTCCTCGTCCTCTACGCCTTCTTCAACACTTTCCTCCACCCCACCGACTCCCCTCCTTCTCCCCTCTTCCCCGACGGCGTCGTCCGCGATGACGTCTTCGTCGGCTCCACTGCTGCGAGCAAGGTCAAGGTTTTCATGTACGATCTCCCCAGGCAATTCACCGTCGGCATCATCGAGGGCCACGCTAGGGCTCGCGGCTCCTCCGATTTCTCCAAGTCGAGGTACCCGGGACACCAGCACATGGGGGAATGGTACCTGTTCGCCGATCTGAATCGGACCGAGGAGGAGCGGGTCGGATCGCCCGTCGTCAGGGTCTACGATCCGGAGGAGGCCGACCTGTTTTTCGTCCCGGTGTTCTCTTCTCTCAGCTTGATCGTGAACACGAATCGGCCCGGGGCGGATCAGGCCTACAGCGACGAGAAGATGCAGGACGAGCTGGTGCAGTGGCTGGAGCAGCAGGTGTACTGGCGCCGGAACAGCGGTAGGGATCACGTGATCGCCGCCGGAGATCCCAATGCGCTCTACCGAGTGATGGACCAGGTGAAGAACTCGGTGCTCTTGCTGTCCGATTTCGGCCGCGTGAGGCCCGATCAAGGATCGCTGATCAAGGACCTGATTATACCGTACGCTCACCGGATCAACTCTTATACCGGCGAATTGGGAGTGGAGAAGCGGAACACACTGCTCTTCTTCATGGGCAATCGGTACCGGAAAGATGTAAGCTTTCTCCCTTCGGTTCATGTCTGCTTGATCCTCTCTCTCATTCCCACGCTTAATTTCCCATGGGTGTTCTTCTGTTCTTGTTTCAGGGAGGCAAAATTCGGGACTTGCTATTCCAAATGCTGGAAACCGAGGACGATGTGATCATAAAACACGGGACGCAGTCGAGGGAGAATCGCCGGGCGGCCACTCGCGGGATGCATACTTCAAAATTCTGTTTGAATCCGGCCGGGGACACTCCGTCGGCTTGCAGGCTGTTCGATGCGATTGTTAGCTTGTGTGTTCCTGTGATCGTGAGTGACAGCATTGAGTTGCCTTTTGAAGATGTGATAGACTATAAAAAGATTGCAATCTTCGTGGGCACAAAAGCTTCTCTGAGACCTGGCTACTTGGCTAGTTTGCTGAGAGGAGTAAGCACAGAGAGAATTCTGGAGTTCCAGAAAGAGCTGAAGCAGGTATATATTACTACGTTGCTTACGATGAGCCTCAAAAGATCGTCCAATCTATCGCCTATTTGCTTGTTAATCTGTTTGAACTGGGAGAGGTTAGGTTGAGTATTGTATGTGCCCTGAACCGAGTCTTGTTACTGCTGAGGAGCTGAATTGCAGGTGCTACTGCTAATCGCCTGATCATAAGATATAACTTACGCGTCATGCTTGTTAAGCTGATTGCAATCATCACAGTTCTTTTGATTGTCTTTATGATCCCTGTAGCTTATACCTGAGTTTAAAATGATGTAACTTTGACTGACTACTGATTTCAGGTAAGCCACTATTTCGAGTATGGGGAACCAAACGGAGCAGTGAATGAGATATGGCGTCAAGTTTCGCAGAAGCTACCACTGATAAAGCTGATGATAAATCGTGATAAAAGGCTCATAAAGAGGGACTTGAGTGAGCCAGATTGTTCTTGCCTGTGTACAAACAAGACTGGCTTCGTAACCTCCATATGATGATGAGTAGGATTTTGTCTTTCCGTGTCTGCGAGCTAGTGGTACACAACGATCCCCGAGAGACTCTTTTAGGCACATCCTGAATCGAAATCCTGGCAATGAGAAGATGAATGGACGATGATGGTGGGCTGCTGCAGAATGAGTTCAGTTTGTGCCCTATACTTTCGGGTCTTGCCTGCTCCTTCAACAGGGAAGGTTACCAGCGAGAGATGATTTTGTCAAAGGCTTACTTTCGACAGCAAGCATAGTTGTATATTTATTTTCTCCCTCTATTTACCTTGTATCCTCACAAAGAAATGCGATTCATTAATTTTATACATCTAGGCAAATGATAAGTTGATCACAATGTTCTAATTAAAAGAGTTTCCCTCATCAAAATCATGGGTTACGTATTTTCAAATTCTTCTGTTAGGAACCTTTGGTTCGTCCATTCCTTCACAGGTTCACTGTGTCTAATGTGCAAAGGACAAGACCTATCATCTTTTTCAACTTGTATTGACCCTCAGAGAGTTCTAACTCGCTCACGATAGGCCATCCTTAAGTTCTGAACATTTCAAATCTCAATTTCAGCGACACAGTGGAACCGTGAAGTTGAGTACAGGTTGATTCCATGGATTTCGCCTGTTTGATTGGCCAATCTTCTTTAGTCATGCTACTACTAATGGAAACAATAGAAAGAGGCTGAAATGAGGGATGGAATTTGCTCCGATCGCCATGAGCGGAAACCTGCACGCTGAAGTTTCCAGCTGCGGTGTAGTAGACGTTGCAGCAGGCGCAACAATGGTGAGAAATTCGCTTGACCTGGACATGCAGGTGGAGATGATAGATTGACCTGGATTAGCAACCCACAGAGATCATCACTGGCAGTAGGAAACAATGGATGAAGGAGCACTTACTGCAGACCAAAAGATGAAAGATTGCTGCTTACAGGCAAGGCAGTAGGACCACTGTTGATATCCCACCCGAAACCCATCAACTAGGCCCTTCCTTCTCTGCAACTATTTTGGCAGCATAGAGAAGTTGGCCTAGGATTTCTCCATGCCTGGCATGAAAGCATGCGAAAGGCAGAGTGCGTTTTGGCATCCGATGAAGGATGGGAACAATTAAAACGAGAGCAAAAGGAGTAAATGCATAGTGACATTGTGAAAGAGTGATTTGCCTAATAAGACGCACATCAGCCAGAAAGTGACTTCCTTCAAGACAATGCTGCAAAACATGTAACCTCCAGTTCATCTCAAGCATGTAAATGCTTGCTATCAATGAAAGGAAAAAATGTTCGGTAGAGCTGCAACTACACAAAAGCAATTGACTTGTATGTGCTTTGTTTTTAGGGTGCATCTATATCTATCTATCTATATCTATACTATATATTATGGCAATTCAAAAGTAACTTCTTGTCACATAAGCATTTGGAGAATTCACAAGTTGCCAAGGTGGACACCTTTTTTTGCAAACAAAAAATTCATTATTGATCTATTTATGGAGCTATCTCTCTCTTCTTTTAATATTTCTACTCATTTTTACTAAAAATTAATAATAAATGACCTTTTTTATGAAAATGTAAACAAACACACAAAAGTATAATATTTTTGTCAATTAAAAAAAATAAATATGGAAATAGAGTGTGACTGTATTGAATTTGATTAAATAAAAAGTATATGATTAAATCTTATCAAGTAAATTTTCTTACTCATTTTCACCAAAACTTAATAATAAGTTACATTTTGACAAAAACTTAAAAAGTACACATATATAATAATATTTGTATCAATTAAACAAAATATTAAATAAAAATATTGAAAAAATGATTAAAAATGTACATATATTTAATAATATTTATATCAATTAAACAAAATATTACAATATAAACATTGAAAACAAATGATTAAGAAAGTACACACATATAATAATATTTTTATCAATTGACTTTGAAAATGATATATATGGATTTAGATTTTTTTGTATTAACAACTCTCTTATTTCTAATGTATTTTTTTCGTCGAATTATTTCTAATAAATATTTCTATCAATTAAAAAAAGTCTTATATAGCAAAAGGTCTGAATATAAACTTGACTAAGCAATAATAGTTCTTTCTTTAAAAAACTTATTATTCATCGTGATTAAGTGAAAACATATATTCAGGTTCTACCTTCAGTTTCTCAAATTAAGAGTAATCAGGTGTGCAATAATTTATAATTTGTCATAGGGTTTATATTAAAATATTCACACTAGATCATATTAATTGAACAATCTCTATTGAGGTCATTAGTCGAATGCTAAGTAATTTCTTTTCAGATTTGGAGATATTGTCGAATATTATTACATCAAAGTTTTTAAAATGACTTAACTATGATTTTTGACGAGTTTTGACTTCATACCTAGGATGAGACACAACATCACTTAAAAACAACAGGTGTGAAGGTTAAGAAAATTTTCGTTGAGGATATACGATAAACATCACGTTTCATCAACCACTAACCTTAGCATTGATCAAATAAGGGTTGAAAAAATTTATTTAATAGTTGATGTCTTGGTAGACAAATCTAAATTCGAGGATTGAGGCATTAAATAAACATAAGTGTGTTAGTAAGGCAATTGTAATAAAACATTGGGGTCGTTTGCTTCGAGGATTTGAAAGCTGAAAGTTTTAATAAAACTTGGATTTTGTAAAAGCATGGATATATGAGGGTTTTGGTTCATTATGGATTTGAAAATACCATATTTTGTTTCATAGATTTCATGATGCATTTGGTTAATTGAATTTGTATGTTGGAAGTGAAAATGACATATATTACCCTCATTGGTATGAGAAGGGAAATGAATTATGAGGGGTAGTTTGGTCATAAATAATAGACTTCAAAGTTCATGATCAATTTCCATCTAAAGAGGTGAAATTTTCAAGTCCTTGGGGCCCACAAATTTGGAACCTTAAAATACATGAGACCCACATATTTGTTGCCTCTAAATACATGACGCAAGCAATGGTTGGACAAAGTTCACGATAGCTCCAAATTCATCAAGCAAACAACCCCAACTATATGGTTGTGAGTCTGTGACTCCATACCAAATTTTGGCAATAACAAAAACTTTTTCAATATCGAAGTATCAAAATGGAAATCTTTTGGTTTGTAAGAGTAAGCAATTTGTATTTAGATCGAGTTATCCTGGCCACAAAATTTTGTTTTCATATTTCAGTCGATGAGCCCAGTTCAAAGTTATTAATCAGGGTTAAAAGTTAAAATAAAATCGTTATACATATTCTTAGATATTAATAGATATGTCTACAATACATTCAAGAATTCAAATGTATGTAAAATGTCACCATATTTCTACGAGTTATTACATTTTATAAAAAAAAATTCCAAGAAATCATATATAATCATTTCTTAATATTGTTGGAATCTAAAACTAATTTCACCCTTCGACGCTGGACAAAGTCTAATTGGTGTGCTTTTTTGCTTACTCTTTAAATTGCCATCATTATCAATAAAAAGTAAATTAAGTTAATAAAAATGAATGCAACATTCTGGTTTGTTCCTATTCCTTTTCCCATACAATATTGATAATAAAACACAGCATTGATAATAAAGAAACTAGATCAAGCCCCACAAAATGTAGTAGGGGGTTAAACGAAGAAGCGGAAGATTGATGATGTGGATGCCAATGTGATTTCTCATTCTTCCAAAATTACACAAGTAACTGATATTGCACGATATTTGTGGGATCTAGATCGCGATATTCTCTATTATCATATACTAACGTACGAGAAGGGTGAGAAAAAGAAAGCTCTTCACTTTTATTTATTAATTGAAATATTTTTGCAAATTTTAACTTATTCTTTTGTGTCCTTTAAAATTTTAACTTCTTTGTCACCTTGTGTGCTAAAAAATTAATAATCTCTTTAGTTTATATCTTAAATGGTGGATTCAATACATAATTATAAATCAATAAAGAAAGTACTAGAGAGAGCTCATCTAATAAAATTAAATTTTCATAAATAAATGAAATATATAAAAATGTGAAACAATATATGAAATTTGGTAAGTGAGATTAACAATTCAATGTATAATAGTTTAACATAATGAATCATAAATAAAATTATAATACTAGGACGAAAAATATAATAACCAATCAAAATTTGCCGCCCAATGGGCGGGTATAAAGCTAGTAATAATAAATAATAAAAAACGGATGAAAGCTTACTTTGCCAAGCTCTGTTACCCCGTGACGAAGCCAAGGGTTTGGGCTCTATTATGATAAATTTTTATGTATCTACACATAATATAATACACCGAAGGGAAAAACGGGAGCCCCATTTCAAATTTCCTGCAATGAGAGTGAAAGTAGGAAGGACATTTTGGTCTTCACAATAACTTTTTTTTATTAATCAAAAGATACATACTGGGATTCGAACCATGACCATTTTAAAGAAAGGCAAAGATCATAACCAATCACACTAAATACATTTGTTGTATCTTTTAAATTAAAAACATATAATAGCAGGGTGGGAAAAACTCTTCCCCTATTTCAAATTTCCTATTCCAGGAGCGTTTGTAGGAATGGTGGAATAGGGAGTGTCAATTTTTTTCTCTTTCCTCTGTGGAACGGGCCAACTTACCGTACACGCGGATTTAAACGGGTCCAGGAGTGTCAATTTTTTTCTTTATACCCTTTTATTTCTCCGTGGTGATAAAATATATATGAAAAGGCAAAAATAATACTCCTTTTTATTATTAAAAATAAAAAATTTAACAATAAACTAATGCATGGTATCTAATGGGCTAACCGCTAACCATAAAACAAAAGAGTTGAATGAGCCTGACCTACATGGGATTTGGTCATCAAGTAAAACAAATGAACATCATTGGTTTGCCATTCTAAAATAAGCTATTTTCTCTGACATAATATATATATGCTATTATTTTATATCTTAGTGGCTAAAATATAATGTATTTTAAAGTTATTCAATGGTTCAACCTCGACCAACCCAATTAGTCCAATTTTTATCATTTCAAATATATATTTTATAATTATTTGACATCATAATGATCAAATTATAGTGTATTTTATAGGGAATCGTTTGGTATTTGTTAGTAAAAAACTAAACATAAAGATCTATTTGGTTATTTTAAACATTAAAACGATCCTAAACATTTTCAGTTCCTTTTGAATTTATATGGTTTTATTCCCAAATAAGTGATGTGCAAATGGCGAATTGTAGTCGTCTCTTTTCTTTCACTATTTTTTATTTTCAAATAGAAAGTTTAAAAATAAAGAATAATTAGAATTTGGCATGGGGTCGGTCAAACAGGTTGAATTTCAAGTTTTGGCCTGTTTGTTTTATGCATTGCAAATTTATTAGCATGTTGATGGAAATGGCTTGGAAAAAAGACATATAAGTTGTACCTTTGCAGAAATGTCCTCAAATGTTTGAATGCTTTGTGAATCAGGTTCTGTGACTTTTGTGATGGTGTATGTGCTTGACGATTGCTCGATGTTGTAACTACTTAATTTGAGAGTAAATCTTTTGATTTTCCCTATGAGTTGTGATACCAGTTCTGGTGGTTGCAGCATGTTGTCGTTGTTGGCCTGTAAAAGTTGTTCCGTCGTGATGCTAAATACCTTTCTTTCTTTTTTAACAAATTATGTAGTAGTGCTATGAAACAGACCACCCATGAACGCTACGCTTATTATGGTCTGTTCCTACTTCCGGTGGTGAGAAATTGTGAATTGAGAATCATATTCGCCTACCGCACTGTGTCTGGTTGGTGGCTGCTTACTATGCTCTCTAGAGTTATGAAACAGACTACCCATGAACGTTACCCTTAAGAGTCCATAACTTTGCGAAAAACCAAATTTAGGCAATCAAAGGTGGTGGATGTTTGATGATTTTTTATGGCTTAATTGTTTGTGAATTGGATATCTGATCTTTGTATGATTAGAGGGGATGTTTGCTGAATAGAATAATCCATTTTAATTCATATTTATTTTTAACATGAACTTTAGTAACTCAAAACCTTCGAGACACATATCACCTACTGCATTGTATCATTTTGCCTGGGTGCTTGCTGTGTTGTCAAATTTCTTTGCTGCTGCTGCATTTACACTAACAGGGGAGTTAAGAACCCATGAATGTTTCCGTTTGACACAAACAAGAGGACTTACTTCTAAATCGTGCACTAAAGATGATTGGAGGAAACATCTCTGTTGCAGTTGATACACTGGAGACCAGAACAAAAGCAACGTATAACATCAAAACCAACCATCTGAACTATTAGCATTGTTGCTTTACTCTTTTTTTGTGGTTGAGTATCCTTCAAAAAATTTAGTTTGATTTTAGAAAATTTTGCTTCTGCAGTCCTGTCTTGCCACCAACGCGTTCAATAGATGGAGATGGCAGAGGCGAAGGCTATTTTTGTGTTGTTGTTGCTGGTTTAGGGATCGGTTTGTGAAGAAGAGGGAGAAGAGAGGGGGAAAGGGAAATGCATGAGAGGGGGATAACTCTTTTCTCCGACAAAAATGGAGTGAAGAAAGGAATTATGATCAGTAAGGATATGGTTATCTTACATAACTGTGTCTATTCTGTTTGAATTGAGCTTGGGAGGTAGTGATAAGGACGAGTTGCAACCAACTCATAGTGATAAGAGTGCTATGAACTGTGATCATGTATTATTTCAAGTTAGAAGGTAGTTTCAGTATAAGGATTATTTAATTTGACAAGTTGTTTCGTCCATGATTTTTGGTAGTTTCAGTGCCATTCTAGCCATTGTTTAGTCTGTAATTTTTGAGAATTGATGTGCGAGTAATGACTTTCACTTAGCTTCAACTATTATGTGTGTATTTATTGGCATGTGATAGAATTCTCTTTTCCTTTTCTTTGATATCAGTTTCATACTCTAATTGTATCATTTGTACATAGGCAAATCATGCTCGAGATGACAACTCGCCGATATGGCTGGTGCAAGGAATGAAGCCATCATTAAAATTCAGACCGACAACGGGGAGGGATGCCTAGGACTAATTCAACGATGATTGATGATGGTATGATAAAAACTGCAGTCTGCATCAGCACCAATTTCTAGGACTAAGTAAAGTTATTCAACCCAGAACTCTGCTTAGCGCTAAAAATTGCCCTCACCCAACATTGATCCTGTTTGACCCACTTCTGAAGAGTCAAGATATATTACTAATTCTCTTTGTTCGTATTTTCTTATTGACTCTTTCTGACCCTTTAGGTTGGGGCGGGTCGGGAAGAATCAGATTAGTGGGTCGGTCCTAATCAAGTGGAATCACAATCCCTTCACTCTCACTTGCTTTCTCTCCCATTCCACAAGTGAGTAACATACAGTAATCCGGCCAACGGGCCGGGTAATAAGCTAGTAATATAGAAGGGATTGAATTCACCACATTTTAAGGTGAGGTTAGTGTGTTTTTCAGTGCCGGATGATTAACTGATTCTTAACCGCTATATAGAGGGAGGAGGGATGGAAGAAGAAATGGCAAACTTCATCCTGCGAGTGCCAACTGCTAAGCTCAGCAGCTTCTTTGCCAGCGGCAGTGGCTTCATCATGTGAAGGTAATCGAGAATCTTCTTCTCGCTGATGACGATGAAGGTTGTGACCTTGTGATCGTTGTTATTTGCTTAAGGCAGGGACAGGAGGGCCGGTCGTAGTGGAGTTGCCTCTGGATCAGATTAAGCGGCCATTGATGCGACCCAGAGCTAATGATTTCCAGGAGCTCTTCCAGCAAATCGGCCTCCAAGTACCTGTTAAGTCCCACGCCAACCTTTCCCCTTCCTTATTCTTGCTGTCTATTGCTATCCTTCTTAGTTCTTGCTTACCGTACTAGAAAGGATTCATCACTCAGAAGTGTTCATTTTTGGTTATTCTGTCATCTAACTGTGGTTGCAGATTGATGTCCTTCTTCTTGCTGTCTAGCCCTTGAAGTAGCTCGAAGAAGAATCATTAGCCCAATAGGCTTCAAGGGAGCTCCTTGGAATGTACGGAGATGTCTCGCAAGTCGCAAAGCTGGTCCAAGAAAATAAGCTTTGCCACAGCCCACAAGATGAGACCTGTTTGCACAAAGAAACAGGGAAAATAAGTGAGATGCTAAAACAAATATCTGTGTAGCAGCCCATTGCATTTGCTATGTGCAAAAAATGCAGTAAATTTCTTTACTTGTTGACATCGCCGCATGAATCTAGTACGATGCCTGCTGTGAATTTGACAAAAAGCTGCATTGCGGACTTTATGCTTGCTTCAGCCGACAAATTACTCTGTATTTCAGGATCCAAATGCTCAGATGGATGGCCATTATTGGATAGAGACTGTCTCTGCTGATGTTTCCGTTCCAATCTCACATATTCACTCCCAGCAAGAATTGTGCCAAAGCAAAAAAAAGAAAAAAAAACACTACATTTCATAAAATGGCAGCAAGAAAGCGCCATTGCTCATAGACAGAATTGAAATTTGTGCCTAGCAAAAATGACCAACAAAAATGACCAACTAAATTTGATTCTAGTACAATAACATGTACTAGAATCAACACCCGCGGCTACGCCGCAGGAAAGGAACTCACAACAACATGATTGAAAAACCGAGTAAAAATTATATGCATTTGGGAGAAGCCCCATATGTTAGTTGCTTTCCATATCCCAGCAAAGCAGAATGACTATTTTTGTGAATTGGTACTTCATTGAAAGCAAGAGGTGATGCAAGCCAGCATAATTGAAAGGCAAAGTAAAAAATATAAGCATTTGTAAGAAGCATTGAACATTAGGTTTTCTCCCATATATTGGCAAATCATAATGGGTATTCTTGCGTGGAGTCTCCAAATAACTGGACAACATTTACCAAACTGAAGCAAAATATGCTTCGAGTACCCTTACAATATATCCAAATTCCAAATATAAGAGAATACATTCTAAAAATGGTTGGAAATCATAAAAGGGCAGGTATAGTCTTTATGAGTCTCGATGCCAATCACACTCTACTTCAAGGATGTCAGTGAGCCACAGTATCAAGGAGTCGTCAAGCATTAAAATGATCTAGAACCTGGAATGAACCAAACAACCATGAAAAATAGGGAAAGACCTGTCGGGAGAGGTTGAAACTACAAAATATAAACCCAAAAAGGAAGAAAAACACGAACAAAAAATGCCAACTCGTTGAAGTCTTCAACTGGTGCATTTCGTATACAGCAGGCACTTACAACAACATATGCGAGTATCAGGTGACACATGTCAATTGGGAAATTGTAACATTACTTCCTAGGCTACAAAACAACAACCATCCCACCCGTTCATCTTTCCTTAGTAATCATCGAAAGTTAGGTCGGGGTTCTTTTAGTTGAGAAATGAGAAGCAAAGAAGGATTTATATGTTAAAAGGAAGAAGTGATATATGCAGGGGCAATGTACCAACCTGGCAAGATTGATCGACAGAGCAATCCTATCTATGTCCTTCCTCTTCCTTCTTTCCACTATAGTAATTATATTAATTGCATATCTCTTCAATTACAGGCAACCTAGCACAACTGAAACAAATCATAGTTGATACCTTCTGTTAGGGTCTATGTGTTAACATTTTATACAACAAATATACTGTAGATGGCAACATTCTAAAAATGCAGGTCATTAGTTAGTTGTATAAATAGTTGAGCTGAGATGGCAAATTATTAAATCTAACCTGGCCATTCGGTATTTAATGGTGAACGAAAAAAATCGGAAAAATCAAGCCCAATGAAACTAAATACAAATATGACAGATTCATTTGAATGGCTGCAGACTGAGCATTAACTTCCAGTGATTTGGTCAATGGCCACTCATCGATGAGTGGAAAATAGTTATTTGCCTCGGTTGGGTCAAATTCAGGAATCCAAACATTGACCTATATCTGCAAGGGGCGAAAGCATTAACCTCAAGGAACGAAAAAGGTTTATTTGCATACTTGCATCTAGGAAGTAAGTGTTTACCGCGGTAAAACTATTGAGAAGTTAGACTTCAGAATTTCAGAATAAACGGAATGACATCAACATTCTAGATCCTTGTCAACTAAAGAAGCCAACATGTGGTTTTTCATATTTACGTATTTAGGACTGGTGGGGAAACTGCTAGATCTATGCAGCAACTCTTTTGGCTCGACCTTCCTCCAACTGACCATCACTTCAAAGCAATACAGTTCTAGGATAAGAGAACGATAGGCATGTAAGAAACATGTTCTTTATTAGGAAAAATGTTGCTTCCAAGAAACTTGCCTAAATTGAAATGACAGAGAAGGTCAGACAAATCTGTAAGAGTTCTATCGGATCATCTAAAGGGCTGACATTCGCAAATAAGGCCAAGTTTGAAAAAAGAGCAGCAGAACCTGCAACTGCCAACTGAGAATAACCACTTGCTTTGTAAATCAAGCAAAGCAACATCAAAACCACCTTAGATGGAATTGCTTTCCAACATTGTATTTATCTATTAAGACAACAAAACCAAGTTGAATGCAAGCTATTTAAAAACATCTTAAATAAAATTCCCATGACAATAACTGTTAGTTAACAATAAGGGCAGGACCTCGTAAGGAATATTGCACCAAGAAACACCATTCCCAACTACAAATGGTACAAAAATGCAGCTCCGGATTTCTGGGAGAATCAGCAATATATACCGTATATCCATAGTAAAAGAAGGTTTCTATCTTTGTTTCAACTTAGCTTTCTTTTCTACAACAATTCCAACTTCAAAACTGTAATGAGGAACAGATTGAAGAACAAAACAGGAATAGGAAATTTAAGAAACTGTAAGCTGATAGATCTGTGTACACATAAAGAGGCGACTGAGAAGGCACTTACCGTTTCTCCTAGACATTGGTCAACATTTGGAAACGAAGTTCAGCTACATCCCATTAGAAGTTTCTTCTTTTAGTTTTTCAGTCATTAACCTGTAAACCTCATTGTAGTTTTTCACTTCGAGTCAGTGAGTTATCTATTGATTCTAGCTAGCGTGGTTGCCATAATAGCCATCAACCCATGTAAGCCAACCAGGTTCTTCTCCAAGCTGTTGCCATGAAGAAGCTGTTAACTGGGTTCCAGTATTAACCTGAAACTGGAAAAAAACAAACAAAAAAAATCAATCAATAAACAACACACATACCATTTCTATCCAATCCCATCAAACTCTACCATAGTGATAACTTGAACGACTTCTCAGTAAAGTAGAAGGACTGACATCTCTTGGAATAAAACCGTCTTCAAGAGCTCTAAATACCAACGACTGTCCAAATTTCTTCTCCAATTTGGTCTGACGTGTTCCAAGATACTTCTTGGCTGCGATCAAGTCTGCAGCCACTAATGAATACTGAGAAGCATGAACCCAAATTACATGCTTCCATTTGGTGAGGCAATTTTAAGGTTTACAGAAACTCTGTCATACTACACAACATCCTTGACAAAGTAGCTGGGCATCCTGACAATGGTCCGTCATTAGCCTCCAAGCAAAACTGTTGATCAGAAGTACCCATGGTGCAAGAAGCCAACTCATTTATGTCACAAACTGAGATCATCTACCAAAGGGAAACCCCACTAAATTAAGCAGTTTCCAGCAAGGAAGAAACAAATTTAGCCGCAAAAAGAGAAAGGGAATCTATATATGCTTACACCAAGTGCGTTTGTTAACACTCTTTGCACTGAATATAGTTGACCCACATGATATCACTTCCTAGTAATCGTTTGAAGGCGTCCTCCAATCTTGGCATCGCAAAGCCTGCCGAATTTCCTATGGAAAATTAGAATTAGAATATAATTTAGAAGAGAAATGAAAAGTAAATTCAATCCGGAAATTGAGAAACGAACATATGAATCCAAAAGTTGAGGAAAATAATTGTGGGCAATGCACCCGACGCCATTGGGACGACCAGTACGCCGAGCGAAAGATTGACGCCAACGAGAATTTGGAGCTGGCGGCGAACGATGTGGGCTTTGAGGTCACTGAGAGTGCGCTGCATACTGGCATAGCGCTAGCTGGAGATGTAGCGATGGAAGAGAGTGGTCGAAGAGCTGGGTGAGAAAATCGGGAACAAAAGAGCACAATTGGACTTGGATATGAGTTTGGCAGGGGTGGGGCGAGCAAAGGAGAAAACTTCTCTTAATTCATAAGAATGAGGCGAGGCATGTACAAATCATGGGCGATGGAGTGTTTCAGCAGCTATGAAGAGATCTCATGAGAGGTAGCGTGCGTGAAGAGTCGAAACTTGGAAAAGCACACTGGATTATGAGTCTGTGAGATGACGAAGACGACTGAAGCGGTGGTCTGAGATTGCGGATTTTAGGGGTGAGGTCGTGAACTGATGGAAATACAGAAAGCATGGGCGCCTGCAATTTGGAAAAGCAAACTGTAGGGTTGAGACCGGAGCTCTTTTGTGGTCGTGGTCAACAACATAGTCGTGTATGAGAAGCTTTTCTAGTCCCAGCCCACAAAATGCCAAAAAGTGAAACAGTAGTAGAGAAGTTTGGCCAATAAAGTGTACCCACATTTCATATATAAAAGAATGTTCTAAATCCTAAAGAGCTCTAAGACAAAGTCACTTTGACAAGCTCCACCAACAACAATTGCATGCTGAGTACTGAATTATAAAGCAAGTATAGAACTATAATTAGTATACCATCGACGCTTCTCACATTAAATGTTACCGTAGCTATAACCCATAATAATAAAAGTTGTCAAATTTTGCTTAAACGTTAATGAGCATGCAATTCTAACTTGCAGACTGCAGACATTCAGCCAAAGCATATGACCAACACTGGAGTGCCTCTAAGACCTTAAAAGAGGGTAGAAGTTGTACCGGAATCAATGGGTCCAAGCTATGCAAATGAACTTCTGCACTGTCATTTAAAGAATCCAATGCAGGCTTGTCAACCTTCACCACTCATGTAACTTATAGGATTCCTGATTCCCTTGTGAAGGATGATAAAAGTGCCCAAAAATATGTCGGGGGCCACTTCAAATGCATGCAATGGCACTATTCTTACCCGTTCAAGTTGCAGGTTGCTAAAATGACCAGGTTACTTTTTCGATAGCAATGTGCAAATCCTGGGATAGTTTGGGAAAATGCCTGCCTTCCAAAAACCTTCAGAGAACGAATGAGCTATCGGATCTGGATAGTCCAATATTTGATTTAGCCTATGCATTTTGGACATCAGGCCTTCAGCAACTTCTGTTAGTTGGACAACCCACTGCAAGTTCAGACCCTTCTGTGATGCACCTAAACCCTGAAGATGTCCATCTGAACCCTTAAACCTAGAGGACCTGGACGCCATTGGAGATGTCATGTCAGGACCTAAGTACTCTGTCCATCTAGCTGGAACTTCCAGTCCTTGGATCTATCAGCAGTGGGTGATAGCGACGAATCACGGGACGAGAAATGTTGATGTTAATTCGCCATGGGTTACTATGCGGAGCTGGGAATAACCCAGAAAATGAGATTTAGTCTATCAGCTACCAAGCTTCAATGAAGTAAACTCCATGGAGTTGAGAAATGCAGCCATTCACCCAAAGCCAATGTTGGAGCTCTTGTAATAAAAGTTGATGAGAGAACAATTCAAACGACACTGCAATGGACAATTTAAGAGAGACTACTTTAGTGCGTTGAACAAAGACTGACAACCAGGACCCTAATCTTTTCGGTTTTTCACTGGAACAACAACTGTAGCACACTACAACGGTAACAATTGTTTACTCAACAAATTCTCTCTACTTCACTGGAACTACGACAGAAAATCCAACAATTCGCCACTAAAGAAAAGGGAATTGCTAAAGTAAAGAAAAACAACTAAGGTAAGAAAAGAGAATGAACTGCAGTACACTCACGAGTTGGGTTCTGTTGGGATGAATAGCTTTGAAAAGCTATAAATGAAATTTCTAATTAATTATCCAGTATTTTCACATAATACGAAAATAAGATGGATAATTAATAAAAGGAATATTATGGAGATAATTAAGATTAATTATCTTAATAGATTATATTTTAATTATGAGAGTAATTATCTCCCTAAATAAAATGTGACTTATTCCCAAAGAAAGAGGGAATATTCTGGGTTTTCTGCTCCAATAAATAGCAGACCCCCCAGACCCTCTAAACACACCTCAGAAGAGCAGAAACACGAGAGAGAGTGAATTCATAGAGCTCCGGTTTTTTGCACAAAATCGATGAGCAACAAAATTAGAATGGTTGTTTTATCCTGGAGGCGACCGGCTGATAGTCTGCTGTGCGCAATACGAGGCAGTGCCGCGAACGTCTTAAAGAGAGCGACCTAGTCCGCGACTCAGCCAGATCGGTAACCCTAAATTTTCTGTTCGGTTTCTAACAATTTTAAGACGTTGTGTTTCTGTCATGTGTACCGAACAGATTCTATCGATCAATTACCGCTTCTGGTTCCAATAAGGCGCAAGAACCAGTCCGCCAACATAAACCCATTGTCGGCGAGCAGCCGATTCAACTTGCCCTAGTTTTACAGAAGTCGAACACACTCCATAGCCTTTTGGCATTGGAGAGGTGTAATCTTCTAATTATTTTAATTAATTTCTTCTCCTCTGCGACTTTTAATTGTTGATCTGGCTATTTTAGTGTTGCAGTTGATTAGCTCAGGTAATTTTCCACGGAGCTAAAAGAAATCCGAAAGGAAAGGGAATTCAAGGAGAATTAGAAAGACAATAATGGATTTGGAATTATGTATCCCTATGAAAAAGAAAATTGTCAAGGAGGAACAAATTGAGTCTGCTTGCTAGCTTTGGGATTACCGCCAGAGATGACTATACGAAAAGAAAAGGAGATTCGAAAGAACAGCTGCCGTGAGCCTAGTGGAGACTAGAGTCCGCCTTTGATTAATTATGGTCCAGGAAATTCGAGGAGAGAAGGACGCTCCTAGCTAGGCTTGTGGCGTCTTCCATTGATCTTGCCCACGTGAATGAGACGGAGTTTATTCCAACCCAGACAGCCGAGTCGATTGAGAAGCCTTCCCCACGTTGAAGGACCAGCAGAAGCTGCAGCAGGCGATGACGATGTGAAAGAAAGATAGGGAGTTGCTCCTGTCCAATTAATTGTTAGTGTATAATTAGTTGATGTTGTTCAATTACTGTTCACGCGCACTTAACTGCTTTTGTCCATAAGTCCAATCAGGAAGAGAAGCTTCGGTCCCAAGGAAAGGAAGAACTGCTCTGACCTTTTGTGGCGGTTGTGAAAGAAGCTAAAAGCTTCTCCTCTCAAACCCTACTGATGTGCACGAGGCATATGGCATAAAAATCTGTTTGGCTGTGGCATTTGTAGTGATGCTAGACTCTGAAAATAGTAGGACGAAAATGGTGGGCTATGATGGGCAATCAAAGTGGAATTATGCAGGCCTAACGAGTGGACGGTTTGAGCTTCAAAAGTATCAATTGGAAGCGAAGCCACATGCTAGCTATTTATTGCAAAATCAGAATGCAAAACCAGAATGCAATGATTTCTTGATAAGAGGTAAGAACTAAAACTTTCCTCATATGCTAGTAGTGAATGATATATTAGAATCTATTATGTATGTCTTTTTGCATGGAATTGAAACCCTTGTGAATGCTAGAAAGACAACGAGAATTGATGCATGATTATGTCGACATTGAGATGTATTACCTCAATGATTAGAAATTGAATACATGTTGTGGAATAGAATGATTTGTCTAAATGCATGCATATGAAGTATATATGAGAATAAAATGGGTTGTATGCCACAAATGACTTTAAAAGAAGTACCGGTTGTCAGTACTAAGTGAATCACTCATGTTGCTCTAAAGCATTAAAAGTTTTAAGAATGAGAGTAGCAAGCCAAACCAGATCCGCACCAATTAGAATGGTACCCTTCGTGGTAACCAAAGATCACTAGCCAATCCTCTAAGAATGACACTATGTTTCTCCAATATAGTTGTGAGATACTAGGTCATATGACGCGAAAGTGTATGAACAAGTCTAACATTGGTTCCATTGTTAGCTTGATAATAGAAGAGGATGGATGGTTGTGATCACCAAAATGAGAGCAGAGGTTAATCTTACTAATAACCCTGAAGAATGGTGGTTGGATACCGATGCCTCAAAGCATGTGTGATAATTGAGTTATGCTCAAACCATCATTGAGACGCATTGAAGAAGAAAGTGTTGTTGGGCATTTGCCCTCACCACGATTTTAGAAGACGTCTTGCGCGCTCCATAGAGAAGGAATATGCTTATGCTTGTGTGGTATATATGTTTTATGTAACCAAGTTAAATGACCCAGAAATATGTGATAAGAGAATCAAAACATTAGATATTGTTTGTTTTTATATGAGTATACATGATGAGAAGTTAAGAAATGTTTTATCGATTGCTCTGGTTAATTGTATGTTTAGTTGATGTGATGCTTTTGAAATTCTAATGGTAGAATTAAAGAACCAGAGCAATATAATTACTAGTAGAGCATATGAATGTGTTTTAATTGGATAAGCTATAATATAACACATTAGCTTATGAAATGAAATACTCATTGTATTACGGAATCCATTAATGCCAAGAGACTTCCATTTAAATTAAGAAATAGTGGGGGTAACATCCTGCCCGCTATTAGAATAGTGGATCTAGTGGGGGGTGATGAATCTGAGTATGAACTTAGAAGAGACAAATGAATCATAAATCACTAAAAGATTTTGGTTATGAATTTGTTGTTTACACCCTAAGAAAGATCCTACAAATTTGCATCTTTATGGAATTTCAAATTTGAAGCAGATTTGTGGGATGATCCATTATTAACGAAATGGAATATGTGGAGTCTAGTAAGACTTAGAATCTTGTAAAATTACCTCTTGGTTGTAAAGCCTTGGGTAATATATTGGTGGAAGCGAACAAGATTTGGCATCTTTGAGAATTACCTCATGGCAATGAAGTCAAGGTAATAGATGGATTCCTAAAAGAAAAACAGAAACCTGATGGTTTAGTTTATGAGTATAAGGATTGCCTACTAGCTAAAACATTGGGCGAAGAAGGAAAAAAATTGTAGATTTCTTTATTCACCACATCTAGAATAACATCCATGTATGTTCTGATTGCTAGTGTTTTGCGTCAGATGGATTGTTAAAGTTTCTGTGATTGGTGGTTTAGATAAATAAATCTACATGGGACAACCTAAAGGGTTGTTATTCCTGAACATGCTTTTAGAGTCTATGGTTAGACAAATCATGGTAAGATTTGAAAATGACTCTAAAACAATGGCGTGAAAAATCAGATTCTTTCTCATGGTTTTAAAATTGAAAGTGACAAGTGCATTTAGTACAAATTTGAGAATGACACTTACATTATGAATGACACGTCGATCTTTGGTACAAAGACTTGTGATGTCAATATTGAAAAACCATGATGGTTGAGAATTTTGAGTGTGAAGGATCTAAATGAAACAAATGTTATGCTTAGAGATCCTAATAACTGGGAAAATACAAGATGTACACCTGCATACATGTTTGATGATGATAGTATAAATATTTAAAGAACACCTAAGACGGTGTAAGAAAGTTAGAATATAGTAGCATTTACAGTCTGCGAGAGGCAGCTGATAAACATGAGACCCGATTTAGTGGGGGGTACTTGGCAGGCTTATTGATTGTCCTAGTATGAAGCATTGAAATGCTATTGAAAAGGGTCATGAGACACCTTAAGTGAACAGTAGGCCTTGATATATGTTATCAACGGTTTCTTGCTGTATTGGTAGGGTATATTGATGCGGACGAGAATACCTTATAGAGGAATCTCAGGCATCTAGTGGACATGTTTTAAACATCACTAGAAAATTTGTGTCTTGGAATTCAAAGAAGTAAACGACCCAAGCTCAATCAACTAAGAAATTAATAATAATAAAAAATTTAGAGCTAGCAAGGGCTAGTAAAGAGGAAAGTTGATTGAGAGGGTCATTACTGGAGATTCCCTTATGGGAAAGACCGATCCCTCCGGTAGTTGATTCATTGTGATAGCACCGCAACTATTACTAAAGAAGGGAACCGGTTCTAGAACGAAAAGAGACGACAAATTCATCGTAAGCACAATACTGTAAGAGAACTCCTAACGATAGGAGCAATGAGGGTGGATCATGTGAGATCCTAACAGAATCTAGCTGATCCTTTGACGAAAGGATTACCTAGAGAGAAAAGTCCAAAATACCACGAAGGGTATGAGACTTATGCCTACCGAACCATGGACTACAAGTGATGGTAACCCGACCCGATAGACTGGAGATCCCAAGAAACGGGTTCAATGGGTAATAACAAGTCATGAGTAATATTGAGAAAAGTTCATGCATAGTGAAGCATGAATCCCAAAGCCTTGGAGGTTGAGTTAAACTCTTAATGAGATCTATACTCTATGTGGAGTGAAGTACTTTACTTTGGGGGTACTTCCGATAGACTCACCTATGTGAATGTGGGAGTGATGCCGCTCCCTATTGAACTTTGGAGGCACAAAGTTGCTAGAGCGTTCACTAAACCGGGATAACGTGCATAGCCATAAACGCACAGCCTATGAGAGAATATCACTCAATGAAAAGATCCGGTGTGCTACATTGTTTGAGATAGGGTTCAAGACTACGAGTCACCCTTATGAAATCGGAAGTGTAACCACTATGCTAAGGTTCAAATCTTCGCGATACCTTAGCTTATGCCCGATCTTATGGAACTGTTGATGCTTAGAGATAGTTTCAAAACTATTCAAGTGGGGGATTGTTGGGATGAATAGCTTTGAAAAGCTATAAATGAAATTCCTAATTAATTGTCCAGTATTTTCACATAATACGAAAATAAGATGGATAATAAATAAATTGATTATATTTTAATTATGGGAGTAATTATCTCCCTAATTAAAATGTGACTTATTCCCAAAGAAAGAGGGAATATTCTGGGTTTTCTGCTCCTATAAATAGCAGACCCCCCAGACCCTCTAAACACACCTCAGAAGAGCAGAAACACGAGAGAGAGTGAATTCATAGAGCTCCGGTTTTTCGCACAAAACCGATGAGCAACAAAATTAGAATGACTGTTTTCCTGGAGGCGACCGGCTGATAGTCTGCTGTGCGCAATAAGAGGCAGTACCGCGAACATCTTAAAGAGAGCGACCTAGTCTGCGACTCAGCCAGATCGGTAACCCTAAATTTTATGTTCGGTTTCTAATAGGTTCCACATCCATAATTTAGCTAGCAACCTAGCAAAACCAATATAGAATTCAAGGATAAAACACGCTCCTCCTCCCCCCAGGTTTTCTCAGAAACAGAAGAACACAAAGGGAAACGGAATCAAGAACATTGCATCACAAAAAGAACCGAAAAGAGGAAGCCAGAAATAGAAAGAAACTAATCACCGGAGCAATATCTAGCAGAGAAAATGAAGAGAGAAGAGAGGGGGAAGTACGAGTTAGCAAGTGAAGACTTGAGCTCTTCGAAGCAACAGCAGCAGCAGCTTCGCTCGGCGGATTGAGAAGCTTATATCTGCGCCATACGCCGTGGTCGTCAATCGCGCGGAACCGAAAGGGATGGACAGAACGTTTCTGGGACCGAAGGAGAGGGAAGATGGGGGTAGTTGGTAACAAAAAGCAGCAGCAAATATGTACCAAAATAGAAAGTAGTATCATATAGGAAGAAGAAAAAAGAGTAGTAGCAAGTCAGCTCCAATTCCCAATTAGAGCAAGAAGACGAGTTGTGCGGAAAACTGCGGATCACTTTTTCCTTTTTTCTCTCTTTTATTGGAAAAAGTTAGCTAAAATATACTTTCATAGTAATAACTCATAATTATACACGTTGTGACAACAATAGCCACATTTTGAAAAATAGACTGTTATACATTCCGTTCAAAACTTTAACGATACCTTCACAAATGTTGATTAGACAAATGTTTTATAGTGACGTGACAGTTTTTCGTCAAATCCATTGCCAGCTAGAAATGTTGACTTTTATTGTAATTACATGAGAAACAAAAGAAAATTTAAATAAAATAAGGAATTGAAAAAAATTAATGAGTCTTCTTCGTCTTTCTTTTCTCTACCATCTATCCTCCCAGGTTAAACTTTGACTAGTACTCCGTTCTTCAATATACCCTCAAATTGATCTTTGGCGAGTGCATTGAGATTGGGAAAACAAAACTAATCGAAACAAAAATTCGTTTACGAAACCAGAACCCGTTGATGAAGAAGCAAAAAAAGAGGAATCAGTATTGTTGTTCCGGCTGCGAAGAAATCTGGCACTGCTACCAAGAAAGAAATTGTGGATTTCGGGACTCCCGCTCAAGACCTCGAAAGCGACCAGATCTGCGCATGTCGAAATTGCGGCGAGTACACAGGAATTGGGTTCTTCTGTGGTCCCTCTCATCTCTTTCTTCATCTTCTCCGATGGTTGGGCTTCTGTCGTCGATTAGGGACTCCGTCAACGCATGGACGTCAGATTGGCCGAGGGCCAGATGTTACACCCCATCTTTTTCTAAGCCGAAATGACGATTATGCCCTTGGTCCAAAATTTTCAAATTTCACCATAATGTCGAGGAGGACTAAAAATGTGAACTATCGGTTCAAGCGGTGTCGAATTTCAACATCATATGGGAAAGTTATGGATATTAATCGAGTTTCAGAATAAACTCACCCGACACCTAATTAAACGTCAAGTCCCAAAAATATCCCTTAGTTTAATTAAAGCCTACCAAATCCGAGAGCAACCTCTAATTAAACCCTAACCCCAGTTAACCACTAAATTCTCTTCAACCGTCGACCTTAAACCCTGCCAAAATCCCGAGATCATGAAGTCAGTGACCGGCGAAATCGTCTTATCGACACCCGTCTCTCTGTCCAACGCAGCCTCCATCCTCTCCCAATTCGTCTCCGCCGACACCGGCGCTTCTCAGGCCCTCAACGCGTACCTCCGGCGCGCCAACTCTGCTTTCAACGAGCTGGTACGATTGCGCTCCAAATCTGAGCGCAGGGCTCGCGAGAATCACAGGTCAGGCGCTGCCGAACCCTCTGCACTTACCACCACTTCCGTTACCACCGTGGATGAGAGACTTCAACTCTCTAAGGGGACGGCACAGCCCCAGTTGAACTCGGAGGAGCCACATAAAAGAAAGAAGAAGGGAGAGGATGAGGTTAAGGTTGAGGACGAGCAGCGTAAAGGCGAGGGTAATGTTGAGGAAGAAGAGCTGTCAAATAAGAAGACGAAGAAGAGCGATCTCGGTACTTCAGGGGGCGGTGAGAACTAGAAAGGGGTTGAGGTGAAGGGTGAACTGAGCCATGCGGAAGCTAATTTAGGGGATTTTGGTAGTGAGAGTGATAAGCAGAAAAAGAAGAAGCATAAGAGTAAAGGACTTGAGAATGGCGATGTTGATGGCTACAAGGTAAATGGTGCCATAACTGGTGCCCAGGATGCTGTGAGTGAGAAAAAGAGGATTAAGGAGGAAGAACAGAAGAGTGATGGGGTGAAGCCAAAGGACGAGAATAGGAAGAAGAGAAAGAGTCGTGAGAATGGGGAGGAAAGGAGAGATAACAGTCACTCCGAAGAGCGGCCGAGAAAGAAGAAGAGGTGAAACGATTGATAAACTGAGTGATGGAAGCGTGGAGGATGGAATCAGAATGTTTATTTTGGTCATAACTCGATCAATTGACGTCCGAACGAGGAATCATCAAGCCTATGGAATCGTGATAACGAGGAGAATTTAATTGGAGCAAGTATGGAAATTTTAGAGCAGATTCAGAGTTGGTTTCGACGGATATAAGGTGAGTGTAAAGGGGGTAAATTCTACGCCTTACGTATTCTTTTAAGTATTATGATTTTAAATATTTTAGCGAATTGTTTACCGTTGCTTGGTTATGTTTATGATTGATTATTTGTGCTTTGCTTGAGCTATGATTTGAGGTGATTATGTGCTATTTGAGGTGATATGAGGTGATTTTGTGCTATTTACCTTAAAGCGTTATGTTTGAGTTATTGTTAAAGTTTAAGAAACAAGTTCTTTTTAAGAAGTAACTCACCTTCAAGAAGGTGAAGTCGTTTTAAGTGTTTTTAGTCACTAGCGCCAGTCCTTTGCCATTTGAGATTTTCAGATAGAGCAGCAGTTATGCTCTTGAGATCTTTGAGACAGAGCGGCAGTTATGCTCTTGAGACTTTTAAGATGAGCAGCAGTTATGCTCTTGAGAATCGTGGTGAAGAGCCACCACAATAAGTTTAAGATGTTAGGGGGATGAATCGTTACGACTTCCCTAACTAAGTTTGAGTTTAAGGAAAGCCTTGATGGCTTCTCATACGTATGAGTTGGCAACCGGACAAGCTAGTGAGGGATCCCAGTGTTGGTCAAGTATTTAAGTCAAGCTTTGAGATTTAAGAATGGAGTAACAGTAACTCCCATACAGTTTTAAGAGTTAAGCTTTTTAATAGTGGAAGTACAAAACAATTTCCTCTCAGTTAAGTAAAATGATCAAGTATTAATAAGATGTTAAACGTAAGGGCGTAGACTGACCACATCTCACTCACCAGTTTGACGAGCTAGAGAAGGAGCTAGAGGAGTAGTTAGTGAGCAGCAAGTTCGAGGGCAGCCAGCTAGAGAAGGGCAGTGTAAGCGTCACGGAGGATGCCTAGTTGAGATTTTCGGTAGCAGCAACGACAGAGACTACCTAGTTATTTACATGTTATGATTATGAGTATAGACTGGAGATCAGATTGAGATTTTAAAGTTTGAGTTTAATTTGCCCACATGTTAGGGCTTTGCTTTGAACTACAAGTGTGTGTTGTCAGTATTTTATTTGTGAAAAATTTTCCCGCTGCAATTTAAGATTTGAGTATTTTATTTTATCAAGGGCATTTTAGTAAAAGTAGTACCCGGTCGGGTTAGGGTGTTACATTTTGGTATCAGAGCCGGTCTTCCTCTGTTCCTTGGTTTCCAAGGAATACTGGAATGTCGGTCTCAGTTTTTAGAGGTTTTGTTTTAAAGGAAAGGAAAATGTGTCAAGGGTCTCCTTTTAAGAGTCTATAGAATCTCCACAATTCACTACGCATATCGAACATCAAATTGAAATCGCGTTTCGTAGTGTCGAGGCCAAACAAATCGCCCCTTTCTGTCCGTCGCCTCATATTGAACGAGATCGACCTCCTTTCACATGCAAGCTCGTCGTCAACCTGGTTTTCCCTGCTGCAACAAGACCCATTAATCCAATCGAAGAACAAACCCAGATCATTCGTGGGTGGTGGCCTGTCGGGTGCCTCTAACTGCCACCGTAGGGTGCTGCAAACCCAAATTGGAGGCGAGCGATGTTTGTGGGTGGTTGCGGTGTTTCGCAGTGGGGGAGAAGATGACACAGAGGCGCAACGATAACCTGGCAGGGTGGTTTTGGAATTCAAAAGCTAATCTCCGGGTGACGGTCTCCACACACTTTCCCCATTCCGCTACGGGTAAAAAACCCCTTTCCAGATCCTCGCTGCCGAGTGAATGCCGTCGGGATTGCATCCAAAGCTTGTGAGTCACTCGATGCGCCTGAGAAAGAAACCAACTTATTAGGGGGGGGGGGGGGATTAGGGATGCATTCGTATGAGTCGGTCAGCGATCTAAGAATTACCCGACAAGCCAGGAAACCCTTGTAATGATGCGGAAGTAGAGAAGGAAACGCAGGCAGGATCTCGGGGCGGAGGCCGGCGGCGTGGAGGTCAACGACAGTGGCGGCCAGAGGGAAGCGGAAGAGAAGGTGTTGAGGAAGATGTCCTAGAGGAGAGTGGGGAGGAGGGATCGCCTCGATGGATGAAGGGGAGAGGTTAGAGGATTGTGGAGTAGGATTGAGGTGGCTGTGTTGTTGTTGATTTCGAGAGGAATCGAAGGAGAAGTCGCAGGTGGAGAAGATGTCATCCTCGTAGCTCGCTGTCCTTGTCGCGATGGAGTGATGACAGAGTGGTGGATAAGAAGGCGTCGATGAAGCTGTCGGTGGAAGGAGGAGATTTTCGATGGCGAAAGCATTTATATCCGTGGACGTCCATTGGGGGTGGCGGGTCTAGTTAGTAATATGTGAATCGGCGATTCTGGTCGTCCATCAGTAGAGGAAAGGAAGGGGAGGCATATTTGGCTATTTCCTAGAAAGGGTAAAGGTGAGGCGCACAAGGAAGACATAACCGCGTTATCGAATAAGTTAGGGTTACGTGTATTAAATCGAATAATTAAATTATTTTTTTATTAATATATTTAATAATGTGTTATGCCGACTTGGCAAAAGTAACGAAATTTGGATGGATTGACCTCTTTGTCTTTGCTACTCATATAAACTTATATTACTAAAATGTATAACATTAAAGAATTGTGATAATTTTGTACGAAGTGAATAAATCTAATTAGCCCGTAGACTACGGAATACAGACGGGCTCGTCGTGGCGCAGATCACTGAGATCAGCGTATCTATCCAAATCCGGATCTGTAAGCCATAAAAAAGAAATAACAAAGGAAGAGTGAAAAATGAAAAACGGAAATCACAGTCTCGTCAAAGCATAGTTTATCGTTCTCCCCACGGCTCTGTCATCGCCAAGGAAACCTTCCCCAATCATTCGCCCAACCCCGAACCCTAAGTTCGCCTACCTATCGTGCGATTCCAAATTGAGGCGAAATCGGTTCTTAACTTTTGTCTGCCTGTGATTGGAGCAACCTGGTGCGGGAATTCGGTCGAGATCAGCTAAGTAAGGGATGGCTGTGTTGCTTGAGGACATAGTTAAGTCTGTGGAGCTATGGCTGAAATTCCTGAAGAAAGAACCCCAATCTTTCGTCGATCCGACTCTCGACCCGGTCCTCCTGGTGCCGGGCGTAGCTGGTAGTATTCTGCACGCGGTTGATAAGGATGACGCCGGAAAGGTGGAGCGGGTTTGGGTTCGGATCCTTGCTGCTGATCATGAGTTATGTGCCAAGCTTTGGTCTCGCTACGATCCCTCTACTGGTACGGCTTGGACTAAGTTTCTTACTTTGCATTTGCTTGTTTATTGGGATGCAATTTTTGGATGTCCATGGTTTCTCAGCTTTACCTGATTTCTTTATTGGAGTTTCCTGCAAGGGAAATGACGTCAACTACCTAGGAATATATGTTGAAAGACAAAATCTGTGTGTGAGGGTCGCACTTTCTATTTCTTGATTGGGGGAATCTAGAAACTGTAGTGGAGCTAAAACTCTCCTGATGCATTTATGCTGATAAGTAACATGGAGCATGACCTAATTTGGCTTGAGGTTCTGTAAACCGGCTAGTTCTTTTGCTTCATTGTTGAAAGTTTATTGCTTCAGTTCAATTTTGGCTGCCCTAGTTGTTTGATTCCCTCAAGGTTCTCTCTGCGTAGCACTTTACTGTAATAAGTTTGGGTTGGTTTTGTTCATGGGGATTATAACCTTGCCTCTGATATCTTGTTAACAGGACAGATTTTAGATGGACTAATGGTTGTTTGTATTTTATTTTCGTATATTCTGTTGATAATTTTCCGTACTTCAGTCACCATTCACCTCTTTACCAGACATGTGATATACTTTCGCGATCAAACTTCATAGATGCTGTTATCCTTTATTTTATGGACTCTACTCATCTGAAGTCTCTTTTTGTCAAACAGGTGAAACTGTATCTTTAAATCAAAAAGTAAACATTGTGGTTCCTGAAGACAGATATGGATTGTATGCAATTGATGTCCTGGATCCTGACCTGGTACATCTTGTTTCCTTTCCGGTCTTTTCAGATATTCTGACATTAAATAGTAGGCGCAACAAGCAATTTTGACTTACCATTATTAGTTTGATCTAAATCCAAAGCAATGTTCTGTGCTGTGCAGATCATAGGACGTGAATGTGTCTATTATTTTCATGACATGATCACTGAGATGCTGAAATGGGGCTTTCAAGAGGGGAAAACTCTGTTTGGTTTTGGGTATGATTTCCGACAAAGCAACAGGTGAGGTTTGGATTTTATGATTGCGTCACTAATGTCTAGTGGATGTAAATTTTAGTCAGCCACCTAATGCGGAACCCAGCAATGTGACGGATAACTGAATAAGTAGCACTAATTATCAACAATTGGTTGGTTTCCATCATGGTTTCCAATGATCGTAGAACTATCATCACTTTCAAGTCTTTTGTCTATGGAAATGCTTCTTCGGATGTGGCATTTTTTTTATTTATTTCTCATGCCGATTACAGTTGTTTTCCTTGTGATTGTTTATTGATGACAAATAACATTCATATTTTATTTATTCATCAGGTTACCTGACACAATGGACCGTTTTGCTAAGAAGTTAGAGTCTGTGTACAATGCTTCAGGAGGGAAGAAGATAAATGTTATAAGTCACTCCATGGGTGGCATTTTGGTTAAATGTTTTATGTCCCTGCACAGTGATGTAAGATAATTTTTTCAGTCTCCTCAAGTTGAATGCTCTAATCTCTTATATTCCAAGATTGGAAAACTTGAAATTAACTCTCCTGCTTCTTATACCCTTTCGTAGGTGTTTGAGAAATATGTGAAGAACTGGATTGCAATTGCTTCACCATTCCAAGGTAAGTGATTGTGAAATTAGCAAATCCCAAGCTGTCTGTACTGCTCTGTGTCGTCCAGATCGCTATATGAGAATATTTTTTTAAGAAATTGCTCTATTTTTTAAGCGTTGATTATTGTTGGCATCTTTGGTTGCTTGGTCGTTTCCTTGGGAATCATTTTTAATTAGCTTCTGTCTCATTGAATTTTCTCCAACAGGTGCTCCAGGGTATGTCATGTCAACCTTTCTGAATGGGATGTCGTTTGTCGAAGGGTGGCAGCAGAACTTTTTCATATCGAAGTGGAGCATGCACCAGATGGTGGGACCCTATCCCAACTTAAATCTTCTGCTATTGTTTTAATCCTTGTTTTACCATATGATGTTACTCTAATGGTATAGCAAGTTGATTTCTGTTATTCTGATCCTGCTTACCATACTTAAGGCCTGTTTGTATTTGTTGCTAACATTCGTTATGTGATGATGTTTCAGCTCATTGAATGTCCATCTATTTACGAGTTGATGGCCCATCCAACTTTTGATTGGGAACACATTCCTTTTCTGGAGTTCTGGAGAAACAAACAAGATAATAATGGGAAGTCTCAAATAATGCTCGAGAAATACACCCCTAGAGAGACGATAGGAATTTATAAAGGGGCTCTTTCGAGTAACAAGGTGAGCTCTGAACTTCCAAGGGGTCTCTTATGTTATAGCTTACAGAAAGCATTCTGATTTGTCAGGCAGCTGAATGACATATTAGCTCTACGGGACACGATGACTTTTGTGATTCTTGGGTTTTTCCTGAGAAAAAGGCACGACATATACTTAATCAGACATGTTCCCGGGAAATATAACATATTAGCATTGGTCTTTTTTGAATTAGTGAGAGACGTGGGGTTGCTTTTGCCTTGTTGCATTATGGACAGTGAGAAATGCATCTGTTAGCCTTAATAATTAGGTTAAGGTGATGCAGATGCTGCCACAGTGATGATAGTTGTTAATGGGATCTGTACTTGAATAGAGTTCTTGTTCAATGTTAACATCTAAGCTTCACTCCATCCAGGTTAGCTATGGTGGTACAGATTTGCCATTGCCTTTCAATGAGGACATCATGGAATGGGCTGGAGAAACATTCAAAATTCTGTCACGGGCTAAGGTTCCATCTAAAGTTAAATTCTATAATATATATGGGACGAGCCTGGCGACACCTCATAGTGTTTGGTAATGCTCATCCATCCCTGTTGATTTGATAATTCACGTGTGAGTTTTGTATTTTTTATATTAATTTTTATTGCAATGTCATATGACATTGTTAATTACTTAAAATTGCTCAGCTATGGGGATGAGAAGACGCCTGTCAGTGATCTGGGAGACCTGCGATATTACCAGGTTATTTTCTACTACACGACTTAATTTTTTCTATGAACTTATTTCATCAAGCTTTTCCTTTGTCAACCACATGGGCACATTGTTGTAAGAAGTCAAAATGTTTGCTGTTAGCTGACATTTCTTTCTCTATGTTTCCAGCCTAAATATGTATGCGTGGATGGAGATGGGACAGTTCCTGTTGAGTCCGCTAAGGTTAATTTGACTTCCTCTTTTATCAACTGAATAGATTATTTCCAGCTTTAAATGGCAAAACTACCAGTTATGTTAGAAGTTAGGACTCATACATCTATCTCTCTTGGACCCTCTTTAATTATCTTTACAGGCGGATGGTCTGAATGCAGAAGCAAGGGTTGCAATACCTGGTGAGCACAGGGGGATTCTTTGTGAGCATCATTTGTTTAGGGTGGTGAGGCACTGGATAAAGGCAGGTGCACCTGATCCTTTCTACAACCCAATCAACGACTATGTTATCCTACCCACTGCATTTGAGATGGATATGCGTAAAGAGAAGGGTTTGCAGTTCACCTCCCTGAAAGAGGAATGGGAAATAGTAGCCTCAGGGTGTGAGCATGAAGAAGATGCGGCAGGTGATGAGCCAAAAGAACCTCTAGTCAGTTCAATTACTGTGTCCCGTCCAGGAGATGATCAATCTTCAGCAGCTGAAGCTTGTGCAACCCTAGTTGTTCATCCACAGAGCGAGGGCAAGCAACTTGTGGAGCTCAATGCTTTGAGTGTATCTGTTGATGCCTAGAATTGTTGTGAAGAGAAAAATTCATGGCTATGTGTGTATATATCTCTAGTGATGTACCAACTATCATGGAAGGTGAAGACCTGTTTCTGTGCAGAATGTAAATAGCAGCGTCGGATGACAATCAACGCAAGGAAGAATGTGACCTGTGGCTTTCCTACTGCCTGTAAATCGGAATGGTCTAATGTTGAGTCAACCATGTTGCATATCTGCATTATGTGATTCATTATGCGTTCTAAATTCAGCTTGACAGGTTCTTAGCGATAGTTGATAGACACGCCTAATCGATCAAATCCGATCAAATGGGCACTCTTGATACGGTACGGAATGTCCAACCTGTTGGTCCAAAAGCTTTTCAAGTTCTTGAGGCCTAGAGGGACCCTAGAAGGTGGTAAATACAAGATCGACTCTAACCACAATTGATAGTTCGTAAGCAAACGTCCTACTCATGAAAGAAGTGGCTGTGCCACTACATGGGCAATTATGTTAAAGCTCCGAGGAGCAAAATGATATGATACATATTCAAGTGAAGAAAGAAGAAAAAAGAAAAAGACAAACCTCCTCCAAGATGACACTGCCTATCGACTGAGAAGCCTTCTTGGACGATACATGTCCGATGCCCAATTTCAAATCACCACAAAATGCAACAACCAAAACGTTATGTATTAGACACCATGGCATATCATCTCGAAGAGCAAATAATTTGCAACAAAAGCATCAGAGATACCATCATAATTTACCGAAACAAATAGTATGGTTCCGTCACCTGATAGACCTAAGAAGCCTGAGACACTTCCTTCATTGGTCTTCATAGCCCCATCAAAGCAAACTATGATCCCCCAATGGGGTATGTGATGTCCTGATTGTTTCTCTGGGAACCTTGATTAGTGGGTACATTGCTTGGTATGGATTGTCTTCCTTCTTCCAAAACTTATGTCCCTCTGCCATCCTCCATTCCTCTACTTAAGCGGTCATTTGACGAAATAACAGTGGGGCTTGGAATGATGTAAAACTAAAGACGGTGGTTTGCATCGACCTTTTCATATACGTCAGAATTGGAAAATCGTGTAAGATACAATAATCTTTGAGATCTGAGGCAAAACAAAAGTTCTCTCCATGCTAGGTCCATTTGGAGCATTCCAATGGTTGATATTCGTTGTTCCCATCCTACTATATGCCATAATTCCTTAGTAATCCTACAATCAAAGAAACAGTGGGTCATATCTTCTATAGGATCCCAACAGAGAGGGCATATGCTTATATTGGAAATGTGTTTATTGAAGAGAGTCCCTCGTAATGGAAGAAAGTCATGAACCGGTCTCCAAAGAATTTTTGTTAGTTTTGTGGGATTGGATCATTTCAAAAATATTTCTAAAATTTGGTGTCGAAGTAATCTGAGATGGGGCTGTAAAATGGGTTAAATGATGACCTGATTTCATTGTGTATTTTCCATATTTGTCATAGTGCCAAATAAGTTTGTCAGCACTCGGAATAGTTGGGAGAGAGATAAAGAGTATTGATCACGTGTAGTAGGTATATCCAAATTTACCTAGATCGAAGACCATGATCGTATTCTCTAGGGTCTCTCACAACAACTTACCCTAGTGGCGAGGGATGAGTTTTATGAGGTTTAAAACAATTGTGGAGAATGAGGTATTTTCGGGGTTGAAGTTCCCCTTGGTTTTAGAAAACGAAAGAAAAAAGCAATGCGAGAAAGGAAAAACTGTACCACTAGTTGGTGAAGAAAACATGAGGGTGATGCGTTGCATAGACAAGCTCCCTCCATAGTTCATTTGACTTACAACCTTGATCCTTACCAGGTTTATTTCTACCATGTGTCGCGGCATGTACCAAGACTATAGGCAATGATGTGGACCCTATAGTTGTCTCATTTGAGGAAGTCGACACAGTTTGATCGATTGAAGATCGATCGTGAATGACTGATGTGTCCAGTCTCATCCACCCACGAAGTCGGGTTTGAGGATGTAACCTAATCCACTAAGTGAGGGACTGATAACTATATTAAACATATCAAAATCACATAAACCTAATTCATCTTCGGATTTACTAGTACACAATTATGGACAAGATATCCAGTGCTTACCATCATCTTTATCTTGATAATCCCACCAAAAGCGAGATAGTTAACCATTCATACTATGACATATTGGAGATGTGAGTCTGAAGCATGACATTGCAATGATTGGAATGGTGATACCTATGAATTTAATGACCACCTCTTTTGCTACTATGGACATGTTTTTTTTTTAATTTTTATTTCCAACTTTGGATGTGGACCGCCAACGATTTCTCGATGTATCAAAATGTAAGATTTTTAGAATGATGCCCCTGTGAAGGGAGGCCAAGATATATATCATGGGTTTCGATCATTGTTATTCCTAAGGAACTGCAAGTTTTGAAGCTTCTATGTCCAACACATTTGAGCTAAAAGACATTGCAGATTTTTGAAGATGGACTTGTTGACCACTATGCACTTAATAAGTCTGGAGTACGTTTAGAAAATTACTGCACTCAGGTCGAGATGCTCCCAAGAATAAACGATTCATCTACAAAGAAAAGGTGTGATACTACAAGAGTTGACCTATGGACTCTCAAGAAACCAAAAAAAAAAAAAGAGGAAGAAAACTCAATGCAATCACGAAGAATTGACCCACCCAATTTATCCGTCTTCACCCTTTGTTAGAGTTGGCGGATGACGACTTCAGAGTCTCCTCGACAATCACATTGGACACTTGGCGATTGATTGATAGAGTGAGAGCATACTGGGTTGCTAGATGCTCATCAAATTAAAGATCCAAAATACCCGGATGCTGCAATTCTGAAGGAGGACAAAAATGATCGTTTGAAGATCGAGCAATTAGACCAGAGTAGCAACATACGTCTTGAAGAATAGTGACCTCAAAGTTTATCTTGATGAAATCGTTTGGGGACGGATGATTAGTTGTAGAACATAGTCCATGTTACCTGGTCATTAGGCCTAATTGTATTTCCCTAGGGTCTCTCGTATAACACTTACCTCGGAAGCGAGGAACGGTGCTATTAAAGAAAAGAGCAATTTTGGAGGTAGAGATGCCTCTGGTTTGGCAGAACATAAGATTAAACGGAGAACCCAGTGCTGAAAAGTAAACCTACGTTACTAGATGAGTGAGAGATCAGAGAAGGAAGGCGTTTCATAGGCAAGCTCCCCCTAGGTCTTCTACCCATGCATCCCACGATGATCGGAGTCATACGAGATGGCGGTTTCTTATTTTGTTAGATCCCAGCTTGTGATGAAGCATTTACCCGAACTAATGGGCAACAAAGACCCTTTGAATTTCTCCCTATAAGTGTCATGCCGTTCGATAGAATGGGACCGCCATTTCCAGTCATAATCCTAAGCAACTTGGATTTCGATCCTTGCACCTCGAAGGAGTGCAAGTTCGACTAAGCTCTCATTCGAATTGACAAATAATAAAATAGAGGACATTAAACATCAACACATATGAATAAAAACAATCGTATTAAATCAAACATCGTGTTATACATGGTTAGAACCCCTAGGGTTCACATATCTACGCCACAAAGGAACTAGCCACCATGAGGAGGGGTTCATGGTGTTTATTGATTGAAATGAAGACCTCACAAGTCCACAAGAGTCGGTGCAACCAAAGAAAAAATAGGGTCAAGGATGTCTTTTCTGGCACCGATTCTCCATCGAAGGTTGGTCTCGTTCTAAGTCATAAGGGTTGCTCTATCGGCAGAGTAACAACGCTTCCTTGACCTCTCGTCTCCTCTCGTTTTCTATCTCTAGAGATCTATTTATAGGCATTAGAGTAGGCTTTCTAAAGAGAAAAACTCGCAACTCTAACGTCATCCGGCCAATTAGAAGGCTCCAAACACGTGGCCAACGAATCAGGAGGCTCCAAGGAGACTTTCTAATGAAGTAGTTGAGCTCCGTAAAACGGCAACTAAAGCGATGTTTCACTTCCTATGGCGCCATTTCTAGTTGCATTTATTTAATTCATCCTCTCTTCAAATCCCGACTCCAGCAACTGGATCTCGATGTCCCTTATGACTGCCAAGTGGTCCACTAGTCTACTTTGACCTGAAAATGTACACAATGCTACCAAAAGCGTATCAACCATATAAAATAAATCCTAAGGTTGCTAAAACACACTAGAAGCAATCATAGCACAAATTCAAGGTATTATGATGATAATGATATGAAATGAATGCACTTTGGATCATAATATGGAGGTTTAGAATAGACAATTCTATGTGTCATCAACGAACCATTAAACATGATAGGGTAATGATCAAGCAGGGGGAGGAGAGAGATTTATAGAAATAGCATTGGTGAACTCATTAACTTGGAAATCAAACTGGTAGGCTATATAGCATATGCGTGGTTGAGTAAGCTAAAAAATCATGTTATTGAGAGACTTCCAAATCCTCTATAAAAGATAAACACTTTGGAATATTTGAAGTTGGGAGAGATAAGATCCTAGAAAGTGATGCCATCTAAGACGGAAGTTGGAAGGTGGCCCGTAAGAATAAAATTTCCCGATCCCACCAGCACCCATAGAGAGATAGCGAAGGGATAGTTGAAGAAAAGATATTCTATCATTTCTCGATGCTCCCAACAAATGGAGCATCAAACTTTACATGCGATTCCCTGGGCTCGCAGAGCATGAACTGTCAGAAGGACCACCTAGGAGGCAATTCAAAATTCCAAGTCCTTCGTCACAATGAGACATCCATCACTTGGACCCATAGCTTACGATGGCTGGCTAGAGATATGTCTAATGCTAAATGATATCAATACTTAACATTGCATACTCCACTCTTTGAGAAGTTTCATATTTGGTCATCTTTTTGGGGATATCGAGGGAGGGAAAGATAGCATATCAATTCCACTGATTGAGTTTCAAAGAAGAACAACATTCAAGATCGGTTCCACTGCCCAATCCTTTCTTTATGAAAAAATCTACTTTGGGAGAAGAAGACGGGGTGGGAAATCTTAGTCTTGGGATGAAGAGGAATCTCTAGCCAAGGAATAAGATTCTCAGAGGAAATCAGAGAACTCCAACAAAATTTATCCATATGACTATTGAAGTTGTGACATGGGTTAAGCGGAAATTTATAACAATACATCAAATGTACCGAAAGGTTGGAGGCTGATGTACAAATTAGAGATCCTCGGCTTCTCTTGATAAAGTGTGCTGCTTACATCCTTAAATTTTTTTGATCAATTTCTCTTCAATTAATTGAAAACTTTCCTTCTTTGATCGAGTTATAATCGATGGGAGTATGAAATAACGATCATTTTCTTACGTTGTTCTAACACATAGATACTTAGCCATGGCTTAACCTTCCATTTGGAATGTATTAAAACTAAGGGGTTGTTTGGAGGCTGGGATTCTCCAAATTGAAGTATTTAATCAATTTGTGTATTGTAATTTGTTGTATTATTGAAATGTATGAATTTGAAAAATACAATGTTTGGAGGTTTAGATAGAGGGTAGACAATCCCTTGGTCACAATCTCACCTTTTGGTAGAGATTGATAATCACTAATTTTGAGTGATTGTAGGTGGGTCTAGAAAAAGGTAATACTTGTATTCTATCACAAATTTAACAAAAAAAAAAAGACTGAATCTTGACATTACATGCAGTGACTAAATACATCGCTTGAAATCCCAACCTCCCAAAACATCACAACTTATTTGGCCAAGTTAACCTTTTGACCACTTACGCCCTTGTAATTATGGAATAGTGATATGAGTGTCACACATGCATTAGGCAAGACTAAACATCTACGAAAAACATACGAGACACCATATGTTTCGACCTAGATCTTGCGATCCTATTGCTAACAATAATTAGGAGCTCTGATTCAGAATCCTTCTTCTGATCTCCTCGATAGTGGAAGATATGTAGAGAGGAGGGGATGACCCCCACAATCTACGCTCAGATGCCCAAGTTAGTATAAAACATATATGTTATTGTAATGGATAGTAGATATTTTAGAGAGAGACCTTGTGTGAAAGATGTGAGCGGCTAGTACCCAATGTATTTAGAGTGTATATATGAGCATAGCATGACAGTGATGATCTTCTTCATGGGATGATGTTTGAGATATATTCTTGAAGAAAATACTTAGTTTGAGAGTGAGTTGTAGGAGAGGGAGCAATGATATAATTAAATCTTGGGCATTACAAAAAGGAGGCAAAAGGTGATTTGTAGTTTGATGCTCGACATGCTTGTGAGAAGAAGGATGCACGCGGGTTCAAACCTTAGTAGAGGCTTTTTTATTTTAAGAAGTTGTTGAAACTTGATGAGAGGTAAGATGGGCTAAAAGCCTGATGCTTCCAAAGACAATTGGGCTTTATTGAAGGCGTGTCATGTTGTGTGCGCGAGCCGAGTGTGGTCATCAGGGAGGTCGAATGGTGATGGGCCTTGGACAATTTTCGGGCTTTGTGTTGTGTGTTGGAGGCATAACTCTTTCTATGAAGAGACCAAACCTGCATTGTGAATATGGAGGTGATAGCGGTCCCACTCGAGCGTGTGGGCCATTGTTTAGAGTCGAGATGAGTATTGGTGGTCTTGTTGGAAGTGGGGCGGGCCGTTGGAGGTGGACTAGGTCTTGGTAGGCTTCTGGAGGCTGGGTAAATCATTGGAGGCGGATGAGCTTTCCAACAAATGGCCTAGACCTTTTCGATGGTTTCTAACAGGGAGTAGGTTTGGTTTGATTAGGTAAAATATTAATTGTTTACTTTGTGAGAATGTAGTTGGTGTGTAGCCTAGTATTGGAGCAATCCTTCTCAGATGAAAAGGTGGCGAACTCGGATAATGTTGGAGGTGTTTCTTCTTACTTTTATGTAAGGGAAGTGTACTAGGCTTGATGGGATTTTCTAAAGACGAGGTCACATTGTGATTGGAAGGCGGGTCATATAGGCTTGAGCTCACAGGCTTGAGAAGCTTTATGGGATTGGGATGTGTACATAGGGCGATGCGGGGAAAATGAACGCGGTTTGGGAGATGAAGTCTGTGTTGGTGGCTTTGGTCTTGCAAGCTTTCCCATGGTGAAAGAGATAGAAAACTTATCAGGGGTAGAAGATGAAAGTGTGGTCGAGCGTGAGATTTGTAGGCCTTGATGATGTGGTCTTGGGATTCTTTGTGAAGATACTCGTGGGCTTAGGTTGTATGGGCTTTACGGATAGAAGACTGGCATTTGCAGATGCTAAACGAGGTCGAGCTTGAGCTGTATGGGCCTGACAGAGATGTTTTGTTGGGCGTGACTATAATTGTCATCATTGTTTCCGCCGCTCCTTTCAACTTTATTTTCAGGGCCTCCTTTATTTTTCCTCTTCTATTTTCTTCTCGCGCTTTCTATTTCTGATATCTCTGCTTACGATCAATGTAGTAAAAACGAGTTTCTACGTAGAAGCGTTTTGGTGATCTAGAAGCATAAAATCATAAGTTTTAAAGTGGAGTTTTTAACTACATAAGTTACAAAAACTGAGATTTTGTGCAGAAGCGTTTTAGTGACCTAGAAACGTGAATCGTAAGTTTTTAAGTTTTAAAGCGCGATTTTGACTACATTGCTTACGATTGCAGGGAACTTTAGTTGGTAGGTGACTCGACTCTAATGTCACCCTAGGAATTGGCCAAGTGTAACCACTCCCTAAAGCGTAGTATAGCGGGTTTAGGTTTATATGTCAACCCGGGTCCTAGATTTGCTGACTACTCAGTGAGTTCTTGTTATCTAGCAATAAAACTGGAGTGCAAGTCTAAACTACCAAACAAACAAAGCAAGTAAACTGGTTGTATTCAGGTTAAAGAGGTCACCCGGATATGGTTCCCCCTAGACTGCAGTTAAGCCGGATTGTAATTACCAAGTTCAGTTTCTATGACAGTTATACTGCGGAAGGTTCTTAAACAGCCTGAAGTCTCGACTAAAGGTCTTCAGACCCTCTCAATATGACTCTCTAGCGGGCGACTAACCTCCACCGGAGTCGACAGATTGAGGCCCTAAGAACAAAACCTCCACTACCGGAGTAAATCCGGTACAGAATAGTGAGTTGGCTCCTCAACTAAAGTCACCAACTCCCTACCTTCAATCAAGGATACTCTATTAACCTAGGCAGATATTCTCATTCTAGGTTAAAGCAGAAACAACAGGAATTTGATCAGGATTCAAGTCATTCAATCATTAAAACCTCAATCGAATATAATCAATCACAGAATCAGTACTTGGGTTCATACAATCAAAGCCTAACATACAAATCTAGGGTTCTCCATACCCAGATGAATGGGAGAATTACTCCATGGAGAAGAAAGCAAAAGCAGAATCAGACACGGAATTCATACTGCGAAGGATGGATTCCTGCTTCTGGACGTTGATTGGCACTTCTCCAAGCTCAAGCTGGCCTCCAATGGTGTTGAAGATCAATCTAGGGCACTTGGGAACTCTTGCTCGTCACTTTCTCTCTCTAGGAACTGATCTCTCTCTCAAAAACTCGAATCCCTTCAATGTTGGCCTTCTTCTTCCTTTTATCAGCTGCCTGGTCGCGATACCCGGTCGAAATACCCGATCGGGTATTTTGGGTTTCGACCGGGTATTTGCAAAACTCACCGTTTCATTTAAGGGAAAAATCCCCGGTCTGTCCTCATAATCCCCGACCGGGGATTTAAGGCATTTGCCCGGGCCCCCTTCTGTTTCTCAGACGCCAAAAAGAGAAATCCCCGGCCTCTTCAGAAATATACCCGGCCGGGTATTTTCGGTCATGGCCGGGTATTTTCGGCCTCCAGCCCATTTCAATCCTCGTTTGCTCCTTTCGACCCGAATCTCGTTCCTTCGCCTCGATTCCAACGCCGGGTCCTGAAATATGACATAAACACACAACCTCGCGTGAAATCGGCTTAAAACCCGAGAATTAACCTTTCAAACGGCTCAAGAATAGGGGTGAAAATACGTGTAATTATCGGTCTATCAAACTCCTCCACACTTAACCGTTTGCTTGTCCCCAAGCAAACCTAACTCAAACCAATGCAACTCTCCAGACCTCTATAGCAACAAACAACCCAGATCGTAGGTAGAGGACTTCCTAGATCATCTAGCAGCTTACGAGGTCAACCGACGCACAAGTCATCTCCTAACTTCTTCGGCGAGGGCACTAATACCGAGTCGGCATCATGGCAAATAGTGAACAGAGGACAAATGAATCGTGGATGAAGAGATTCTCAAAAACAAAAGATCATGGACTCACATTTTTTTCCAGGTGCTCTGTTTTCTTCTTGAAGATGGTTGGAACCCCCTTTTTTTCGTTTTGCTTGTTTTCTGTTATTTTTTCCTTTTCTTTTCTTTTCAAGGGTCCCAACCTGCTCTTACCGGCCATGCCAGGAGCGGATGTCTCGAGCATCGTGCGGGGGAAAGCCATGCAAGGGGGCTGGATGTAGTAGGTGGAAATTGGGAACGGATTCCCGTCTCCCCTTACACACTTTCGCCCTATTCGCACGGGAGACGTTATTTTGAAGCACATTTCTGAGCACCTGTTATTTTCAAAACATGATACAAGAGTCCACGACCGGTAGAGAATCCACAACACCACACAATTCAAGGGTCCTAAGATCACTAATTCACTCAATCAACCAACTCAATATGAAGAAGAAAATGAGACTTCTTAAATGCATCAACATCCTCCATAGTGCTACACTACCTCCCTAGGTTGCATATTACTATAAAGACTGCCAATTCAAAGCATATTGAGCAGGCAATTGCAAGGAAACACGTACTTGGAGCCCTCAAATTTAAAAATTTGGACAGTGGACTAGGCTCCAAGCACACAAACGGATCTAATGCAGTCAAAAGATAAACATCCCCCCACACTTAAGATCGACATTTCCCTCAATGGAGAAGAGGGAAGGATAAGGGGAACGATGTTACCGGTATGCATGGACTGCAGGAGACTGGAAACGGGCCAGTCGGGGCAAGCACAGCCAAAGGAGAACAGAAGAGCTCAAACACAGTATGTTAGGTTCAATGGTCAGCCCAATAAAATATCATCCAAACCAAAAGAAAACAAACCAAACCCAAACCGGGTTACAATCCGACTCAAAACACAAGAAAGAAAATCAAACCGTGGTGGGGTTGCCTCCCCACAAGCGCTTCTTTACCGTCGTATTAGCTGGACGCCCATGGTGGATACTCAGGGCGGTGCAGGAACAGGTGCCTCCAAGAGCGGATCCACGTCGCTCTTGAGGTACAGCTTCAGGTTGTGGCCATGCACCCGACGGATGCGACCACCATCATCAGTCAGCTCGACCTGCCCATCTGGCAAGATGCAGGCGAGTGAGTACCCGGACGGCCAGGGTGGTCGTGGTTCAGGAGGTGGGACCAGCTCGTAGTGGTCTCCACTCTTCTTCCGCGCAGGCTTAGCAACCTGCTGCTTCGGCCGCCACTCCTCCTTGAGCTTTTTGTTCGGAGGCGAGGCTGGATGGAGTGGTGGCGAAGGAATGATAGGAGGGTCCTGCAAAATAGGAGGTGCATAAGGGTATACGACAGACTCGTGTACCTGATCAGACATAGCATGCACAGGCGTGACAGCAATCATAGCACAGTGATCAAACTCAGTCACAGAAAAAGTAGCCTGTTCATCCCCAACACGCAAGATCAACTTACCATCATGCACATCAATTAGTGCCTTGGCGGTGGCAAGAAATGGCCTACCTAGAATCAAGGGCACATCCACATCCTCATGTATATCAAGAATAACAAAATCAACAGGATATGTGAATGCACCAACACCAACAAGCAGATCCTCTATGATTCCCCTGGGATGCACAATAGAACGATCAGCTAATTGAATGCTCATCCTAGTAGGGCTAAGTTCACCTAGGTCTAGCATTTTATACAACTTATATGGCATGACATTAATGCTAGCGCCTAGGTCCGCCAAGGACTTTCCTACATGCATGCTGCCAATAGTAAGAGGGATAGTAAAACTCCCTGGATCCTTGCGCTTCTCTGGCAGCTTGTTCTGCAGGATAGCAGAACACTCCTCGCTCAGCATCACTGTCGAGAGATCCCCAAGTTTCTTCTTGTTGGTGCAGATATCTTTCATGAACTTGGCATACTTGGGCATCTTCGACAGTGCCTCCATGAACGGTATGCTGATATTGAGCTGCTTCAACATTGCCATGAACTTGGCAAACTCAGTCTCCAGCTTGTCCTTGTGTAGGCGAGTGGGGAAGGGAAGCTGGGGTACATGCTCCTTAACCACTGGCTGTGGCTTGGGAGCAGGGGCTTCCTTCTCCACCCGCACTTCTGCATCGTCGGCTGGAAGTGCTGAAGCAGGTAGTGGTTCCTCCTGTCTGGCCGAGACAGGATCAGCAGATATGACCTTACCGCTCCTGGTAAAAATGGCATCCAGCTGCTGATGCTGGTGAGGATCTCGAGGATTAGGAACAGTGGTGGCAGGCAAGTCCCCGGTGCCCTGGTGGTGTTCTGACGGGCCAAGATGCCCACCTGGGTCTGCAAATCCTGCAAAATGGCACCCTGGTTCCTCTGGCCTGCCTCCAGTGATGTGATAGCAGCCTGAGTGCTAGTCATGAATGAAGCTAGAATGTTTTCCAGCTTCGTCATCCTGTCATCTGGGGCCGGAGCTGCTGCTGGCTCGGCGAACTGGCGCTGGGGCTGCTGGAATGGCTGCCCCTGCCTGGGCTGGTAGGGCTGCTGTGGGTCTGGCCCCTGGCGAGCCTGGAAGGGCTGCCTCTGCTGAAAACCACCTGCTGGTGCTGGGAAACCAGGTGGTTTAGTGGTGTTGCTGCTCCAGGCGAAGTTGGGATGCTGGCGCCACCCCTCATTATATGTGTTACTGTATGGATCGAGGCGCCTCGCATTGGCGATGAAGGCCAACTGCTCATGGGGTGTGGTAGACTCCCTCATAGCCAAGTGTAACCACTCCCTAAAGCGTAGTATAGCGGGTTTAGGTTTATATGTCAACCCGGGTCCTAGATTTGCTGACTACTCAGTGAGTTCTTGTTATCTAGCAATAAAACTGGAGTGCAAGTCTAAACTACCAAACAAACAAAGCAAGTAAACTGGTTGTATTAAGGTTAAAGAGGTCACCCGGATATGGTTCCCCCTAGACTGCAGTTAAGCCGGATTGTAATTACCAAGTTCAGTTTCTATGACAGTTATACTGCGGAAGGTTCTTAAACAGCCTGAAGTCTCGACTAAAGGTCTTCAGACCCTCTCAATCTGACTCTCTAGCGGGCGACTAACCTCCACCGGAGTCGACAGATTGAGGCCCTAAGAACAAAACCTCCACTACCGGAGTAAATCCGGTACAGAATAGTGAGTTGGCTCCTCGACTAAAGTCACCAACTCCCTACCTTCAATCAATGATACTCTATCAACCTAGGCAGATATTCTCATTCTAGGTTAAAGCAGAAACAACAGGAATTTGATCAGGATTCAAGTCATTCAATCATTAAAACCTCAATCGAATATAATCAATCACAGAATCAGTACTTGGGTTCATACAATCAAAGCCTAACATACAAATCTAGGGTTCTCCATACCCAGATGAATGGGAGAATTACTCCATGGAGAAGAAAGCAAAAGCAGAATCAGACACGGAATTCATACTGCGAAGGATGGATTCCTGCTTCTGGACGTTGATTGGCACTTCTCCAAGCTCAAGCTGGCCTCCAATGGTGTTGAAGATCAATCTAGGGCACTTGGGAACTCTTGCTCGTCACTTTCTCTCTCTAGGAACTGATCTCTCTCTCAAAAACTCGAATCCCTTCAATGTTGGCCTTCTTCTTCCTTTTATCAGCTGCCTGGTCACGATACCCGGTCGAAATACCCGGTCGGGTATTTTGGGTTTCGACCGGGTATTTGCAAAACTCACCGTTTCATTTAAGGGAAAAATCCCCGGTCTGTCCTCATAATCCCCGACCGGGGATTTAAGGCATTTGCCCGGGCCCCCTTCTGTTTCTCAGACGCCAAAAAGAGAAATCCCCGGCCTCTTCAGAAATATACCCGGCCGGGTATTTTCGGTCATGGCCGGGTATTTTCGGCCTCCAGCCCACTTCAATCCTCGTTTGCTCCTTTCGACCCGAATCTCGTTCCTTCGCCTCGATTCCAACGCCGGGTCCTGAAATATGACATAAACACACAACCTCGCGTGAAATCGGCTCAAAACCCGAGAATTAACCTTTCAAACGGCTCAAGAATAAGGGTGAAAATACGTGTAATTATCGGTCTATCAGTAGGCATTTTAATAACAGATTGACATGTATTCTTCTTTCGAGTTGCCCGATTTTAACGCTAGACATGTTTGGCTCCTTTTTCCTCCCAATGCGTTTCTCTTTGCAATTTTATCAAATCTTTTAATATTTCTCTAATACGTAATGTGGGTTGTCCAAGTTTTGAAGACCTCCCGGATCTTTGCACTACTCGATGGTTTAGCTCCAATGCCCTTATTGCTCGCATCCAAGCCTCAAAGAGGATGACAGATTTGGGAAGAGCTGGTTGTCACCTTCCTCGTCAGAGTAGAAGAGAGAACAAAAAAACAATTTCGTTATGAAAGAGGAAAATGGAAGAGAGAAAGGGAAATGAGAAAGCTGAAGTGAAAGAGAGTGGAGGAGAAAGTAAAAGTGTGAGAGATGGAAAGGAAAAGGTTTGACTTGACTTGGCTCCTCAAGTCTTGGAAACCCCTATTTCTAATCCCTTCTCCAAACCAACAATTTCTGACCACTCATTTTCAGTTTGGGTGATGTGAATCAATGGGAAGACTTTGAACACATTCACACAAAATGTGCTTGGTGCACCATAACGTTATTGTCCCCCACTGACTTGATCTTGGACAATCTGATACCCACAGTCACTTTGATTACCATCCCAACCGCATTTCCCCGAAAGGAGCTTGATACTCTTCCTATTATCATTATATACCTCATTCATGAAGGTTTTAGACTTCATTTGTGGAATTGCCAACAAAACAAAATATAAGAAGAGGAAAGACTGTCACTTGGATATATCGTTCAAGCTGGGTTTGGATATGGGACCTCCCCATTCCTTCTAAGCTTAAGATTTTTCTCTGGAAAATTCTCAATCGCATCCTTCCTACAACGGAAGCTCTGCTCGAGAAGAAGGCTCAAGTGTTACCCTGATGCCCGGTTTGCTGGGCTGAATCAGAGACTATGGAGCATCTCTTTTTTGACTATCTGTTGGCAAGGGCAATTTTGGGATCACGTTGGCCTAGAATCTCTAGGCCAAGGACTCCCTCGCCAGCACTTCCCTCTTTTTCTTAAGAAGTTGATGTTACTGCTTAATCAACTCCATTAGAGTATGCTTATTGTTGCGGCTCTCTGGCGGATTTGGAAATCTAGGAATTGAGTTGTCTTTGAAGAAAAACAATTCCGAGTTATAGCGTTGATATGACAGTATCATCAACAAGTCCAGGAATGGATCGATTTACCAGTTGGACAGAGTGACTTCAACGACACTCCCCAGATTGAGAGTGCGACTGCTTCAATCTCAGGCTCGGTTACTTGCATGTGGGATGGTGCAACAAGGAATGGATCACACTCGGCGGGGGAATGATTATAAAGGACCAGAGTTGGTCAATTGTCTTTACTCGGGGTGTCCATATCAATTATATTGATGATCCACCAATAGTGGAACTATTAGTCCTCCGCGAGGCCATCCATTGGTTGGTGTCTGGATTGTGGTCTCTAGCAAGTTCGGTTGGCAGGGGACCGGAAGGTGCTCATTGATAAGGTCAACTAGCCAGATAAGCAAGAAAATCTCTTTGGTGAGATTCTTGGGGAAATTCGTTGTTTGCTGACATATCATAATGGTCTTAATGTACGATTTGTAGGTCGGAATAGTAATATGATAGTCCACTTTGTGGTTAGAAAAGACATTTCTTTATGCTCTGCTACGTGTCGTTATATTGATTTCCTTTTCTGATTATATACCAATGTGCTTGATGTCTTTTTTTAATCAATACAAAATTATCTTTTGTCGAAGAAAAGGAAAGTCGGATAGGGAATCTTGGAAGGAGGCTGAAAAGGGCGGGAAAATAGTAAGGTTTACAGCTTATCAATTGAACGGAGGAAGAAAAAAAAAACAGAAAAGTCGAGGAACTAGCCGGCAGAGGGAAATAGGGAATAGATAGGTTGGGAGCTGGGGAAAAGGCAAGCGAAAATCAATGGATGAAAGTAATCTGAAGATGGGAACCGGCGGGATCATAAGTCTGAACAAAAATCAAGGCACGAATTCCGGAGTTCCGGACCTCACCGGCGAGGTCCACCACCTGCCCTGCTGTATCAAGTACGACGGCCCTTCCGACGTTTCCGACTACTTCAAGCCTAAAGCCACCGGTATTCTTCCGCCCGCCTTCCCCCAAACATAGCTCTTATGTTTCTCTCTCTCTTTTTCACCTTGGAATATGCATATTTATCGTCATTCTGGGGTCCCTTACCGAATTAGGGTTAGAAGTTGATGGACTAGCAGAGCAGCAAGCGTATTTCAGGGGCAGAAAGCTACATGGTGTAGCGATTCCCATTCCATCTGGCTATTCTGGTACCCGAATTTGCCTCTCCTGTATCTATCTTCTTTTATCTCCCGCGTTGAAATTTTGGCTTTGCCCAAGTGACTTTTGAGTTTGTTGCTAGCAAGTAAATGATTCCTTGTTTTGGGTCTTGGTGCTTTGCAGGATTTGTCTTGGGGAAGAAAAGTATTGGCAAGAGGAAAGTTTCTGATGTCAACTCTAACTGTTGGGAACCGAGTGCAAAGTTTGAGAATATAACTTACTGGAATCACGACACTCTACCTTCACAAGATGATACGTTCATTCGGTCTCTCCATTGGTTATCTGTTGCAGAAGCTGTAAGTTTTCTTTCTGTGACATCATGAGCTTCTTTAAGAATAAGGATAACATTGGAATGGACCATCTGTGGTTCAATCATACCATGACACTAGTATTAAGCTAATCATCATTTCGGTTTGAACTTGGAGCTCTAGAGTGTTAGTCTTTACGTGTTTGCTTCAATTTGGAGCTCCCTCTATCGTGATTTCTTAAGTTACCCTTTTCATCTCCTTGTGAAGTGGGTCTTTATAACATCTTGCATCAGCAATACCAATTGTAGATGAAGCTATTACGGTGAAGTACACTTCTAGAAACCGAAGAGAATCAATGTGCATATGACTAGCAAATTAGCTGCTTTAAGTGTTATGGATCTTTTGTCTGTGTTAACCGTTGGGCAGAAAAAAGTTGCATTCTGCTTGTTGATGGAAAAACACTGTTCTTTCCCCTTCTTAGTTTCTTCTTTTATTCCTCCCTTCCCCATCTTATTTTTCCTGTTTTGATTTCATATCCATGGAAATTTTGTTCTGACTGTAGCTACACAAGCCGGTGACGATGGAAGACTTGGCTTCCACACCCATTCCCAAGGAGTAAAATTCGTGAGGGTTGATCTACAAATTTGGGGGACACATTTGTTAATCTACTTCTATCTGCATTGCTTGGTAGTTAATGTTTGATGAACAGCACTGATATTTTAGGAAGGGTGCGATGAACCACTTCTGTGATGTAATAATCTTTTCAGTGGATATTTTGATATGGACTGGACTCCTCGTTGCGGGTTGGAAAATTGTTAGATGGATGGAACAAAGACCCGAGAAATGCTGATTCCTTTTCCATTCTTCAGTAGTCTTTGTGAGAAGAATCACAGAAGTGGAAAAAAATACGATTATTCATCCACGTGAGTGGAATTCCAATCTCTAATGAAGTAATTGGGAATCTTCTCTTGACAGGAACTCATGCAGGATGCTTTTCTAGCCAACCAATTGGAGATTTTAATTGATTTAGGCTCTGTCTATGTTTCTAGAATATTTGTTTTGAAAAGCGGAAAGTAAAGTGATGTTTAAGGCTGTCGCCAATGCAGAAGTCAGTACACAGCGAAGTGAAGAATCAAGGTGAAGGCAAGGTAGATAAATAAGTCAGAGGCTGTGGAAGTTACAACTGTAAATGAAATGAAGTTAGCTGTCACTTTTATGACTGTTTTTCAGTTTGAGTTCTTGAAAGGTACTTCATGTTGATACTCTTGAAAGTATCTAGAGACCTGATGTGGGAATAGATGAGTTCCAAATATGCAGCGACCAATCCCTGATGGCGACTAGCCGACTACTATTAGCTGTTCACTGAATTCAATTTGCAGAATCTGGTGGGCACTTCCAAGGCACAAATTTTATGCTTTACAGAGGTCGTAACATATGAATCCATTATATGGAGGAGATTTGAGGAACTGTGTGGGGATGATAGATCTTAGATCAATTCTTTCCTTGATGTTGAAATGGAGCACTGCAGATAAGTATCTTTTTGAACTGCCTCTCCACATATCAAGACAAGAATAACTATGCCTTCTAACTGGAGGGAAATATAAATGGATTTGCAGGCTGCTAAATCATCTTGGTTTAAACCTAGAGCATTCAGTATCGTATGGGGAAAGGATGGTCGCTACTGGCATGTTCCCACGTAAGTTTTAAAAATCATGGCTTCTCCCACCACTATGCATCTTAACTTCACTCCACCGACAGTGATTGGTTCTGTGTATGGTGTCTGAATAACAGTGATGGAAGGACGGCTGAGCTGTTACAGGTGAGTTGGCTTGAAGTAAGCACCATCACCTCATTGAAAGACAGCATAGAGGCTGGGAAGAAGTATGCAATTTTCTTCAGGCTGCAGATGAAGCAAGGGGCATTCGGCTGGAATGGTTGCTCTGTTTACTTGATGGGTAAGATAGGGCAGGCAGGGAAGTACACAGCTAAAGAGATAAAGCTGTCAGATCAAGCAGAGATCGATAAAGAGTTCGAGACAGAGAAGCTGGAGGTCAGCGCCGCAACTGATGCTACTGATATGAAGCTTTATTTTGGGTTGTATGAAGTCTGGACAGGCAGATGGAAGGGTGGCCTTCTAATCCATGGTGCCAGAGTGGAACAAGTTGCAGAGTTGGGAGTGAAATCCCCGTTTGGGCTGGCTTTGTGTATTGTATTTGTTTCTGGTGTAGCTTGGATAATAAAACTGGGAAATCAATGTGTTTCTGAAGAATTTTACGGATAAGAGTATTATCTGCTGTTTCGGGGAGAGAGAGAGAGAGAGAGAGATACCAGTCTCCAGACAAACAAAGTCAGGGTTAGTAATCAATTAACTGGCCGAAATAAGAACTAAGCGATCAATAGTTAGCACCATAATTCTAATCACAAGTATACACTATTAATTAATGTCTAATCTATTCTCAATACATAGAAACTGGTACATTGATTGATAACCACAAGGGAAGCTGCCATCTGAACACTGCATATTTCAGATTTCTAGTTGCAGGGAGAGAGGCACACAGCAACAGGAAGCCTTGGCGGTATGTTGATCACTCTTCAAGCTTCAGGATCAGTCAGATCCCCAGCACTCTCAATTTCACCCATACTTGCTGATACAAATGACTCGGTGGATTCTACCGATGAGAGGGAAGAAGCTGTATCGTCGGAGTCTGAGATGCTATTCCCATGAGAAATTATGTGCCCATCGTCGTCATCGTCAACCTCAGATTCCGACCCAGCCAGAAGCTTGTTGATGGCCGACTTTGCAGTCTCAACAAACCATTCGTCTTCCGGTAGGGCACTGTTCTCACATATAGTTCAAGCAACAAACTCAGTGGTCTAATCTCAGAAGGGTAGACAAATTTAAGAGTAGTGGTATTGAAGGAAATAAAAGAAGAAATGCCAAGTGATCTGGGGATTAGTAGTACCTTTGTGGGTCGATTCCTCTTGCTGAGAAAGTCCTGATTGCTCGAGCAATTATGGCTGAGGCGATTTGGTGCACTTGCCTGGATGGGTAACCAGCGAAACGGGCAAGTTCCACTGTGAAATGCATATCAAGAAGTAGCTGCCAGCCAGGACCATATCGAGTGAACATTCAATTCTTTGGAACAAATGATGATTGCTAGGTGCAAGTGTAAACGACTGCGTATCACAATTACCTGCTGCAACCCTAGTGCCTTAATTGGAATAGCAGAATCCTCAAATACACCCCAAAATTCCTGTTCATCAGAAAGCCACATGACTACTGTTTCAGTGAGCCGAGCAAGCAAGAGTTTCTGTAATTTCTCTTTCCCGAGTAATACATCTCCTGCTACAGTTGCAAACTGCTGCAGCTTTGCAAACAGTGCCTGAAATGTGAAGTTCAAAGATCTTGTCAGAACAAAATTCCAAACCGAAAAGACTGTCCCACATTATAATCCACCCAAGTGAAAGTTAATTACTGAATGCACTCGTTCTCATCATTCAAAACCGACAGGGTGCCTAATGCATAAAAAGGCATGTCTATAACAAGTAAATCCATGTAACATTATTCATCGAGAAAAAATCCATGTAACACTCAGAAAAGGATCGACCAAGGTAAAACCTGAAATGGCAATGAAGGCAGAGGTTCCGAGCTTTGAATTAAATCCTCTCCGTCGCCATCGAAGTAGATTTGTGCATTAAGTCGTGTCTTTCCTTCTCTTGAATAGATAAAACTCAGTACATACTGGCGGCAGAAATGATCCTTAAGCTTGTCAAATGAATGCTGCAGTTGTCGCTTCCAGTCCTTCAACTCCCCGGAAATGCTCGAAGTAGCAGCTGAAGCAGCAATGTCATCATTAGATTCCTTCCCTTCTTTCTTCAGACTCCAAACTATCTTCACAGCATGAGGTAAGAGTTCATCAAGAATAGTGAATGCCATTCCCAACAATGCAAGTTGTTCTGCATCTGTCTCTGCTCTGAATGGTATGACTTCCTTCAGCTCTGTAAGATTGTCATCATCGGAGGGTCCTGGTAGAGATTTGATGAGCACACCCATGTATTTATCAAATAGCTGTGCTATTCTCATCAGCACACTTCCTCCAAAATGCATGACAGCTGGAGGAGTCAACTGAGCAAGTATGTCCTGTAGAAATCATTTTTCTAGAAAGTTATATTCCATAAATTGGTCAACAGTATACAAGAAAAAGAAGATCAAGTCAACTAGGAAATCATAACTGGAGACTACTATCATATATGCATGATACAAGCATAAAATTTAGGGAGGTAACATCATCAGAAGTGAAAAACAAGCTCGAAACATACATATTAAGAACCATGTTACTAACAAATCCCAATCAATTATGTGTCAAGGAAGGCCAACCATCACAAACAGCAACAAAACCATGAAAGATCATCAACTTACCTCAATTATGTCCATAAATCTTATCCCACTGTCAACAAGCACAACATCTGAGGATGCTACAAAAGCAGATAATGGTGACACAAGGTGCGTCGATAGTTCGGAGCTCTCATCAGGTTGTGTCGCATCAAGAATTAGCTTCCTTGCACGTCTAAAATTCAACTCTAAGACTTCTTCAATGTATGGACGCAAGAGAACCAGAAGAAGCTTTGATAGTTTTAGACCCTGTGGCTCCAACATTGAACAAAATGCAAGACTAGCCTGAATATAGTTACTAGCAGCACCTAAAGCAGAAACTGTGTCTGGGAAAGGTGCATTATCCTTGACCAACCGCACAAAAGATTCAATTTCCCACTCAGCCCATTGTACAACTCTGCTAGTATATACAGGATCATCTCCAAATATGAGGATGGATTCTTTTGTAGCTGTTGAGATAGAAGAGAAAACAAGTTTACAAAGTGTCCCGGGGAAGGTCTTGGGGCACACTGAGCATGAAGGTAAGAACACCTCAATGTTCTTGCGGAGGCGTGATCGATACAATTCAAGAAGGATTTGATGAGCGAAAGGGCCTTTCCCAAGTTTGATTAAAGAAGCCAAGGCTTTCTTCATTTCCACAGTTTTAGCAGATGGGTGTTGAACAATCTCAGTTAGCAGTTCCACAAGAGTTGACTTTCTCTTCAGAAAAGCTGATCTATAAGTTGATTCTTCATATGACGAAGTATCTGTTAAGCCCTTCAGTTCTGGAGAACTTTTCTCCTCGGCCATTAGAGCCTCGAGTGCTTCGTCCACCTTATGTTCAGCCAAAAGAATGTCCACATTGTCCAGAAAAAGCACCTGAGGATTGTCTGCTTCACTCCATAACACGTCTTCAAGTTCATCATCTTGCTGGGAGGCGACATTGTTACCATCAATAGCATTCCAGTCTTCTATTTCACGGCAAACACCTGTCATCAAATCTTGCACAAGAATCCCCTGGCCTGAAATATGCTTCTGCAGTTCAACCAATTCGTGCTCCATTTCCACTACTTCATCTGACATTCTGTGACATGAAAAGAACTTAGATCATGGTTTTTAACAAATGACACAAAATTGTAAAAAAACCAGTTCAATTGCTTGGATGCCGCAAAATTGAAGAAGAAATCAATAAAAGCAGTCATTTAAGAGACATCTCATCACATATTTGTATGGGCCATGATATACAGATCTGCTTCCTCATTATTTTGAGCAGCCAAATCCGATATATTTACCTCATGAAAGCCAAGTACTTCGTTTGCATATTGCCACACAGATTTTCCACTGCATCCTTCAAATCCAAGAGCTCGCAGCAAAGTTTTCGGATACCCTGCAAGTATTCATAAAACCAGGTGTTTTGGTACAGAAAACCCAAATCGAAACTGATTTGAAAATGCCCTTCCCAACCCCATCTTCAAACATTTAACGCCAACAGTATTCAAACATTTTAGTGGCCTGCGATGCAACTACCTCGAATACAGTTTAAAATGCACAGATCAATGAACCTGCGCTCGCTCTTCTCTTAATGCTTATAACCACACAGAAATAGAATTCCTTCTAATTAGAGAGGAAATGGGACCAAGCTTACTCAATTAAGGCATATGAAAACAGGTTCCCACAACCAATGCCGTGGCAAGGGCCGAGATTCGAGGATTCAAGCACACCAAGAGAAGACAACAAACACAGTTCTAGCTCACAGTCTGAACTCCCAGGAAGAGAGTCCAGACAGCAGAGAACTGAAACCGAACTTGAGAATCGCAGAGAACTCAGATACGAAGATCGAAAGCAAACCGAACGTAGAAAGCATTGTTGGGTGCAAGAATCGAATCCAAAGAAATCCAACTCAAGGAAACAAGCAGAGACCCGGGAAGTAGCTGATGAACAAAAGGACGAACCTTTTCAGTGTGGGATTGATAGGTTGAGTCGATCTTGGACTGAGGAGTGATTGTTTCTATGGATGGGAAGTCATCTTCTTCTTCGCTGCTCTCCATTTTCTCCTCTTCCTCACCTTCTGCTCTACCGCACTTACTCCGCGAGTCCACAGCTCCTCCGTCCGTTCCTCAACTTCAGTCAGCGACACTTGCCGGAACAGACGGGCAGCTCGAGCATAGAAAGAGCATAAAGGAAAGTTTTCGAGACCCGCTGTTGCTCGGAGTTGGACTCATTCGCTAAATTGAATTTTTTGTTTCCGATCCTACACCGTCCAGCCGTCTTAGCTCAGCCGGTAGAGCGCGTGGCTTTTAACCACGTGGTCGTGGGTTCGATTCCCACAGACGGCGATTCGATTGAATTAATCGTTTTGTTTTGTTTTTTATACAATTTTGTCCTCCCTTTTAATCACCTTATCCATTCTTTGCCTGTTGCCTGCTGTTTTCATTGTCCGCGAACTGGAACTCCAAAAGCTCCACGACGAACTTGAACGGCCAGGCATGGCGATGAAATGTTTGGCGCCTAATCTATCATCCCACGCACCATGCGCTTACTCTGTCCGCTTTGCTTCATCTACCATCTCCGCTGAATCCACTTCAGCTGCCACCCAAGTCGCCGCCGCAACTTCTCCCCTGTCCTCTCCTCCGCCGACGGCAACTACGACGACTAGACGAAAAGCTTTATCGGCAGCATCCTTAGTCCTATCCACCTTGCCATTCTCCGCCGCCAATCCTGCCTATTCTTCTTCGAGCACCGATTTCGTCGAGCTTCCGAATTCCGGCGGCGTCAGGGCGTTGGACCTCCGCGTCGGTTCCGGCGCAGTCCCCGCCGACGGCGACCAGGTCCTTCCTCCCTCTCCGTCTCTGTCTCGCTCTCTCTTACACTGACCCAATAGACTTTTCCCTGATTTGGGTTCTTCATTTTTCCTTCGAATTTCAATTATGTGCTTGGAAAAAGGTGTCAATCCATTACTATGGAAGGTTGGGAGCCAAACAAGGATGGCGGTTTGATTCGACTTACGATCATAAAGATGCCAGTGGGGAGGCAGTTCCTTTTGTATTCAGTCTCGGCTCTGGAAAAGTGATTGCAGGGATTGAATCAGCCGTTAAGTCGATGAAAGTGGGCGGCATTCGTCGGGTGGTGATTCCCCCCTCCCAAGGCTATCAGAACACTTCGCAAGAACCTTTGCCCCCTAATGTATGCATCAATTTCTCCTAGAGATTATGCATGATTCCGTCCTTTCTTTCCATGAATCTGCTGAAATTAAACTGCCATATGTCTCTAAGTGTAGCCTGTTTCTGTTTTGGGAGTAGTTCTTTGACAGGCAGAGGCTGTTCACCACAATTTTCAACCCAACGCGGCTTGCCAATGGAGAAGGGTCCACATTGGGAACACTCATCTTCGACATCGAGCTCGTCGGCCTGAGGAATTAGGCAGCCAGAGCTCTTGGGTTCTGCAACTTATTGGTACCAGTGTATCATTGTAACTTCACATATTCTTTGTATTTTGATCCAGCTTTATAAGGGCTGAAAATTGAGTATTACATGAATGTTTATTTATGTGCTACCAGTTTCATCTCGCAGTAATGGTAAGAGGATTAAGGGTTGTGATTGGGTGATCTATGGTGACAGGCAGCTGAATGTTGGTCAATCCTTGTAGCTGCCCACAAATTCAAGACTATAGCCTTCTCATCAACGGTGGCTCCTCGCACATCAGTCATCACGGTACAGAATGTTACTGATCTCCACATCTGATGAGAAGTCATGAGGAACAAGCGCCATATAGGTGTATTCTTGGTCGATGATGATTGGGTTTCTTGGTCGATGATGAGTGCCACAGAAGACATTATCAGTGTTGCAAACTAGCAATTCTGAGGAAACGATTTGGGTTAGGAAATACAGGATTGAACAAATATATGAATTGTTCGGTTGGGGATTGAATGGAGTGAGTGGTATGGATATTTTCTACCGTCCACTTCTTGATACTAGTACCATGCTAGTTCTAGTGAACTTGGGAGTCCTGAGCATGGACTTCTTCAGCCGTCTCATAGGCTCCATTCTTTCTCAGGATTCCAATACTAAATGCCATGGCGATGTCGGAAATGATGATCTAAGGTGAAAAGCCATTGATGCAAATGCAATCATCCCCTGTAAGTAAGCAGGGAGTCTAGCTGCAGGCTCATTATTTTCAGAACTGAGAATGGCAATGGCATGTACCCAACAAGTCTCAAAATGGACTCGTACCAGTGCCAGTGAAGTCGAGGATCTGAACGTTATGCTAATCCCATCGGTATTAGGGGTCTCTTTGGGCACCATGATTCTAAGTCGAGAGCTCCGAACAACGCCCTGGGACGAACTCAGGCTAGCTGCTGGTTCAGTTGGCTATTGACATGGTTCAGATCACTTACCTGAAGACTGTCACATTTGTTGAAAAAACTAACTGCCTGCAGAAGAATGTACAAAAAATTCAATTCCTTGCCTCTAGAGATGAGATTCTATGGGAGGAAGGAAAACGATATTACAATGTTGTCTTAATTTCATCTTACAGAAGGCCGTCTACATCAGCACATCATGCGGCAAAGGCAGTAACCATTTCAAGCGTTAGCTAGCTACGCAGACTGGCAGAGGCAGAGGAATGTTAAGCAGGGCGTGCGGAAGCGTGAGACACAAGGGATTGTTCGTGCAGAATTAGCCACGTGCATCTAACAGGACCGCCTCGAAGAGCTCCATAGTTAAGCACTTCGAAAGAAAGTTGCTGCTGCGGCAGTATGCGAGATCAACTGAAAGCGATCATGATGGAGTAGTAGCTAGTCTGAGCAATCATGAGTAAGAAAACTAGAACAATTGCTGATATACCCTTCATTTTTGGTTGTTGCTGCTACTTTTTCTGCATATCAACTGAAAGCGAAATCGATACTATTTTATTAACCTTTCTCCTCTAAAATGCAACAAAACGATACTACCATCCTAGCTAGCTATTAGCCTACTTCACTATTTTCATCTATCGACTATCATGGAGGTCATGGCAGAAGGCAAGGAACCCTCGGTGATCGATCTGCACTGGAAGTCCCATGAGCGTTATTGCAAACCGCAAACAACTGCTTCCCGGCAACCGCAGACGTCATCTCCACATCCTCCACCACAATGTTCCTGCAACCAGCTCCATCCCCGCAGTTGAAGTACACCGCCCTGGCGTCGGTAGACGACCCTATCACTCCCTTGTACGACACGTCGCTTATCTCCACGTCCCCTGACGACGACGACCAAGCATCATATTCCTCATCAGTCGACGCCGCCATCCGGTTCACGTACGTCTGGTCTATGATGATCGGATTCCCCGCGTTGATCATCCTTATCCTCTCGAAGCTTATCTTCCGAGCATACCCTCTCCCTCCCTTCCAAGTCTTGATCCTCGCGCCGTTCATCGTGCCCTTGAAGGTGCAGTCTTGGACGTGGACTTCTTCCACGGTCTCGTAGGCGCCGCCCTTGCCGAGGCTGCCGATGCTGATGCCGTGGCCGGGCCCGCACAGGACGCGGGAGATGTTGATGTAGGAAGAGAAGCCGTTGATGGCCACGCAGTCGTCACCTGTCCCGATGAAGCTGTCGTGGATGTGGAGGTGGTTCGAAGCGGAGATGTCGATCCCGTCGGTGTTGGGGCTCTCCTCCGGCGCCGTGATCTTCAGGTGGGAGATGTCCACGTCGTTGCAGTCGTTGATGCTGATGTGGTTCTTCTGGCTGTTCACGTGCTGTAATCCGCTCACCCGCAGGTTGTTGCACGAGTGGAAACTCAGCGCCTGCACTCATATACATAATGCAGTTCAGAAAAAGAAGAAAAAAAATGAAAGACGTAGAAGGTATACGTATAGTTAGGGATATTGGATTGTGGTGTTACAGATGGTCGTGGGCAGCTCTTGTCTTCCTGGCAATAGTCCCACCAGATCTTGCCCTGGCCGTCGATCTGCCCGCCGCCGTAAATGGTTAGGCCGTTTACGTGCATGAACTGAACCCATTTCTCCTTGTCGTCGTCCCAGGCGTTCATGCTCCCGGGTGCCACGAGTGTGCCTTGCAGCTGAAGCAACCAAAAAACGAGTCACTATGTAGAGACATGAAAGTGGGTAGGCTAATTGAGTAATTTGATTCAATTTTCATTGATTCATATGATTGTTGTCTCACCTAATTAAATAGGTATTTTTAATGATTTTTGAGTTTGGGTTGGGTCAGAATCGGATTCCGTTAGGGTTAATTCATTTCGATTGGACTCAAATGAGTCTAACTGGGTCAAGATGATTATATATAAAAAAAAATCATTTCATCAACTACCTTCAACCCAATAATATAGGTATATTTTAGTCATAACAAAAAAACAAGACAACATTTCATTATAATTGGGTATTCATTTTCTTTTACACTTCTAATACTATAAAGTTTAATTCAGATCGAACTAAAAAAGTTGTATGAATATACCGCAAAAGTAAAAAAATTAACCAAACTTTATTTTTACCCTTGAGCAATAACCAAATATTGGGTCGCTCTTGCCATCCACCACAATATCATATATGTATAATGTATACTCTCATTATTAATACCAAAAAAAAAAAATTTAATTACCTGAATCCAAAGGTTTTTGGACTTGCATGGACCCTTGAAAGAAAGAGGGCTAAGAAGGAACTCCTTCCCCTGAGGTATGACGAGAGTCGGCCGCCCTCCCGTTGCTCCACACAGATCGTCCCATGCCCTCAGGAAAGCCTTCACAGTAATCACGACAAAAGATGTTACGTACGTGCATGCATGGATATAAAAAAAAAAACAGTTGAAAATACTCGACGATAATGAATTAGACAAAAAACGCACATTGGAGGAGTCGGTCCTGCCGTCGCCGACAGCTCCATATTCCGTCACGTCGAACGTGGACTTCCCAAAGCGCTGAGGCTCGTAGTAGGCGAGATCGCTAGTTTCGTGATCGGTAGCAGCTTCTGCGTAGTCGAGGAAATGGTCGACGTATCTTCTGGCGGCGCCTTCCCTTGATGAATACCGGCCGTCGGAATAATATTGCTCTAGGGGACGGTAGCCGGCGGAAGATTGAGCGGCGACAAGGAACAAGACGAGAACTAGTGGCAGGCGACCTTCCATTGTTGTTGTGTAGAAAAGACTCCGAGTGTTTTTTTTTTTTTTTTTCGTGAATGGAGTGGGAGCTATCTAGAGAGAGAGAGAGAGAGTGAGGGTTGGTTGGTTGGTTGTGCGGCCGGCGGTAGGTAGCATATGTACGACTTATATAATGCGACGGTGTGTGGGTGCATAAATATAGTAACAATTCGAAAATCGTGAATTATAAGGTGAGTAATATTTTACGACCATATTTGTACATTACCTTGAATCATGGGCTAATTGTGATTTAGATTTCTTATAAAGGAAGGATTATTAAGACGGAATCTTTGTCCACTTACTCTATTTGGTTTGCTAATTGGGCGAGATTGATTATATTGTGATCGATGGGTCAGGAAAAAAAAGAGGATATGCTCATACTATCCTATCAAGTATCAACACTACGAGGTTGTTTGAGTTGTGATTTAGAATGTTAATACAAATATGTCATTTTGCCTTCTTTTGAAGGCTTGCCCTAAAATTGATAAGAGAATTGAATGAGAATGTTCCCAGGGGCAACTTGGAGACCTTAACTTAATTTTGTAAACATTATATAATTGAGTTATGGTGGAAGTAACATATATGTTTTATTTGTAATCTTATTCTTATTGAAATAAGAAAGGAGACTCAAAGTAGGCACTGCCAAAAATGAAACATTTCTCTCAAATTTTCACCCCATGGTCGATTTCTGAAGTAAAATTTCATTTACTTCTCATCCTATTAACCATTTATCATATATAATATTTTTATTATCATATAATAATTTTATTATATTAATATGAGTCAAATTCACAATAATTTTAAATTTATAATCAGGTATGATTTTATATTTCTATATCTTTTATCTTTGGTATAAATATTTATAAACCTTTGATTTTCAAATATTTCATATATAAATATGTAAGAAAAGACAACCGAATGAACATATAGAATTTTATTTATATTGGTTGAAGGAAGCTCATATGTTCTATTGGTTAAGGACTACTTATGGGATCTGAAAACGATCTTCGACTTCTTGCGTTACATGCAGAAGCATATACCACTCGATTCGCCCGTTACTTTGGTGTGGACTTCTGGGCGATTAAGTTTCGAATGGACTCTAGGTACCACTCTTATTTCCTTCGAAATCCTAAAGTCAAGGAGCAAGGATTTGATCCCGAGCGAGGATGGTATATGGGGACCCCAAGACTTTTCCTTCCTAATCACGAATACATTGGATATGAAATGCACGGTGTTCCATCTCTCAGTGCCAACCAACCGGCGTGTAGCAGGATATGCAATGGATGTGGATGGCGAGAAGAGACAAGAAGCAGGCGTGCGAGAGGAGGGGGTGACTCATCTACCGACTTACCATGCGAGTTAGTGATTACCATACCCAAGCATTGATAGCGACAATTCTCCAAAGCCAAAGAAGGGAGAAGGAGGCAAGAGGCAACACCTTGTGGCGTGCATACATGCAATTATGGAGAAGATGGAGATCTCCTTAGCGGATATCTCCCCACCTTTTGTTCGCTCACCTTCCCCCAAACAATTTGAAGTCGGAGTTGAAGAAGAATCCTCCAAGGAGGATTAAGTTCTAGGCAATCCAGGGCCTATTTTTTCTCTCTTTTATTTCTTTGCTTTTTTACATTAAACAATGTCTAATTTTTCTATGCTTTTTGTTTCCATATACCTCGTTATTTTAATTACCTAGTAGTAGTAGTAGTACACTTAAATAACTATTTATCTATGTTATTGTTTTCCGGCAAGAAAACTTGCGTTGAAAAAAATTGCACATTTGACTTCTTTCATCTAGCATTGGGAGCCACAATGAACAAGTATGGGCACAATGGGTCCCCTTGCCTCACAGTCTTCTTGACTGGGCAATAACCAAACAATGAAAAGTGGACTTTAACGCTAAACTATGAAAAACTAATACATTCTCGAATCCATTCAATATAAGTGCTAGAAAAAATCAGGGCCTCCATGATAACACCTAAATTGGTGTTATTTATTCTCCATTCTTGAGGCATTTTCATGCTAAAATATCATGTCTGGGCCATATTGCAAGTGCTAATTTATAATAATATTCTCTCATATTCGTCAATCGTTGGCTTTAGCATGAGTTATTTTGCTATGAATGCTTTTTATAGGGAAATCACTTCACTTTGTCGTGTTTTATCCCCACTTTGCCGTGTTTTATGCTTGCATGGTGTTTTGCGATGATATTCCATGTCTTGTACTCATCTACAATCGATCATAGATTGATTTATAGTTCATGTGAGCACGTTGCATAGCATAGAAGCAAGAATTTAAAGAGTTTCATAGGTCACGACCACGGATACACCCTTAACCTACAAAGAGGTCGTGACCTATACCAGATTTATGATAATACCCTTTTATGCAGTTGACGAAGGAGAGTCAACCTAGAGTGTGAAATTAGGGTTTTGGGAAGTTCTTAGTGAGTGAAACACCTTGAGGGAGCTTGGGAAGGAGGAATTCATCCAAGATTCAATGAGAAGGGTGAAATCCAAGAAGAAAAGACGAATTCAAGCATTTTTCTCTTCTTTGTTTGTATTTCTTCTCTCTCTGTGACTTGTACCCTAAGGTTGTTTAGTGGAGATGAATCCTAGTATGTATTTAGGGTTTGATTGATTGAATGAGAAAATAGATCTTCGTGATCAAATAAGGTGTTTATTGCTTCTTTGCAAGGTTTGATTGCTTGAAATAGCATGTTGCATGATTAGCCCTAGGGTTCACTATGTGGATATGTGTAAAGAGTCTTCTGCCTAGGTTAGATGATCTAGGGTCGTAATTGGTGGACAAGATAACCATTCTCTGCCAATTAGGAGCCCATCTAGTTGATGCTAGAAAGGTAAGTGTGTGACCATTGACCTAGTGTATGGATGGGTAGAACCCAGTTAGAGGAGGTAGAATCCATCCCTAGTCTAGAAGATCGGTTGTGATGAAATTAGGCCGGTGGACTTGGATAGAAGGGGGATCAGCGGCTTGACCATTTCATCGCTCCCTATATTAGCGACCTCTACACCACAAATTAGGTTAGCATCAATCAACTACCCGACCACTACTAGGAGGACTTGAACTTAGACAACCATCTCATCTCTAGTGATCTCCCAAACACTTTTAGGTTAGTTTAGTATTAAACCAACTTTTTTACTTGATTAGATAGTAGATCGGAGCAAAGTAATAGTAAGCCTAAGGTGCCCTTGGAATACGACCGTGCCACCATATAAAGAGCTTAACAATTGGAAACCTGCCATTTCTAAGGTAAGGAGTTAGTGAGCATTGATTATAAATGTAAAATTCGATCTGGCGCATCACTCCATCACACAAAACAAGTAGGACCAATCTATATAATCAAAACCTTGTGCAAGTCTACTTTTCATAACACCTAGAGAAACAATGTGTTTCTTATTATAACTCTTTACCATCTCTAGTGCCATTAGAATATTATTTAGAATACTTCTTCCTTTAATAAAAGTTGACTAATTCTGGCTAATCACACTAGGAGTACAAAATATTAGTGCATATAATAGGTCAAAAATCATATAACTTCTCAACATTTGGAATTTTTGGAGCTAGAGTCAGGGAGGGCACGTTAATAACTTTTGGAAGCTTCATAGTGCAAAATAACTCCTTGATTCCAATAGTCACATCTCTTCCAATTATATTTAAACTCTTTGATAGAATCCAACCCACCAGCCATCTAGGTCTGGTGCCTTCGTAGGATCCATAGAAAAGAGTGCCTCTCTAATTTCATAGTATCTTAACTCATTACATCGGTTCTGCTTTTCCTCAATGGTCAGCTGCCTAAGTATATAAGGTTTAACTACATCCAAAATAAACTTTCTTGCTTCATTAATACTCCATATAAGGCTTGTCAAAAGCTTATAGCCTCTGATGCAATTGCCTCTACATCTAAAATCCCTTGACCAAAGTCAATGTCAAGCCTTCTTATTTGATTATGATCCATTCTGATTTTACAGTCTTGTGGAAAAGGAGGTGCTTGATGACATGTGAAAAGTAGTCTTTTAGACCCCATGGTTTTAATACTTTTATTTTCACAATATCTTGGATTTGCTACGTGATCACTCAAAGTGCATTCTACTAGTACTAGGCTTGCTGTTATCAATTTGATGCACTCTTGGTAGTGTATCGTGTGTTTTTAGGGAATAACAACATAGTGGACCACTTTTGACATTTTTGGGGACAACAAGACTGGATTACAAGTAGACAAGAGCAGGAAATGAAGAGAGGAAAAAAAGTAAAAAACGGTGCAGATTCGTCAGCCTAATCAAGGTTCATCTAGAAATCACCAAAATCTTGGAATTGTTCATACACGTTGTCAAAACGGGGCCATTGACTACCTCAAACCTTTCTCAAGGAATATGCTTTTCGTGGTGACAAACTTGGAAGAGATCGATTGGACTTTAAGACGCATTGGATGACCTTCCTTTCCCTACCAGAAACCTAATAGTAAGTCTACAAATATTAAATAGACTTATAGGGGGGGTTCGGTAGCCAGTGATAGGAGGCTGATCAGTTGAATTCGTGCATGTTAGTCAGTGGTTTGCACGTATCAACAAATCCCCCATCATAAGCCAAGTTTATCCTAGGACGACATTTCCGTATAGTGGTAATCAAGGTCGTATTCTACTCGGGTCCTGGTACCCTAGCCTACTTCCCACCTTGTTGTTAATTAGGTAATCGGTTTTTGAGGTTTTGAGTGGAGGATATGAAGAAACACTAGTCTAGAGGTTGAACAAAGCTAAAAGCAGGTACTTCGTGGAACTAATCCTCCCCCTAGCTTAGGGATACTATGCATGAAAAGATACTTAGGGTTATCGAATGTGGTGAGTGAGAACTTTTCCGTGGGCCTTCATCGTTATCCACATGCCTCCGAGTACGCCTCCCCTAAACCCATGTTTCAGTCACCTCGATCTAGGCTATTGTATTCAGGGCTTTAAACTTATGGCTCATTTCAATGGACACTATCCACCGTCCAAAGCGAGATTTCATCCCAGGTTCCATCTAGGAAGGCTACCTATAGCAGGGGTTCGGTCTCCTCGACCACTATAGGCCCCCATTCACACATCTAACCTAAATTAGCCAGCTGGCGCCTACCCGTCTAACCCTAGAACTCCTTATAAAGTAGGCTAAGAGGGAAGATTAGGGCGACTTACCCAAGCGTCATCATTTAGGATAGAGTGACAATAAAAATCAACTAGACAAACACATTCATTCAGTCAACCCATAAAATATCCACACATACATAATTAATCCTAAAACTAGGGTTTGGAGTTTAGAACCCCTAATACCTTAGAGGAATACTCCATAAAGGAGGGAAGAAGATACATGGTAGAAATAGAAGAAGACTTGGGGTAGAAGATGCCTCCTTGCTCCTAACTCCTCCTCCTCCTTCTCCCTTCAGCTTCTCTCTCTTCTCTCTCTCTCTAGAACCAGAAATTTCACCCAAAATCAGCTCTCTTGAAAAGGAATAAGGGGTCTTCTATTTATAGGCAACTTGGCTTCGGGTTAGTTTGCGGCCTGACACAGGGAGATCGTGGTCGTGATCTTTGGTCACTAGGCCGTGATCTCAAAACATTGTCGTCAAGGCCTTAAGGACGGGGGAGATCGCAACTTGACTTCATGGTCGCGATCCTTGAGTTGCGGCCGTAATCTTCTTTGCGGGGCATTTTGCACGTTGGTCACGATTCGACTGGGGAAAGTCTCTGCTCATCCATGGCTCCTTCCTCGCGAAGTTCACGCCCTGAGGCTCAAAGATCGAGTTTGCGATCTTTGGCTTCTAGGCCACAATCTTCAGAGAGACTTCACGACTGGAGATCCCGACCGTGATCTTTGGCTTCTAGGCCACGATCTTTGATCCTTGCTCCTTTTCTACACTTGTGACCTTGTTTTGTACCTAATTTCCCATATTGACTAATACTCCCTATAATCACATCAAAATCAAATAGGAACGAAATAGGGATGTATTTGACAATGTTTAAACGCTTCAGAAAATGAATTGGCACAAAACATACCCTAAGATGGAGGGTAAATAACACCGATTTTGGTGTTATCAGATGCATTAGAGAGTCGTTACTTTGTTGATAGAGTGACTCACCTGAATTAGAGCGAAAATGGTTACCAAGCGGAATTCGACGCCAGAGTCGTTACTTTGTTGACTTTGTAACGTTTGATTTTGGCATATATAAGATTTTTTTTATTATGTCTCTTTTGTTTTATCTATTGTCAAATTGATTGAGAGCTTCACGTAGCATACCTCCCTTCTAGATTTATGCATTGAAATCCTAGTCGCATAGGGTGAAGACCGGACAAAACCATCTTATAGGAAACAAAGAGTACTCCACGTACTACTCCCTTAATGTGTCCTACAGTTCAATCGTACTCCACGGATGTCTCTCTTAAGGTGTCCTACAGTTCAATCGATTGAACTGTAGGACACCTTAAGGGAGAAATTCGTGGAGTACTCTTTGTTGCCTGCCAGATCCGGTGATTACCCTAGCACAAGGTAGTAATAGATATCACAAGGATCAAGCAATGCGTATGTTTTCAAGATCGACGTTAGGAGTCTAAGGAACTCTAGCGAGAGTTTGCATGTGTAACACCTCGTCCTCCTGCTTACTCCATCGCCATTAGCTAGAGGTTTTCTTTTCTGCTTTGTTTTCCTTCTGATTTTGTAAAACAATAAAATGTAACAGATAAATTTTTTAGTGTTATAAAATATAAATTGTCATCATTATTTTTTGGTCTTATATGCAAAAAAATTAATTTTCCATACTAAATCTTAACATCTATTAATTAAGATGAGGTAAAAAATTGTAATTTGCTTATAAAACCCATTTCAAAAGGATTGTGTGAAGGAAGTTGCTCCTATGAGTTAGGATAATACTCTTTTATGAATAATGTCCCTAAAAAAGTCTTAATAATTGGCATGATAGAGCGATTTCGATTGCACTTGAGACATATTACGGAGGAGAGGAAGTTGATGACCCACCTCTTTGGAGCGGGGACGAAAATTACAGGGACGGAATTAACCAAAATGGAGGGAAATTAGATTTTTCCCGTCCCCTTTTTTGGATTCTGACCGATCGAATTGGGATTAACGGCACACGGATGGAAATATTAACAGAAGGGTAGATTTGATATTATGATAATAGTAGGATGGCAAGTTTGACGTAAAACATAGTAGAGGAGCAGGTTTGAGAAAAAAAAAACTATAGTAGAGGGGCAATTTATGCTATTAATTACCCTATCTTTTTTATACAAAATTAAAAAAAAACAACTATGAAGACAAATCTAGCTTTGTACTCTCACTATCGTTCTACGAAATTTGAGATGTTAAAAAAGCTGCGGGGCGGGTTGTCCGGCCTCGGGGTGGCGTTCGGATCAACCCCATGTCCCGGGATGCGTTGAAAAGTCGGAGGCTTGCTCTGCCTCGGGGTGGCGTTGTGAGCGAGCTCCTGCCCCTGAAGGTCATTCCGCGGGCGGGTTGTCCAGCCTCGGGGTGGCATTCGAATCAACCCATGTCCCGGGATGCAAGCAGGCCCGCTTCCGAGAAGTTGAGAAAATTAGTTGCCGAAATACATCTTCATTATGTGTACAAAATGCCCCCCAAAATCCCGTTACATTTCAATTGGCCGAATGATATTTGCGTAAGTGCAGCGAGTTCCATGTTTTGCTCACTGGCTCCCCGCTCATCGTTGCTAACTTGTATGTACTAGGCCCTATTTTGTCTCTCACCAAGTAGGGTCCTTCCCAATTTGCGGCGAGTTTTCCATGCCTCTCTTTCTCCTTCTTGTCAAACATTCTCTTCATCACCAAATCGCCTTCCACTAGGGGGCACGGGCGTACCTTGTCGTTATACGCCTTCGCTACCTTCTGCTTTTCTTCAATCGTGTGCGTGAGCGCGGCTTCTCTTCTTTCTTCCGTCATATCAAGCTGGTGGAGAAGGTTAGAATGGTTTGGCTCCGGTTGGTACGCTCGTACTCGTAGAGTGGGAAGCTGCACCTCCGTTGGTATAACCGCCTCGCACCCGTAGGTGAGGGAAAAAGGCGTCTCCCCTGTTGCGGTCTTGTATGTTGTGCGGTGCACCCAAAGGATGTGAGGAGCTCCGTTGTCCACCCCCCCTTTGCCTCACCCAGCCTTCTTTGAAGCCCCCTCAGTATGAGCTTATTAGAAGATTCCACCTGCCCGTTTGCTTGCGGGAACGCTACAGATGCCATGCAACACTTGATATTATGCTCAGCGCAGAACTTCTCGAATGGACGGCAATCGAATTGAGTCCCGTGGTCGGTTATGATTGTTTCTAGGATGCCGAAGCATATCATGATGTTGTTGAAGAGGAACTTCTGTACCCGCGCACTAGTTATTTCCTCCAGGGGTTTCGTTTCTATCCACTTGGTGAAATAGTCTACAGCTCCTACGAAATATTTCTTCCCCAGGGGCGCGTTCGGGAAAGGCCCAAGGAGGCCTAGTCCCCATCTCGCAAAAGGCCATGGGCTAACAATCCCTCTCATTTCGGACGCTGGGTGATGATGCTTGTCTGCATGAGCTTGGCATGCGTGACACTCCTTCACAACTTTCAGGGCGTCTCGCTTGACGGTCGGCCAGTAGTAGGCTTGAAGGAGAATCGTCATTTCCAAGCTTCGTGGCCCTATGTGGGTGGCGCACGTTCCCTGGTGTATCATCTGGAGCGCTTGCTCCGCTTCTTCACTTCCCAAGCATTTTAGATACGCTCCAGAGAAGGATCTTTTGTATAGTTCTCCCCCAACTACTGAGAAGCGCATCGCCTTCCTTCTTAGCACTTTGGCTGTGTCCGGGTCCTCGGGCACTCGGTCATTGTCAATGTAGTGGAAGATTCCATGCCTCCAGTCTTCCTCACCGAGCTCCATAACATTTTTTTAATTGCGCGACTTCTTTACTTACTGTTACTTGCCTTTCTCCCTTGAAATCCATCGCGGTGGCTAGTTTGGATAGCGCATCCGCGTGTTCGTTGCTTTCCCGCCTGACATGTTCCAATGACCATTCGTCCAACTGCACCAACGCTGCTTGAGCTTTTCTAGCCAGCTTAACAAGTTCTTCTTCCTTGGTTTCGAAATTTCCATTCACCTGTCCTACAACAAGTGAGGAATCCGAGAATATCTTCACTTTCTTTGCCCCTATGCTGGCGATAAGCCGAAGACCGTTGAGCAACGCCTCGCACTCAGCAGCGTTATTTGTCTTGAGGGCGTAGAAACGCACGACGACTTCATGCACCACTCCTTCGGGAGTTTCGATGACGATACCTGCTCCCGCTTCGCCTTTTCCCGCCGCCCCATCAACTGACAGCTTCCACACTTGCTGTGAGTTGGAGGCTTCATTGTCGAGCATAAACCCTTCAACAATGAAGTCGGCAAGGACCTGACCCTTTATTGCGGGACGGGGAGCGTAAGAGATGTCATGTTCACTGAGCTCAACTGCCCACTTGGTCATTCTCCCCGAGGCGTCCATGCCTTGCAATATCTTCTTTAGGGGAAGGTTCGACAAGACCGTGATAGGGTGCCCCTGAAAGTAGGGGCGAAGTTTTTGAGCGGTCATGGCCACTGCGAGCACAGCCTTCTCAACCACTAGGTATCTGGTCTCCTCCAAGAGTAACGCTTTGCTAACATAATAAACCGGCTGGTCCTTTCCATCGTCTGATCATCGGACCAATACTGAACTTACTGCCTGCTGGGAGACCGCCAAGTACAGGAATAGACACTCCCCCCCAACTGGGGCGCTGAGGACAGGAGGTGAAGACAATTTCTCCATGAGGTGCAGGAACGCTCGGCCGCATTCTTCACTCCATTTGAAGCGCGATGTTGACTTCTTGAGGATCTGAAAGAACGGGGAACATTTATCTGCTGAGCGAGGGATGAAACGACTCAAAGTTGCCATTTTCCCGTTGAATGCTTGAATTTCTTTGATCGTCTTTGGGGGCTTCAGCTTCAGGATGGCATCAATTTGCTTTGGGTTGGCCTCGATACCACGCTTCGTAATTAGGAAGCCAGGAACTTTCCCGCTTCGGCCCCGAACACTCACTTCGATGGGTTAAGGAGCAAACCATGCTTCCTCATGTTAACGAACGTTTCTCTTAAGTCTTCCAGATGCATACCCACCTCCTTGCTTTTCACCAGAACTTCATCCACGTATGCCTCTACATTACTCCCAATTTGGTCGCGCAACACCGTATCCACCATTCGCTGATATGTTGCTCCGGCGTTCTTGAGGCTGAAAGGCATCACCATCCAGCAGTAGTTGCCCTTGGGCGTCATGAAGGCAGTTTTCTCCTGGTCTTCTTCAGAGAGATAAATCTGGTGGTATCCCGAGAACATGTCCAGAAAACTAAGCATTGCGTGGTAGGCGGTGGCGTCGATAAGTTGATCGATACGGGGGGAGCGGGTAGGAATCCTTGGGGCACGCGTTGTTGAGGCTCGTGAAGTCGACGCACATCCTCCATAGACCTGAGCTTTTCTTGAAAAAAACAGTGTTAGCTAACTTTTGGATCTCCTCGTCTAGCGCCATTTGCTTTTTTATGGAGATATTTCTACGCTTCTGCTGAACGGGACGCGTGTTCGGTTTGACTGAAAGGCGATGTTCCGCAAATTCTCTGGGCACACCTGGCATGTCTTCAGGTCCCCACGCGAAAAGGTCAGCAAATTCTCGCAGGAGGTTGAGCATCTCTGGCTCTTCTTCACGAAGCGGGACTTCAACATCCCCTTCTAGGGCTTCTGGTCGCAAGTCCACGTCTAATTGTTTGATGGTGGCTTGATAGCACTCCCTCGCCAGTTGGGAGTTCCCTTTCACGCAGCCCACTCCATTTCCCACGGGGAACTTCAACCTTTGGTGGCACGTCGATGGCACCGTTTCCCACGGGGAACTTCAACCTTTGGTCTCACCGATGCTTTACTCTCTTGTGTTGTATTGGATGTCGATTTTCATTTTACCTAGGTAATTATAAGATCAAATTTACAAGAACTTTCGGGACTTTCTGTGGTTTGGGGATGATTCAGGTAAGGCAAAGCTTGCATGGAATTTTTCATCTACTCCGAAGAAAGAAGGTGGTCTGAGATTGAGAGATATATCCACATGGAATATTGCTGACATGGGTCGTTTCCACTTGTTTTTATTCATGTAGGGGGATAAGTTTTTGGGTTGCATGGATTCGACAATTCAGGATGAAAGGCAGCTTTGTCTGGAATTTATCATCCACACATATAGGTTCATGGCTATTGAAGTAAGTTTTGAAGTCACGGAGTTAGTTTCATTTTCATTTGGATGTCGATGTTGCATGCACTATTACTTGGGAGTTCAGAGGAATTAGCATGTATATGAATTTTGAGTAGGTTACTTTGATAGTTATTTGGCTGTGACATAGTCAAATTGTGGACTTTGTACTAGATTTTTTTTTCATCCGTCAAAAAAAAAAATACTAGATTTTTTTAGTCTTGATCTATTGACTAAGTGGGCTTAATAAAAAGACTAATTGCAAAAATAAAATCCTCAAATCCTAAACAATTAAGTATGTAATTTCAAAATTTTGGGGGGTCCTAAGAGATCACCTAGGTCTGCCTCTAATAGAGGTCCGCCATTATGATTTTCTTTAAGGCAATGATTAATATAGGGGCTTTTGAGGACTTGCACATCTGACCTCAAGGACAAACAAACTCTGATACCGTATCATAACCCTACCAGTGTAGTTGCAACATCCACGCATTGTTCCAACTGGAAACCTTACATTGCTTCATAAAAAGTTTGTCATTGCACATGGAAATGCAGCCGCTAAACCAAAGAGATGTGTCCCTTTATAGAATCAAAACATTTGATTTGACCAGTCTAATCCCAGACCGATTTGTTCAGTCCAATCTTAAACCAGTATGACCCGATTAGTTAGATACTTGCCACCATGGAGTTTACGAAATAGGACACATGAGCATCAGCTTGATCATCGTCTTATATGGGAAGGGGACACTGATGACTTGATATATACACATGTTTTTGTCCACCATTCTTATGTCGTTTGAGCCTCATTTCTCTTATCGTAGGCCAATTTCACGCTAGGTTGTTCTTGTTTGTGATATTTCAGGTCCTAGTACATGATTGGAGGTTTGGGAACGAGTTCGGGGTCGATTGGACGAAGGTTGGACGTTTGGCGAGAAGCCGAGGAAAACACACGGCCAGACCTAGCAGCCACACAGCCGTGTGGCATGGCCATGTGGAATTCTATTGCGCGGGCAAACCACACTGGCCGTGTACCGGGTCCCTTGAGGCCATGTGGAAATCACAGAGATGTCACACGGGCAGGCCGAGATTTCACACGGCCGTGAAGTTCTAGCCGTGTGACGTGCATGAGACCATTTAAGTGAAACGCGGCGCTTTCACCTCCACACGGGCAGTAGGGATTTTCACACGGCCGTGTGGTCGGAAAATTCTAGGTTTTAACCCAATTTCGGGTCTTTTGGAGGGGAATCGAGTTTTTGAGCAATAAACAGAGCATTAGAGAGAGAAAGTGCAAAGAACAAACCCTAGGAGCTATTTGGAGTGGATTTCAAGCCATTAAAGCCCAGATTGCATCCCCAGGAGTGAAGATCAACATCTAAGAGCAGATTATCCCCATCTTTATGAGTATGACTGCTCTGATTTATGTTTTCATATCTCTCTCTATGGAGTAGAACCTTCACTCTCTTGGGTATGAAGAACCCTAGTTCCATGTGTTAGGAATCTTGATTGTAATGACTTTGGATTGATATACTGATTGATTGTAATCGATTGATGCATGATTCATTAAGTCAATTGAAGCCTGATCATCTTTTCTTGATTTCTGCTGCAACCTGAGATAGATAGAATCTGATTAGGTTGTTAGAGCTTCATCAATATCGGTAGTGGTAGATTTGTTATACGAGAGTTAATCGATTTACTGCTTTGTACTGGAATCCAATTCCATTAGTGGAGTTCTGCTTTTATTGCCTCGGCAGTCTATCTCGGTGAAGGCTAGTCGCCTGCCGGTTAGTCTGCCGGAGAGGGCTTTGTCAGCTTAAGAGATTCCAAGCTACTATCGGATCTTCCACAGTTTAATCAACAGTTAATCAACCCAGGGTAATTACAACCTTGACCTAACTAAGGAGCTAGGGGGACTCATTCCCGAGTGACTCTTGCCTTGCTAAAGAACTTTGAACCATTTCCTGCTTTCTTACTGCTTTTACTTAAAATCACAATCACTTGACTTAGTTTGCTAGATAATAGATAATCACGGAGTAGGCAGTAGATCTAGACCCCGGGTTGACAAATAGAACTTGCCACTAGTCTGCATTTTCGGACTGCGATTACACTTTGTCGCAGTTTGGTGTTGTGTTTTAGCGTGCTAGACACCCACACTTGTCAATATATTCAGTAGCATATAATAAAATTACAAACGGAAAAGGAAGAGCAAGATAGATAATCAGGTTAAGGACGAGTTATTAGTAAGGGAAACGAGCGGCTTGAACACAAAGTTCAGAAAAACAAATCAGAACCAAAGTGAAAGACCATTATTATTCTTAGTTAAATCACATGCATAATCCTCCCTCCATATATAAACTACACATATTATCTTCAGTGATGTTCTGCTAAAGGAGGAGGGCTTGGTACTGGAGGAGGCTTTGGTACTGGATCAATAGGCTGATAATCCTCAAGTTGTTGGTCCGTCTCAGTTGAAGGAGGATGATGGCAAGGATGACCTGGTTCATGGCACGGATTGGCCCCTGGAGGTGCATTATACTCCATCCCTGCAAGGTCCATCCACGAAGGGTGAGTCAGGGCCTAAGATTAAGCCGAAAGGCATAGTCGACGGACAACATGTGAATATTCTTGTACTACAACATGTGAATATATGTACTTACCGGAGATGGGGATTGAGTTGAGAGCAGTGCAAGCAACTGTTGCAAAGGCAAACAACATACAGACGATAGCATAAAAGAAACCCATTGACTTGTTTCTGGGTTTCATCATGGATTGACAATTTAGAGCTGTGAAAAAGGCAGGTGGGGGAGGAGGCTGGATGGAAATGATTGAGTAGTTTATCATTTATATACTATACAAGATGGAGTGAAAAAAATGAGAATTTACGATTTTAGGATATGCAATGAAATGCAATTATTGAGTCACTATAAGGAAAGTAAGTGATTAAGAAAAATTAGTTGTGATTGTAACAATAAATGTTGTGGATTTGGATACTATTTCTCAAGAGAGCCATTAATGAATGAAATCTAACTTTGATTGTAAGATTCAATGCTCGGGACTTGGATACCTATATTTAAGAAAGTAATTCATTAAGAAGGCTTACTTTTTTAAAAAGAATGATATTTATTTTCAATATTTTTTGAGAAGGAAATTTTTGGACCACATATACTAACATCGTATCATCATAGACTATTTTTCATACTACTATAACATATATTAAAATCAATGAGATATAGTCTATTAAAATTTAAAGGGGGAAGTGTTTATGCACTTGATTTGCTCCTTACATGCTAAATGTGACATCAATCCAATTTTATTTTGGTAGAAACATCAATCAAAAAACATTTCTCAATAATTAGGATTTATATTAAGCTCACTTGATCAATACATCAAACCTCAAAATAGTTAGGACAAAGTCCAGAATTGGCTACATCACCTGTCAAAACTCCTCAAACCAACCTAAAAATACATATAAACTTTCCTACTCCTCACTAAACTCACTATTGCCCATGACAAACAACACTGCTTCATTATTGAAACAAAGCAACAAGTCTGTCCAATCAAACTTCTTCCTCCAAAACACAACCACATCTTTCTTTCAATAAGAAAATCACTAATCAACACCAAAGTTCACAGTAGATACGACCAAATGCATCCCTGCTCCTACTGCAGAACAGGCTTGTTGTAATTCCCCATCCCGTGTACGCAACCAATTTTGTCATGCTTGCAGACTAACAAAAACAACATACAACTATCTAGAATAATTATAGCCTTCAAATAAAATGTATCCCAAGTACATTTTCCGCAGTGTCAACATCCATTTGAAATTGAAATCAACTTTGAAACTTGAGCAATTGCATCCAAATCCAACGAACCTACAAATGTTGCTCGTTAAATCCACACAATTGGCCGTTCAGCCTATAGTGAATAATCCATGTCACTAAACACTACCTCCATACATGAATAATAGCCAGACGGGCCTCCCTTAACAAAATTATAATTCGGTTCGGTCGGTTTAAACCGAATTATAATTCGGTTCGGTTCAGTTTTTAACACAAAACCGAATTTGTGAGGCTACTTGTATATTCTCACTTTTAAATTATTTTTCACTCCTAATATAAACAATAAATATGCAATTATATACATAATCAATGATAAAATCAAACTTTTCAACACATAAGTCATAAAATATTTCAAATATTTAAGTATAAAAACAACTACAAATATAAAAATCCACCATTTGGAGGTTGCAATTGTAGTATTTCGGTTTTTCAGTCGGAAATACGGAATTTCGGTTCGGTTGAAAGAACCCTGATTTCCGAAATATCTATATTTTCCTTCCGAATTCTGAACCGAATAACATTATTTCGGTTTCGGTTCGGTTTAATTCGGTACCCGAACCGTTTGCCCACCCCTATTATCCCATGAGACCTTTGCCTTCCCTGACTATCGTCATACCATATAAATTCTGAATTAATGTTATGAAATCTTATCCAATACCTTCTTAGACAAAATGGAAATTGACATCCAATACTGCACCAAGGAATAAAGCACAAAGGAGACCGGCTGAATTCGACATATTTAAGTCAACCTTTTTACATGCGAGGATCAAATTCTACTAGACATTATACCCAATAGCACCTCACTGTCCTTTCTCGTGAGCATATCATATATTAAGGGGAGCACAAGGTACCTTACTAGAAGAATACTATCTTTGAAACTAGTGACAGATAAATCATTATGCTTAATAACAGTAGTTAATCCCTCCAAATATAACTTCACACTTATTTGGATTGCAACGCAAACCATATATAAGGTAAAATTGTTCCAGATTCCTTTTCACATTACTGAGGAAAGTAGCTGAACCCTCAGTAAATGTCAACAGAATCTTCGCAAAACAGAGGTGTGTAAGATCCATTGTCTTACATTGAGAGTGATAGGAAATATGCGCCAACTGTGGAGCCATATCTAGCATTGGGAGCCACAATGAACAAGTATGGGCACAATGGGTCCCCTTGCCTCACAGTCTTCTTGACTGGGCAATAACCAAACAATGAAAAGTGGACGTTAATGCTAAAATATGAAAAACTAAGACATGCTCGAATCCATTCAATATAAGTGCTAGAAAAGATCAGGGCCTCCATGATAACACCTAAATTGGTGTTATTTATCCTCCATTCTTGAGGCATTTTCGTGCTAAAATATCGTGTCTGGGCCATATTGCAAGTGCTCATTTATACTAATATTCTCTCATATTCGTCAATCGTTGGCTTTAGCATGAGTTATTTTGCTATGAATGCTTTTTATAGGGAAATCACTTCACTTTGTCGTGTTTTATCCCTACTTTGCCATGTTTTATGCTTGCTTGGTGTTTTGTGATGATATTTCGTGTCATGTACTCATCATCTACAATCGATCGTAGATTGATTTATAATTCATATGAGCACGTTGCATAGCATAGAATCTAGAAGTTAAAGAGTTTCATAGGTCACGACCACGGATACACCCTTAACCTAAAGGTTGTTGAAACACCCTAACCCGGCCGGGTACTACTTTTACTAAAATGCCCTTGATAAACTCAAATCTTAAATTTCAGCGGGGAAAATTTTTCATAAATAAAATACTGAAAACACACACTTGTAGCTCAGAGCAAAGCCCTAACACGTGGGCAATTTGAAACTCAAACTTTAAAATCTCGATCTGATCTCCAGTCTATACTCATAATCATAAATGTAAAGAACTGATAAACTCTGAAGCTGTTGCTACTGAAAACCTTGACTAAGCATCCTCCGTGATGCTTATACTGCTCTCCTCTAGCTGGCTGCCCTCGAACCCGCTGCTCACTAACTGCTCCTCTAGCTCCTCAAACTGGTGAGTGAGATGGGGTCAGTCTACGCCCTTACGTTTAAATACTTAATGATACTTGCTCACTTTACTTAACTGAGTGGGAGTTGTTTTGTACTTCCACTACTAAAAAGCTTAACTCTTAAAACTGTATGGGAGTAACTCTTACTCTCCACTCTTAAAGCTTAAAACTCAACTTAAATACTTGACTGACACTGGGATCCCTCACTAGCTAGTCCGGTTGCCAACTCATACGTATGAGAAGCCATCCAGGCTTTCCTTAAACTTAAATTTAGTTAGGGAAGTCGTAACGATTCGTCCCCCTAACATCTTAAACTTATCGTGGTGGCTCTTCACCACGATTCTCAAGGGCATAACTGCTGCCCATCTTAAAAGTCTCAAGAGCATAGCTGCTGCTCTGTCTTAAAGATCTCAAGAGCATAACTGCTGCTCTATCTGAAAATCTCAAATGGCAACGGACTGGCGCTAGTGACTAAAAACACTTAAAACGACTTCACCTCCTTGAAGGTGAGTTACTTCTTAAAAAGGACTTGCTTCTTAACTTCAACAATAACTTATAAACTTAAAGCTTAAATTTAAATAAAACTCATGCACAGTCACATCAAGCATAGCTCAAACAAAATCGCATATCATCACCCATAAGCACAATCAAGCAACAACAATCACTTCATCAAATACTTAAAGCTCGTAATACTTGAAATAACACGTAAGGCGTGGAATTTACCCCATTTACACTCACCTCTAATCCGTCGAAACTAACTCTGAATCTGCTCCAAAATTTCCATACTTTCTCCAACTAAATTCTCCTCGTTCTCACGATTCCATAGGCGCTGACGATTCCTGAATTTGTCCGACTTTCACTCCAACCTTTCGATGCTCGTTTCTCCCTCGTTCGATGTCGAAACTCAATTCCGTCAAGACCGTGATGCTCCTGGGATCGTCCTCTTCACGATGATAACCACCAATCAAAGAAAATTGGAAGTCGCCTACGCCGGGATCGTTGTCGGAACTGCTTGTCTTCTCCCATCATCACTGCCAATTTTTGAAACCATTGCGACCAAAAACTGTGTCTCCCTTTCCATGACGACTTGAATCCTGGTTGATGATTATATCCTTCTCATAGCGGCGGCGCCATTTCCCGGTGACCATGGGTGCTTCCAAATCGAACCGACAGCTGGATCTGGCCCAACAGCTCCGCCTCTACGATTTCAGCGACGATCGACGACTCTCTCACATTCTTAACAAACCAAAACCAGTCAAAATTCCCACAGTTCAGAACATCGATCGAGGCGCCGCTAGGAACCGCCATGTTGAGGACGATACGAGTGCAGTTGATCTCTTAGAAATCGGAGCCTCACTCGCACCGCTAGGCCTTGGATTTGGAACGGAATTCCACTGCGCCGGCAGGAAGATGAAAAACAAATTGGCTCCTCTTCATGGTGTCGATGGGGTGGGGTTAATTAGGTTAAAATTCCCTTTTTTCCTCCTTTCAATAATTATAATAATTCTTATTATTCCTAACCCAAAATTGTGACCCTTCGTAAGTAACCGTTAATTCAACCTTTTATCAGTTATGGTCGAACCTGAACCCAAAAGTCGGGGTGTAACAGTTGTGACCGTCTTCCCTTACGTAAACTCAAGGCTTTGATCCCAAACTTGAAGATGAAAGGATGAGGTACTTCCCATTTACTCTGGAGGGGCAAGCCAAGGAGTGGCTGGACACTCGACCTCCAGGCTCGAACACCATGTTCGCCAACCTGGCGGACAAGTTCCTCACCCAAGTTCCTCACCTGCTACCATCCTGCGTCCAAGACGGCTGACCTGCAGAAGCTAATCACCCACTTTGCTCAGGATGAAGATGAGACCATCCGGGATGCTTGGGAAAGATACACCAGTCTTTTCCTCAAGTGTCCCAACCAAGGTTTTACTGACGCCTTCAAGGTGGGCACCATCTACCATGCGCTCTTCCCGGAAGATAAGCAGCTGATTGACTCATTTTGCGGCGGGAATATGCTCACCAAGACACCGCCACAGCTGAATCAACTCTTTGAAGAGATGGTAGAGCAGGGATATGATTGGGGAACTGCGAGGAGATCTAGACGAGGACCAGGGGGTGTGCATGTTGTAGCCACCCAGTCATCTGATTTGGTGCAGGTGGTATCTAAACTGGTTTCATCCATCGATCGCTCTGAATGATTTTAGGTACAAGCCAGCAGCAGGCGATGCACTGCCAGTGGTGTGAAAGCTCCCATCACACCGTGGAGGACTGTCAGGCGATGAGGGAGTCGTCTACTCCCCATGAGTACGTGGACTTCATCGGCAATGCCAGGCGTTTCGACCGCTACAGCAACACTTACTACGAGGGGTGGCGCCAGCATCCCAACTTCTCCTGGGTTGGGGCCAATCCTAGACCACCAGTCTCCCAGGGACCGCCACGATTCCAGAGGCCTCCTTACCATCCCATACAAGGGCAATTCCAGCAACAGCAGCCTCTTTACCCGCCCTGACAGGGGCCAGTTCCTCCTCAGTCACATGTGCGGCCATTTCAGCAGTCAGGTGCAGCCCCGCAACCCCAGTACAGAGTGATCTGATGGCCGATTTGCGAGATCCAGTGGGTTCTCTGGCCACCTCTAGTGCGAACAAGTTAAGTAATATCGAGCAGTTCATGGAGAAAGCTTCAGGTAAATTCATGGAGCTAGAAGCTGGCCAGAGAAACACGCAGGCTGTGCTGCGGGATATCCAGACCCAGCTTGGGAGTGTGGCACAAGCTGTAGCCCAGAGGACGCCTGTTACTTTACCCGGTCAGACCATCCCTCATCCGCAGGACCCAAATGAGCACTGCAATGCCATTACTACTAGGAGTGGCAAAGTGACTGAGTTTGCCAAGTTCATTGCAATGCTGAAGCAGGTAAACATCAATATGCCCTTCGTGGAGGCATTATCGAAGATGCCCAAGTATGCTAAGTTCATGAAGGATCTCCTCACCAACAAGAGGAAGCTTGGGGAGCTGTCGACGGTGATGCTCAACGAGGAGTGTTCTGCCATCCTGCAGAACAAGCTACTAGAGAAGCGTAAAGACCCAGGGTATTTTACTATCCCTTGCATGATTGGTAGTTTGCATATAGGAAAGTCCTTGGCGGATTTAGGTGCTAGCATAAATGTCATGCCATATAAACTATTTAAAAAGCTAGACCTAGGTGAACCCAGTAATACTAGGATGAGCATTCAACTTGCTGATAGATCCATTGTGCATCCTAGGGGCGTTGCAGAGGAGTTGATAGTCGCAGTAGGGCCATTCTCATATCGTGTTGATTTTGTGATTCTTGATATAAATGAGGATGTGGATGTGCCTTTAATACTGGGTAGACCTTTTCTCGCCACCGCCAAGGCGCTTATTAATGTGAATGATGGAAAGTTGATTTTGAGGGCTAGGGGTGAACAAATCACCTTATCTGCTTTTGATAATATGAAACACCCCCAGCTCCATGATGATCTAGACTACTATGATGTTACTGCTGATTTTGAGACCGCCACTCGCCATCACGAGTGCGGGTACTGACGATTTCCTCGAGCGTATTCTTTTGCTAGGGGAACAGGCATCGCAGGAGTTGCAGCTCGCGGAGCTAGATGAGGCTGCGATCGAGGGCCGAGAGAAACCATTTAAGTCGATCCCTATCTCCCCCCGGATCACCATCATTGGAGGAGCCACCGGAACTGGAGCTTAAGCCCCTCCCCTCTCACCTGGAGTATGCATTTCTCTGGGAGGGGAATAAGCTCCCGGTCATTATCAGCTCGGATCTGACACCCGAGTAGAAGAGCAAGCTGGTGGCTCTGCTGCAGAAGTATGCCCGAGCCATGGCGTGGAAGATAACAGACATCAGAGGCATTAGCCCATCCTTCTGCTCCCACATAATTCTGATGGAGGATGAGGTTAAGCCACTCAGGCAGCCATAGCGGAGATTGTCTCCTAATTTGGAGGCAGTGGTTCGGGCAGAGATTGTGAAGTTAATGGATGCAGGGATCATCTTTGCTATATCTGATAGCAAGTGGGTCAGCCCCACTCAGGTGGTCTCGAAGAAAGGCGGGATGATTGTGGTTCCGAATGAGAAGAACGAGTTGATCCCGATGCGGACCGTGACCGGCTGGAGAGTATGCATTGATTACCGGCGCCTGAACGACGCCACCAGGAAGGACCATTTTCCCCTACCTTTCATTGATCAGATGATGGAGTGGTTGGCTGGCCATGAGTTCTACTGCTTCTTGGATGGCATATTTGGCTACTTCCAGATACCCATTGCACCGGAGGATCAGGCGAAACCACATTCACTTGCCCCTTTGGTACTTTTGCTTATTGGAGGATTCCATTCGGGCTGTGTAATGCACCGGCGACCTTCCAGAGATGCATGCTGGCGAACGAGACATTGAAGGAGAAGCCTACTCATGCACCCATCATGGTGACTCCTTACTGGTTTCTTCCTTTTGAGCTGATGTGTGATGCAAGTGATTATGAGGTCGGAGCAGTTCTGGGTCAGAGACGCGAGAAGCACTTCCAGCCCATCTACTATGCGTCAAAGACCTTGAATGATGCACAAGAGAATTACACCACCACTGAAAAGGAGCTACTCGCTGTGGTGTATGCATTTGATAAGTTCCGACCATATCTGGTGCTCTCCCATGTGGTGGTCTACACAGATCACTCGGCGATTCGCTATCTGATGATCAAGGCTGATGCAAAGCCTAGGCTCATCCGCTGGATCCTAGTTCTGCAGGAATTTGATATCGAGATCTGGGACAAGAAGGGAGCCGAGAATGTTGTTGCAGATCATCTATCACAGTTGGAAGCCCATCCGGTGGACAACTTCGTGGAAGAAATCGATGACTCCTTCCCGGGTGAGCGATTGCTGGCGATGACATTGGTGGACAGCGTGGCCCCTTGGTATTCTGACCTTGCCAATTATCTGGTGGGCAAGCAGCTACCGAAGGGGATGGCCACTCATGCAAAGAGCAAGTTCTTCTCCAACCTGAAACATTACTTCTGAGAGGATCCTTACCTCCTCAGGATCGGAGCAGATGGCGTGATCCGGCGCTGCGTCATGGAGCACGAGATGGGAGACATCTTGTCTCAATGCCACAAGGGACCTACTGGAGGTCACCATGGAGGAAACCGCACGGTGCGGAAGGTGCTACAGTCGGGCTTCTATTGGCCCTCACTCTTCAAGAATGCAGACACCTTCGCACGACAGTGCGACCGCTGCCGCCAGGTCAGGTAACATTTCTTCCCGAGATAAGATGCCCCAACATATATCTGTCGTTTGTGAAATTTTTTATGTTTGGGGCATCGATTTCATGGGCCCATTCCCTCCATCATTTAGAAATTTGTATATACTGGTTGCAGTAGACTACGTCTCGAGGTGGGCAGAAGCTCAAGCCATGCCCACCAATGACGCAAGACGGGTCTGCTCATTTCTGAAGCAGTTGTTCTCCCTGTTTGGGACATCGCCCACCATCATAAGTGATAGAGGAACCCATTTTCGAGGGCAATTCAATAAGCTCATCTCTCGCTATGGTGTTAAGCATCAGGTTTCGGTGGCTTACCACCCCCCATCAAAGGGTCAAGACGAGCTGACGAACCAGGAGCTTAAAAGAATAATCGAAAAGACGGTGGCTCAGTCCCGCAAGGATTGGTCCACCAAGCTCGATGATGCTCTTTGGGCATATAGGACAGCCTACAAAAACTTGATTGGTACTTCACCCTATAGGCTTGTCTATGGGAAGGCGTGTCATTTGCCAGTAGAGCTAGAGCACAAGGCCTTTTGGGCCCTTAAGCTGCTAAACCTGGATTTGAGTGTCGCAGGTACTGAACGTAAGCTGCAACTGCTGGAGTTGGAGGAATGGCGTTACCACGCCTACGAGAACACCCTACTCTATAAGGAGCGAACCAAGTGTCTCCACGACGGTCGGTTGAGGGGCCCGAAGGAGTTTCAGGTAGGTGATCGTGTTCTGCTCTTCAATGCACACCTGAAACTCTTTCCGGGCAAGCTACGTTCGAGGTGGTCGGGACCCTTCACGGTCACCAAAGTTTTCCCGCACGGTGTGGTGGAAATCAGCAATGCTCAAACTGAGTCGTTCAAAGGGAACGACCACCTCTTAAAGTTGTACTTGGGAGGTGATGTCGAGCGCGCGAATCTGCTGATAAAGCTCGAGGACCCTTAGTTCCTCTACTGGCGTCCAGCTAAAAGATTGTAAAGAAGCGCTTGTGGGGATGCAACCCCACCTAAGTTTGTATTTCCTTTCCTTTTTCTTTTTAATTTTTGTGTTTTTGAGTCTTCAAGTGTTGTCCATGGCTCGGATGTCGCTTTTGCGCAAAAATAGGTCAAATCCGGGGCTCTGGAATTCCACACGGCCAGGCCTAAATTCTGAACGGCCGCGTGGAATTGCCCTTTAGCCATGTGAATACCCTGGAATTTCCACACGTGCAGAGGAGGGCCACTACACGGCCGTGTGACAGCCTCGGCCAGCCCGTGTGGAATTCTCGGCGCCACACAAGCAAAATCTGCTCCACACGGCCGTGTGGACCTGCCCATGCGGCTATAAAAGCTGTTGCGCGGCCATGTCGGCCAGAAATCCACTTCCCCCTGGCCGGCAAAACGGCGACCTTTCACTTTTTTGGCCTTTCCCTCCATTTTGGGGCGATTTGGGCCGATTTGGGTCACCGGAGGTGATTTCTGGCAAGACTCCGGCGATGCTCTGACGACGACTCTATTGCCTTCCCCTCATCACCCCCTACACCTCTACTTGTGTCTCTAGGTTTGATTGCCCTTTACCTTGTGAATTGTGGAGAATTGGGTGTTAGGGTGTGTATTTAGGGAACTTCATTGAATCTTGTCATTTGATTGAAATTGATTGAGGGGAAGGCTTGGTTTATGTGTGGATTGTGTTGGCCAATGTTCCCCTTGCTTGATTGAGCCCTTGTGTGCTAGGAATTTGCCCATTCTTTGCTTAACATAAAAGTGCACACAAGGTGTTTGATAAAATGCTAGTTTTTCATACCATGTTGTGAGAGCCGGTTGGGGCCCTTAATGATGTGTTTTGATGGTGTGTTTTCTATGGATGTGAACCTTAAGTTTCCTACTTTATTGTGAATGTGCATCCCCGCCTTGATTGATTTCACCCCGAACTATGGATGAAACTATGGTTCGGCTGTTTTTCTGCTATTAAGTGTGGGGGTGTGATTGACCGTTCCTGTGGCTATTTTGGCTCCACGTTGGTTTGATTTCTTGAAGGACCATGTCGAAACCAGATCTTAAGCATCGATTTATCCGTGATTTGAAGAGGGGCCTCCACAAGGATCGGTTTAAGCGCGCCCTGGCATCTAAGTTTGGGAGGCATCACTATTGGTCCAGGAGGGAGTTTGAGACGCTAAATTGCTACGAGCACTTCCTCGCTATAGCCACCAACCGCACATGGTGCCGGCTGTTGTCTGTTCGCGTGAAGGTCTACCATGAGCTAGTGGTAGAGTTCTACACGACCTTTCAGCACGAAGAGACCACCGACTGGGCGAACAACGAAACCGTCAAGTTCGGGCTAGGCGGTGAGCCCCGCTCCATGAGCTACCATGACTTGGCGGTTTCTCTCGACCTCGACATGGTCGATGTCAAGGATTATGTCACCGAGCTCACTAATCCAGACGGTGTATCCTTAAAGGCTTTGTACACCCGGCTAGCTCAGGCCGGTCAGAACCCCTTCCATGTGGGACGGACGAAGGCTAGCACCTTGCAGCTCGAGAACCGCATACTCCACCACTTGCTCGCGAAGTCCTTCACTCCATCGGGGGAAAGTTCCAGCACCCTGACCAGGCGATCCATGTACTTCATCCACTCCATCCGCACGGCGAACCATGATCTCCATCTGGATTCTGTGGTTGCAAGGACTCTGGACAAGAGTGATATTACTCTGGGGGCCCTCCACTGCACCCCACTCATCACCCTCCTGGCAGCCTATTTCCAGATCCCCTACCAGGATTGCACAAAGCAGGGGGACACTTGTGTCTTCGGAGAAGACACGATCTCAAAGATGCACCTGCTGTGAGTCGAGCGTGGCGTCAAGTGGATTGAGGGGTTTCCCATTCCACCCCTCCCTGCGGAGGATCAACCCGCAGTTCCTGAGGATGTCCCCGATGATGTGGACGCTGCTGCCGCCCACACCGCCCCTTACCAGACCACATATGAGCATGGGGTGGTAGCTCCACATTTCCATCCCAGGACAACTTCACTCACCAGTTCCAGCAGCTGAATCTCCAAAATCAGTAGCTCCTTGAGCATCAGCTCCAGTTCCAGCAGCAGTACTCGGCTCACCAGACCGAGTATAACACCAGGATGGCTGCATATGATGAGTGACTTGACCGCATGAAGGCCCAGCAGGGGGTGACCCTTGCTCACATCGAGAGGGATCGTGCTTGGGCTCGTCGTATGCAGGAGGTTCAGCAGCAACTGCTCCAGCTGATACCGGGCGAGCAGCCAGTTTGGAGGACTCCCCACTTCCACCCCCGCTAGCCAATGATGATGCTTTCATGGACGACATTGACCTTGATAACCTTGGAGACGAGTAGTCTGTACTCGTCGCCTCTTCGAGCGTGTTTTTGTTTTGGATTTTTCTTGTTTGCTCCATGTGTGTGAGGATCTTGAACTGAGTCTTTTGTGTGTTTTTCTTTTTTCTTTCTTTTTTGGATTCTCCGTTTTGTGGCCATCTGGGCTAACTCTGATCCCTAACGCACAGTGTGCTAGTGTGTTCTTCATGTTCCCTTTGTGCAGAATTGTTCCGTCGTTCCGTCTGTCCCCCGCTGACTGGTCCACTTCCAGTCCCCCGGCAGTCTTTTCTTCCGACAACATCGTTCCCCTTATCCTTCCCTCTGCTCCATTGAGGGAAATGTCGAACTTAAGTGTGGGGGTGCTTTGTATTGGTTGGAACCTATATATGTGTGCTTGGAGCCTAGTCCACTGTCCAAATCTCGAGATTTGAGGGCTCCAAGTACTGCTGTTTCATGATCATATTGGCACTGTGGGTTTGATTGGTGAATTGAATGGCTTTTGAATTAATGCATGACAACTTGATTGTAACTAGGACAACCTATGATGATGACTGAGACGTGCAGTAGAGTTGTGTTGGGGTTCAGTTTTTCAACTGTTTGCTTACCAATTGTGACTTGGATTGATCACTTCCTCTTGACAGTCGTTTATGCATCTAGTTCAGGGAATCATAATGAGATATAGAGCATATAGGTAGCCATGTGAGATTTGAACCTGCTCGTTTCTTTCTTGTGCGATAGATCCCTCTTCCATGATGTGTGTAGCATTCACGTTGTCACTAGCTAAGATGATGGAGGCATAGGAATAGCCCACGACCAAATTGACTGTCCTGGTGTGTCATACCCCCTAGTCAGCCCCTTTGAGCCGTGTACTTTACTTTCTTTCGGTCTACAATGAAAAATCACCCTTTTGCATCTCTTAGAAGGTTCCACAGAGTGGTTTTTTACTTGTTCTTTGCTGTTTCTGCTAAAAATAATGTGAGGGTTGGAGGTAGTGCTTAAAAGTTGGGCATGTGATTGAAAAATGTGCAGAGGTGGTGGTTCTCTCAAGAAATAAAAAAAAAAGTAAAAAAAAAAAGATGGATGAAAGCAAAAGAGAGTCACTACCAAAAAGTTGAATCATGCTCATTAATTAGTGTTTCTTAGCAGTCTGGCTTGGAAATACTAACATTATTGTGACCTCCTTCGCTCTTGTGCTCTAAGGAATTTAAGTAATGCAGAATAGCAGAAAGAAAGTAAGTGGTTTGATTGGCTGTGATTGTGTTGGGTTTGGAACTGTGGAACCTTGTGCTATGAATACTTCCACCACCTAAAAGTCTTTTTCGCATGTCCAAGACCCTATCCAGTCACTTGAACATGTGTCTAAGACCTCCGGATTAGTTAGTGGTGACATCCCTCATGTGAACTCTAACATTTAGAGGCTGCCATGCGCATTTTTTGCATCAAATTGTCCTGACCTCACTGGTCGAGAGTGAGTGATTCATTTCCTTGTTCTTTATGCTCTTTACCCCGGTGAGGACCTAGATGGCTCGATCTTGATTCTGATGTCTTGAGTTTGATGCATGCGATGACTGTCTTGGTTAAGTGTTTGATTCGAGTCTATGTTGGTTGGTGAACAGAAAGGATTCCTCTTCCTTTACCCGATTTTGCTGCACTCGAATGTCCTCTGTGGTGGTTGTCTAGGTTGCTGTTGAGTTGTCCTTATGTAAATGATCAAAAGCCAGTATGATTCACGTGTTCTGTGCCTATATGATATGTCCCCAAAGTGGTATGATTGAAATGTGTTGAGCTTACCTTGTATTTGACTTGGTTTGCTTACTGGAATTGGATTCCAGTAAAAAGCAGTAAATCGATTAACTCTCGTATAACCAATCTACCACTACCGTTTGCTTGGGGACAAGCAAACGGTAGTGGTAGATTGGTTATACGAGAGTTAATCGATTTACTGCTTTTTACTGGAATCCAATTCCAGTAGTGGAGTTCTGCTTTTATTGACTCAGCAGTCTATCCCGGTGAAGGCTAGTCGCCTGCCGGTTAGTCTACCTGAGAGGGCTTGGTCAGCTTAAGGGATTCCAAGCTACTGTTGGATCTTCCGCAGTTTAATCAATAGTTAATCAACCCAGGGTAATTACAACCTTGACCTAACTAAGGAGCTAGGGGGACTGATTCCCAAGTGACTCATCCCTTGCTAAAGAACTTTGAACCATTTTCTGCTTTCTTACTGCTTTTACTTAAAATCACAATCACTCGACTTAGTTTTCTACATAATAGATAATCATGGAGTAGGTAGTAGATCTAGACCCCGGGTTGACAAATAGAACTTGCCACTAGTCTGCATTTCCGGACTACGATTACACTTGGTCGCAGTTTGGTGTTGTGTTTTAGCGTGTCAGATACCCACGCTTGTCAATATATTCAGTAGCATATAATAAAATTACAAAAGGAAAAGGAAGATCAAGATAGATAATTAGGTTAAGGACGAGTTATTAGTAAGGGAAACGAGCGGCTTGAACACAAAGTTCAGAAAACCAAATCAGAACCAAAGTGAAAGACCATTATTATTCTTAGTTAAATCACATGCATAATCCTCCCTCCATATATAAACTACACATATTATCTTCAGTGATGTTCTGCTAAAGGAGGAGGGCTTGGTACTGGAGGAGGCTTTGGTACTGGATCAATAGGCTGATAATCCTCAAGTTGTTGGTCCGTCTCAGTTGAAGGAGGATGATGGCAAGGATGACCTGGTTCATGGCACGGATTGGCCCCTGGAGGTGCATGATACTCCATCCCTGCAAGGTCCATCCACGAAGGGTGAGTCAGGGCCTAAGATTAAGCCGAAAGGCATAGTCGACGGACAACATGTGAATATTCTTGTACTACAACATGTGAATATATGTACTTACCGGAGATGGGGATTGAGTTGAGAGCAGTGCAAGCAACTGTTGCAAAGGCAAACAACATACAAATGATAGCATAAAAGAAACCCATTGACTTGTTTCTGGGTTTCATCATGGATTGACAATTTAGAGCAGTGAAAAAGGCAGGTGGGGGAGGAGGCTGGATGGAAATGATTGAGTAGGTCATCATTTATATACTATACAAGATGGAGTGAAAAAATGAGAATTTACAATTTTAGGATATGCAATGTAATTATTGAGTCATTATAAGGAAAGTAAGTGATTAAGAAAAATTAATTGTGATTGTAACAATAAATGTTGTGAATTTGGATATTATTTCTCAAGAGAGCCATTAAGGAATGAAATCAGACTTTGATTGTAAGATTCAATGCTCAGGACTTGGATACCTTTTTTTTAAGAAAGTAATTCATTAAGAAGGCTTACTTTTTTTAAAAGAATGATATTTATTTTCAATATTTTTTTAGAAGGAAATTTTTGGACCACATATACTAACATCGTATCATCATAGTCTATTTTTCATACTACTATAACATATACTAAAATCAATGAGATATAGTCTATTAAAATTTAATGGGGGAAGTGTTTATGCACTTGATTTGCTCCTTACATGCTACATGTGACATCAATCCAATTTTATTTTGGTAGAAACATCAATCCAAAAACATTTCTCAATAATTAGGATTTATATTAAGCTCACTTGACCAATACATCAAACCTCAAAATAATTAGGACAAAGTCCAGAATTGGCTACATCACCTATCAAAACTCCTCAAACCAACCTAAAAAATACCTATAAACTTTCCTACTCCTAAAAAATACCTACAAAGTCCAGAATAATTATAGCCTTGAAATAAACGGTCTCTTCTCTCTATACCATTGCTGCTAGGGACACAAGAGTCATCAGTTATTATCCCTCATGCCTAGAACTTGTCCTTGGTACTCATCCTGTTCAAAATTATCAACCAAACAAGAAACGTGTATTTTGGAATGATGAATTTATTCCAAAAGACTTGCCACCAAGGCACCTATGGTCTATGTACCCTAATTGTTTCCCAAACCTACTTCACTGGGTATTTCACAAAGGGTTTTCCCTCCCAAGTACATTTTCCGCAGTGTCAACATCCATTTGAAATTGAAATCAATTTTGAAACTTGAACAATTGCATCCAAATCCAACGAACCTACAAATGTTGCTCGTAAAATCCACACAACTCGGCCGTTTAGCCTATAGTGACTAATCCATGTCACCAAACACTACCTCCATACATGAATAATAGTCAGACTGGCCTCCCTAAACAAGTCACATTTCATGTATATAAATCTTTAATCCCAACCCTCCCTCTTTCTTCTTAGTAGCTAGGTTATCCCATGAGACCTTTGCCTTCCCTGACTATCGTCATACCATATAAATTCTGAATTAATCTTATGAAATCTGATCCAATACCTTCTTAGACAAAATGGAAATTGACATCCAATACTGCACCAAGGAATAAAGCACAAAGGAGACTAGCCGAATTCGACATGTTTATCATTCTATACCAACCAGAAAGACAAAGACAAAGACCTACACTTGTACACCTACACCAACCCACCAAAACACCCTACGGTAACAATTCATGAACCTATCTTTACATTCTCACATTGAGGACAATGTGTCTCTAAAGAGTGTGTGTGTGTGTGTGGGGGGGGGGGGGGGGGGGGATTGTATGCATGTTTGAATGATTCATGAATGATTTTTCCATAGTTGGTAGTAGCCTCCCTTAATCATGAATGTAAGACGTTGATGATCGATGTGTGGGGGTGTTTGCTGTCGATTACTTGTATTTTGGTGTATTGAATCGCTTATATTTTGTGTTTGAAACCTTGATGATATGCTAGATAATCGATATGGCGTGTTTTATAGGGAGTAATTTGCATTTACAAGAGTTGTCGGTGTATGAGGGATTTTATCCTTATCTTCCTCTTTGGTGAGTTGATAATGTTTGCTAATTAGGTAAGACCTATGTGCGAGACTTTCTACTTTTTGGACATAAAAACATGTGTAAATGTACTCACTTTTGAAAAAAAATTGAGGTTTTCATGTGAGGGTAACCGGGCATAGTGTTCGAGTTGAGCCATCGAAGGGCCCTTCTCTTTGGTCCGGAGCCGATTGAGGATGTGTTTGGGGTTCGGATAGCTTTACAGCATCTCGTTCATCTTTTACTACCTTCTACCTCCCAAAATACCTCTCCTCCTTACGGGCTCGTATGACAAGGTAATATCACCTTTTAGCGAGCCATGAGCCCCCTGCTCTCGTTTGAACCCGACATGTGTGGCAACGCGTCTATCGTTGAGACGTGGATTGCAGGGCGGGAACTGGTGCTCTGACAATGAATCCTACCTTGAAGTTTGCCACATGGGACCTTGATAGGGAAGACAATGTGCATTTCGCTCTCGGTCATGAGGGAGAGATGTCAATTTGCAAATTTGAATTTTTTTTGTGCCAAGTGGAGCAAAGTTTAAAAAAGGAGACCAAAACGAATAACTCCTACCTTGATAAGAAAGAATAAAGAGCACCTTCAAGAGTCCATTGCATTTATTGTTTTTGAAAGTCCAAGATCTATAAGTAGGGTTCATAAACCTAAGTCAAGGAAACTAATTCATAGAGAGGAGAAGAGAGAGAATACAATAGGGTCTAAGATCTTCAATGTTCATCTTCTAGGGAGGATCTTCAAGCTCCAATGGGGTTGGGTACCTCCAAAATAGCTCCAAGAACCCTCCTAGATCACTCTCTCTAGAATCGCCCTTGGGTGTTTTTGGGTGAAAACCCAACTCCCCGCTCTCAAAACTCACAGGTACTATTTTATTCCCGCAATACGGTGAGTTTCACGGTTTGGAGGTTATTTTCATGCCCCGTTTTCACCTCAAGCAGTGAACTGCAGAGTTTGCGGTTTACGTGAGATTTTCAACCCTCCTGGCTGTGAACAATGCTCAGCCCGCGACATGGAGTGTTGTTGCTGGACATGTGTGAGTTTTACGGTTTTGAGGTGATGTTCACGCCCTCCAGGCTTTTCCATGCCCGTAAATAAGAGATGAGAGGGAAAGAGTAAATTTGGAAAGAGATTGAGTTTTAAGTATCTATGAAATTTAAAAAAATGCATCTAAGGGGTTGAAGTACCACCGGAGGGGGTGCTATTGTACATTCCCTCTAGTAGAGTAATTTATGGGGGGAAAGAAAGTAACGAGAAGCTTTCAACTTCGCTAGAGAAAGGTAAGTATAATTTTTGGGTAAATAATATTTAGATGATAAGTGAGGGTAAAATAGTCTTTTCCGATATTAACACTTAAATGACGGAAATACTAACAAAAGAATATGATTTGTTACATGTTCATAATTAAGAGGTATATTTGTAATTTTTTTTAGGAAGTATTATTATTAACTTTCACTAGTTTTTTACCCGGCCCGTTGGCCGGAGAGATGTATTTTACAATTTATATCAATTAACTTATTTATATGTTTAAATCATTTTTGAATTTTCTAAATATTTTGTGTTCTTGATTCATAATAGAGTTTGTAGTATGTCTATACTGAAATTTTCCAATATTTAGCACACTCACTTGTGATGCTTTGGTTTTCTAAACCAAAACACTAATATTTAGCGTACACCAACCTGAACCACACACACATATATAGTTCAAGCTAGCCTGCGCCAGGAATACGCTATAATCTTGAGTTCACACTACCATACGACCAATGAGTTTTACTATTTATACCCCGAATTAACCGAAGTTTTTGGGGCATGATATTATACCCTAACCTCTAATAGGTGAACTCCAGTCCCTAATTCTCTAACCTCTAATTTATACACATACTTCGTCATACCTATCTTCTATCGTATCTTGAGTAAATTCAAAAATATAGTATACCTTGATATTGAGGGGTTTCTACGGTACCCCGGGTGATATCTGAGTACAGCATACCTTGAGTATGAAAATGCTATCTAAACCTCGAAGTTTTTGCCTATATTTGGATGAATCATAATCGTCGATCATTGTTTCTAATTAAATTGTCTTGGCGTATAAGATTTAGAGAATTAAAACCTAGATTTTGATCTCTATGGGTTGGAGTATAGTATCATGTCCGAAAGATCAGAGAATTCAAGGTCTAGATAACGTTTTCATGCTCAAGGTATGCGGTACCCTGAATTTCACCCTAGGTACCGTAGAACTCACCCTTTGATATTATATATAGTGTATATATGCGTGCGTGCGTGTGTGTAGTAGACTCAAAATTATCCATATACTTCATCACACCTATCGTATCTTGCCTAATACACATATTAAAAGTGCTACTTGCTTATCCCGACTCCCGTGATAGAGATCCCGCTTTTACCCCCATAACGTCAAGCAGTCATTGGGGTTGTGTATTGTTCGATATGTAATATATAAAGAGGCAAATCCTAAGATCTTGCTATTTATTTCTTATCCTCTACACAACCCCCTTTATGGAGAATAAAAGGGTAGGGATGACAGGATCATAGCTCGATATGGTTTATTCTGTTCATCGTATCGGAGGTTATTTTCTTTTCATTCTTTTTTGGGCTTCTTTTCATTCTTTTTTGGCACCTATGGTTGTGATCAGAGGTATTTATCCCCCCGAAAAGGATTGGGATTTTAGGTAATTTGAAAATCCAATACACATTCATGATCCTCGAGTTTGAACGAACTCTCGACCAATGTTGTAAAGATACTTCATTATTGGATCAATTTATTCACTCATATTGAAACTTGACACACACTGTAGCCCTCATGATGATTAAATTCTCTAAGCTCGATTCATTTCCATTTTGTATGTTAGTTTTTTTTTATCAAGACACTTAAATTTAGTATATTATACAATATGTATCAATTGTTAATTTTTGAAGTTTAGACTAAACCTCAACCAGCGGTCATTGTTTATATGTTAGCTTTGAATCTCAATCTAAGACACTCACACACACTGTCGAGGATTTTGGTCTTAACATGGTCGTTGAATGTGTAATTTTCAAACATTTTATCACTTATATATTAATAATTGATAAAGAGTGTCTGCAATACACACATATTTCAAGTGCATTTAAAATGTCTTATCATTTGAACAATATTGGTGGATTTCAATTGATTATTTGCATTAACTTATTATCTTATACAACATATATCAATTTGTGTTTCTCGAGTTTGGACGAAGTGGCAACCAATTTAGAGAGTTGAGATGATTGGATAAAAATACTTGATTGTTGGATAAATATTTTTATCCCAATTGATTATCTTACTAAGTATTGCCAACCTTTATTTGGTAAATGCCTAGTTTATAAATTGATGAAACGTGATGTTTATCGTAGATTCCTGACAAAGATTTCTCTAACCTTCGCATATGTTGTTTTTCAAGGAATCTTGTGTCTCATCCTAGGGTATGGAGTCAAAGTTCGTCAACAATCATACTTAAGTCATTTTGAAAATTTTGATTTATAATCATTGACGATAACTCTAAGTCTAATATAAAATTTCTTAGCATACGACTTAGGACCTCAATAGAACTTGTTCGATCAAACATGATATAGAGCAAATATTATAAATGTGAACTTAGGACACATTATAAAATTATTGCACATGCAATTCCTCTTCATTTGAAGAGTTTAAGGTAGAACATGATCTGAATGAATAAAAAGACTTTTTTAAATAAATAATTGTAACTACTCGATCAAGATTATACTCTAACATTTTGCTAAATAGTAATTGTTTTATTTTATAGACATATACCTTACGAATAAGAGAGTGTTTCATTGCAACAAAATATAAAGTAATATAGTTTATTTTTCAAAATTAATTGAATGTCAAATATTTATTTTCTCACTTTTTATATATATTTTGTTTAATCGATAAAAAAATTATTATATATGTGTATGTTTTTTTATTTTTTTCATCAAAATATAACTTATCATTCAACTTTAGTAAAAATCAGTAGAAAATTTACTTCATAAGGTTTAATCAGATATTTTTATTCGAACAAATGTCACTCTCCGTTTTCTTATTTATATTTTGTTTACTTGCAAAAAATTATTATTTATGTGTGTTTTGTTAAGAGAATAATTGGATAAAAGAAATGAAATATTAAAGAAGAGAGAGGTAGCTTCATAAATATATTAATAACTAATTTTTTGTCTGTAAAAAAGTTGTTCAACTTGGCAAATTGTGGATTCTCCAAGTGCTTATGTGGTAAGATATTTTTTTTGAATTACCATAATATATACTATAGATATAGATAGATAGATATAGATAGATTTTCATTTGGCAACTATTTTTATTGTTGACGTTCTCTTCTTCTAGAGCTTCCTTAGTCAGCAATCAAAAAAAATACAAATCATCAATAAACCTCACGCTTTTCTTTTGTTCTACTCCCCGCTTTCTTTCGTCTCTTTCTCTTTTTCCCCGTTTAAACCTCCCACCCCGTTGTTCTCCTTCTTTCCCTTTCCTTTCCCCCACCTCCCTTCCAAAAGGTCTTCTCTCACCTCCTGCCTCTTCCCACCGGAGAAAAGAAGAGAGAGGCCGCTCCAGTTTTGTGTTTAGTGCGTTGTTTAGTCGCCGTGTAATTTGATTTAGAAAGAGACGGGGATATAGATAGATAGTGGCTTTTCCAGCAAACGTAACAGCAACGACACGGACGAAGCTCCCTCCCTCCTTAGAAATCTCAGATCTCTCTCTGCCTTCGCCGAATCCGCCTCCCTGACTCGCCGGAAATGGCGCAGAAAACTCTGATCTACTCCTTCGTCTCCCGCGGCACTGTGCTTCTCGCCGAGTACACCGAATTCAGCGGCAATTTCAACTCCATAGCCTTCCAGTGCCTTCAGAAACTCCCCGCAACCAACAACAAGTTTACCTACAACTGCGACGGCCACACTTTCAATTATCTCGTTGATAATGGCTACAGTGAGTTCCTTGTCTTCTCCTCCTTCTGTTCTCGTTTTTCGTTTCCCCTTCTGAAATGGAGTTAGGCGAGGCCGATTGACTAGTACTGATTCCGATTCATGGCGGCTGAGTTTCTGGTCCACTCTAAGTCTGATTAGAAAGATTTTTTTTTTTGTTGTTGTTGTTGTTGTTGATCGAGGGATCTGCTTGGCCGTATTGTGGTTGATTGACTAGAATCGGTAGCCAGTAGGGAGATGATGAATATCTTGAACTGGATCACGGATCTTAGGCCGTGCTTTTTCATTTTCGATTTGTATGTAAATCCTCCATGCCGTGGCGGCGGACTGACTTTCCTTATTCTACTTTGCAGCGTACTGCGTCGTTGCCGATGAATCAGCTGGAAGACAGGTGCCCATGGCTTTCCTGGAACGTATCAAGGAAGATTTCATGACGAAATACGGTAGTGGAAAGGCTACAACAGCTGCTGCCAATAGCCTAAACAAGGAATTTGGGTAATCTGATTGGTGAATTGTGATACATGATCAGTTTGTTCTTATGACTTTTCTTTGGCTGTAACATAAAACCTTGCCTGTTTGTAGGCCAAAACTGAAAGAGCATATGCAGTACTGTGTGGATCACCCTGAAGAGATAAGCAAGCTTGCAAAGGTTAAAGCTCAGGTTTCAGAAGTGAAAGGAGTTATGATGGAGAACATTGAAAAGGTACGGTGCATCATCATCTCTCTGGTCTTGGTGGAATGACAAAGATCGGATTATGTCCTTAAATATTACCAGAATACCAGAGCAAATGTGGATTTAAATTGTCAATACTTCTGTGTCTTCATGATCGTGAATATACCATGTTCTGTGCTCCTTTGTCAGTTGGTCTTGTGTAGTGAAGTGACTGTTACATGGTCAATGAACTGTCAGTTGTTTACCGGATGCACCAATTTCTCATTGTGTGCATTATAATGAGATCAATGCTGATGTTGCCATATGTATAGGTTGAGTAAATGTTATGTGTTTTGTGACACCACCTTATCAATACCATTGTTGTTAATGACCCCAGCTGAGTGGTATCAGAACTTCCTGCCTCTCGATGTTATGGCTGTTCTATTCGGAAGATGCTTTTGTTTGCTTTCATCATAAACTTCTAGTTCACTGATGCTGTCATTTTTCATATTTGTAGTGTTGTTCCTGTTTTTTTTTTTCTTTTTCTTTTTTGCTTGATGAATTTCTGGATGTGATTGTTTCGGGAAACTAGTTGTCTTTCCTCCTCGGACAAGCAAAGTTGAATATTTTTCGTATGTGGTCTTATGAGAAATTTTCCAAATTATAGTCCTTCTTGCTCAACTCATAGCTCTGTTGAGCTTGTTTGCATACATGAATGATCCAGAGAGCACACTGTGCCACTGTACTTTAATAGAGTTTTGGTACGAATTGTGAAGCAGCCAGGCTGACTTCCCATTGGGGTTGTGTTCTGCCAACATGCATGCTTTTATTTTGTCTAATAGGATATCAACACAAGTAGCTGAAATTCTCTCATGTCCGTCTTATATAGGTTTTGGACAGGGGAGAGAAGATAGAACTTCTGGTGGACAAAACTGAGAATCTCCATCAGCAGGTCAGTGATACTCTAATTCTACATAGCATTTTGTTCCTAAGGCTTATACTGTAATTTTACAAATGAAGAAATGTTAGCTTTGTATGTCATGAGACTTAATGCTGGCAATATATGCGACTTATCGGGCCTGCATGATACATAGACTGACACTGGGATCTGAATTTCTCAAGTTATTCCGCTTGCTTAGTTCTTGACGGAGTGGGTGTGTGTGTGTGTAATTGTTTGCAAGGACATAATCACCCCAGTGTTTTCTCTCGGTTTTAATAATAACATGTGAAAAAATTGGTACGTACAGGCACAAGACTTCCGATCTACTGGAACAAAAATCAGGAGGAAGATGTGGCTGCAGAATATGAAGATCAAGCTCATTGTTCTGGGAATCCTCATCGCGTTGATCCTCATCATCGTACTCTCAGTATGCAAAGGTTTCAGCTGTGGGAAAAAATAAATGTGTGGAGTTGTTCGATTCGGAGACCATTTTTCATCCGTTGTCATCTTTGCTTGGGTGGGGAGCTATTATTAAAGACGTCTGCTACGAAATATATTGTTGCCACCTTATGTCTAGTAAGAGTTTTAGAAGTTTTTTTTTTTTTTGGTGATATTGCTGCGTAGGAGGATGAACGTTTTGCCTGTGAATGAAATCTGTGTAATCTACTTTGTCTATCCTCTACGTATTGATTGCTACAATGGTTTTTTGGCAGTAAGTATAATATTTGGCCCGCTTTTCATGTGCTGTGAATATGTGCCGACGAGCTTCGGCCGAACTAGTATGATTTGCAGAAAATCTGGAAGCAGCAGTGCTAGTGAAGCAACTGTCAGTTGCTCATGTGCTTGAGGTTGTATAATTGATAGGGTAAGAAGTGTCGATACTTCATTTGTTTGCCTGAAATGGTTGTATGGAAAGGAAACCCGGAAATGGTAGGGTGAGCTAGTGTTTGTAAAACCGTATCGGAGATTTGATCGTGAAAATTTCATATAAGAGTTTAAATTAATAGGCGGTTTTTAGCGGTAACAGTTGAATCACAGTTTTTTGTTAACTTTTTCGATTCAATTTAAATTTATGGTACAGTTTTAGAAATCCAATAGAACAATTTATAAAAAAAAAATCATTTACATATAAAGCACGTAACCCCTAAGAAGTTGATTTGGTGATATTGTGGGGATGAAACATTCACCGCACTTTAAATTCGTAACTTAGTACTAACCACCAACGAATAAAAAACAACGAGAAACAAGAGCACAGTCCGACTGCCAAAGTTGTAGCAAATGTAAAAAACCCTTTGAGGTTGAAGGAGAAAGACACAGCTAGGCACTCTGGTAGATATAGAAAAGTGAGGAAAATTATATTGATATTTTGGCACTAGCACAGTGGTGTAGGAGCTGCATAGCACATGTGACGTCGTGACATCAATGGTTCGAAACCTGCCTCCACCATAGACAAACCAACCCATTTCTCTGTCGTCAGTCGTCACCGTCTCCCATTGTTCTTCTCTTCTTCTTCGCGATGAGGGTAGCTTCTTCCCTTTTGCATATCTGGAACTTCACTCTTTCCCTCTCCCTTCTCAACTCCCCTCCACTCCCTTCTCCAGTTTTCCCACCAGCTCCCACTCCTTCTCCTCCGCAGGAAATTGTTCTCTCCCACAACGCCAACTCCACATCCCTACCCTCCACGATTCCCTCACATCCCTCCTCCCTATACCTGCTCTCCTCGGGGAAATCCGGCAACCAGTCCGGAATGTGCTTCCCCCTCAGCCGGGCACCCGAGCACGGCGGCGCCGGAGACGATTCCGAACCGTCCGCCCTCGGAATCGGCTTCGCAAAGGGGATCTCGTCGATGGTATTCAAGAAACGCTGCGCGTCTTTCACCACGCTCGATCTCACCAGACAGCAGCCGCGGGGATCCGACGCCCCGGCGAATCCCTGCGCCGATTCGAGCTCGTGGAGGGCGTTGACGACGTCGAAGGCATTCGATTCGGTGCGATTGCTGTCGCCGGAGTAGGACGCCGCCGCCTTGGCTAGGGTTTTGAGGTAAAGACCAGCCACGCGGGTCAGGGTTTCGAGGGCCGGGGCCTCCGCCGACTTGAAACCGACCGATTGGCAGACCTGCGCGACTGCGATTCTGGCGATCCCGTTTGCGCAGTCCGAGGGATTGCTCTCGGGAGTAGGTGGAGGCAGAGCAGCAGCGGCGGCGGAGGGGGTTTTTGGGTGGCGGAGGGACGATCTGGTCCTCATGGCGGGATTGGAAGCTTCATCTGAAAAGGAGATGGCGTTGCTGCCTGAGAGAGATTGGCTCTGGGGTGACGGCTCTTTTCTAAAACCCTTTAACAATGGCTCCGCCGGGTCAGGCGGGTGTGTGTGACCGAGAATCCTATTTGAATGTAAGCTGAGACAGAAACAGAGACGGAAAAGAGACGAGAGCGTGATGTTTTCGGTTATCCCTCTGGGCTTTGACTATCATGGGCCTGTGGGCCTCGTGTTCGTTGCTTGGATGATGATTAGGCCAGCCCGTCCAAACCCTTCGAAGAAAGAGCACTGAGAAGTTCTGAAACTACAAAGCACATGACTGGGCCTAAAGTCTATACTTTTCATTTTTCATGCTGTTATGAGCCGTCTCGTTTCCTGAGCTGAGTTCTAACTTCTAAGAAACCAAAAAAAAAAAAAAAGTATCCGCAGGTTCTTAGATCAGTTTCCCCACCTTTCCAATGGCTTGTATTACCAAAGAACTCACAGATAAGTGATAACAAAAATCTACAAACCAAACAATAATAACCACGGTCTAGAATCAAACTATCACAAGCGGCGGGAAATGAAAAAAAGTCTTTCTAGCCATCAAATGGGCAACTCAATTGGTTTGTCTGCCAATAAAATTTACTGTCATCCGTCGAAATTGTTGTTGAAGAACCCCAATCTCTTCCAGAATCACTCCACCGCGCGAATATTCATTGTCCTAATTTTTATAATAATGCTTTCGTATCACCATAGAGTGCCACCTCAGAAAGGCCCTTCAAAAAGCACCACTGGATGGCATCCCAGAACCCCATCAACTCGACCAGGAACGGATCTTCAAGATCTGCATACTGAAACCCCTGCACAAAAGTCACACTTCCTCCCCGATCCTTAACCACTAATCTTCCCACCGCATGAGAGCCCACCCTAACTACTCCATCAATAAAGTAAGTCAAGTTCAGCCTTTTCTCTCGCCAGAGTAGTCATAATCTCGATTTAAATTCTAAAATCTTACCATTTTACTTACCTATTTGATCCTGATTTCACTAAAAAATTTACGAACTTTAAAATCCTACACTATTCACGATTTAGATCTTTAAATTCTTACCATTCAAATCTCTGGGTCAATTTTACTTATTTTTTCCAGAATTTGTAAAATTAAACCTCTTTTCCTTCTCCTCCACCAACATCATCTACTTATCTCATACTAATCATCATCGACCATCATCTATTTACATCAACGTATTAATCATCATCCATTCACCACTTTCCAACATTAAGCTTGATAAATTGGAACAATAAACTTGAGAAATTATCATTATTATTGTAAGTGTTATGTATTTTTGTATTCTTCATGATTTCTTTGTTAATTTTATTTCGCGTTTGTTTTTATATGAACATTAAAATTCTATAATTTTATGATTATGATTTTACCCTCATTTTCAATTTTACGTAAAATCTCGATTTTAACTACTATGTCCCTCGTTACTACCCCCTCTGGTACAAGTGCCACGACTAATGTTACTCCACATTAGTTGGAATGGAAAGCCATTCCTCTACTTGAACCTGGTACTGCCTAATCAAAAAAGGGATACTATATTGAATATGAACAAACACTACTTAGTTTTTAGATTTCCATATTCGCCTCCCAAACGCATAATACGATCTGGCGATTCATCACGCTCCACCTTTCGACGAAAGACCAGTGCCATAATCAGTCCCTCCAGCTCCTCCCATGATACTAGTAGCCACTACGATCCCATAGACTCACCGCCCCTCTGCAAGTAAAAAACAAATATTCTGGCGACTCCACGGGCACCCAACAAACTGGGCATGTCGTCAGGCACACACATTCTTTCTCCCTAAGAGTTTCCATTGTTGGTAGTACCCTTAGGATCAATTACTATAGGAAGAAGTTAAGGTTCGGCGTGATATGAAATCCCCACATTCTCTTGCAAAAAAGCCATATCAAAGAAAGAGAACTCAGCTATCCACCGCTCTCGGCTTTGACTAATCTGCAGCGCCAAGTGATATCATGTTTCGACCAAAATACTCCTGATTGTTCTCCCTGCCATATCAATTCATATAGGAAACATCATCAAAGGGACAGTCGCAATACGCTTCACAATCTCCTCGGAAAATAGTGACGCAAGCAAAGTGAACACCAAGCTCCCGTATCGCTACAGTTAGTCTATCCCTCCACTCTATGCCCAGCCTATAGCGGTGCATTCCCCACCAAAGAAATCCCATTGCATTTGATTTCAGGAATCCAAGCTTCCTCCAGAATTTGAACATCTAACCCGATACCCACTTGCCATACCACCCCTAGTGCAAAGAGGTCCCTACTCCCTAAATAGTTTGTCAACCCCAAGATGGCCGAGACCCACTTTTAGCTTGAAAAATATGGGATCGAGGGAAGTACTTTCCCTTCAATACTCGAGCCAATAACAATTTCGGTTCTTCCATTACACGATAAGCTAGCTTTGCAAGCGATGCTTGATTAAACTCCTCAAATCGTCTAAATGCCAAACCCCCAATCGAACTTACAACAACATAAATTACTCTAAGACACCCAATGAGCCTTATCCCCTTCAGCTGAAAACCCCCCATCAAAAGCGAGCCATGTGCCTATTTACTTACAACAAAGAGTAAGTGGAACAAAAAAACATGACATTACATGACATGTATAGGCAATACTGATGCAACTGATTTTTGAAGTATTTCCTTTGCTGCCAGGATAAATGTCGTTGTTTCCACCTCTGAAGTTTATTCAAAAGCTTATCTTCCAAATAAAGTATCTGTTAGTTAGCTGGTTAAGCCAACATGACACAAAAAGAAATAAAAAGTCGAAGTAGTGGAATTTGAGGATTTTGTTACACCACCCAATGGTCTTGGCCAGAGAAACATATTTTTATCTTATAGCTGGTTTCATTTTCATGGGTTCGAGATTAATGGTATTTATATTGGTTTTCATCTTTTTATGGTAGGCAATTTTAGATCGTTTTCCTACTTTTTGGTAACCTTTTAACTTTCATATATTTTTTTTTATAGAAACCTGCGATTAGCTTTATTCCGAAGATGAAACAGTAACAGTTACTTTATCATAAATAAGCTGGTTAAGCAGGCATATAGGGGGTCGATCTAGCCAAACCTCCATCTCATCCCATCGTGTCTCCACATGCGCCATAATGTGCGAAGCTTCATTCGCATCTCGACTAACATGCTGAATGCTCCCATCTCCGACCAATCCAAGTTCTCTGTTTATATTTTTGCAAATCACCCCCAACTCCGTCTGGTCCTGCAATGGTTCCCGAACACACTTCACAACCGTAGAGCAATCCGTCTCCACTACTACATCCCTCAGCTCATGCTGCTTTGCCAAAAACAATCCCAGTTCCACCGCCATTGCTTCTCCACAAGTTGGATCAAAGCTTCCTTTCACCTTCTTAGCGGCAGCTAGGATAAATCTTCCTTCATAGTCACGAACTACAACTCCCATACCAAGACCCTCTTCACCAATACCCGCATATGTATTAACTTTTTTTTCCCGTTGAATCATCTGTATTAACTTTTACTCTCCCTGCAGGGGGCTTTGTCCACTTCTTCACAGCTGGCCTCCCACCTGTACCCACCTCGCGCGCTTGATGCTGTTTGTACTCGTCAAGGAAAGAGATAGCTTGAGGAATAATGATAGCCTCGTCCATTTTAGCACCATTAAATAATTGTGCGTTCCTTTCTTTCCATAACGACCACAAAACCATGCTCCAATCCTCAATTTCACTAGGCGTAACTGTGGCCATTACCTTCTTGAACCATTCCATACAAGTCGACTGCCCCCTCAACTCAAAACAGTGGCAAACTTGACAGACTCACCACAATATGGATGTCCACGAGCATTCACTAAACAAATGTACATGTGTTTCCTTTTGGTTGCAAAAGGGGCAAATATCACTCCTACGCTGGCTCCGTTGACTTACTCGGTCCCCCGTCACCAAGGTCTCCAACACAAAACGCCACAAGAAAATTCTCACCTTCGGCGGGATATTTAGTGCCCACAGGCACTTCCATAGCGCAGGGTCCCCCCTCGGCGTAATACCATTCTCAGTACAAAACTCTGCTCGCCACCTTCTGTATCCTTCCCTAGATGTATAATTTCCATCCCTGCTCGACGCCCAAATCATCTTGTCAGCTTCCAAAGGGTCGCGAAGAGGAATCTGGCGGATGGCGTTCACCATTTCTGTGGTAAAGCAGCTCTCTAAAACCGTTTCATCCCACCTTCCCAACTCCTCGTCCATAAGGTCCCTCACCATCGCATCAACGGGCAGCCCCATTGGTGGAGATTGAATAATAAAACCGGGTGATGAGGGTAACTGACTTGCTACGACACAACACCTAACAATGGCCAAGTGTAACCAATGTAAGGGATTGCAGTATAGTGGCTCAAGTGATAAATATCGAATCCACGAGTCTCTAGAGTTACTATTACTCAGCTTCAGTTTATTATTTAGCAAACCAGATTAAGATGAAAGAACTAAAACTACTCTAGCAAACTCCAGTTAAAGTTAATCTAATTACAGGTTGGGAACTCACTTAGGTATGATTCCCCCTAGCCACTAGCCAGACTAACGATTGATGAGTTCTAACTTGTTTCACTTTCATTCACAATGCGGAGAATCCTTGACTAGACCTTGAGTCTCGACTAAAGGAACAAGGCCCACTTGAGTCAATTGCCTAGAGGGACGTATCCTTCTCTAGAACAACTGATCAAGGCATTCTGAACTAGACTCCCTCTATCGAAAGAGGTTCTCAATCGATACAAAGCAGTGAATCAACCCTCGACTAAAGCAATCGATCCACAACTATCAAACTATGGTGCTCTATTGACCTAATCAGGTATTCCCTCTCATAGGATCAAAGCAGAATCAATAATCTCGACTAAAGCAGAATTGAATCATGAAAACATGCATAGATTGAATATGAACTCAAGATTATCAAGTCAGAGAACTCATACAATCATCCAATCAAACAAACATAGCCAGGGTTCCTCAAAACCTAAGTGAAGGGAAGTTACTCCATAGAGAAGAGAGAGACTGCAGTAAGAATCTTCAGATGATCAGTCTTCAAGTCCGGGCTTGTTCCTCGAGCTTCCAAAGCAAAGAAATCCTCCAATTCCACTCCAAGAATGCCCTCAAATCGCCCTCTCTCTCTTTGGTTCGTCCCTTGGGTGTTTGGGATCCAAAACCCAGCTCTCCTCTCCTTTGGCTCGAAATTGGCTTAAAACCAGAAATTCCCGACTCACACGGGCAGGCCACACGGCCATGTGACTTCCCCCAGGCTGCCCGTGTGGCTTTTACCGAGCCTTCACACGGCCACAAGTGGCCCCTACACGGCTGTGTGAGGTGCAATGGTGCCCGTGTTGCTTCCCAGCTTCTCGCCAAACGTCCAATCTTTGTCCAATCGACCCCGAACTCGTTCCCAAGCCTTCATTCATGTGCTAGGACCTGAAATATCACAAACACTAACAACCTAGCGTGAAATCGGCCTAAAACGCGGGAATCGACATCCAAAACGACTCAAGAATAGGGTTAGAAACATGTGTAATTATTGGTCTATCAGTAACCATTTGTCTCCCCATACCCGTACCGAAAATCCATTCCCGACTCTCCAACGCATTCCACGAACCAGGAAATCTTGCGCACTCATGAGACTCCTCCACACATAGCTTGGCTGATAACCCACTCGTGCATCCAAAATTGAAACATTCTTATGATATTTCGTTTTCATTATCCTCGCCATTAATGACGTTGGTCTTTGAAGAAGACTCCATAGCTGGCGTTCCAGAAGCGCTTGGTTTAAACCCCGGAGATCACGAAAGCCCATTCCTCCCTCCACTTTCAGAAGAATGAGAGATTCGCGTGCCACCCATGGAATTCTTCGTTCTTCACCCTTCTGACCCCACCAAAATCTCATTATCATCCCATGAATATCATCAATTATACCATCAGGTACCTTAAACACCGCCATAGTATAAGTCAGCTGTGCTTGAGCTACCGATTTTATCATCACTTCTCGCGCTGCCACCGACATCGTTTTCTCCTTCCAGCCAGAAAACTTCCTCCTCAACCTCTCTTTCAGATACACAAACAGTTCCTTCTTAGATCTGCCCACCTGGGTAACAAGACCCAAATATTTATCATGTTTTTCGACAGCTTTCATTCCCAAAGTCGAGCTTACCAGCAGGCGTTGGTGAGGCTTAACATTCTCGCCAAAGGAAACCTCCGACTTTTCAAAGCTCATCATCTGTCCCGACTCTGCCTGATAAGCATCTAGAATCTTTCTAAGCTCCAAACTTTCCTGGACTG